AGTATCACAGGTAAACTATTGGGTGCACTGCAAGGTACTGCCGTGAGCTAGTCACTCTTTCGTACAGCTGTAATGCTTATTTTTGTTTCTCTCATCCCAGGAAAGCTGGTCCTTCAAACAAGGATGTTAGGGTGTCATATGGGCTGGCTACAGAGGCTATGCAAATAACGCCGGTCTTTCTTGAACCTGGAAGTAACGGAGAAAACCAAGGAGAGATGTTAAAGAGCAGCACTTCGAGAGTGTTTTTGTTCAGGAGATTTAAACCAGTAATCTTTCCAGTCATGAGTTCACTCTCTTAAACATAGTCCTTGCAGAAAGAAACCAAAGCTTTCGGTTGAGCTGTCAAATGCCTGTCCCTGAAACATTTACCAAATCATTTTAAAAAAGGATTTAAAGATATTTTATGTGAGAACAGGGAGACTCGTACAGAATTGGGATTTCCCCTCTTTTTGCAGTAGTTATAAACACTCATCCTGATCTGTGTTTGAGGTGCAGGTCAACCAGCAGGACTTGAGCCTCTGGAGAAGGTGAGGGTTAAATATCTTGCTCAAAGGTTCTTGGAGCTCTGCGTGCGTGCACACGAGGAGATCAGAGTAGAGAGATGGATCCAAATGTAGAGCCTGTTGTTACTGAGCAGGAAGGGGTCAAGATGCAATCTAACCTTGGTGCATCTCTGTTAGTTTTGACCAGAAGAGCAATGTCATGACTGTGACGGACCTCTCCATGGCGATGGAGGATCTCATAACAGGCAATCAGCTCACAAACTCCTCTGCTGTAGATCACTGTCTCTGTATCCTCCGCTCTACATTATGTCCCATCTCTTGTTCTCATTTAATCCTCCTGTTCTCTTCTCCACTCTCTCATCTCTGCTCTGTCTCTGTTATTGATGTCTGTATCTCCTGATCTCTCCTCCAGTTTTGCTGGTGCATTTTAAGCGGGTGGTGTTGAAAGAAATGAATCCTCACTGCCCTCAGCAGACATCTAGATGATCAAGACTGCTCTTGCTTCATGTCCTGCCACTCGAAGTTGATCTCTACACATAGATATAAACACATCCATATTTCGGTATGTGCATTTGTGCGAATAGTATTGTGTGTGTGTGTCATCATCAGCAGTGAAAGCTGTTTGTTTTTGTTTATAGAACAGAGAAATCTGTAAAAAGGATGCAGGGGGGAGAGAAATGTGACAGCTGCCATGGGCCGCAGAGGATAAACAAACACACACTCACACTTGCACAAATATGAACACACCACATGATTGGCGTCTGAAATCTGCTGCTCCCACATCCTCACAGGAAAGGAGGCATAGTGTGCTCTAAACTCAAGTTTTCCTCCTGTTTTCTGTTTTAGCGCTGTTTTAGTTAATTATATGCTGCGTTCCAGCTACCTCGGAGGTTGGATGTCGGAGCTGGGAATGATGTTACACCTGAATTGATGGCGTTCTAGTAAACAAGTCGGAAAACCAAGATGGATGCCTAATGTTAGCCGTTGTTAGCTGTTGTTAGCTGTTGTTAGTTGTTGTTAGCTATACCAGCTGTAACACCACATAACTCAGTGTTTCACTCTTACAAACACCATGGCAGCGTGTTCACAGTTAGACGTTGGGCAGTACGACATATACCACTTATTTAATTTCACAAAAACAAAACAGAAGTGCTAATAAATAATACATTATGAGAGCTTTCACTGTTGTCCAGGAATTCCATTGGATCCGGAATGGCTCCACTCTGTACTGCCATTGGAGGAGAAGCTCTTGCGATATTACTGATAGTTCTCAGGAGACTGGGCGAGATCTCACAAGACCACGCATGTTTCCCCGTGAGACATTGATTGAGATCCGCTGACTGGTGCATATAAGCGGCGGTGTATATAAACACCCACATCCCACAACCCTGGCCTCTCCCATTATCAAGCAAAGAACAGTTCAACGTATTGACTTTCTTTTATTTTGAAAATTAACTGGATATTTTACTCTGTCGCCGCATACAACCTCCACTGCTGCCCGTGCTGCGCTTCACTGAATTGATGCGTCGTCGTGCTGCGGGGAATCAAAATAGAAGCCTTGCATATCCTTTCAGTGGAGCTGGGTGGCGAATGGATTCTGAGGAATGACATACATTGATTATAATGCTTGCGTATTAGATCCACCTGCTGTGCTGGATCCTGTTGGTTTTTCCCATTACTTTCTCCAACTGTGCTGCTTGGATTATGACATTGTCATCAAGTCATGGTTGGTGAGGATCGTCCGACTTTCCAAGTTGGAAATCCCGACTTCTGAGTACAACTGGAACGCCGCAATAGTTTGATTTGCACATCATCAAATTAGTTCCTCTTGACGTTTTGCACTGCGTCTTAACTTTTTGGACTTGTGAATGCATGAGTGTGATGAAAGCTGTCAATGAGTCTTGAGTAGAGAGTCAAATAGCTTGGGTTTCATGAAAAGAGCAACATGAGCCATCAGAGGAATAACAAACATCACACCCTCCACCCTAATCCCCTCCCTGTAACACCCTATTTAAAGATACACACACACACACACACACACACGGACACACACACGCTGTTGTATCTCATCTTCTTTCTCACTCACACTGTCTCACTGTTTCTCTGTCTTTGTCACATTGTATCCATCTGTTGCGGTCCCTCTTTTCCTCACGACTATGAGGCTCCCTGCACCGTCCCACATGGCTTTGTTAAAGCAGCCCCATCGCACACACTCGACGTGCTGCGCTCTGCCTCGGAGTGACAGATGCTGTTCTGTGGAGTGTGTGTCTCACATCTCCACCTGCTTGAAAACCTTTTTTTTTAACTCGTGTTAATCACTCAACTGTTTCTGAGGAGAAGAAGACAGGAATATATATATGGTGATTACGTCTCCATGGTGATTGCAGTGAGGTCAAGGAGATGTTAATTACACATGGCCTTTCATATGCAGCAGGAAAGCACATATATACGTCTGCACTTCTCTCTTTCTATGCAGTGTTGTTTGTTAATCAGCAGTTATATCTTTGGCAATAATAAAAGTAGAACGTTGACACTGAAGCTTTTAACTCAAGACACGACTGACAGCATAAGAAAGCCAGTCCGCTCATGTGGTTTAATTGCTGACATGATATTTTAACTTGTCTGGGACTGATTTTGAAAACCTTTTTTGGGGCTTTCAAGGAATTAGTGACTCAAACTTTTTGTTCAGATTTCTATCTATCAGCACAGGATCCTCAACCATCCCCTGATGTTTCATATTGGCGAGCATTTGGCGTGTTAAATTCTGGAACTTTTAGGCGAGGCTATTAACATGCTGACAGGATTGGCTGAAAGCGCTGTGATAATTACTGTAATGTTTGACTGAAGCAATGTCATTAGTTTCTCATGAAATTAAAAATAAAAGCTCTTAAAAAGATTGGCTTAATGTGCACGCTTCACGGCAGAGGTTATCGACTCTTCTCGACGCATTGTCCTCAAGGCAGCAAGAGTCACTGCACATGTGACATGTTTAAGAATTCATCTGATCTGACGGCGTCCACAGGTCAGCTGGCTTGTCTCTTTTATCACCCTCTTGTAAACGCACCCAGCGAGCGTTTACTGTCAGCCTTGAGTCAATATGCATCCATCTAAACAAATACACTAAAGTCTTTAATGAGTTTTCTTAAATCCCTCTAAATGTAGCAGGATTTGTCTCTGAAAACACCTCAGGGCTTTGCTGAATCTCTTATATCAAGATAGCGAATGCTTTAGACTGTGCAGGGTTGTTGGCCAAAGTCAGCTGTCCCTTGACTTTATTGGCCCCTGTGGCTCAAAGATGGAATAGTTATTGTCTGCTCTCTTCTCAGTTGTTGCATCAATCTCTAAATCTCTCCTTATTTATAAAAGTATTCTCTCCTTTTTTTCACTCTTTCTGTCTTTGCTGTGATTTTCAGCCTCACTGAAGGTTATTTCACAAAGCTCTCTCTTGTGAGGTCTTTCACAATCTTCAGTCTATGCTTTCTCTGCCTCCTGTAATAGATTTGTTCTCTAGAATGTTCTTGTTCCAGACTGTGTAGGACAGTAAGAGTACATTGGTATGAATCCACATCTGAACACATTGATAAAATATCGTGCAGAATTATGAATGCAGACGTACTCTGCCTGCCTTTCTGACCCTCTTGTTGAGATAATACTCTTTACTTTTCTTCTCCAGTTTTTTCTATGAAGGAATTTTCCGACTTTCCTCTTATTTCTCAGCTGAGGTGTGGAGCTGGGCTGATAACAGAATATTACCCAGCACTAACTCCGCCATTGTTCAGTTGGACTCGCACCCTTGTTACTCTCCCCCGTTTCCAATATTTTCCAGAGATTAAAAAAGCCTGTTCTTTTGTTGTCCTCTCGGGTTATTAAAAGCGGTTACTGCAGACAGAGGGAGAGAGGTTATTGGATGTGAGCAAGACTGAGATTGTGGGAATGTCCGCCTAAAGCTTGTAGTCTCTCAGTCTGAGAGGAGCTTTTGTAAGAGGGAAATACATGTAGTGGAGGAAGAAAATAAGTGACTTTCACATATATGTTGTAGTTTTGCACCTGTGTGTTGCAAAACAATATCTGCTTACACAGCCGTTCATTCATGGTAAATGCTGCCTTTGTAAAAACTCACACACAGAGCTGCAGAGATGTCATTTCAGGGAGATCGTTCCTCTGTGAGGTAAGAAACAGCGTGACAGAGCCCGGCGTGCAGAATAAAGAGCTATCATCTGCTGTCATTTTCTCCTCATAAACCCGGGGATTTTGCATGGGGGCTGACTTAACCTTGTTTGAGCTTGGTATTTATTAATTTCATCTTTTACCAAGGGCTCAGGAGGCATAATGTGCCTTTAAAGAGGAGGGGTACAACATGGTAGAATCAGGGATGGATTTCACTGCTCAGATTCGATCGCTCCGTATCCCAAACTGATTTTACTTGACCTGTACTCTTCTGTCTCTGTGTCCCTGCAGGCCTGTCCTTGTCGTTCCCTCTGAGAGTAAGAGGAAGTGATGTCACGCCACCACCACCGCTTTGAAAGGGACTACCGGGGACCCTGGGACCGGAGAGATATCCGCCCTTCTGGTCTCCACAACGGAGGAGTCAATCACAGCTGTGCCTCTGCCATCGTCAATGGCAACAACCGTCCAGGGCTCCTTCCTCTCCCGGTGATCCCCTCCCTCCTGCCCACACCAGTATCGGTTACCGCGACGACATCAAGCAGCGACATAGCGGTCAAGCGAGGCATCACAGCAGCAGGATCGGTGGTTCAGGCCTCAGCCAAGGTAAAATTCCTCTTTTCGTCTTGTTTCAACTTTGGACAATGTCTCAAACTTTCTCCATGTTCATCAGACTTTCAGCCTCTCTCACTTTCTTAAATGTTTCTGCTCTGTCTGACAATCTGGCACCATAACTCTAACAATTCAACCATCTCATCTATTCAAGTCTTTAGTCTTCTGTCTCTGTCAGTCTGTCCATCCCTCTCTACAGCCCTGCAGCTCTCCCTGCTTTCCCTCTTTGTTCAGCGCCTGTTCTTGCCAAACCATTTTCCTTCATCTTCATTTTCTCTCAGCACCAAATGGCAGACTCATCCTGCTTTCACCTCCTCGGTCATTTTCTCCTTACAGCTATGTAAATGACCTCTGACAGTGGCACAGATGGGTGCTGCTGTCAGAAGAGCTGATTCTCTTTCCTAACAAGCAAACCAATAAAATAGAATTTTCAGAGGCTCTAAGCTTTACCAAAGACTTCATAATACAGCAATGTGTGGGCTTCATATTTCGTCTTATTAAACGTCATTCTTACGGCTTCAGCGTGACCATGAAACCGCAGCGTTTACGCACACATAGAGGATACCTTTGTGCCATTCTAATAAGTGCAGTAAATCCAGTTACGTAAACTACACATAAACTCAATATAGGGGTGTCCCGATACAACTTCTTTACTTCTGATACAGTACTGATAGTGTAGCCTTCAGTATCGGCCGATACCGATATTGATCTGATATTGGCACAAACTTGTGCATGACAAGTTTTGCACTCAGCTGCAATGTCTTTTTCAGACTTTACTGAAAAATACTGCCACAAGGCCAACATCACTCCTACTCCTTGCTGCTCTGTTGGTACCTTAGTACATACTGATGTTGTGATCACATGGGCTCTGCATGCTGGATCCGGGCACTACTAGCTAGAGGTGTCTGGAATGGACTGCTTGCATCAGAGTGCTGATATCAGGGATTTTAGATGCAGGCTGATATAATCCAATAGTTGTTTTTTGGCTGATATCCAGTACAAATATTGTAGCGAGACAGCCCTAACTCAGTATAGGCCACTTTTTTGCAGCCATAATCTTGCAGGACTACAAAAGTGCAGAAATTCAATATCAGTATTTTGGTTAGGGGTGTCCCGATACGATATTGATATCGGTCCAATATCAGCAAAAAAAAAATAATATTGGATTGTATCGGCCTGCAACCTAAAACCTGTTACATTCATGTTACGTTACCCAGGCTCCTCGCTATACAGACCGTGTATAAGCTTAAACGTTACCCTTCACGTTAGTGGAAGAGGGTCCGACAGGATTTGATGCGCTCCTTGATGACTCGCAACAAGTTGGAACTAACCTTGTGTGTTGTTGTGCTCACACAGTGCGAGTAGAATCATTAGTGGCACATTGATATTAATGATCATGTGAAATTTCAGTAGCGGCGCATGTAATTTAGCAGCGCCACTGCTGAATGAATGTAGGGGAAACACTGCTGATACATATGAGTCTGAGGTAGAACTATGTGAGATAAAAACTAATTTTTTTTTAGGTGTGGCGGCTTTTATTTGGTCATGGCGGTGCACCACGATCAATTGCATGTAGGGGAAACCATGAAGGTACTAACATAGTAGCAAGGAGTAGAAGTGATGTCGGCCTTGTGGCAGTATTGCAGCTGACTGAAAAACTTGTCCCTAACAATTTCGTGCCAATATCGGATCAATGTTCGTATCGGTCAGTATTGAAGGCTACAATATCGGTATTGTTTTAGAAGTCAAAAAGTTGTATCGGGACACCCCTAATATCAGTATACAGTTAGCAGTATATTACAGCATGCCTGTATGATCTATTTGTGTTTGAGTTGCTACAGTTTGAGGATATTCGACCGGCACAGTTTGTGTTCTTCTTCATCCTCTCTTCTGAGATTTCACTCTCTAGCTGGCTGTCAGCATTGTGTGAAGAGAGGGGCCTTTACCAAAAAATCAATTAGACATTTCAGAGTCCCCTCTGGCTTGGTTACCATAGATACCATTCATCTTTCTCTTAACAGTCATCCGTACTATCCGATCATTTGCCTCAGCCAGATCCATGTGGGCTTTTTTTCTGTCCCGAGTACCTTCTCACTCTCAGCGGGGCCTGAACTCTCAGAGCAGAGGTAAACAAAGCTCCGCTGATTTAGCCTGTAAGTGAAAATCATTAAATACCCTGCTGAATGCACCGACCACAGATACAGTAAATCTGCTCTGACACTGTGTCTGCCCCTCCTTTTGTGTGTCTGAACAATTACACACACTCTAACCTACTCCCACTGTGGTCATTGTCATCATTCAATGGCTGCCGCAGCAATTAGTGGGATTGCCTTGTGTGTCAGGGCACAATAGTCTCCGGGTAAAGTGTGTGTGTGTGTATGAAGCCAGTACACCCTGAGGTGCCACTCTGTTAGCTTCATTAAGGAGTTAACTGTCTCTCTCGTCTTGTCTTTGACAGTCCTCTGAGGAAGGACTTCTAGGGATTGGGCTCTAGGTCGAGAACAGATACAAGGACCTTAAGAGCCAGCCAGTACCACATGATCCGTCTCTCTAACTTCCCCTCAGCTGTCTGATGTCCTCACTTGCTCTCCCACTCTTTCTGTCATCTTCGATCAAAGCAGTTCGGGGTCACAAAGAGTCGGATACTGATGCAGCTCTCTCTCTCTTGGTGGTTCCTGTGTCTCTGCTCTGCGCACTAAAAAGCTGACAGATCTTTATTATTCTCTTTTCCGTGTGCAATAAAAGTAATGGGACACATCTCAGGTTTATTGTTTGAGGTGTTTTTGTTGTTTTATTTGCTTTATGTCGGCTTAGAATATTAAAACAAGTTTATGGGTGCCATAATGTTGCTTTGTGTATTTGCATGTGTGTGTGTTTAGTGTTTATCATTACGATTGCAGCTTGTTGTTTGCTGTTGGTGAGGATTTGATGGGTTTAAAATGGGCCAAAGCTGAAGTTTTCTGATAAACAGTATTACTCAGAAAGTATTTTCCCACAGACTAAAACTGAAACATGGACATCTGACTGCATGGTCTAATCCCTTCAAATGAATTTTTTAATCCATCCTCTCCTGATTATTTACAAAGAGCAGAGCTGGAGTTTGTATTTCTTTACTGTGCTTTATTGAGCACAAACACAGGAGCTGAAATAAGACGGGACACAGTTAAAGATGGATTTGAGCGGTGCCACAAAATGATTACAGTGTGTTTGTTTGGGGATTCAGCTCGTAGAGATCATGTTGATCCTCTTTAACACCGGCCTTTTGATTCACTCTGTTTACATCTCATTTATATCTCTGTTGAAATGTTTACAGATGCAGGTCGGCTCAGTCGGAGGCAGCGGCTTCTCCTTAAGTTTGTAGCCACCCCATTAGCTTCCTTTCTGTGGGAACAAACTCTTTTTTTTTTTAGGCTTTGATGGTTGCAGAGTCCACAGTGGGACCTGCGCAACATGGTGTCCAGAGCCCAGCAGGTGTCATGGCCTCAGTGTGAAAAACACAACCCTGACAGTGACAAGAAAAAAACAATTATAGTTGAATATATTCAGTCTGGGATGAAATATTCAGACTCACCAGGAGGCGGAAAAGTAAACTTATCCAGGGGGATAAAATTCTGAACAAAACTGTGTGAAAAAAATGTCATCCAATTGACTATCCATTCAAAGTGATTGTTTAAATCTTACAGCTGATAGAAAAGTCAGAGGGATATTGTTGTATTTCTACTCCTGACATTTTACTTAAATTGAAATCACTCGCTCAGACATCTCTCTTAATACAAAACAGCAGCTTTTCGCCTTCCTCTGAGGAGCAGAGAGGTAAACAATCCTCCTTCTCTGCTGTCAGGATTTCATTTATTAAACCCTCTGTACTATCACGGACTCGCTGTGCGGCGTTTGAATTTACATTAAAATGTAAAGGCTTTTTTCCCCGAGAAGTCGACCAAAAAGAAACATTAGCAACACGTAATGGGTCTCATTTATTATCCACACAGCTTTCTGTAAAACCTGAAGGCCTTTTTGTAGCGGAGTCAAGTGTCTCTTTATCTCTCTTTCACTGTTTGAACAGTTATGCATTTTTTAAGACTCGGAGCCAGAGGTCAGTGGTTCATTTTTGTTCTCTGTAAGTGGTTAAGTGGTGAGTATGTCAGAGAATATTTTAGCACTGAAAGTCGGCTTATCGGACACTTAAGGCAAAAAAACCTGTCAGCTCTTTCTGCCCTCTTCTTTCACTCAAAAATGTCACTGTGGACAAAGACAGCCTTTAGAGGCCGGTGCAGAAGCTGCCCTGCAGTATAAAACACGCCACTGTGAGAGGTGACAAAAAGGAGCGGCGGTCATTCAAAACTTATCTGCTAAGATGAATGCACCTGATATAAATTACTCTAACACTGTATGAAATATAATTACTTTACATGAATTCTTTGTAATCTAATTTCCCACATTATCAAACTGGTTGTTAGGGCTGGGCGATAAACCGAAAATTTACGACAATAACTAAAATCATTTTACCCATGTCGGTATATTCAGTGTCAAAAAAAAGATAATTAAAGTTGGTTTTAGATGTGTGTAGGTAGGCTATGGTCTCATGTCCCTTTAAGACGCTGTCCTACGTCAGAGACATGACTCCACCCCATCCAGTCTGTAACAAAGAGGGAAAGACAGGTGAGCAGCGGCTGAAGAAGACCAAGTTAACGTGGGAGGGGGTGAGCAGCTTGTGGAGTAGTTATCATCCAATTTATTGTTATCAAGGTGAACTGCTCAATATATCCTCATATTGTTTTGAGGCCATATCGCCCAGCCCTAGTTATAATTATATTACAATTCGTGTTATGATTGATTTTATAGAAGGAGATGGATCACAAATCACCATCCACTAATTTCATCAACAAGAAGTGATTCTGTTTATTGTTATCGAGGTGAACTGGTCAATATATCATGCTATTGATTTGATGCCATATCACCAGCCCTACTGTTTGTGGACAAACAAACCTGCTGCCAGTCCTTGAGAAAGAGTGAGCCTCAGGAGGGCAGAGCGAAGATTAAACCTTGATTTTCCTTGAAATAATGTGTCTTAAAGTCTCGAGAAAAAGAAGAAGAAGAAGAAGTGATTTTGTGCTTACCACAAAAGGTTGAACCAGGTCTGAATGTCTGCATCACATAAGACGAATTAAAGTTTTCCATTAAGAACCAGACAGAACTATGCTACAGGGATTGTTTCTGTCTGTCTGATATCCAAAATGTACAGACCTTTCAGGGTTTTGGCTTCTTGCTTGGCACCTCTGGCTTTAAAAATGACTGCATGCGCAACTCAGGAGAAGAAAAGGTTGTCCAGAAAAAAAAAAAAGGCCTTGCCCTGCTGTTTTGTCGCCAGATTGAAAATGGAAATCATCCTCCTGAATACCCTGGCAGTCTGTGAGTCTGTCTCTGATGTGGTTTCCCGATGGCTTGATTTAATAAGCAGTCATTAAATGTCAGATTAAAATCTCCTTCTGCTCAGTGAAACATGAGATGCGATGCTCTTCTCTGTGTTGCAGTGACTTTGCAGTCGTGTGTGATATGCTTTCCTACCCCGACTTTTTATCACCGCACTGCCATCACTGTCTGATCAAATTCTTTGGCCCATCTTTTCCCAGCATCCTTTCACTAACTTCTAAGATCCTCGTGCCCGCATCAGCACGGCCCCCCTGCTGAGATAGCTTATGGGAAACTAGATTGCTGATCCTTTTGGCGTTGAGTGGCAGCGATGTAATTTAGGATAGCAGCAGCAGCCACATGTTCTGATAGCTATTTGAGGACACCAATAGATCACTCATGACTCTTCTTCCTCATCTCACAAAAAGTGGAAATGCTCTTGGCCGATCTCATGAAAGCATGAAGGAGAAGGCGCCGCCGGACAACAAATGAGAAACGCACAAGGCCTCTCACGTTTGAAGGAGTCATCGTTGATACTGGAGTGATTTGTTGTCAAGAATCAAGGGTCCTTTGGACACCAGCTTTATGGAAGAATATTGCTTTTGGACGTGCTTGCAGATTTGATGTTCAGTTTGTAGCAGCAGAAATATGTTTCTGGCCAGGACACAATTCATACCTCATGGTCATCACGCTGCAGTGTGCATGTCTCTGATAGATGCCTCGAAAGCTGCGTTGAGTAAAGTCAGAAAATGTCTTGAGAAAGGGAGGTTTTGTTTCTCTGAGATAACAGTGTGATCAGTAATAGTAGTTTAGTTTAGGGGTCTCCGGATACAACTTATTTTACCTCTGATATGATACCAATATTGTAGCACTCAGTATCGGCCGATACCGACATTGATCCGATATTGGCATGAACTTGCACATGACAGGTGTTGAGTGTTTTGCACTCAGCTGCAATGTCTTTTTCGGAGTTTGACGAAAAATACTGCCACACGGCCAACATCAGTCCTACTCCTTTCTTTTTTGTTAGTACCTTATGCGTTTGAGTTACCTCGGAAGTCAGAAGTCGAGCTGGGAATGATGTCACATCCGAGTTACCGGCGTTTAAGTTACCAAGTTGGAAGAAAGCAACATCAGAGGCAGAAACAAGATTGCTACATCTACGAAAGTTATTTTAGTGCTTGCCTTGTCCGAATATAAGCAAGTACAAGGCAAGCGCTGAAATAACTTTCGTAGATGTAGCCATCTTGTTTCCAACTTGGCGCTGGTAATTCGGGTGTGACGTCATTCCCAGCTTGGACATCTGACTTCCAAGTTAACTCGAATGCAGCAATAGTACACACTGTTGTTGTGATCACGTTGGCTCTGCATGCTGGATCCAGATGCTACTAGATAGAGGTGCTGGAGCGGAGTCTGGAATGTACTGCTTGTATCAGAGTGCTGATATCGGAGATTTTAGATGCAGGCCGATATAATCCGATATTTGTTTTTTGGCTGATATCGGACCCATATCCAATATCGTATCAGGACATCCCTAGTTTAGTCACTAAATAAGCAAAATGTGATGCATTGCCATGTAACACAAATGTAATCCAATGACACAAACACTGGACACTAGGGTTGGGTATCGTTTGATTTTGAACGATTCCGATTCCGATTTCGATTCCTCATTTCGATTTCGATTCCTATCGATTCTTTATTTCGATTCTTTTAAAAGGCAGGATATCATAAAAAAAAAAGCATGGTTTGAATGAGGGCGCTAACTGGAGCTCTTCTTTTTGGATGTAATTTCTGAACTTCTCCATGAATTTTTAAATCATATTAACTTTTTAGGAACTTTACTATGAATTTCTCACATTTTCAACCAGTATATAAATATCATTTTTTGTTGTCAGGTCGTTTGTCTATGAAAAAGCACAAGGGCTAACGTTAGTTGGATATTTAAGTTGACCCATCGTACTCAGTGCAATTTGTTTACCGCTTCAAAGTTAGCAGAGGATAGAAGTAATTTATTGTTTCACTTATCTGATCCTGACTGGTTAGCGGAAGACAGGTGTTGTGCTGTAGAATGCACCCCTGCCGTAGAATGCCTCCCCTCCACTGATTAGCTTCTTAAAGTGGAAGACAACGATCTCATATTTAAAACAACACGAGTATTAGATCATGACAACATGTCAAATGGAGCAGTAAACTTTCGTTTCGTTTTTCTGTGTCTCAGAAACGCACACATAGAGGTGTACTTGGGTATATAAACTGTACAGTAAGCTGTTAATGTAGAGAACATTATATTTTCCGGACAGTAAATATTCAGAGTCAGAGGGCTGTTGTTTTCGGCATATCTGAATAGCCTGAATGAAATCATTAAAGGCACACGCTTTAGATTCCGTTCAACGGTAAGGAAAACTTGGATTGTTTCGCCTTGTTGTGTACTTTCAACCGCGCTCCCGTCAGGGGTGCATTCAACAGCAGGGGTGCATTCTATGGCATAACACCGGCGAAGCGCGTCAAAGACGAGCACTCGGGTATTTCTCCTCCATGAATCCTGAGGTGTTTAATCATGTTGGTCGTTTACCCTCCTTTGCATGATATAACTGTATTGCTAATGTTGCACTGAGATAAGAGCTCATTCTTCCTGCTAAAGTTAGCCAAACTTTTGACCAACGAAGAAGAAGCTGCCGAACACCAACGAGGACGGAGCGTATGAGACGAAGTCACACAGAGAGAGGAGAGAGACAGAGAGAGATTACATTGTAACCCACAGCGGCTGCATTGCTGTGGGTTGCAATGTACTTTCTCTCTCTGTCTCTCTTCACTTTCTGTGTGGCTTCGTCTCATACGCTCCGTCCTCGTTGGTGTTAAGCGGCTTCTTCTTCGTTGATTTTCGGCGACTATTTCTTCCGGTCGGCGGACTCCGGAATCGAAACTTGGAATCGAAATTTTTATATTTGAACGATACCAGAAGAATCGAAGTTTTAGTCTCGATTCCCATCGATTCTCGATTCTCAATACCCAACCCTACTGGACACTGGGTGTGATACAGCCCTAATGATGTATTTGTGTGTGAAGAAATTCAGTGGACTCAAAGAGAGACTTTTCTCAACTTAAAAGCTGCCAGTCATGCATCACTGTAATAACTCACACCATCAAATGAGCGGATCAGATCTGTATCTCTTCAAAGACCCACACTTGGTACCCAGATTCCCCTGCACGAGTTAAATGAGCCCCCCTGCTGAGCCCGGCTGGTTGTACATCATTTTGATTTCCTCTGATGGACAAAAAGACTCAAACGCCTCTCTCCTTTTTTCTCTGTAATCCCACTGCCTCTCTCCTTTCTGTCCTGTTCCACCATAGTTGACCAAAAAAACAGGTCCACATGAGGAGGGTTTGACCTTCAGAGAGTGCGGCATCATGTATCATGTTTGAATTAGTGTACAATTATGTTTTTATCACCTCTAATGAGACTTTTATATATCTGCTTAAGTGGATGAATGCTGCCATCTTGAATTTCCCTTCAGGGATCAATAAAGTTCTTCTTCTTTTTTCTTTCTTCTTCTGTAACTTTACCAACTTTAGGGGTTAGCAAGAGAGCTTCTTTATGATCATTTCTCCATGGAAATGCAATCAGACCGAGACACTAAGACAGAAGAACTACCATCTGTAGTGCAAAATGATTAACACGGTTATTATTACTTCAAGGAAATGATAAAGAAATGATCATAAATGTTCTTCCTTGAGCTGTGTCACCCCGTAACAGTCCGTAATAGACTGGCCTGAGGTCTCACTACAAACAAGCGGCTGCTGGAAGAGAGTGGGTGAGTTGTGTTAAGTGTCTTTGCTAAAGAAATTAGGCAAAGTTAAAAAGATGTTTGGTGGCTAGTACTATGGCTGGGACCCTATATGTACTGTTGATGAAGTTAGGTGCTGTTCTGAGCATTATTTGTGGATATAGAGTGGTTGAGGTTTGTTGATGGCCCCTCAGACCGCAACATCCTTCTCTCTAGGGGGGTGTCTAACTCGGTGTTACACTGTGTTTGACTCTAAATTCATTTTACGCTAGAATATCCCTTTATAAACTGAATGCTGCTGACTTTGGTTAAAACAAGACTTTTAATTCTTCATTCTGGTTTGAACAAAGTGGACAAAAGAACTTTCCCTGGCTTTGACTGCAAAGAAGTATTGACAGCTTCTGATTTGAGATTTATTTGCTTGACTTGGTGAAGATTTCGGTCGGTTGCACAAAAGAGAGGATTAGAGAGGCTGCGTTCAGAGACTGGGAAATAAAATCAGTGGGTATTTGACACTGAGCTCCTCTCTCCCTCCCTGGGCTGATATCGGGACTGTACCTTATCCATATTTTTGGTTCAACAAACACACACCTTAAAAAACAAAGAGATGAATTTGATCACTAATAACTCTACTTATGCTCTCTGTCCATTTTATGATTGGCTGTTCCAACTATAGCGCTCCAGTTTCTGTTTGTCCTCCCTGTGCACTCCACTCAGGGGATCCACAGCCAGTCATTTTAATGATACATGCATAAATAATAGATGTATTTTTAATTCAAACCCTAACAGGGACATCGGAGGGCGAGTTTCTCCTTGTATCATCACCAAACGACTACATATTTTCACCTCACTTTACCTTTGAGACACATTTTGAAAGTCTAATGCAAGCATATCATAACAACAGCGTAAACCATACTGTCTGTGTCCCTCTGAATTTCCGTTCAAGTAAAAAACGGCGCCAAGTACGTTGCAGTTGTAATCAGACAAGATACTTCTGGGAAATAACAGTTGATAAGATCTGAAGAGGATATTATCCCTGCTCAAATTAGTTTTCAAATTGCAAATTGCAAAGGAACAAATTGTCTGTTCAGTGTAATATTTCACTGAGTCTGGAGGCAAATCAAAATAAATTGAAAGCAATTAGATTACGGTTATTGCATTTGATTAATCTGCTGGATTACACTACTAGTTGACAGTTTGAAGTGTGTAGTCCTCTTACGGATCAGTAATACATTTTTAAGTCAACCTCGGTTTATTTTGACACTAATGACAGAGCAGTAACTATTGTTCAGTACCAAAGGTTTTGTTTTCTGGACTAACAGAGATAATTGAAATGATTATTGATTTAATTAAAGCACCAGTCAGCAGCTAGGAGTTATCTTGAATAATCCCACACTGATAAATCAAAGTTTAACATAGTCTATAAGGAGGACATCTGTGCAGCGTGATTTTTCCACAGTATTGTAAAGTGTGATTATTGTACTGCTTATTTCTCTCTCCATTATGACGCCCCATGTTTGTTAAATACTACACTAGTTACTGTGAGTGAGCTCCAGACTGAATGTCAGCCCAGGGTTTTATATTTTCTTTCTTGCTCCGATTGTTTTGTTGAAAACTTGCCGGAAAATACATGAAATCATTTTAAAGTTAAAGTAAATATTTACAGGTTATCTGCGGGGTCTTAAAAAGTCTCAAAATGGACATAGCTAGGAGAGTTTAGTCATTACCTATGCAATTGAACTAGTTCTTTACTGATATTTACAAAGCATCTTGATGTAGGTTTTTTGGAGTCGCCTCCATGGTGAAATTGTTCTTTTTTTGTTGTTGTTTTTTTTGCTTTTATTTTTTTTTAACCTTTGTTGTTGATGTTGTTTAATCATGCAGGATACACTTTACTATTTTTATTTATTTATTCACGTACATATATTTGAGCCATCGTCCTTAAACATTCGCATATAATTGTTGTTATATATGACTTTTTTTTTAAATAGACTCTCACGGGCATTCATACATATCTAATGTTCCTGCTATTTTTGTTATGGTTGGAAATTTAATAAACAGATTGTTGAAAAATGTCTTAAAAATGTCTAAAATTCTCTTAAAATCTCATAAAATGTCTTAAATACGGTTTTGAAAGGTCTTAAAAATGAACTAACTCTACTTACAAATAAATAATGTGTCACAGGGGTAAAGATTGATTTAAAGTAATGTAAAATGTTCAGATTTCCCTTCATGTCTTTTGTACTTTTTTGCCAGTTTGGATGTTAAATGGGTCTAAAATTGTATACATACAGTCTTTAAAAAGTCTTACAAAGTCTTAAATTTGACTTGTTGAAACCTTCAGAGACCCTCATTTATAAGTTTGTCAGCCTCCAAACTTGGTTACCTGATCTATTGTACAGTTAACAAAGACATTTTGAGTTTATAACGTATTCAGATATTGTAAAGATGATCTGCTGTGAATGTTAAGTGAGTTCGCCCTCAGTCCAAGTCCTCATTCTGGAAAATAAGTCAAAACAGGGACAGAGGACCCACTCTGATAGAAACAAAGACGTGGGTTGTGATTAATTCCTGGTCACATCTTCTGGCTTTATCACCCTTGACTGATTCATCAGACCTGAGCTCCAAAAGGAGCAGCTTTTTAATGAGAGTCATAATCCTAGATCAGCACTTAAGCAGGATTTGTCTCTAAACCAAGTGATTGTTTTCACTTCTCTGTGTGTTTTTTCTTTTTTTTAGGCGGCTAACAGAAAAGAGGTTTAACAAAGAATGTTGAATAATGAGCTCTCTCTCCCTCTTTGACATTCTGTCTTTGTCATCTGTTTCTTTGATTGCCTTCCTCTCACTTGTGTTTCCCTCCTGTCTTCCACTCATCTCTTTTATAATCCACCTTCACCGTCCCGGCTTTGACTTGATGCAATAAATCAGAGTGAAACTGATGAACTGAAAGAACGGTCCGCCATACGTTTTATATTATCACAACCCATTTACTTCTCTTATCGTTGAAATTCTAAATATTAATGCAATACTGCGGCTTCTTTGTTGTACAGTTAATGCACAACATTTTCTGTGGGAATTGAGAGCTTAATTTATTTTACATCGAGTTCAAACGGAGGTTTCGTGCTGCACGTATTTTTCTTGCAGCTGATTGTGCAAAAGCATTGTGTTTTCCCGAGTGTATAGTTTCAAAAAGCTCAATTAAATGCTAGGAAAGGAAATCTAAAAGCTTATAAAAGGTTTTACAGATGAGATATTAGACATACAGTCATACCACTTTTGGCTCACCTCCATATTAGAGATTGTGAGAGTGTGAATCCAGCTCTACAACTCTCTGTTATGGATCAATTCAAATGAAAGACCATGCTTGGTGTCAGTACAGATCAGAAAAGCCTCCTGTTGTGGTTGTAAACACTGACGCAGAGGGTTCCTGTCAATGTGCGGTAGGTCACGCGACAGAAAATCACTGCTTTCTGACTGGAACTGAAATCTTACAGCTCAATAACTTCAAAGAGAAGACGCTCCCTCCTCTTCCTCCTCCGCATCTTTTTTCCTGGGGTTTTCTGTTCCTACCTTGGACTTAACAGCTCACCCCTGCAGACTTTCAGATTACAAGCTGCTGTCCGGACTTCACAGAGGTGTCTTTAAAGTCGTCCTCTAGTGGCTTCATTACCTGATTCGGATACTGTAAAGGTGCTGTGCACGCTCCCGGACGAGGAGGGGGATCTTTGGTTCTTGTCCCTGGAAGAACTTTGCTCCAAACTCAGTTCATAAAAACAAAGACCAACCACATTCTCAGCGATCTCCTTCTTGCTTTTGACTTGTAATAGTGTCAAGCACGCTGCTTTAAGTAATATAACAGAGAGGCAGACGACACCACAGGTAATGTGTCCCACATCTTCGCTCATTGATATTCCTGTATCATATTTGGCTGTGGAGCAATTTTTAGTAGCATGACTCATCCATGTAAGAGATAAATCATCTAACTCATGAATATTAATGTTGTCTCTCTATGAACAAGGAGCAAGAATATTAATCTCTCAGATAATCACACAACAAACAAGCAGAAGAACAAACCCCCACATTTCATGAACACCGAGGGACCTAAATATTTGCAAAAATGCGTTTTAAGATCTGTTTATTAAGCCCTAGCTTCCCCTGCTGTTTTGATGCGTGCGTGTGTGAGCTGTATCTGCTGTCGTCAGTCTAAGAAAGAGCTTTTCTATAATTTATGACAAAGACTAATGAATTAAAGACATAAACTGTCCTGTTTTAAAATGACATTATGTTTTATTGTTGTAAGAGTAATACTGGTTCACAATCTACGATCACAGTCTTTTAAAATAAGGACGAGATGCTTAATATCCTGACAGACTTGACTTTTAACCAAGCAGTATGAATTTCGTTGGGCAGTTCGTTTAACTTGATTTTAATCTGTCTCTAAACAGTTTGAGATCTGAGACACCAGTCAAACTTAAATAACCTTTTTTTCTTGTCAAACGTAAATTTGGACGCAGTGAGCGGCCCTTAAAATTACCCCCGCCATCTGTAAGAAACAGCATTAGCTTTTAAAAACCAACAACTGCGCGCGATATTAAGAGGAGGCAGTTTGAAAGGCAGCTGAAAGAAAAACACACAGAAGAAAAACCCTCCCACAGTTCAATTCAAAGTCTGTTTATCCATCTGCAGCAGTGTAGTTCATGGTTATTTCTCACTTTCTTTAAGAGTCCTCTGTGTCTAATGATCCCAGCGTGTCTCTCCGCTCTGCATCGTACCCCAAACAGAGCGCTGTGTGGACTCCCTCCTGAGCAGAGCCGCACTGACCGCTTTATACTGTCGGATAAACTAGTCTTTCAGTCTCCTATCAAACCCTGGGGGAGCGGCGCTGGAGCTCCAACATTGAAACCTCAAAGGATGAAACTCTGCCTTGAGTTACAGTTGTGGCTTCATGTGGACTTTTTGTCTGATAGAGTCTCAGGCAGAAGTGCAGATCCCTGCTTTAGCTGTGTCACAGAAGGTGAACTCTTGTTCCCATGGGAGTCAAATGTTAACTATTAATAATGTACTTTTTTATTCTTTTTACCAAGACATTTCTGTGCAAGATTTGCAGATTCTGCTGTTCTTCACTTTAAACTGCTATTTTTAAAAGGTGATGGTCACTCTGCAGCCAGATGACATAGATATTAGGAGTGGGAATCACTAGTGGCCCCATGATAGGATATTATCGCGATACTTGGGCCATGATATGATATTATTGCGATTTTTAATATTTTGCAATACAGTGAGTATTGCGACACAATTAGGGTGACCATATTCTGATGACCACATGCGGGCGGAGTCACAGAGTCGCACAAAGTTAATTTTGAGAGTTTTTCGGGTCGGATCGAGTGTCTTTTATGCACTTTTAACTCAGTAGGTCCACATGACACAACCTCGAAACTTCCGTTCAAAACCGCAGAAATTTAAAGGATTTTATAAAACTTCCCCGGACAAAGTCGGACAAGGCTGGACATCCCGGACAGCCCCCCAAAAAGAGGACATGTCCAGGTAAAAGAGGACGTATGGTCACCCTAGATACAATAATTGCAATTTTTTCAACTGTTAAGCTAATTTAGCATTTGTCCTTCCTTTATGTTTATCTTATTTACGCTGTACTTTATATTCATGTAGCACATCTTGCAAACCTTCGATATATTTGTTGTACTAACTTTCTCCTGCTCTATGATCAATCAATCAATCAATCAATCACTTTATTTATAAAGCAATTTTCATACATGGCTTGTATCACAAAGTGCTGTGTTACAAAATAAAATAAAAACTGCAAAAACCCCACCCACCGAATTTAACAGAGATCCCCCCCATCCACCCACCCATTCACACGCACAGACAGACACACACACACACCTACGCACACTCTCACGACCATCGAGACACCAAGTCAGGGCTCAACAGGAAGCCACAGAGGACCTTGGAAACGCTATCTTTAACTGAAATGGAGAAACACTGAAACTGAAGCTAAACTGATAAAACCATGACAAGATATAAAAAATAAAAGGAAATAAAACAATAATAATAATGGTAAGAATAATAATATAATAAAACCTTTTTAAAATCTGATTTGACTTTATATTAGCGATTAATTTGAAAAATCAATACTTGGTAAATGAGACGATACAATATATCACCAGACAAAATATTGCAATACAATGCTGTATCATTTTTTTTTCCACCCCTGATATTTATATCATTTTCCAGCGTGGAGCTCTTTGCATGCATAACATCATAGCATGAGTTTTACATTTCCATTTTGTGTCTGACATTGCAGACATAAAGTTCAGTAAAAGTCTTTTAAAAACAATCCCTAAAGATGATCTTCTGACATTTAATTGTTCGTATCGCGCATGTGGGCGTCTCAATAGAGTTAAAACTCTCGAAATATACCTCTCTGGAGCGAGATTTCCAGCTTTCACATTGCATAAGCAGTCAGTGTTTGAGTTTAACAAGCGCAGAGGAGCGGAGGGTTATGTGCGTAGGTGTGAGGTTATGGACAGACGAACAGACAACAAGAGGAGGAGAGGAAGAAATATCAAAACTGTTATCAGCTGAGGTGTATAAACCTGTTTACAACATGTCCATTCAATATGTTCGTTCTGTGATGCCAACAAAGTGAGTCACACCGAGGAACGCATACACGCATGAACGCAGCAGTAAATCTCAAGTTCAGATACAGTGAAAGAATATAGGTCTGTGTAAAAAGCATCCACTATATATTTCCCATGATTCCCAGCTCTGCCATATGGTCATCCGGTTCTTTCTCTGCCAAAATATCCGAGTATTCGGCCTCCAGGCTGCTTGTATTGTCAAATGAAATTGGAAATTCCCCATACTGCTCTCTTGGCAAAGTAGCTATCGTTTCCATTCATATTGAAATACCAATATAAATTTCATTTATCCTTTGGTGTTGAATGGCTCTTCGCCCAGTTAGTGCCCCTTTTTTGCTGCACACACACATTTTCCTCGAATTCAACCACAGACCAGATCTCCACAGTCGTCTCTGAATCTCTCAGGCTGCTGCTGCTGCTGCTGTGACAGGCCGGAGGATATTTATTTCTCAAAATACTCGCCTTCTATCAGGCAGGGTCACGGCCCGCTGCAGACCTCTGTCTCAAACTGTCCTGACCAGAGCTAGTGGGGGGCCAACATGGTCTCTGACAAGCTCCTCTGGGAGGTGCTATCATGACATAAAGAATTCTACTCAGCCCACACGTCCGAGTCCTGCCCCTCCTCTCTAAGACTGCCGCTGAGTCCCACATATATAACATGTTCACCATGCTGTAGCACACGGAAACGATTTCCCCCTCAGTGTTAGAAAAGGAGACAAAAAGAAACTGGTTGTGAAGGTGAGGCTTTGACCTTTGAGCACTTGTGGGATTTCCTGCCACTTTTCCAAGGCTGTGTTTTCATTGAAGCTGCAACCTCATCTCTACGATCACACTCATCTTTTCCTCGAGGGTCTGGGGGGCCAAACCAAAGAGCCTGCAGAGCCGTGAGATGAGGGTTAAATGTTGGCATCTGGATCCACCTTGTTTAGATTTGAAACTTGGTATTTCATTCTTGGGAATCAGACTTGGTTGATTGGGATCTGAGAAATCTGAAGGCCTACCTTGAACTCGGTCCAGACTTAACCAGACTACAACAATGCAGTCATACACACAAACAAACAGTGTTGTGCAGTGTGTAGGCTAAATGTTCACTCTTCTGGTCATGGTGTTTCTTGAGTAGATTGCAAATAAAGGTCTTAAAGCGCCCCATAGCGTTTGCTTATTAATGCTCATTAAATGCCTCATTTTATACCCACTGCAACCCAGCAGATATGTCAATATCAGCTCATTAGTACTTTTAAAAATTTGATTTTATCTCCATCTTTCTCTTCAACATGCTGCCATCGTACTTAATACCCATCTTCCCCGTCCGCGGCATCACGCTTTTCGTCATGTTGGAGCAGCCCCGCACTTCAAGATGGCTGCCAAAATGACGCAGTCGTCTCTTTGTTTCTCTGTGCGATGCTCTGCTATGTTCCAGTATGATAGATTAGACACAGCCGCCTGCACGGTCTGGCTCCAGCATTCAGCGGCATTATGGCAGAAGTCCAGAACAAATCTACTTCGCATTTAGATGCCAGCGTGTTGTCATGGAGAAGAGATACCTTTATACAGTAAGTAAAAAAAAAAAAAAAGGAAGACAAAGCACTTTTGTTCACTCGGTTGTGCCTCTGGTCAGTTTCAGACCACACTTGGTGGGAGCTTTTGTCAGAGCAAGGTGAGGAAAAGGAGAACTTTTTTTTTTTTCCCAGTGAAAAAAAATGAAAATGATCTGTCAGAGGCAATGATTCAAGGCGGTGTGATGGATGGGTTTGTCTTTCTCTGCCTCTCAATCTTTCAATTTACTGCCATTCTTACTGTTGCTGCTCTTGGAAAGCTATCATTTCACCACCCTCCACATTTCAGCCAAACTCTTCGTATCTGTCCATGGCGCGGTGAAGGGAAGAGAGTTGATTTTCAGTTTCGCGCTTGCACGTACCGGTTTTTATGATTTGATCGTTGTGTAAAATTACAATTATGAATTTGTTCTACATAATGAAGAATGAAAGGCTTTACTGGTTGTTAAAAGAATCAGATTTATGCACAAGACAGCAGCTGAATGAGAAGAAGATTTCACTCAAGTGGTAATATCTCCAACACCAGACCTGCAGAAATCCTGGCCCATCACAGCTGTAAACCTCCTCCTCTCCTGCAGTCTGTTATTTTCCTTTTGGTGCATAAAGAGGAAAACTGAACTTTAAAAGATGCAACCTTATCAACCCCTGTAGCACTGACTCACCCACTGCACACCCCTGTCCCACTGTGTCCTGCAGCAAGGTTTATGAGATTAGCTTTCCACTGTGTGTGCGTGTTTGTGTTTGTGCAAGCACCTTACTTCTTTTTCCTCAAAATCCGTTTTTCTGCGCTGACATTTTCAGTACACCTGTTGTTCCACCTCGATCTGTTTTTAAAAACTCAATTTGATCAGTGCGTGTTGTAACTTTGTTTACCCCAGAGGAACCGCAGCGTAGTCGACATTTTCACCCCTTTCTCTGTTTCTGCCCCTAAAGGTACAAAAAGCACACAGAGCTTTGGCTTATGCAGAGACTTGTTTGTTTTTTTCTCTGCAGGATCCAGGTGTCCTCTTGTGTTATTGCTGGATTGATCTAGTGCAATACCTCACACAGACAAGGGCTGGCTCGAACAAACCCCCCAAAGACAAACACAAAGCTGTGGGCAAACATCATGATTATTGTGATGTGGATGTTGTGGATGGCTCAAAGTGATCAAATCCCACAATGCTGGATCACCACCAGGCCCATCCTGTACACAGCCAGAGGTTATGCTGTCTACTGCATAGATATAGTAAAACACACATAGTGCAGATGTTTGCTGCGACTGAGAATAACCGTGCGTGGATGAGTCGCCCCAGGGAAAGAAAAGTTGAAATGAAGTCGTTATTTCTGCATGCATTACTGTGAATACATGTGTGTGACTTTATTGTTCTTTTCCTGTCGTTCTTCAGGTCTCAGGTGTGTCTCCAGGTGACAACCAAAACCCAGGTCTGTTGCTGGCTCCAGGGGTGAGGTGGGGACAGACACCCATCAACCAGCTCACACCTTGGGATACAGATGAGCCGCCGGCGAAGCAGCATCGAGACAGCGAGCCCAGCGGTAATAAATCACAGCGTTTATGTACATGAATACAAACTGACATCCTGTTTTAAATCGTCTCTGCAGCTATTATGCTGAGGCAAACACATCTACTTTACTACGTAAGGCTCATTTATGCTCACCATACGTTTGAAAATATACGCATCCGTTTCAAACGATGGTTCCGTCACTGCTCACATACTTCCATGTGTCCTTTACGTTGGCATAGATTGTTAACTATTCCATCCACCAGGGGGCAGGCCAGAGTCAAAAGTCTCTGACTACAACAAAAAAAAAGAAATATGGTGACTGTGGAGAAGCTATTGATAATGTATATTTTGTAGGGATGCACCGATCTGATATTTGGATCTGATATCGGCTCCAATATTGACTGATTAACTTGATCAGATATCTGGTGATGACGCCGATCCACTGTTCTGATCCAGTCTTTTTTTGTTTTAATTAATTTTACTTTTAATACATGGAAGTCTTACTTTTTTTTGCTGTGTGCTAATGTGCAATTTGTTATTTGTTAATACATAATATTAAGTAAATTTATATCTGTGTTAATTTGTTACCTTTTTTTTTTAACTAAGATTAGTGTCAAGCCTGATGCCTTCACTCACAGGGCAAGGTATAAAGTTCATTCATTCATTCAACAGTAGTATTGGATTGATATCGGATTGGATCAGAAAAAAACATAAACTGTATAAAGAATGGACAGAGTCTGCCTCCTTGCTGGGTAAAGCCAGTCTAAGAACAGCACCCTCTGTTGACGAGCTGCAGTATAGGTCATAAATCCCGCCTCCACCAGCAAAGCTTATGGAGCTGTGGACAAACTTTTATTACATAGAACATAAATTTTTCTCCCCCCCCGGCTTGCGATAGTGACATGTAGTTACAGTAAGACTGGTTTGTGCTCAAGTCCTCTTTTTTCTGTGAAGCTCTGTTTTTAAAAGTTATTAGGAGGTTCATGTTTTCTATGATTGACACCTGATACAGCCTATTGGTGTACCTGTGAGAAAAATTGACAACAAACCTCAAAAAGCCCCACCATTGTCTTCTTTGTTTCTCCCTAGAGATGCATATCGAATCGTGAGAGCAGCAGCACTGCCTCCATGGTTTCCAGTGGTACTACTCCGTTTGGCCCGTATCCGTAAACTTTAAGAAGAAGTGCAGAAATACAGATAAAAAAGAACGCAAAGCATACATGTGGAACTTTGAGCATAAATGAGCCTTTAGACATCTTAGCCTGTGAGAGAGAAGATGCCTGCCTCTGCAGTATAAATACTAAATATACACAAAGAGCCTAGTTATATAGGAATTTGTGTAATAAGTAAAGTAAAACTTCAATCCACCTCCTCAAGTTTTCTAAACTCTTCACTTTGCTTTGATTTTATTGCCCTTGTTTTTGTTATTTTCTCTCAAAGTGAAGCAGATTTGGTCAAATTAAATTAGTGCAGCAAATCTCTGAAAGTCCTCCAAATGATCTCCACCAGGTTTAATTGAGATGTCGACCTTATTCTATTCACAGATCCTTTACAAAAATAGCCGAGTGTGTCTGCAGCACACACTGAGGCGTTAATCCAATGTGGTGTTTCTTTTTTTTTTTTTTACTCTTTATTGTAATGAAGTCGCCCTGAGTGGCTCTGCCCTACAGCAGTTAATTTCCTTCTATTGCTCCGCTGACCTCTCCCTCCTGCTCTTCACAGACGTGTCTCATTTAAGAATAACACTGACACGCAGCCTGTTCGAGTGCGAAATCCGACTCAACTATTTAAGATTGTAGTCAGCTGCGGCTCTTCCCTGTTTAATAACCATAACAGTGATAGGAGAATATGGAGTATGGGGGTTTTCATTGTGTCTTGTGATGTTGTGGCCCCCCTGCTGTGCGATCACAGCCCCCTCTCTGTAAGGCGTCACTGAAAAACTCAACTCAAAACCGATGAGTACATGAAAAATTAATGCAGTTTTATTTTGATTTGATCTGTTTACTCAAGACTTATGAATATGAGTCAGTGTCAGTGAAACTCTTGATTTATAAAGGAGTATTGAAGATTTGCTGTAGGAGAAGATAAGGAAAGTATAAATGCATAAATATTAATGTTTAATTGACTTCACGGCGACGTCATGCAAAGATCTCTCACCCAGATCCTTTCACACACAGAGGGGGAAGAAACAGACTGAAGTTAAGCTCATTGAGGAGTGAATTATGAACAGACATGACCTCTCCTCAGGAGTCTTTTACATCCATCCTCTTTTCTTCTTGCTGTTTTTCTGTATTTCTCCCTCCCTCTCCATTCGTCTCTGCCCGCACTATTATATCCGCGGGGCAAGTATCATGAATAATGGGAGCTCATTTTTTTCCCTTTTCTTTAGCTTTTGCATGCTGTGATTTAGCCTTTGGCCCCCTTTGGCAGACTGGTGGGCTATTTTTGGAGCTTGGACCCTGGCAGGGGATGATAAAGATGATGGAGTGGGAGTGGATGAGTAGAAGAGAGAAGCTGCACTCAGGCCAAATACAGCGAGTCTCTTCCTCGCCATCAAACACCTCAGGGCAGAGGAATGATTGGCTCAGAGTGGACCCACTCGAGCGGACTGTCACATGTTTGCTATCAGGACGAGCATTTGTTCAACAAACATAGCAAAATAGATATATGGAGCAGAGCAGCAACTGGTTTCTGTCTTGTAAATATGTATTATATGCACTTAAAGGTGGGGTAGGCGGGATCTGAGGGAGCGCCAGTTTTTGGGAGAAATCTTTAACGTAAACACTTCCCCTCCCGACCAGTTTTCCCCTCAGCTCCTCCTCTCCCCTCCCAATTAAATTCAGATATAATGCAGATAAATACTTCAGATAATTACAAATGGAGCCCAGTCAATGTGAAAGTAAAAAGCATTGGTGCTACTGTAGATGCCAACAGACTACCAGCAAACACAATGTCTGCAGGACTTATAAAACTAGGATAAAGTGACATAGTCGAGGACCTGAGGTAAACAGTTTAGCGGTGCAAGAAACACTTCTGTTACAGACACTTGGCTTACTTCGTTAAAGAGGTTTACCTGTCCAGCAGAAAGGTTACAGGGTCCATAAGATCCCGAAGCGTCACCCATCCTTTATGCTTCTTTGACGTTGACCCAGCTGTTTAGCTCTTGTCCGGTCTACCTTCTTTCTTAAGCGCTTGTTTTTCCGCCAGAGTCTCCAGTATTTAGTTTGTTTTCTGGCTTGTGTTGGCAGTCGTGGCCAAAGGAAGATTCAGACAATTTTCCAAACTTTCTGGTTGGTTTCTAATGTCCAGTATTGTAGTACACTAACTTTGTTTTGGCTAATGAATGTTGTTCGAGGACGAGGAGCGTGCTTCACAACACGAGGGAACAGATTCTGCCTTACAACCAATCAGATCAGGGAGGTTGGGATTGGCTTTGTCAGAATAAACAGCTCACTCAAAAATTTTAAGATGTTGACTACATAGGCAGAAGAGAACACAGCAATATCGTGATATTCCCAAATGTCATCAATAACTAATAGCTATTTACTGATATTAAAAGCTTTTTTGTATATACACCACAAAAAAAGATCTTTCTTCAATGGATTTCCACCAACCCAATCTTTAAATTCATGTATTTGCACATGCAGGTGAAACACAAACCTCTTCCTTTTGCATGGGGAAAATAGAGTTATCTCCTGGCTCTGTTTCTTCCATTTTTTAATGTCTTTCTTTCCCCTCCTCTCCACAGGTTCAACTTGGGCCTCATCAGTACCAGCAGTGAGCCAGCCCAGCCTCCTGCCCCACACCTACGCCCTCCCTAAGCCGCCCACCTTCAGCCCCAGTGTGACCGCGCAGTCGCCCATCATAGGAATAACCCCATCCATCCAGACATCTGTTCCCCCACAGCACCCTCTCATGACGGCTCACTTTCAGCTGACCCCGCAGTCCGCCCAGCAGCTGCCCCCTATGGGTCTGAGCATGCCGGGTCAGTCTCTTTATCCTTCCGCACATCCAACCGTGACTCCATCTGCCCTCGCTGCACAGGGCAACCACGCGATCCATCCAAACCCTCACAGCGTGAGCGGCAACGGTCACTTAACCTCTCACCCCGGCCCCGCCCTACCTCTGACCAATGGACAGGCAGCGGCAGCTCAAGCTCTGCCCTCAGCGGCAGCCATTCAGGACGGTCCTAACGGGCTGCAGCTGCTGCGGACAGTCGGCTCTGGGAAGTACGAGTTCAGTGACCCGGGGCATCCTAAAGGTAAGCATGGCCAACCCAGCTGATAGGATGATTCTTGTTTTTAGACTTTGTAAGACCCACTGTACTCTAAATATAGACCCTGTTACATCTCTCTTTGAAAGGCCGAATCAAAGCAGATCCGTTCAGACAAAAACCTGAGCTCAGAGGAGAATCCAACCAGAGAGCCGTTAGGTATTAAATCAGTGCACTCTAAGCTCTCTGTTCCTTGTGACCTCTCTTTATGTGAGGCCGTGCTGGAATGAAACATCGAGTCCCCTCCCCTGCCCTCTGTCTGTGTACCAGAGCAGTTTCAGATGCCAACAGTCATAAACAAGACAGCAAGCACCAAAGCAAGGGGCTGTTAAAATAAAACAAGAACCACTTTATTTCAACGCTGCTCCAAGGTCTCAGAGAACAGAGGTGGACCTAAAACAACCTCTAATGCTGCTACTGTTAGGTGGATTTTTTTTTTGAGAGAGAACATTTGGTTCTGATCTTCAGCTGGCATCTGAACCGGTGTGCTCTGAAATTGGTTGAAATAGTGTTCTTGGCAGGAGAACTCAAAAAGGAAGAGAGCTTTCAGTCTCTGCCCTCTCTGAATCACTGCCTCTCTCTCTCTCTCTCTGTGTTTGTAGAAGCTCATCAGAGCGGCGACTCACACCCGAATCTGTGAGCCGTTTCACCGTTGTTTGGTTTAACCTTGGGAGTTTATGATGCAGGATGTCAGAAACAGGTGCCTGCTATTCCCCCGACCAATTTTCACATTTAATGAAGCTTTTAATTTAATTGGATTGTTTTCTTTTTCCCCGACTCTTTTTGATCAATAAAACATGTGCGAATGAACTCGCAGATTGTAGAAAAGCAATTATGGCGGGAGCTGCCTGTGATACATAGAAATGAGTCTGCAGGTAGAATTGGAAACGGATAATTGGACAAATTCATATGTTGGTCCAGTCCGGTGTGTTGAGCGTTACCTCCATGTTGAATGGGCTGTCTTCATCTATTAAAGACGTACATGTCAAAATACATTGATTTTACAGGCCGGAGAAGCTCACGCTTAATTGGAATCACAATATTGACAGAAAAACCGTTCCAGAGAGGGGAAAACAAACTAATGAAAGGTGCTAAAAATCTGAGAATTTGCCTGACGTAATATTGACTAAATCTTCTTTGGGCTCAGATGGCATTTTTCTGTACTAGATAAGACAGCTGAATAAAGACATGAAACTCCAAGAGGAAGGATCAAGGCTAGGAGTCGAACATGCAACTATCAAGGACTATTATCTGCTTATTGAAACTTACAGACCTGCCTGTATATTTAGTTTTTAAAGAGGTAGAAAGCTATTCAGGGTCGAGCTTTGTTCACTGCTGTCCTCAGTATCTCCACACAAACGCACACAGGGTTGATCCTGTCCTTAAGAAACTGAATATACACAGCAGGTCATGGGTAGAGTTTAATGAAAAAATAAAGAAAAAAACCTCCCTGGCAAACTTTACTTTACTTATCCATTCAGAGTGAAAGTAGCTGAGGTGAAAGCCAAAAATAAGCGACTGACTGACAGGTGGAACATTTTGAGCAGCCGGTAAATTATCGTCCTGACTGATTTCCAAAATATTCTCATGTTTATGCAGCAATTTTAACAATTTGTTCAATTTTCTCGGAGTAGGCTGCACTGAAATCCGTCATATGTGTCACGTTTAAGGTTTTTCCATCCATATGGTGAACAGATTTAAGTCTATAGACACAACTTTTAAAATATACCAAAATGCAAATGAGTTCTTGTAACTTTTTGACCTGGGTCTTCAGGGAGCTGATGGAGCTGTGGAGCTTTTATCTAGCTGCACAACAAGCTGCTGGATGTGTGCATGCGTGAACAAATATGTGTGTTGTTGCACACTTGTCCAGGTTCTCAGGTGTGACTTCAACCCAAGAATGTGCGGATGCTGTGTCAGATGTCATCCTCGCAGCCTGAAAGCCAAACAGCACAGTGACAGAAATCAGACTCTGTGTTTGATTTGCCTGCAAAGGGAGCAATTTATTTTCACTCTGCATCAGTGGGCACATCAACAACTGTGTGCTCCCCTCTGTGTGGGAGTGTGTGGGCTTTTTTTTCTGCACTTCTGTTTACAATATATAGTGACTTTCTTTGGATATATTTGTGGGAACGCCATATGTTTGTGTGTATGAAGAGAACTGCTTGGAGGCAGCTTTAACCTCATCACCTCCTGAGATATACGTACCTTTGTCACCTCGCTGTGATCTGCCTACCTGCTTTCTCCATCCACAGCAGAGCTCTTTCATCATAGCTGCTTGTCAAAGTGAACAAATCAAACTCCAAACCATCTTTTTTATTGTTTATTTTTTTCTGTCACACATCCCACTCCTCTCTCATCTTTTTGTTGTTTTCTTTTCACTGAAGAAAAGAGAATCTGGGCAAGCTTTAAACTCTAAATAATCTTTATATAAGCTGGTAATATAAGATAGCTTACACTGAGTTTGGGGGAAAAAACAACAGAATTTGTCAGATAGAGATAGATAAGACAGAGAGGCTGTTGTAGGGCTGGGCGATAAACCGTAAATTTACAGATACTGAAATTAACTACAATAATCTACATCATTTCACCCACATCAATATATTTTAATTCTATTGAGACGCCCACATGTGCGGTACAAACAGTTAAATGTCAGAAGATCATCTTTAGGAATTGTTTTTAAGTCTTTTACTGAACTTAATGTCTACAACATCAGACACAAAATGGAAATGTAAAACTAATGCTATGATGTATGCATGCTCATAGCTCCATGCTGGAAAATGACATAAATATGCCATCCGGCTGCAAAGTAGGGCTTGGCGATACACCGAAAATTTATCGATACCGAAATTTATGACAATAACCGAAGTCATTTTGTCCATATCAGTATATTCTGTGTCAAAAATAAATAAATAAAGTTGTTTTTGGGTGTGTGTGGGTAGGCTATGGTCTCATTTCCCTTTATGACGCTGTCCTAAGTCAGAGACGTGACTCCACCCCATCCAGTCTGTAACAAAGAGCGAAAGATAGGTGAGGAGATGGAGGGAGATTGTGGGAGGGGGTGGGAAGTTATCGTCCATTTATCGTTATCGAGGTGAACTGCTCAATATATCGTAATATTGATTTAAGGACATATTTCCCAGCCCTATGTAACTGAAATGGACAGCTGTCTTTATTGCAGTGCAGAGACCTCACTGGTCTGCACAAGATTGACTCTCTTCTTTCACGCCCGTATATGCACGGGTGTGAAAGAGAGAATAAGTGCAAATGCAAAGTTCTCAGTGAAGGACCCAAGTGTATCTCAGCTGTCTCACACATGCAGCGCCGCCACGCTGCCTCTCTTCACAAGAAGTTTGTTTTCCAGTCAGCTTGCATGCACAGTCATCAGGGAGCGAACAGCTCTGGAGCTGCTGGTGGATCCATTAAGATGCCTCACTGAGTTAAGATCATGTGTGTTGGTCGGTTGCAGAGGAGCCTCACATCCAGAACCCCCTCACCTTTTCCTCCTTTTCTCTCTTAAAACTCTGGCTTTGATAAGATTTGAATTATGTCCATGCTTATTTTCCTTGTATACCAGGCATATTGGCGTCAATGTATTTTGTCTGGTTGTGTTGTTGCACATTTCAGCAAAATTGAATAAGATTTTGGGGTTCTTCCTTTTACACTTTTCATGTCTTATCAAAAGCTAATTGAAGGATAAGTTCACCTTGGTAGAGGTTGATGTTTCTGGATATGAAATGGAAGTTTTGAGCAGATTTCATTCTTTCTCACTGTCTGAAGACTTCAGTAGCGATTGTAGGGAACGCACCATTGTGAGTACTTAAAGTGGCGCAGAAATATTCATCCTTATTCCACCGCAAGAACACTCTTCCAGCATGACAGGCCTCTCAAACCAGTTTGCGATACTCGCTCTCTTCTTCACTTCCTCACAGCGAGAACAAAATAACAGTCTTTTTTCAACATCACAAATAATACTGAATCTCCCCTGAGGTTTTTTTTTTTTTTTTTGGGGTCCTTTTCCTCTCTTGAACTGTCGGCAGCTTTACTGCTTGACTGAAATGGAATTCACAAGAGCTGCAGAAGTTGTAAATTATTAATGAGTTTGAAATTTATTCCAATCACTGCGTTCACTTTTCACAGGTAATGCTCTTAAAAGGGGACCTGCAGTGCACTTTTGGGTAACTTTGACACTTGAGTCCATATTAATGATATTGACTCAAACATCTTGTCGTAGAAGATCAGAGTTTATAGATGTAGCTGGACTTTTCCTAACAATGACTCCCTATGAAATATTTTCATCTCAGGGGAAAGCAAACAAAAAAGGAGAGAAGAGGACACTTGAGGTCAGCTGTAAGCAGCTCTCCCTTCTTCTCTTTCTCCCTCATTATCGTATTTTAAAGCAGAGGAACCCCTCCAGCAGCCCCGTACATTATACCCCCTCACAGCTAAAACACGGACGGCGGCGAGCTCATTAAGATTTATCATCCCTCATCCACCTTTTCAGCGTAGAACGCCACACAGCCTTCATTAATCACCTGCGTTTTCAAGATAAAGCTCAGCGGCGGCTCCGTGGCAGGACCGGGAGCGTGACAACCTCGGCTGCTATGCACATAATCACAGCCGAGGAGCAGCCACAGGGACCCCTGCCACGCTAGATGAGACACCACGTCCACGCCTCCCTCCCTCCTCCATACTCTCCTCAACTTATACCCTTCTATTCCTCTCTTCCCCATGGGTCCTTCTCACTGCAATTTTCTATCCGTTTATTCACTCCATCACGCATGCTGAGCGTCCTCTCCAGCCCCCCCTCTGTGCTAACATCCACCTGCTTACCCGTACCTACTTACAGCTTCTGCTTTTTCTCTCTTTGTGTACCGTTTTCATTCCCTGTATCTCCTCTGCCACCTGTTCCATGCTTTTATAACTTTCTCTCCTCCTCACTTATTTCTTTGCTCCATTGATGCCGGAGTTATTAGCAGTCTTCTGATCACCTGCATGGAATCCATAATCAGTTTCATAAGATCTACAGAGGCTGATGAAGTATATTCTTTAATACCAACATGTTTGTTTTTTAATATACAGCACTATATTAGTATTTTCATCCACAACCGATTATAAATACATGAGTAAGAATTGAAGCTGGGAGCTTTCATATCATGCATTAAATATGAAGTCGTGGTCTCAGACTGGAACAGCGCCCTAAAGGGTACACTGGCCTCGGTTTTGTTGAGTCAGATTGATTTGTGTGCAGGGCAACGTCTAAGTTAAGGAAGGTTTCGCCTCAGATGGTTCTTGAATCTCAAGCACTTTATATCTGATGTGATGGAGCAAGTTGCTGACATGTTATTCCTCACATCAACCATTATATAAGTGCTCATGCATTATTAATGAGGCTATGTAAATACAACAATTATTGGTCAACAGTGGATGTTTCTCTCTAATGAGAAATATCATGCCATCTTGAAGTTTTCTTATCAGTAATGATGTGATTCCATAGACATGGAGGTCATAGTAGGGCTGGGCGATATGGCCTGAAATCAATATCACGATATTTTGAGCAGTTCACCTCGATAACGAGAAATGGGCGATATCTTCTCCACAAGCTGTTTACCTCTTCCCACATTAACTTTGTCTACTTCAGCCGCCGCTCCAGCCGCTACAACTTTTGAACCGTCCTCCATCTCCTCACCTGTCTTTCCCTCTTTGTTACGGACTGGATGAGGTGGAGTCATGTCTCAGACATAGGACAGCGTCTTAGAGGGACATGAGACCATAGCCTAAACTACACACATCCAAAACCAACTTATATTTATGTATTTGACACCGAATATACCAATATGGACAAAATGACGTTGGTTATTGTTGTAAATGTCAGTATCAGTAAATTTTTGGTTTATCACCCAGCCCTAGCTCAAGGTGTTCTTAACAAGGGGTCACAGAATCTGCACATGAGCTAGCACCACCAGCCTTAGACCCCATGTCCACATGGGCGGGTTGCAAATTGCTCCTGTCCAGTGATAGGTCTACATACAACATAATCTCCATTTTCCAGATCAAAATACTGCTAAACTGCACCTTGCTACAAGATGCCAAGTATAAGGGGAAAAAAAGTATTACGGTTGTAGCCACTTACCAGATCTGCAACCCCAATATCCACACATCCAAAACCAACTTTTATTTATGTTTTGTTTGTTTTTTTTTTTACACTGAATATATTGACATGGGCAAAATGACCTTGGTTATTGTCGTAAATTTTGGTATCGGTAAATTTTCGGTTTATCGCCCAGCCCTAGTTCATAGATGTGTTTGATTATTATATGCAGCCTGCTGTCATATACCATAAAAAAGTAGTTCAATATAGAGTTAAACTTGCAGTATATTACAACTCAGAATGAGCGCCTGTTGTATGCACTGAAGCATGCTGGGCACAGTCCAGATTCGTAGGTCAATCCAGTTGTCTTTCACCGGGGAGGGGGAAAAAAAAAGTCAGATGAAAAGAAGAAGAGTGAAAGCAGTGCGATGAAATACAAAGATTACTCGCCTGACTCCACCTCAGGCTCCATGAGCTCTCTCAGGTGTGCAGTCTGCTGAGAAGAGCCCCACATACAAGCTAACCCCAGCATTAACCTTTCTGCTGCGGCTGTTGTGACTTTCACAAAGTTACCCCCATAAACACGCTTTGTCTTCAGGGGAGATGTGACATTCATCTCACGCTGCTGACATTAGGATTTTTTTTTTTTCGTTGTTGTCGTTTTGGCGTGGAGTCGGTGTGTGTAGCTATCCTGCTGTTGAAGGTCAACTTGGAGGAGATGTAGCCCACAGAGGCGAGCGTCCTCCATGTGCAGAGCTGGTGCAGAATGTACACAAACCGAACAGATAAACACAGCAGAGGTGTTAACACGAGCCAGAGAGCAGATCTACGGTCTCTCTCTCGATCAAACACGGGTCTTTAAAACACCTGGATTGTTTGGTATTTGTTCGAAACATGACTTTACGGCTGAAGGTCACATCTCAGCCTTGTTAGTTTATCCTCAATAGTTTGTTTGTATATCTTTGAAAGGTTTAACTGGATTGATTTCGCTCAATCAGCCTCTGAGATTTGTTCTGGAGCTTGACCCTTGTAGGGATTTCGATAAAGTAGTAGCTCTGCTTTTTTAATGAATAAGCAGAATAGCGGCGTGTTGAACACCCACTCAGTTCATAATAAACCCCCTCTAGGATGTTATCTACACATACCAGCAACTTTCTATTAACACAGCATTTATTATTAGGGTTATTCTCAGAAGACACAGTTTGCCTAAAGTCAAGTGTGTGTATTTCTAGATACGTTTGTCTTTGTTTTTCTATGACTGGCTGCGTGTGTGTCTGTTTGCATCAGTGCATCATTGTGTTCGCGAATTAATCTGTTGTGACATTGATGAAACGCTGAATTAGTGTCATCTGTTATGAGCGAAGTTTGACAGCTGTGTCCTACATAATGCTTTTTTTTTAAAATGCTACTCCTGCTGCTATTTTTACTGAAAAAAAAAGATCAAGGCTTAAGCGCATTTTGGGGGATAAAATAAGGCTTTCTGAGCAGGCGAACTTGTACTCCTTCATGTTTCCCAAAGCAGTTCTTATTCAAAGTGAGAAGTTCTTGCTCCTCAAAGAACTTCCTGCATAGAAATGTAAAAGCATAAGAAGTTTTGATTCATTAAGAGATAATAAAGAGCCAGGACCATGACCATCACAAGTATGGAGACCCTCTTTATCCACATTAAACCAATCATACCAGCCTTGGGGTGGATTTGTTTGTAATATTTTAGATTTGTTGCACTAAAATGTGACTTTTATGACGCAGAGCATTTAAAGTTTGTCAGCTTTTTCACTCAAGCACTTTCAGAATCAGCAATTTGGTGACTTTTTATGAAGGGAACAGTTTCCAAGAAAGAAAAGAAAGAGTATCCTCTCCCATCTCTGGAGTGTTTATGGTTTTAGGAGCAGTATCTCTGCGATGGGCAATCTTTCTGTTAATATACAGCGGTGTGAAATGACTATCAGCCACAGAGCCTTTCTTTGAGCTATAATGTCATAACTGCAGCACTAAATGTAAATGTAATGGCGCTTACAGCATCTCTCCTAACCTTAATGCATGCAGTGTATTCCTATTGTATGTCATTAGCAGCTTTTTTGCATTGAAAGAGTCCAGTTTTTTTTTTATTTTCCCACCGCCCCTGAAGGCAGCATGAGGTACGATATTGCTCTTCTTTGTTGGCCATAGGCGTCTCCTCCTCCTAAAACCTATTCGAGAGGAGTTTGACCACTTGTCACCTTCTGTCCCTCAAGGCGGTCTAATGAGGAAATCGCTGCACCATCCAGGACCACATGAAAACAAAGAGCAACACAACACTGCATGACATCCTGTCACAGTGTTACAGCGGGCCAGCAGAAGCTCCCAGAGCTCTTTGTTTGTGTACCTCCTCCTCTGAGCCCTGCTCTTTTATTTCCCTTACCTCCGTTTTTCTGTGTGAGTGTGTTCACATCTGACCTTTGGTTCAGAGAGTGCAGACAGGACAGCGCAGAGCTGTGCTTTCTGCTCCTCCAGGTCTTTTCTTGCATGCTGATTGGAGAAGGCAACAAAGGCCCAGACAGCGTCTTTTAAGGCTATAAGTCGCCGTCTTTCACCCTCCGTCCCCTGTTCCCTTCTTGGCTGGTTGACAGCAACACTGAGGCTTGAACAGATTGGAGCAGGGGGAACGTAAAGCGTCCTCATCATGGACTATTTTATAAGGCTGTATGGAGCCGCCAGTGCCTTTCAGACTGAAATCAGGGCACAGGGACACTCGAGGAGTCTGGAGGACTTCTGAAGGCTGGAAGAGCTGATTTTTCTGGGAGTATGCACAGACTCTCAAAACGTCTGCAGAGATGAATGAGGCTGTGATTGTTTGAGGTACGTTCACACACTTTTAGAGTAAATGTGCCTTGGAAGAAATATAGGCTGGATGAGGTTACACGCATATCTGTAGAATTTGATTCACGAATAGCATCTTTTCTCACAGGAGATAAAGAATTGTAAGTTCATCTTGACATATCAAATCAGCTTAAGTGCCTCTGACCTACTTTTATGCAAAAAAACTGTTGGTGAATTACATCATTGGGATTTCAAACATATACAATGTGAAATGTTGACTTAGAAAATAGACTTTATTTAAAACTTTTATTAAAATAGGTAAATGTTCGTTAATAGTTTTGTTACTTTAACTGATACATATTTCAGTCACAAAATTAAAAGGAAATTTTGATTTTTGTTTTTTATTTATTAAATTCTTACTCTATTTTATTTTATTTTATTTTTTTCTTGTACACTTTTCAAATGTAAGCTTAGTTTGGCCTTGAGTTGAAAATGAACATGACCGTGTTTACTGTTTAATTTTAGGATAAAACATGATGAAAGAAAAATAATGATTAAATACTACAAAAGAAAATAAGTGAATCCGGATATGAAATATTTAGTTTTTTAAAGATATTTCTGTTGCATTAGAAGAAACTTATAAGAGCATTTAGACATTAAGATTAAATAGATTAAAGTTTTTTTTATTTTCCATGAGAAAATCCTCCTTTTTTTCCATTTATTACACCAAACACTGTTTTACTTTTAAAAGGATATTTCTGCTTCACAGAGGGTTTAATAAAATTATACGACGTGTAGTTGCAGAATAATCCATTCTTTATGCATTTTTTCTTCCACATCCTCACAAGATACAAACATTACTATTTTTCATTTGATGAAAAACTGTAATGTTTTTGTCAAAATATAATAAAAATTCTTTTTTTAAGAAAATGAGATGTGAAGTATATTTAGACCTGGAAATTAAGAGGTGTAAGAAAAGAAAAGAAAAATAGTATTAAATTAAAAATTATTAATTGGATAACAGAATGTGTCAGGAATCATTTTCCCTTATTTTTGGGTTTTACCGTATCTCGCCAATTCTCTCCATGGTTTCTTAGTCACTGACTGTTTTTTATTTTAATTTATATTATCATTATTATTTTGTTAGAGTACTTTTCATTAAATTCTACAACATTATAATGTTTCACATGGGAACATTTTGACAGGAAACAAACAAAATTTACACATACTTAACATTCTGAAAGACAAAAAGTTGCAGAAATTAAAAACACACATTTTAATAATTAAAAGACACATCAATTATTTAGCTAAGACGTTATATACGAAAAGGGAAAACAAAAAATTATTAATTGAATAATCCTCTCCTTTTCTTTGCTCTTAAAATCTGTTAAAATGCTTTCTTACTTAATTTTATCCCAATTTTTGTATATATAGATGTTTTTCTGCTGTATTTTGGTGAGGTATTGTTTGAATTTATTCATAATTTTATGGCAACCTCATCACAATATGATAAAGCGCTATAAATTAACTTATTAAATATCTCAAAAACCAATTTGTTGTTGTATTTCATGCTTAATTTTATTTATATTTTTCACATTTTGAATGCAAGGACACAAAAAGTCATGTTTCGTTTCCCATGGATACGAAACCGCTCTGCCTTAATGATTCCTTTATGGCCGTCATATCCAGACATCACTACACATTACTCTGTTTTTAAGAGTCATGCAAACCCAGTAATGCTCAAAAGAGTCTCTAAAACACGATCCACTAATGCAGTTGTTCCACAAAATTTACATTATGGTGCAAAGACAAAAAAAATGTCTGAAGAGGTGAATGTCAGACATGTACGACCTTAAAATGGCCTCAAGTTCAAGAACCAATGGTGTGCTGCCTCACCCTTTGACAGCAGCCAATCACAGCTCAGTAATGAGGCTTACTATATCTTATAGTGGGAGAGAACATGGTGTGCTCTGATTAGTCACTCAAAACCACACCCGAGGACTCCATTGGCCCCATCGCTCAGATGTTTTACAGTAGAGTTACTAGGCTGAGCTGCAGAGTCAACCCTGTTTTCATTCTCACTGCGTTCTGTGTCGACCAATCAGGAAGAGCCAGCTCAGGCCCCCACCGCTATAGTCAGCAGCTTAGAGGCAAAAACGACGCTAGCATGTTTTATTACACTTTCTTGCCCATAATATTCTCCTGCATCGACCTCATATATATATATATATACTACCTGTACTTGATGTTTATCTGTGCAGACGCTCCTCAAGAGATTCTTCTTTGAGTATTGAGACGTCTGCTCTTTTTAAGCCGCTGTGGTCTCATTGATCTCGGCCTCAACACACGCCATGCCAAAGCTGAGAATGGGGACGCCATGGGCTGTTTCATGGTCCTCAGTGTTGGTGAGGTTTTTTGGGGGGGGGCACAGTTATATTTCCCATCAGACATTCAGGTGTGTCTGCACAGCTCAGAGGGAGGCGGCCATTGTTTGCTGACAGGCTGAGTTTTCTATCTACCCCCCTTACTTTTTCTTTTCTCCAGGCAAATAAACGGTACCCACTGTGGCTGATTGGAGGTGAGAGCTGTATCGGTCGCTGGGGATTCACTAATGCAAACTTAAACTTACTGTGAGTTCACTATATACGGTCCATCCCTGCACTGGAATAAGAAATGAAGCTGTAGTAAGAGAGGAGGTTGAGGCAGGCCTTGTGTTCGCGTGTGCACGTGCGGCTCACTCTTACTCATGCTGCTCTGCATCCTCTCCAAACACAACAGTCATGTTGTCAAAAACTGGATCTTTTGTTGTGTTTTTCTTCTCCTCTGTATTCAGCATGTTGAATAACCAGGTCGTTTTCTTTCTGCTCATTAATTCTCTGATGAAAAATTCTGAAAGATGAAAAGGCTTTTTTTTTTTTTTTTACCAAAGCTCTCCTCTGAATAGCATCTTATTTGTCATGTGTCTTTATTCTGAGTAATTTCTTCTGCTGAGTGAGTTCAGAGCTGAGCTGCGTCAGTGTCAGTCAGGAGAATAAGGTGTTAAATGAAAGTATTTTTCAGCCTAATAGAGGACCGAGTGTCTTTCTGGGTAAATTAAATCCTGATTTGAGTCCAGATTCAACCTAGACCAACCTCTTTATTTCAGTGTCACTGAGAAGACTCATAAATATGGTCAGTTTTTCTGCATTAAATAGCTCCTTACTCATCTAAATCATCATATATACATTTATTATCTTACCTAGCTGGCAATATGTGCCTTTCACACAATTAGATGTTCACCATGCAGCCTACAGTCTCTGTGAAACCTAATTTATTTAAATCATCCGGCTCCCTCTGTAATCATCTGCTTTATTGTGTCTTTAGCTCTTTATTTGAATCTCTTAGTATTGTCTTTGAGTAGATTAACGGAGCTACAGTGTTGGTTATCCTTCCTGCGGCTGCAGAACAAGCCGCTCGTCTCCCGCTGATTTTCCCCTCTCAGCTTCGCCTCATGGTGCCTCATTAAGACGCCGAGAAACAAGAACCTCCGACCCGACGCTACTGTAACACCAGGCCTGACATGAGGCTGTTACACCGCATTATACAACTTATTGTGGCGTCGAATGGGGCGGTTTGCACCAAAACATTTTTTTACATATTTGCTTTCAAACCAGACGGGAGGGCAAGGATGGGTGGAGGGTGTTAGGATTTGGCAATAAGCTGTTGTTTTCTCACCGAGCGACGTCTGAAGGTCAATTCTCTGTCAAGCAGAGCACTTGAGAGAAGCCAAAGAATTTGACTTCATTGTATGAATAATGCAGCGACAGTCTGTGTGTTTTTCTTAGCCCATATTCAGCTTCTTTCATTACAGCTGAACCACTGCTGTGAGCATTTATTAAAGTCGAATATATTTATCTAATAGTCTCTTCATGGCAATGATAGTTTTTGCTCTCATTCTCAGTCCTGTTTTTCCCACAGTGGGTTTGTATGTGTATATCTAGGGATGCACCGATCCGATATTTGGATCAGATATCAGCTCCGATATTGATGAATTAACTGGATCGAATATCGGATGAATGATGCCGATCCAGCGTTCCGATCCAGTTTTTTTTTTCCTTTAAATTAATTTATCTTTTAATACATGAAAGTTTTACTTCTTTTTGCTGTGTGCTAATGTGCAATTTGTTATTTGTTAATAAATAATATTAAGTAAATTTTAGGGCTGTCAATCGATTAAAATATTTAATCGCGATTAATTAAATTTTGATCATAATTAATCATGATTAATCGCAAATTGATCGCGTATTTTTTATCCATTCTAAATCGATCTTTTTCAAATTGTAATACTTTTATCAGCATGAGAATCAACATGAGAACAGATCGTGGATTTTCGTGGTAATGGTGGTCCTACAAGGTAATTCATATGTCCAGTCATTGGATGCGATCCGTATGATTTTACGCAGACCAACATCCTGCGCAATGCTAATCGGCTGACAAGCGGTAGCCACCCATTAAGCAACTGCTGTTTCAAGTTTGCGTACTCCGGCGGTAACTAAATTCAGCTCGGCAGGAAACAGAAATGACTTTTGTCCTGTCAAGAGAGCCACCTGGCAAGGCTTTGTAGCTGAACTTTCTGTTTTTTTCCTGATTCGCGAAACTACGGAGTGCCCCGAGGCTCACATAGCCTGGACACCTCACCAACTGTTCCTCTCCCCTTTTACAACGGCAAGAATATCCACACAGTGTGTGTATAGTTTGGTCAAGCCAGGCTAAGGCTTGCGTAAATCGTGCGTCAAAAAATCGGTATCGGATATTGGCCAATACGCTCAGCCCAGGTATCAGTATCGGATTGGATTGGGAAAAAATTGATCGGTGCATCTCTATGTATATCTCAATACTGTAGATAATTTCTTTATTAGCATGCACATTTTTTTGTGGTATATCTTTGTTCATGCCCTGTTCTGCATTTGCTGAAGTGTTTGGCCAAATTTGCACATGACACTACCGATGAAAAATTCCTTAACGTACCACACAATCAGCACTTTTTTAACAAATTGTTCTTTTTTTTGTCGTCTTGTTGCTCATGACGGTGAACGATTTCTAAACCCAAATGTGGTGTTGTGTTTCTTTTTCTTGTCCTACAGAGATGTTGAAGGAGCTGAACCAGCAGCGCAGAGCGAAAGAGTTTACAGACCTGAAAATAATAGTTGAAGGCAAAGAGTTTGAAGTCCACCAAAATGTTCTAGCTTCCTGCAGCTTGTATTTCAAGGACCTGGTGAAAAGGTTTGCCTTCTCCTCCCTCCTCCTCCTCCTCCTCCTCCTCCTCCCACCAGCTCTTGATCCAATCTGTTCTTTTCATAGGACGCATTTGTGTCGCTTTTTTTCCCTTCCCCCCTCTCTCTCTCTTGCAGGTGTGTGAAGACTTTGGTTCCTATCACAGGGCCAGCAGCCATTCCTTCTTCTTCCTGCTCGAATGAATGTATCTGAAATCAGAATCAAATGGAGGTCAAACCTCCCCATCACCTTTTCTCCCCTTGTAGGGAAATTTAACCACATTCAACTCACCAAAAAGACCCGAACAAACCAATCGGCATTTTACACTTTAAGTGGTAAATCACCAAAGACATGCTGTCGTCTGTGGGCGCAGGGATTTTTGTCTCCCAAGCTGTTTTTTTTTTTTTCTGTTGGTAATTGTCGAGTTGCAGTACAGCCTTTTCAAATGCTAATACACCTGGATTAGTGTAATAAAAAGACATTTCAGAGTCAGAAGCTGAGGGAAAATAAGCACATTTAAGGCTGCTCCACTGTCACAGGTCGTCAACCCCCTTCAATGATATTTTTATTTGATGGATCTTAATATTTTTTTTCAGTTTTCTGCCTTTCATTCGCCATATTTGTCTTCTTTACGTCCTAATTTGTTTCTGTGAGTGTCCGTCTGCATACAGGTGTGTGTGAAAGTCTGATACAAATCTCCTCTGTCTCTCAAATGTGTGTGATTTACCTTCTTATCAATCAGCCTTTTTCTCCTGGAGAGGAAATGCCATAATTCTCATCCTTACTTTAAATCCTTACAGGTGTTTTTTTTGGCTTGAATGAAAGTCACCTCAACCCCTGAGGTTGTTTTGCCAGCTTTAGTTGCACGTGTGTGTGTTTGTGTGATGATAGATTATATGTTTGTTCTCGTTTACATGATCATGGTTGAAGTCAGCAAAGTTGAAAACGAATATTAGATGCAGTCTCTAGCTGTAGACTAAATGCCTAACAGAGATAGCTGCCGATTCAAACTTTCTGTATGAGTAGATACCCAGAAAAAGGAACAAATATGCACTTTAAGAGTAAAACATCTCGCTAACTATGAACCTGCAGGTCTTGCAAAGCGTCTCTGAGCACCATTTTATTCCAAATTGTCCATTCAGCGATCCTGTAATCACATCTATATGTTGGTTTGAGCTTTAAACCCTCCACATAGGGCTGGGCGATAAACCAAAAATTTACTGATATTTAAATTTACGACAATAATTGACGTCATTTTGCCCATATCGGTATATTCGGTGTTAAAAAAATCAATACATAAAACTTGGTTTTGGGTGTGTGTAGGTAGGCCATGGTCTCATGTCCCTTTAAGACGCTTTCCTACACCAGAGACGTGACTCCACCCCATCTAGTCCATAGCGGCTCAAGTAGACGAAGTTAATGTGGGAGGGGGTGAGCAGCATGAGGAGTAGTTATCGTCCATTTTTCGATATAGAGGTGACCTGCTCAATATATCGTGATATTGATTTGAGGCCATATCGCCCAGCCCTAGGACCAAATATACATTTGAAGAGTAAAACATCTCGCTAACTATAAACCTACAGGTCGTACAAAAGATCTCTGAGCGCCATTTTATTCCAAATTGTCCATTCAGTGTTTTTCTTCTCATCCTAATGACCCTGTAATCACATCTATATGTCGATTTGAGCTTTAAACCCTCCACCTATCACTCCGTCCTTCCTGTATCAAACCTGATGTACCTGATAAACCCCAGCTGTGGAAAAAAAATTGTTTACTTTGATCATTTCTTGCTGATACATGATGTGACAGCGACAGAAGATGTCAATGCAACCATTTTTAGCCCAGATTATGCAGCTTTGCATTTTGTCACATCTCTACAGTGCAAGTACATTCACAAAATAGATGGTCATGTAAGAACAAGCTAGATGTAAACGAGCTTTTTAGACTGAAGGTGTGTGTGTGCGTATGTGTGTGTGTGTCGGTGCGCATATGTGTGTGTTACAGCTTCCCTCCTTTCTCTCCATCAGTCCGACACTCTCTCTGCTGATTTTAAGACTCCCTCTTGAATAAGTGCCGCATTTTTCGCAAACAAAATTTCTTTGCCTGAGTGTGCCCATCCTTTTTTCCCCTCCCGCTTCATCCTCTCTCTCTCTTCTCTGTCTCTCAAGTGTGCATCTAGATGTGGCACAGATATAAAGCTCCTTTTAGAAGCTCAAGAAAACCTCTTTTCCTGTCCATAAGTGCTCAGATAAACAAACCCACCGCTCGGGCGGGTTCTTGTTGCACCAATTAAGCAGGTTGATAAGTGTGCTTTTCTTTTCTTTTTGCACTTTTTCCCTCCACTTTTCCCCCCCTTCATTACTTTAAGCCTGGATGACACCCCCCCTTCCCCCTTTTACTCCCACTCCTCCATAACACTTGATGGCTTTTTGCTTTGCAGAAGGAAAGAGTAACTACCTTGGTGTGTCTAGCCAAAGTCCATCTAGAGACAAATGCCTCTGTCTTTGATTTTATTTTTGGATGTCCTTCTCCCCTCTCACCTCCTGAGTGCTCTTTAAATTGACAAGTAATGTCTCAGTTCATACACCACAGGCTGCTGATGAGGGACAAAGATCCTGTTTAGGTGTGATGGTTGATTTTTTCAGAGGGGGTGGGATGGGTATCATCTTTTATCAAAAAAGTCAAAGGCACAACCCGACCCCTCCCTCAGAAGGATGGCTGCTGGCTCCCTGTGGAAGAACCGTCTCACCCTGCCTCCTTCCTTTTTTGCTCCCTCCTCATCCTCTCCCTCCACCTGTCCCTCATCTTCAATCTAACCATTTCAGCCTGTTTGTTTCATGAAATGCTGAATGTTTGTCATGACTTCTAATCCAAGAAAAAGGAAAAGGCACCCACATGCGTACACACATGCACACATTAAGAAGAAAACAGACAAAGCTGTGTCTTTGTGCTGCCATGAGTGACAGAAGCAAACAGCCTCCATCCGTCTTAATGGAGCCTATTTGTCAGAGTGATATCCACAGACTCAGGAAAAGAGACATAGTATGCGTTCTGCAGAGCTTTGATTCCATTTATTTTGGCCTTTAGTGGATTATTGTTTCACATGGGACATTAAACACGGTGCTGAGGTGTTATTTAGCCGCTCTTTGGGGGATACTGCATGTGTACTAATATCTGCCATTCGATCCTGGTGAAGTCAGCGCATGGCTCAGCTCTGAAAGCTGTACTCCCCTGCGCTCATCTCAGCCTCTGCATCATGAAGGATCATATTGTCGTTAATATTCTTCTACATACACTCTCTGGCACCTCTTATACCGGGCCTGTCTGAGTGGATACTCTGATATCTGACATATACACAGCAGCCTTGTAGACCCACTAAAAGCAAGAGCTCTCCACTCGAGCGCTTTTTAACCAGCATCCTTCCCACTCGGTCACATTTCACTTTCTTTCTGTTTTTTTTTTTTCTGTCTGATTTGTACTCTGCCATGTATGCATGTCCACCTCTGAAACTATGCATACATGAACACACACTACATGTGAACAGCATGAAACAAAGCAATAATGTTTGTTTGCCTAATCTTTGCTCATAGAGGACATTTTGTTTCAGATGCTGCACCATAGTTACAAATAGAAAAGTAGGAACCATCCAAAGTTCTGTTTCTGTCCCTTTTTAACTTTAAGTTCTTCTTTTGTAACGACTTCCTTTTAATTTTTCCACACTCCCATGCCGGCCCAGGTGTGTCTCAGGTGTTAATGTCCCTGTCTTTATTTTAGCTTCTCTGTTTTTTCCCCTCTCAAATCATCCCTAACTCACCTCTCTCTGCACTGATTGGTTGGTCAGGTCGTCAGGGGAGACGAGGAGCGGGGAGACGCTGGAGCTGACCATGAGCAACATCAGCGCCGACGTGCTGGAGCAGCTGCTGGAGTTTGTCTACACGGGATCGCTGGTCATCGACTCGGCCAATGCCAAGACGCTGCTGGAGGCCGCCAACAAGTTCCAGTTCAACACCTTCTGTAAAGTCTGCGTCTCCTTTCTGGGTAGGTAGATATTAAAGGGATATTCCGGCGTGAAATTAAGTAAGGGTCAAACACACCGTAACACTGAGTTAGACACCCCCTCGAGAGATTAATGTTGCCGACTGCTTGCTTCTTTAGTTATACCAACTTTAGTAACAACCGTACGATAGCAATACACAGCGGTCTGAGGAGCCGTAAACAAACCTCAACCAAAACGCCACAAATAATGCTCAGAACAGCACCTAACTTCATCAACAGTACATATAGGGTCCCAGCCATAGTACTAGCCATCATACATCTTTTTAGCTTTGCCTGACTCACCCACTCTCCTCCAGCAGCCGCTTGTTTGTGGGGGAGCCTGACGAGTCCATCACCAAGTGCAGTGGAGTTCCACAGCTCAAGGAAGAACATTTATGATTATTACTTCATAGGAATGCAAGAAGGCAGATGAACTACCACGTCTGCAGTGCAAAATGATAAGTATGATGATTATTACTTCAAGGAAATGATCTGTTGCACGAGGTGATTGACTCATCAGGGCTCCCCTACAAACAACCGGCTGCTGGAGGAGAGTGGGTGAGTTGTATCTAGGCAAAGCTTTAAAACATGTTTGATGGCTAGTACTATGGCTGGGACCCTATATATACTGTTGATGAAGTTATGTGCCGTTCTGAGCATTATTTGTGGCTATAGAGTGGCGTTTTGGTTGAGGTTTGCATGTGGAGACGTAGACCGCTGTGTATTGCTATCGTGCGGTCGTTACTAAAGTTGGTATAATAAGAGAAGCAAGTGGTCGGCAACATTCATCTCTCAAGGGTGTGTCTAACTCTGTGTTACGGTTTGTTTGACCATGACTTAATTTTACACCGGATTATCCCTTTGAGTGTTTGACCAATCAGAGCTGAGTAAAAAGAAATAAGCTACTTTAATGACAGGTGTTTATATTTTTGGATTGTGAAACTGTTTTCCAGAAACATTTGTTGAACAAATTTAACAGCACTTAAACTGATGAAACCCTCCATCTACTCACATGGCGTAACAGAGAGGTATTTTCAAACAGTCTTTTGTAAAGCTTTGAGCCCTTACTTTGATGCAGCATGAGCTCACTTTAATTTTCTCTTTGTCTGACATTTAAGGGCTGATATTTGTTTAATAAAACTCTATTTTGTCGATGAAAGACCTGTTGTTGCCGTTGTTTGAACAAGCGTCTTTCAGCAGCTGCTGGTTCAGTCGATCCGTGTGTTTTCCCGCTGCTGTTATTGTGTGTGAGCAAACCGCACAACCAAAACATTCCCTCTCCTGTGATAAATGGTCTGGGGCATTAAAAACCTGGTATTACAGACACAGCATCTTAAACACTGCACCCCTCACAAGAGATCACAGAATGTAGAGCAAGCCTCTCCCCCGCTGGCCACGCTATCAGAACAAGTCGTGTGTGTGTGTGTATCTCTGTGTGTGTACGTTTGTTTGTGTATGAGACTCTGAGATCCAACAGGACTTCTTTAAAGTGGCCCCAGCTAATCCCAGATCCTGCTTCCTGACATCCAGCACCTCCTGCCCGGGCAGAGAGCGATCGATTCGTCCTGTTGTTTGTCCTCAGAGCTGTTTTGAGTTATTGTACTTGTGCTCCATTAGTCTCAGCAGATACCCACTCGGCTAGGCTGCCTACTCTTGTTTCTCTGTCTGCTTTAGCTTTTTCTAAGTGATCTTAATAAAATAAAAAATGTCTGAATTTCTTTCCTCTCCGTTCTAATCAGTCTCGCTGTGTCTTCTGCTTCCCTCTCTCCTCCCTCTGCTTGTCTCCGCTCTGGTTTATTGACTGCAGAGAAACAGTTGACTGCAGCTAACTGTCTGGGAGTGCTGGCGATGGCTGAAGCTATGAGCTGCACCGAGCTGCACAACATGGCCAAAGCTTTTGCTCTGCAGAATTTCCCCGAGGTGGGTGCAGATTTTTCATCTTCAAGAGTCTGTTTATTCATTATTATAGTAATGCCTTAAAAATTGTAGGAACATTTTTTAAATGGCTCCAGTTTTACCAGCACTGAGACTCCACTTGGTTTTCCTCACATTGCAGGAGGTAAATTTAGAATATACTTGAACAATTTATGTTTTTTTTAGGGGGTTAAACCTACAGACTAGGGTAACCATATGTCCTCTTTTACCTGGACATGTCCTCTTTTTGGGGGGCTTGTTTGGGCTTGTCCAGAGAAGTTTATAAAATCCTTCAAATGTCTGTGGTTTTGTACGTAAGTCTCTAGTTTGTGTCACGTGAATTTACTGAGATAGAAGCGCGTAAAAGAAACTTAATCTGACCCAAAAAACTCTGAAAATTAGCTTCGTGTGACTCTGTGACTCCACCCCCACATAGTCGTGTCCTTTTTTTTGGGAAAGTCAAGATATGGTCACCCTACATAGACTGTATATAGAATGGACGCCATCTGCCTCCTCGCTGGGTGAAGCCACTGCTAGAACAGCACCCTCTGGTGACGGGCTGCAGTATAGGTCATAAATCCCGCCTCCTCCAGCAATCCCTATGGAGCTGTGGACAAACTTTAGAAATTAATTACACAGAATATACATTTTTCTCCACCCTGGTTGCGATGTTGACATGTAGTTACTGTAAGAGGAGTTATGCTCAAGTCCTCTTTTTTTCTGTATACCTCCATTTTTAAAAGTTATTAGGGGGTCTGCGCCAGTGGTGGTTCCAGGAATGACGGAAGGCGGAGCCAAGTTGTCCAAAGTTTATACAGTCTATGGTTAAACCTTGTGTGCCACTTAAAGAGTTTGATTATTTTGCCTCTCTGTAGGTGGCGAGACAGGAAGAGATTCTGAGTGTGTCCAATGAGGACCTGGTGTCCTACCTGTCCAACGACAGCCTCAACACCAAGGCCGAGGAGCTGGTCTATGAGACGGTCATCAGATGGATCAGACAAGACCCTGACTCCAGAGTGCAGGTAGTTAAAAAGAGAGAGAACTAATAACTTTCTTTTCCTGAAATAGTTAGATTTATTCGTCATAGGTGATGAGGTAGAGCATGTTAGGTTTGAACAAACATCTCTCAATATGCCTGAGGTCAGAGCGTCGTCCGTGAGTGAACATCACCGTGGAGGGAAATCAATTCCGCCTCTAAAACACACCCTTTAGGTCATGAGATGTTTATTGATTCAGACGTAAAATCATGAGGATTTTTAAGTATCATGCAGCTACATCAAAGCGAAGGGGTGATTATTATCTGATAAATCAGGACCATCTGTCAGCGGAGGAGTAGCTTATTCACATAGTGACGTCTTCAAGTCGATGGAGAAGAAGAACCGCCATGTAGCGGCTCGATCCCATTCAGCACAGACCTTCATAATCAATGCTACTTAACAGGCTCACAGTTTCATGAGGTGTGGTTGTCAAGGTTTGAAGTTTTCTCCTTTTGAATTAAACATTTAGTGGTTTAACCGTGATTCATCAGGCGTACTGGGCATTGGAGTGTAAAAGATGTTTTATGAAATATTTAGGGAAAAAATAAAATTTGTGGCGTAACTGAGAGTTTAATTGACATTATAGTTTTGGACCAATCATGCGATCTCTACATCTGCGACATAACCTCCAACCTGCTCTGTCTGGTAGACTCCCGCAATCTAACACTCTAATGGAGAGGTGTAGAGGTGACTCACTCAGACAAAGTAGAAAAAAACAAGAAATGGGACATTTTTTGCAGTTGTCTGAACAGCTTAGTGCACCAGTTCCTCGGAAGAGACATCCAGGTCAAGCTGTCTCTGAAGAGAGAAGTGGAGAAGACGAGAAGAAAGATGGGAGGGAAGAGGGTTAGAGCGAGAGAAGGAAGCAGAGCAGAACAGAAATGAGAGAACGGTGATTGGGGAAAGAGAGAGAAAATGGAAAAAGAGCCCCTGTGTTCAGATCTGATATCCAGCGGATGGCTCCTCTGTGCACAGCCATGACATCCAGACAGCAGAGATATGATTGAGCTTTTGGTCAGGCTCAAATCTCCATCAGTGTGTGACTGAGAAACACAACCAGCAGGCCTGCCAAGGGGACAGAGGAGGCGAGCAGAGAGAGCAAAGTCTTCCCCTAGAGATCATGTGACCCCCCCCCAAGGGTTCAGTTTACACGCATGGTCCAGCATCAGCTCATCATCCCCCACGCACCCGCCCTCTCCTCTTGTTTCTCCTCCTCATGTGGAGTCAGACAGCAGCAGGAAATCACTCCTCCAGAACCTGTGACACTTTTTAATGACATGTCAGGGAGGAATGTCACAGCGCTGCTGGAAAACTCAGGGAAAGAAGGTATGACTCAAAGCCTGGAGCCAAGTTTGTGTGCATTTGCATTCATCTTTGCCTCTTTGTAGGTTGTGTGTGTATATGTGTGTGTGTGTGTGTGCTCAGTGAGTTGTAAGCTGCAGGCTATAGAGTAGAAATATTGAAGGTGCTGGGTGAATAATTCTGTCAGCTGTTTTCTGTCTCTGCTACAGTAGCGTAGCTGTTGCAGGGCCTAGGTAGACCTGGGCCTATGCAGTTGGTACTCATGTTCGCCCATTGAGAAGACTTCTTGATGCACTTGATATAGATGATGTTGCATCTAGGGCTGTAATCAACCAAAATAAACTCTTGGTCGACTAAAACCCTGAAATTTTCAACTATTGGCACTGACTCTGACAGCAAACCCTTCTGGCGGGCGGGGGACGAGCATGGCTTGGCGGAACACAGTTTAGCGGGGTGAAAATATACTGATATCAGCACTAGAAGGCAATGAAACAAATGTATTCTATTCAGCGAACCACCGGACATTGATTAACGTGAACGCTCTTCAGTCTTGAGCTGTTCTCCACAGTGTTGCCAACTACTCAGTAAAGAAAGTCGCTGGTGGCAGTCGTAAAAGTCGCTGCAAGTCGCTAGATGACGTCATCACCTAATTTGCATAATTTCTCTGTCAAACCTACTTTCGCCACCGACCCCCCACCCCACCACCAAGCGGGGGAGGAGGAGTGTCGGTGTCTGTGTTTTTGATGCACACCAGCTACCTGTTGAGAAGAGTAACATCTATTCCTTTATGTTGGAGTCTCTAAACTCCAGAAAAAGGCGCTATATTTGTTGCTTGGCACTTTTTTGAAAATAAGTCGCTAGGGGGTCTGAAAAGTTGCTAAGTCACTGTGTCTCCAGCGGGTTGGGTGAATCCACATTTGTGAAAACAAGGGGGGTGTTCTGAGACAGGCAGTTACCTGTGAAACGGGGTGCTCTGTAAACACCCCCATTAGCACTTGGTACGGTCCTCCTGATGAAATCAAGCATAGACTGTAAATTGATGTGGAAAAAAATCAAGTAAACCAATCAGAATTTTGGTTGACTCAGCACATATCGACGAATAAGTCGACCAGTCGACTAGGACTTTACAGCCCAAGTTGCATTTGTGTTTGTTGAAAACAGGCCTTTGTGTACTCATACTTTATCTAACTTACGTCATGGAGGAAGTGGTTGTCTGAGAAATGAATTCAGCTGTACACTCATCCTAAAGACTCCCTGATGTGAGTCTTGTTCTCTGTAAAGGTGCTGACTGACAGAGACCTGTCCTTCTTCTTATCCGGCAGTATTTAATGTGACGACCGTAGACACATGGCCCCAATTATAACAGCCAGGCTCTGCCAAATGTCTGAACAGGAACTCCATTTACTTTTTTTTCTTTTTACAAAGGATATAATCTCGCCAGGTGACTCCACCTGACAAAAGAGGCCGTTTGACTGGCTCTTTGGAAAGTGGTCGACGAATCTGCGAGTTCAGCGGTCGGATAATGCTGTCATTTTTCATTTTTAATATCAAAAAGGACAGTCATGCCATCAGTAACTACCTGCTGTCTACTCATCAGAAACAGCAACTCTCAAACTAAAAAACTATTGTTAAATATTTAGTATTATTATACCTTTTTTCATAAATAGAGGTATTTTTTGGTCCCTTTTTAAAGATTTGAGTTGACTATTGTTATATAGTAGTGTGTCTTTTTTCTTTTTTTGCCTCCAGCACTCATTAGGAGAAATCATCACTCAGAACGAATGTTTTCATTTTCTAGTCAGAGCAGAAAATAATCAAAGGACAGAGAGGCTTTGAGGCTGTGTGGGGAAATAAACGCAGTTTCATGATTCATTTACTTTTAAAACTACAAATGACCCTTTCACTCCAAGCATCACTTTTAATTTAGTCACTCTCTCTTCAAGCTCCAAGTTCAAAACAGGAGCTATCTATCATTATTACCCTGAAGGAAAGGTCAATTTTGTATTTTGGGATGAGGAGCTTTTTTCACATTCGGAAGAGCAAACTGAAACTGGATGAAACTGTAGGCTGTGGACTGTGTGATCTGTGATGAATACAGACTCTTGAGAGGAGATTTATGATTTATCTTTGCTTCCTCTATATGTCCAGTATCTCTTTCCCTCCATCTCACATGCATGGACTGTACACACACGAAGGAAACTCAAAGTGCACAGGATGTCACTCCCCGTATCTGCGCTCAATCATTTGCACAGGAAATCACAGCCCTGCTACAGCTGAGTGTGTTATGAAGGGAACAGGACTTAATCCAGGCTGCTGAACTCTGGACCATTCACCCTCTTCTGTGTCCTGCGTTATCCCAGTGTGCCTGCTGTCCCAGTATGTGGAGCCAGTTGAGCCATGATCACTCAAGCGCAGTAACCACATTTCCAGAGTGAGTGAGAGGGGATGGACAATGGAAGCAGATTCCCCAGTATTCATGTAGAACAACAAAAACATGCACCTCTATAATATAAAGTGGAAAGATGCAAGATTCCAAGCATTGATTGGTACAGATTGGGGATACACCGATCTGTTTTTTCACCTCCTACAGATATCTACAGTTTTGTATCAGCCAATACCGAACCAATTCCGATACAGAAAAGCTGCGCTGAATTGTCTTTTGTTGTGACCTGAAGTTTTACCACTGCCCCTCAGAATGTTTACTGTGCAGGTATTGCAAGTAGTCATCAACCTTTTAGGCTGAGCTATTGTGATAAAGTTCAAGATAGCAGACCCCTTTGCTCACTCCATTTTGAAAACAATGTGGGCATCCACTCAGCATGTTTACTTGTGGATGCCACTCACGGTGCATAGCATAGAGTTATGGTCCTTTCACACCGGGATCCGGGACACCGAATCTTATTCTCTGCATTTTATTTCTGAAAATATCGGCGAAAATCGGCGAGTTTTAGCCGATTACGGATTAGTCCCAAACGGGCTAAAATTAGCTGATTTAATCCGCTCGCCAATAAATTGGTCGGGCCCTAATTGGAACATTAGTCAGCTGAGCAATAAGTGCCGCTCTAGTCAACCTCCGTTGGAGCCGCCCCTGAGCTCCTCCTCCTCCCCCTGGCCGTTCCGATCGCGGCTGGTCCGATCGCAAATCCCGCCCGGTCCGATGATCAGGGGGGATTTGATTGCACGTCCACCCCCGCCCCCGTTCGACGATCATGGCCGGTCCAATCGCAAACACTATACACAACTTAAGCACACCCACCAGGCAGGCACAAAACAAAATGTGTGCAGCAGCAAAGCAGTCAGAAACTCCAACACAACAACAACCCAACCTGTAACCAACCACAGCAAATAATAAAGGTACTGGGCTTCTTACCTTTCAGAAATTAAAGGCGGGCCTTGATGGAAGCAAAAGTCCTAATAGCATAGCTGTGCCGCCCGTTGCACAAATTATGCCTGCCAGCCACCAACTTTTTTTTCCTCCACATCCCCCCCCCCCCCCCATTGCCGCCCCCTACAATTTGCCGCTCTAATCAGCTGCCTTGTTTGCCTATATGCACGGGCCGGCCATGGGTCCCGGTCCCCATCAATGCTCAAGACTGGGTGCCCAACCCTAATCCCTAGTACAGATATTTTATTCAGGAAGTCAGGTCACCCTCTTTTTTTCCATTAAATGAAATCAGGCTGAAACAGGCCTCTCAGGAGAACATATTGCACCTGTCAGTCATTGCTCAGGGCAGCAATGAGCGTCTGTCGTCTGCCACATCTCCTTCCATCCTTCAGGCTCGTATGCACACATAGTAACGCTGATGCACAAACATACTAACACTCTCACGAGTCATTTTGGAAAACATGTTCGGCTCATTCGCCATGCACGAGCAGACAAAACAGCTTCTGTGTGTGATTACCACACATAAACACACACACACAAACACACACAAAAAGACACTGAGCTGTGGTCACTTCAGCTGAGTGGGTTTGTTAGTGCTATGAGGCTAAACATGGGCATGCGCTCTATTGAACACACACTCGTGAGTCTCTAAGTGTGTGTGTTTTTCAATGTTTACACAGATATGGCTTTTAAGCATCTGAAAACCAATTTTTTCATTTGAAAGCAGATTCATATTCCGATCCGCTCCGAGCAGAAGAAATAGCCGCTGAAATAGCTGCTCATGTCACATTTATTTGACAGCGCAGCCAACACACTCACTTACACACACACACACACAAACACTGGCATTTGGTGAGAGGCGTTAGTCCTCTCTGACAGCACTGAAACAGGAAATGTTCAGTGGACATTTATCATCTCTGTGAGCGGATGGCAGCTCCCTGGCTGCTTCTCTGCTGCCATTGACAGATCTGAGAGGCTCCCTGTTGGACACATTATCCCCACCTTTCACGAGGATCAACCCATTCACATCCTGTGTCAACCTGTCTCATAATGTGTGTGTGTGTGTAGAGGAGAGGTGTCTTGGAGCTTGGCTGTGCAGCAGTAACTACTGGCACCGATGCTTCAGAGCTGTGCCCGTATTCACAAACAAACACCTTTTTGGAGAACTTATAACTTAGCCTTCGCTGAGGAGTGATATAGGAACATTATTAAAGCATCTCAAAGTAGGGAAGGGAACTTTTATCTTATAGAGGAGGAGCTGTTGGGCTAAAAAGGTGAAATGAAATCACAGACTTTGATCAGAAATGGTGCGTCATTACTTTTTTATTATTGTATATCCCTGTTGAATACTTAAAAAGTATGGAGTCTGAAATGCTTGGAAACATATGCTCTCTGTGCATTAGCCTCTTTACATGCTGATAGTTAGATCAGTGTTTTCCACATACATCTGGGCTGGATGCCAAGGTGTAGTTATCGTTTTCCAAGTGTTTTTGCAGACAATTTTGATAAACTAGTGTGTGATCTACATACTTTCTGCAGATGTCTCCTCAATCCAATCATGTTGCATATCATGTTTATTACAAGCTTTCATGATGCTTGTTTTTCTTCGTTTTGCCTCTGCACATCTGCTGTGCGAACAGAATCGTGACCAAAACTGTTGCGTCTTTCCAGTTGTCAAACATTCAGTGTTGTGGTCACTTTAATTCATGCAGATATGGTGTTGTTGTGTTTGCTTTGAGATGTGAGTGCAAACATAATACTTGGTACAGTCCTGTCTGTGTCATGTCATATTTGGAGTGCGCTTCTATCTCAACGTCTGCACTGGAAAAACTCTTAAGCCTCTTAAAAGTCCTCTTCACATCACTTTTTTTCATCTTAGGGGCTCTTTAGAGGGCTGAGATGCTTTGAGGATAATATTTAGTCTCAGAGTGTCTGCCTCTCTGTTTAAAAGATAGAAAAGTGTCATTCGTGGACAAGACAGGAGTAGGGCTGAGCAATATGGCCTCAAATCAATATCACTCCAATATCCCTCCAATATTTATTTGAGTAAAATACAAAAGGGCGCTTTGAGGTTGTTCAAAGACATACGTCTTTCTAAACTGCAAGCTTTGTTGAAGTCTTTAGGGCGTAAACATACACAATTAGAACAGTTAAAAGTTATGCAGAAGGTCGAGAACTGCTCAGTAAAACGGAGAAGTTTGGAGATCATTTATTGATCTGAACATTGAACTCAATTTGCAATTTAAATGCGTGACTGATGTGTTTAAACATAAAGAGGTCGACAAATGTTCCAGCAGAATCGCAGCTTTTCTCTATTTAACAAACAGCAGCTTCATTTAAATGTACAGAGAGAGAAAAAAGCTGTTAAAACTAATTTAAGCTTGTTTGTATTCACCTCAGCTCCTCACGCTGTTTTGCTCTGTATGTGACTGTAGTTTTACCTTTCTCTGCTGAGGCTACTACAAGATGGCTGATGGTAGGGCTGGGCGATATGGCCTCAAATCAATATCACGATATATTGAGCAGTTCAATTCGATAACAATAAATGGACGATAACTACTTCACAAGCTGCTCAACCCCTCCCACATTAACTTTGTCTACTTCAGCCGCTACAACTTTTGAACCGTCCTCCATCTCCTCACCTGTCTTTCCCTTTTTGTTACGGGTGCAGTCTAGTCTCCGACGTAGGACAGTGTCTGAAAGGGACATAAAACCATAGCCTACCTACACACATCCAAAACCAGCTTTTATTTATTTTTAAGACCAAATATATCAGTATGAGCGGAACAATGTTGGTTATTGTCGTAAATTTCGATATCTCTAAATTTTCAGTTTATCGCCCGGCCCTAGTAGGAGTTGAGTTGGACACACGCAGCCTGCACATGCATTCACCCGTTTATTTCCATGTTAGATCCAAGACAGGATGTTTTTTCCTCTCTGCTTAATGAGAACACACCTGCGAAGAGTTCAAACATAGCTCAGTCTGTCCGTAAAGACCTGCACTCTTAACCTGCCAGACTTTGAATTCATCTGCTCCACTCTGGCAGAAGATTATTCCTGACGGAGCATACGCCACTTGTTTTCCATACCACGCATACTCCTTTTCATGGTCACTGATATCTATCCCAGAACTTGCACCTACGTTCACTCACTCGCACTTACATCTGCATTCTCAGTTATCGGCAACGTCTCCAGCCCACTCTATCTGGGCTTAGAGGAATTTCATTTAACATGCAAGACATTAAGTCAAGTAGAAGATGATGAAATTCAAGTGTGTTTGCTTGCTGTTACAAATAGGTGCAGATTTCCTCATGTGCTCCCGGCGTATTTATTTCTGTTGTGTCAATGAGGGCACCACCTGGCTGAGATTGGCCCACATACAGCTTTAATTTAGCTCACAAGGTCAGAGCGGTCAGCTGTGTGGACCTATTCCAGATGACCCGCAGATGCTAGTTTATGTTCTTATGGGCCAGAAAGGAAGAATAAAGCAACAGATTTCATTTTCTTCACTGATTGGATTGGTCAACTTTAGGGATGAGGACTGATGAGCCAATCAGAGGCAGAATGGGGCGGGTCATGCCGCGGGGAATATCGCAAACACCTCAGTGCCACTCCAGTTGATTGACAGGTCACTGCACATCTCCTTGAAAGATGTGCGGAAATGCGAGAAAGGCAGTAGTTGAAGTATTTTATTAATAAATGTTAATAAATGTTTAAAAAATAACTAAAACACCATGTTTGCCCCATGATAAACACATTTTGCATTCATCTAGTTTTTCTGGACTACTTGGAAAAATAAAAAAAGGTAAAAATTGAGAGTATACCCACTTCTCCAGGGACCACTACAACACTGGTTAGCAGTGATTTCAATGTATTTAATTTCTATAAACAGGATTAAAGGTCAAATATTTGCTTTTACGATTTGTCTCCACCTGATCTCCAGCATCTATAATGCTGTGTCATAACGCCACAGTAGGTGACGTTGCGGCAGAGTAGGAGAAAAGTAGCTTGTAATAGAAAAGTAAGTAAGCCTGAAGTTTTAAGTCTTCTCCATTTGAGTGTGACATGACTCATAAAAGCGAGGAAACTCTCCCATCATGTGGAGAGTTTCTCCTGAGTCTGTGAATATCTGAGTATGTTTTATAACCTTTTTTGACTTTACCTAGTTTCTCAAAGCTCTCGCCAGTGTTTGTATCAGTATTGAGCTGTAGGTTTCATGAACTACTGGGTGAAATGTGCATGTTGGTGAAGGAGGGGTGCAGAGGGGCTCCATTTGCAGGACTGAGTTTAGCTCCAAGCAGAAATATCACGAGCTGGTTTCCTGGATTCCTGTGGATTCACATCCTTCTTTCCCTTTTTTTCATTTCATTCCACTTTAGTTTTTTACTCTTTTCCACCTTCTTTTCTCCCCCTCTGGGTCTGAACTCATCTGCTGCACATACCCATCCACCCTCTACTATTCACAGCAATTCTACTCATGTGTTTCCCTCCACCCTGGTCTCAGGAAATCGGTCTCAAACAGAAGAGACAAATGTCCTGGTTAAAAAAAAAAGGGGTCTCAGGTTAGAGAGGAAGATGCCTCAGTTCTCCTCTGTTGGTATGTTGCTCCCCCTACTGCTGCCTGGTCACTTTGAGCTGTAGGGTCAGCTGGAGTCCACCTTGCCTTATTGTGACTCTGTTCAGGCTTGTTTACAGCATCTACGTAGATCAGACTCCCACGGGGGGCGAAGACTGGCACGTAAAAGCCGTAGACACACACACATTGTACTTGTACACACACAATCAAAAAAAAAAACTTTTGGCAGGCAAAACTTTAAGCTCTGTTGCTATGGAAACAGTGGGTTCTGTCACTGTGTCTTAACGCATTAAGTATAAGCGAGCAAAAATGCATGGAAAGGTGACAATAGAAGCATGCAGACATATATTATTCTCTATATTTGGGGCTTTAAAGCTGTAATTGTGTTCAGTCTCTGAACCTTTGGCTCGGTGCTGCTGCAGCATCCGTCTTCAGATCCGCTCTCTGCTTGAATGGGTTGTGTTAAACCAGAACCGGGTCTTAATTTAGCTGCAGAAACACATTAAGCTGTCTGTGGAAAGATTTAATTTGGAGAGAGAGGGAACATCAGAAACAGAGGGTGGAAACGGTGAGATGCACCCCTGCTGCCTTGTTCTCAGCTCTCAAAGCGTGACTTAATGCACGAGTATTTAACTAAATCATCGCCGACTGCTTTTTGACTTTTTGTTAGTGAAAAAGTTTGGCTGAAGGTGTTTTGAGTTTTACACAGATATTAAAAAGATTGATCTGTCACCGTCAAGCTTCGTCCTCACATGACTCTTTCTCTCTCTGTTTTGTCTTTCTTCTCAGAGTTTGTCAGATTTGTTGGCGGTGGTGCGTCTTCCCTTCATCCACCCGTCCTACCTGCTCAACGTGGTGGATAACGAAGAGCTGATCAAATCCTCAGAGGCGTGTCGGGATCTGGTCAACGAGGCCAAACGCTACCACATGCTGCCTCATGCGCGGCAGGAGATGCAGACACCCAGGACGCGGCCGAGGCTATCTGCAGGTAAACGCACAAGTGGATGTGTAATAGTCCGGATCAAGTCCTGATAAACCTCAAAAGTTTATTAATGAGAGAGACATTGATATTCCTCTAAACCCTCATATTGATTTTACGTCACCACTGGAAATCAAAGATTCAGAGCTCTGTAATACTTTCCACACAGCAACTGAAAGTAAAAACCTCACACAGGTCATATTTCTACATGTCAGCAGCACAATTTCTTTCCACACTGCTGGAGACGATTCTGATTTCTGCCACCATGAAAACTCAAAAGAGGCCAACTATAACAGCTTCCTAAAGTTTTTGTGGGCTACTGATCCCTGACTCCATCACAGCGAGCCAGCGCATAAACATCGTCTGCCTGGGTTTTAACTCCGGCTCAGCACAGTCAGGTCTGTCCGTGATTTTTGAAGTCATGAGCCAGCGTGTGAAGACCATGTGAAGTTGTAAAAATCCGAATCATTCATGAAGATGGAGGACGCCTGCTAATTGCCTCTGGCTGTGATTTTTTTCCTGCAGGTCATCCAGAACTCCACTGTCTCCCCCCCTGTAAAGAGCCTCCTAATTATAGTGTCTGCATGGTAATATGAGCCTCATAACAACTTACCTTTTAGCACAAGTTAATTTTCTGCTGGGGGGGATTAAGATAATTGGCAAACAAATGGCATTTTATGGAGAGGGATCAGTTTACTAACCAGCACTGTTAACCAGCCACTTTATTTAAAAGTAATATTTGTGTATTTCCTGCATCCCAAAGCCACATTATGCAGGCTGTTGATTTCCAACAACAGAAATCTACTGGTGCACTTGGAGTACAGATAGATAAATAAAGCATAGATCTGAGTTTAAGTGTGTTTTTAGTTTAGTAGTTGGCGTGAATGCATGTTTTGATTGGCCATCTGCCATACTGGACAAGGTATGCTCTGCACAAAGTGGTGTAAGGTCGCTACTAAGGGTGTCACGACACAACTTTTTTACCTCCGATACGGATATTATAGCCCTCAATATTGAGGATACCAATATTGATCCGATATTAGCACAATATTAGCTGTATTATCACAAGCTCTTTTGTTTTCATTTAGATTGACTGTCAGTGTCCCTATTGTACATTTGCTTTATTTTGAAGTATTTAAACTTTGGATGGGTATACAGTATCTCTATCAAATAACAGTGTTTACTTTAAAAGTTGAGGCTAAGATCGCCCAAGAATACTCGACTTGTAGAGCTGCATGTTGGCGAATAAGACTGTGGTTGTTGGAGGTAGCATCTAGGGGTGTCCCGATACAACTTTTGCACTTTCGGTACAATACCGATATTGTAGCCTTAAATATAGGCCGATACCGATATTGATCTGATATAAGCGCAAACTTGTGCGTAACAAGTTTTGCACTCAGCTGCAATGTCTTTTTCGGACTTTAACGAAAAAATACATCACTCCTACTCCTTGCTACTTTGTCTGTACCTTAGTGCACACTGTTGTTGTGATCACATGGGCTCTACATGCTGGATCCAGGTGCTGCTAGATCAGGGGTGGGCAATTAATTTTTACATGGGGCCACATTAGAAACCTGAACTGTGTTGGAGGGCCAAACCAACAACAACTTTAAATCAGGGGGGTTCACATATACAGAAAGGCAAGCCCAAATAAGCAACTACTAATTAAAAACAAGCCCAAAAAACGCACCTGCGACTCACGAGTTTTGCAAGCGACTTCTTAGAAAAACTAGCCTAAAGTAGTTGATAATAAGCAGACTTGGCAACTATAAGGCATGTATGTATATTTGAATGTGCGTCCAAATGGAAATAAAACACCGGCTAGGTTTTCAAAATAAAAGCAACACACTTGTATAGCATGTTGATGATTTGATTGACGGACCTCACAAAGGGCCGGGCAGGGACATCCATGTGGCCCTCAGGCTGTAAGATGCCCAGGTCTGTGCTAGATAGAGGTGCCTAAATGGGGTCTGGAATGGACTGCTTGTATGGAAGTGCTGATGTCAGAGATTTTAGATGCAGGCCGATATAATCTGATTTTTTGTTGATATCGGACAAATATCAATATCAATATCAGAACACCCCTAGTTGCTACAGTTGCTGTGACATAAGGACGTGACCATAGAGAATTTTAAAGTGTTTTTAAGATTTGTGAGAAAGTGAGACAACGTGGAGGAACAGGAGGAGAGGTCAGGAGCTGATCAGAGAGAGAGAGAGAGAGCAGGAAGCAAAACTGAAGGACAGACATTTGATTGAGTTTATACTTTGAGCATGTGTCCTCTTATGTAAGCAATAACAAAACCGAAGTGTGTGTGTAGGTCTGACTGTGCTCAAGCTGATGAGGTACCACCTGAGTGCAGCTGATAAGTCTGTGCAGCAGAGAAAGGAAAGGGAAGTAAAAACTTCTCTCTTTGAGGATTTCTGGCTGATAACAGTCAGTCTGGGAACATTTGGAGATACAGTGAGAGTTTCACAAACTATGGCCAACTGTCACGTCCAAAAAGAGTCATTTTTCTTTGCTTTTTTTTTGTCCCCTGAAGCAAAATTTGAATTATGTTGACTAGCCAGTTTTCTAATTTTGTCTGGTTTTGTGAGGGGTAAGCTGAAAACTTATGAAAGAACAAAAAAGTGAGTTTGTCATTTGAAACAGTTTGAACCAATCTAACTGCCAAAAAATCGAAAGCTCCATTTAAGTGTTGAATTCAGTGGTTTATCCTTTGGGCTTCAAATATCCAAATAATAATTTTTTATTGCGGAGGAATGAAACCAGCCAGATAATTTAAACGAGAACTTCAAGTGTCTCCAATTAGGTGTTTCTTCCTATTGAATTCAGCTGTTCTACACTCATTTAATGTATTTTTTTACTTTTTAGCTCAGTTTTTTATTAGGTGTAAACTTTCATACCATGTGGCTCTGACACATTCTTGCATTTCATCCCATTGTTTCACCCAAAGTGCGTCAGTGCAGAGTTAGTAAAAGTGATTTAAAACAGAAATATCCAAGGCTGGACAACATTTGGACGGAGGTCTTTATTTTCCTCACATATTTAACGTGAGGAAAGAGTTGTAAAATCTGAAATTAATCCTATTAAATGAAGTTTTAAGACACTTTCCTGACTGGAAATGAAGCATCAACCTGGATTATTAGTGTTCTATATATAAGACTCAGGAGGCGGAGCTTAAAACAGGACGGTCCTGGTCAAACTGGGATGTATAGTCATCCCATCTCATTACAATTCCAATTAGTTTTGTACACCGTATGTCTCCATTAGCTGCTAATTGCTACACAGCTAATGGTCCACTCTCTCGTGGATGTGCATCTGATTAGCTGTCATTAGACTCATAAGGGATCAAGAGGATTAAACAGTCAACAAACCAACTTATGTGTGTTTGCTCATAAGTGTTGGTATGCACACTGAGTTCCCATTTCCTTCTCTCCACGTGTGACTCTGTGCTCAGCTCAGAGGAGGGTGGTAAGCACTCGGGCTAAACTGCATTGGGATAGCACTCACACAAATGAGCCGTAATGACGAGGACTCACACACACACACACATTGTTAAACCTCTCAACACTCTGTAGGAGGGTATCCCTAAACACAAGCTTAATTCTGTCTCAGCCTGTGTTTAACTCTACGTTTTATCCTTCTTTATCCAAAAGTTAATAAGTACACTAACACACACACCGGGTAGCAGGATAAAGCAGATAAGAGTTTTGAGTATGCAGCAGGTTCACTCTAGTGTTTCTGCTTCTGCATTTATCTGAGTGATCCTACTTTATACCAGATTACTCCATTCAAAGCTCACTTGTTGCATGTCTTTCAGTGGGATTTAAGCTGCTCTGTACATCTGCTTCAATGTAAACATGAAGTGTTATCAACCATTGGAGACACTACTATGGTGGGATTTCATTACAACAGCTCTATAGAAGCTTGGCTTGCATCCAGTTGGGAGACAATAGCAGCGGGCTATACTGTGAGGTCTGAATCCTGTGGGAGTAACATTCATCTGCTCATCCACACCTCTGTTATTCAGCAGCTCCCCGGAGAGAGAGACTATATCTCTACAGAGAAAGGAGGCCAGGTTTTACTCTTGTAAAAACATAAGTGATCATCAGATGATTCTGCCACCTACATTTAGTCTCGCTGACTATGTCAAATGTTTCCTCAGTAGATCATGAAATAGCTGAATCCAATTCACATTTTTCTTTGTCTCAATAGCAGCAATAAACACGGTTCCTACGCAAGTAATTTGATCAATTTCGAGGTCTTAAAAAGTCTGGAAAATGAAAAATAAAGTATGGAAAAATATTTATGTTAACAGACTACATTACCAAAGTTATAAAATACTGTTTTAGAAATAAAAAAGTAGGTATTTCCAAAAATCACTTTAAAAAGTAGGGTATGAAAAAGTATGGAAATTCCAACTGTGTAGGAACCCTGAATAAAGCAAAGAAAGGAAGAAAGAATGAGACAAAAGTTTGATGTAGAAGTGTAGAAAGTCTGATTTTGGGATTTTCCTGCAGCTTATTAGAGAAGCAAACAGACGGGCGGTAAATCCACATTTACCCTGCAGGTTCTGTCCTCTTGACCTTTTTCCTGGTGGCTGCTGTCAGTCTGAGCAAAGGAAGGGGAGGCAAGGAGAGACCCACTGAGCAGTTTTTGGTCTAAAAGAGGTCTAAAAGACATCTATATGTAGCCTAGATGACTGGTCTAGAATCAGGCCACCACAGTTCTAAAATGCAAGTTTTTGAGACGTCTATATTTAGATCAAGTTGAGACCTAGTCTAAATCTGGGCTATATCTATACTTCACTTTATATTGCTTAACAACTATTATAACTATTTTGGATAAGTACTCGAGGATCAGTTATGCAACTCACAGTTGCTTAAGTAGTTATAGAATAATGGGTTAAAATGCATCGTCTAAATTCCATCTAAAATATACAGAATCCAGACGGTTGAAATTAGGTCTAAAAAAAAACTAGACATCTAATAGCCGTCTATTGCTCAGTGGGGACCTTAACTGTAGCCTTAAAACTTGACTCACTCAGCCTCTTTAGCCCAGAGTTCACAAGAACAAGGATCAGCCTTTTTTTCGCATGCGTGGCTGCTTTACCTTGCACCATGTGTGACATTTAGAAAAGACAAATTCATCAGTCTTGGAAACTGCAAAAAACTCTTATTTCATTCCTTTGTGTTTTCCACACATAGTGCTTTAATTTGTGCCGTGGTTTTGAGGTGTGTGCCTCTCCCTCTCCTTTGATTGAAACATTCAGAAGAGTTAATTATTTATTTATTTTTGCTCTTCAAGTCTACGCTGACTCTGTCCCAGTTATTATGGAAAAATTTGCGGAGCGGTATTTGATGAGATTCCACCGGGGACTAATTATTTGGCAAAAGTTGTTCCACCAAAAACTTTTTATGGCAACATTTGCAGATCATTCAGAGTATCTGGGACACATTTCCAAAAGAAAGATGAGCAGTTGTGGAGTTTTTAATACAACTTTCAAAAGAGAAAACACAAGAATCATGGCTTGACGTCAATTGAATCAAAGTCAGAAGTGAGAGAAACCACAGTTTTTCGGTTTGAAAGCTGAATTTTGTAGCTGGGATTTATTGTGATGTGGAACACCCCTAGGGACATCTGCAGCTGTAAGGACATGCACGACATGCTCTTAAACTTTTTATTTTCAGCCTCACATAGTAACTACCAGGTGTCAGTGTGTGTCAGTACAGCTTCATCCAACTCCACCCAACAATGTCCTTTTAAATGAACCTGCTGCATAGTTAAAGAAAGGTCACAGCAGACTGAAAGAGACAGGTAAGAAGTGCACAGGGTGAAAGAACAGGATGCTCTGAAGAGGAGAATGTAAGAAGAAAAAATGGTAAAAACTTCTGGGGTTTGAGTTGGAGTCAGAAAAATCCAGCTATTTCTCCCTTGGGTAAAGAGAGAGAGCGATGGAGAGAGACGGAGTTGTTAGCTACAGGCTAAAAAAGGAAAGGACTGCCGCAGCAGGGAGCGGTGCTCAGTGGGTGGGCATCAACTTCAATATGAGATTCAGCTCCAAAACAAACGTTTCTGTTTCTGACAATTCGTATCTCTGGGGGATTTCTTTGTCACTGTTCAAATCCTGCATCAACTAAAACCACCTCTTAATATTAAGCTCTGTTTCCATTATAGTCCTACTGTCTAGTGATGCTGCCAAACTGCTCAGCTGCATTATCATAAGCTCTTTTGTTTTCGTTTAGATTGACTGTCAGTGTCCCTATTGTACATTTGCTTTATTTTGGAGTATTTAAACTTTGGATGGGTATACAGTATCTCTATCAAATAACAGTATTTACTTTACAATTGAGGCTAAGATCGCCCAAGAATACTGGACTTGTAGAGCTGCATGTTGGCGAAGAAGACTGTGGATGTCGAAGGTATCATCTAGCGGTGTCCCGATCCAACTTTTTTACTTCCGATACAATACCAATATTGTAGCCTTCAATATTGGCCGTTGCACTCAGCTGCAACGTCTTTTTCAGACTTAAACAAAAAATACTGCCACAAGGCCGACACCACTCCCACTCCTTGCTACTTTGTTCGTACCTTAGTACACACCCCACTGAGCATTTTTTGGTCCAAAAGAGGTCCAATAGATGCCTAAATGTAGACTAGACGACTGGTTTAAAAATCAGGCTACCACAGGTCTAAAAATCAAAGTTTTTAGATGTCTAAATTTGGACAAAGTTTAGACTAGACGGCTAACAGAGGTCTACACTGTTTACTGCTCAACGTCTATCGTAATTACTTTGGTTAAGTACTTGGAGATCATTTATGCAACTCAGTTGCTTTTTGAAATAAATAGTGATAGAATAATGGGTTAAAGTGCAACGTCTAAATTCCGTCTAAATGCTTGATCTGGGTGCTGCTAGATAGAGTCTGGAATGGACTGCTTGTTTCGGAGTGCTGATATCGGAGATTTTAGATGCACCTGATATAATCCGATATTCGTTTTTTTCTGATATTGGACCAATATGGGGACACCCCTAGTAGCATCAATGTAAGAATCAGTCTTATTGTCAAGGCTTTTAACATACTTTTTCTAAATAGAAACAGGCTGAAAGAGAAGGTTATTTAAGGTTAGAAGGACATGTTTTCAGTCCAAGAGTATAAACTCTGTCCAAAACATAAACACACAAACAAAAAAAAAGAGCTGTCAAGAATCGGTTGTTTCTTTATCCCCAGCTGCTCGTCTTCATCCTCCGGTTCTTCATCCGTCTACCCTACTCTCATCAAACTTTCGTCTGACTGACAGCTGTCCCTGTGAGGCTTTATTTCGGAGTTAAAACTCACACAACCATTTGATTTGATGCTGAGACTCCCCCCCTCCTCCCTTCAGCGGTGCTGCTCTCTCCTGTGTTGTTGTGTTCTGACAGGTCGGTGTTGGGTTGTGTTAGTTTGTATTCAGAGCTTCAGGGGTCAGAGCTGAGCAGCGGTCTCAATGCACAGATGTGGACTCTCCCTCATGTGTGGTGGAGCAGAAAGCCTTGAGAGAAACCAGGTGATAGTGAAGACCATGTTGATTTAGACTCTGAGAATTCAACTCAGTTTGATGAAAGCGGGATTAGATTGGAAAACAAGTCAATATAATTAATGTTTGTATAAAAGTTTTGGTTTTTTGAGCTCATAGGAGGGAAGACAAAGAGCTCCTTTCCCCTCATTTTTCTCAAGGAGCAGCCGCTGAGTCCGTGACTGTCCTGAAACTACAGTCGCATTTATGAGCTGTGTGTCCAAGGTTGCTTGGAGGTCTTGAGGGCTGTTTGAGACTCTCAGTCCTGGGCGTGATGCCACAAAGCTGTGACAGTGGGCACATGATGGGAATGGATTAATCTTAAATCCTTTTCAGCGTCGCTTCAAATTCAAACAGACCTTCAACTCGCTGCCAGAAAGGGCAGCGCTGGCACAACTTCTACATCTCCAACAACATAGCATCAGGATAGGCTTTTATTTAGCTGTGTACCAGACCTTTAACGGCACAGTGACACGAACAATTTCTGCTTGATCTATCTCCTACTCTTTTGCTCCACACCAAAATCTCATGAAGGGAAAAGAGCCTCAAAGTCTGATCCGAGTGTCCGTGATATGTGTGTGTGAGACGGTGTGAACTGCTTTCTATGTTTCCCAAGCCCGCTGTGATTCTTTTCTCCTGCATTACCTCTTTTCTCTTTTCAAATTCACCTGTTGAACCGGCTTTGAGAGGAAAAACGGAGGCTTAAGAATGAAAGAACCGCAAGAAGACAGACCTGTGTTTAGCCCCTGTTCCCTCCTTCACTCTCACCTCACACAACATCTCTGTTGCTTCTCCTTCTCCCCTCTCCTCTCCTCTCCCCTCGCTCGCTCACCCCCTCTTTTCCACACGCCCGCCTGCTGCTTACAAACACACAGCTCATTTCTGTCTGGCAGCTTGTCGTCTTGTCCGCTCTCTGGGGCCCTGCGAGGACCTGAGACACACGTGGCAGCCTGCCAACCTGTCTGTGTGTTTTAGATCTATGCTGTCTTCATCCAGTCGCACAGAGAGTGGGTGTATTCATGCATGCATGTGTGAGAGCATTGATCAGGGAGGAGTAACAGGGATGAGTGTTGAATGTATCTTAAAGGTACAGTGTGCAGAAAAAGTACATTTCAGCGATATTTAGCAGTCGAATTCAACATTAAAACTCTCATAAAATATTGTATTTTTACCAGATCTGCTTTGCTAAATGCTCTTGTATTCCACAAACTTTACATTCAAGTATCTTCAGACTTCATCTTGTTTGCTGATATGAGATGAGACACATTTTCACAAACACATATCGACCTTCATTTATTGATCTTATGAGTCTCCAGTCCCAGACAGTGTGTGTTTATGTAGTTCAGTGCTTGTCTTATATGTGGGCAGAGATACAGAGAAAGTTGCATCAGTCTTAACTGATTAAAACTTTCCACATAATTAAGAATAAACTTTTCTTCTAGGGCTGGGCGATAAACCGAAAATTTACAGATACCGGAATTTACGACAATAACCAACGTCATCTTGCTCATGTCAAAATATTCAGTGTCAAAAAAATAACCTCAACCCCTGAGGTTGTTTTGCCAGCTTTAGTTGCACATGTGTGTTTGTGTGATGATAGATTATATGTTTGTACTCATGGTTGAAGTCAGCAAAGTTGAAAACAAAAAGAAGATGCAGTTTCTTGCTGTAGACTAAATGCCTCACAGCTGTGCTGCCTGAAAGTCTGAAATGTGAGAGATAGCCACAGATTCAAACTTTCTCTATGACTAGATACCCAGAAATAGGAACAAATATGCATTTTAAGAATAACATCTCGCTAACCACGAAGCTGCAAGTCTTGCAAAGCGTGTCTGAGCACTATTTTATTCCAAATTGTCCATTCAGCATTTTTCCTCTCATCCTGATGATCTTGTAATCACATCTATATGTCAGTTAGAGTTTTAAATCCTCCACCTAGGGCTGGGCGATAAACCGAAAATTTACCGATACTGAAATTTATGACAATAACCGACGTAGTTTTGCCCATATCGGTATATTCTGTGTAAAAAAAAATAGATGAATAAAAGTTGGTTTTGGATGTGTGTAGGTAGGCTATGGTCTTGTGTCCCTACATCAGAGACATGACTCCACCCCATCCAGTCTGTAGCAACGAGTTGTGGCAGCTCGAGCGTCGGCCATTGTAGATGAAGATAATTTGGGAGGGGGCTAGCTGTTTGTGGAGTAGATATCGTCCATTTATCGTTGTCGAGGTGAACTGATTGATATATCGTAATATTGATTTGAGGCCATATCGCCCAGCCCTATTTTCTACTTTGACTTTTGTTTTTTTGTTTACCAGACAATGTTTTTGACTCAGGAAAAGCCAATGCTGGTATCAGTTGAAAACAGCAGACTTTGTCTAAGTTGCTGTTCTTGCAGTCTATCAAGGTTCTTGTCTGGAAATGTAAAAGTTTCAGAAGATTTTCTTTAAGGATGTCGTTCAATGTCTGTTCAGTGTCGAAGAATGTTCAGCTGGCCTTAAAAAGCATAGAAAGACTTCAATGTCAAGAACTGCGCTGTAAAACACAAAACCTATTATTTAATGCAGCACCCGTGTGTCTGGTACAAGCTTGGACTCTGTGTTGGTTTTGACATTGTATCGGCTCTATAACTCACCCTCCATCTCCTTCACCTTTGTCCTGCAGGTGTAGCAGAGGTGATAGTCCTGGTCGGAGGGCGTCAAACAATCGGGATGACCCAGCGCTCCCTGACAGCGGTCACCTGTTTCAACCCCCAGAACAGTAAGTGGTACCCGCTGGCCAGCCTGCCCTTCTACGACCGAGACTTCTTCAGTGTCATCTCAGCTGGAGACAACATCTACCTGTCAGGTGAGCTGAATATACTGCAGGACGATTGTAGCTTTACTGTCACAGAGCAGAAATACGGGGAAATCCTTCACTTTGGAAATATGTGAATTCTCACAACTTCTTTTCACTGAGTCCTTTTTGTGAAATCGGTTCCTTTCATTTACATCCTGTGTGATTTTTATTGAGCTGGTTGTCTGTCTGCTTTTACAGTCTCTGCAGAGTCATTCAGTTCATTTAGCTCCACACTGGCACACTGTGCTCTCTGTGACTCCCTCTATGAGACACCTTTAAGTTGTCTCTCCAGAGATAGACTGAATTTCTCCCTCCATGCTCTGTTTGTGCCAGAATCCCTGCACAGTTCTCAGACCTTGACATTGCACTGTAGAAATGCAGCAGGATTTGCCCTGTGTGTACCTCTCCTCTCCCTCTTTTCATATAAATGTAAATTTGTGTTTTGGGTCTGTATGTGTCCACTGGGAGTCAGACAGCCAGAGCGGGATCAGCCAATCTACAGGCGCCGCTCTGTAGCCATCCTCAGACTCTGTCATGTAACACCGGCAAAGGCTTGCTCAAACTACACAGCTAACAGGGAACTGAAACAAACACAGTTTAGATGCCTCCACACAGCAGCAAACTACAAAGTTCTCAATCTTTGTACTTTTTATATCCCTTATTCTTTATTCCAGGTGGCACAGAGAGTGGGGTGATGGTGGCTGACGTTTGGTGTTACATGTCTCTCCTGGACAACTGGAGTCTGGTGTCCCGGATGACGGTGGCTCGCTGCAGACACAACAGCCTAGTGTACGACGGAAAGCTCTACACTATCGGAGGACTGGGAATATCAGGGAATCTGGACCATGTGGAGAGGTGAGAGTGATACGTGAACATTAACAATACCCTGTGTCAAAACACAAGGCTCGAACCTTGACCTGCAGCCTTGTCAGAGTGTGTCACTCTAGTCAGTCTTACCCCAAATTTCCACCACATCCGGAACGGCTATGAAAAGGCTGTATCCGCTGATCATAGCTGATCGTACCCATTCAAGTTAATGTGTCAGTTTCCACCGGCTTCTTTCCATTCCACTGCGGATCGCCGGACTCCGCAGCTGATCGCAGGAGTTCTACTTTTTCCAGACGACAGAACATGCTGGATAAATTCAGCACAGATTAACCCGTGCTGGAAAGGAAGTCAGGCACAGACACAAAATAAAATATCCGGCTTCTTTTCAAAATAAAACACTCCGTCTTTCAGGCGGATCGTATTTCAAACCATACAAACGGGTAGGGACGAACAAGTGAAAGGTTTATAGACAGCATTTCATCCTGATGAGGAGATGCTTATTTTTTATGTCTAGAAGTAGATTTCCTCCTCTGGAAGGACACAATCTACTGCTTATACGGTTAGCCTATGTGGCTAAAGACAACTCATTATCGCGCAATTGCTTGTGAATCTGCGGGTTCTTGCGAGTTCTCCCGATTCTTGCTGTCCGTAATCCGCCATGAAATTCGCCTATGGTATATGACGAAAATTGCCGTTCCGGATGCGGTGGAAATCCAGGTGTAAAAGAGTGTAAAAATAGGCCTTTTACATATTGAAAACTCTGCAACAGTACCTGCACAAATGCTGAATTAATGCACTCTTAAAAATGATACAGGATCCGAGAAGTTGCTCTTCCAACTTTGGCGATTCAGAGAAATCGGATTGGCAGTTGTTGTTCTGTCCGTAACCAGCGTTTATTAGCATTTTCCAGCTTTGGAGCTTGTTTTTCCAACACCCCTTGAATGCAGCAAAAGTTCCAATTTCACCCCAATTTGAGCTCAAAAGAGTGTAATATTAGTGTCTCAGTGGGGATCATCACCCCTGTCCCTCCTCCATTGCGGCTCTAATGCTACCTCCCCTGATGGAGAATTCATAAAATATCAGTATTACCTTTAAACTTTAGTTTGATTTTCTCTGTAAATGAAGGTGATCCCTTTGAATCATGTGATATAATAAGAAAATATCAGTTTTGTAACCGATCAGCTGTGAGTGTTGTGCAGAAACGGAGCACCTGAGTGAGGGGATTTGGTTTCAGCGAGCAGAGCGCCGTACTGTGTCTGATGCCATCCACTTGAGCGCAGCACATCATCAACACTTCATGTGAAGGTCGTCCTTTGTGGCCTCTTCAGCTGGCTCTTTTTTTTTAATGTTTTCTTTCTCTGTTTTTTTCTTTTTGTTACAAGTACTCAAACCTGACACAGACAGTTTCCTCATCGAGTACAAAGGATTTCTCTAGTGGCACAGAGTTGAAAGGAGATTTTTTCGGCTTCAGTGGTCTTATTCATACCTCTTAACTTTAATAATTCTGCTCCTCATTTCTTACTCCTCTTCTAACCTGGGCTAAGGAGTAAGATTCAGAAAAGGCTTCTTCTGTCTGCATGGCAGAGCGAGATGAATCAAGGCAATCAAAAGAACATTACCGGGTACATTAGAGCAGGCCGCTGTCGCTCATTACCTAGCAGCTCAATTGATCTCCAAAGCTTTCCACAATGCACAATCAGTCCTCCAAATGAAACAGGCTAATTTGATATTTCCCTGAAATGCCACCATACAGTGTCATTATGACAGCATAGATGGAGTATTTGCCCCGTAATGGATACGCATTTGATTCCTCTGTCTCTGAGCTGCTTCATTTGGGAGCTGATGGTTCTTGGCCCTGAAGAAATCTGTTTTTCACCTTGGGATGTGTTGGTATGTTTGTTGCTTTGTGTCTCCAGGTGTAGTCTATATGCAATCACGAAGATTATCCGAGGCCCAAAGCAACCGGGTTCAATTATCAGCTCCATCTGAGCGCCAGTCTGAGAGCTCCCAGAGTCTCCCCTGCTTGGTGTGTCTGTCCTAGTGCTGCACGATTAAAGGTTCTGATGGATAACCCAGAACTTTTAAGAGTTCAGAAGAAAATACTTGTGACACAGGGTAAGGGTTGTATTCACCAGTCTTATTATCTAAAAAATAACCCGTCTCTTAAGCTGTTAGGTCTGCGAGAGAAGCCAAAGTCTTGTTCCTTAGCAACCTTAGCATTTTTGTCTTTTTCACCAATAGTTCAAGAGTCAGACTCAGGTCGGATACTGCAAAATCTCAGCAGTGTCCAAAATTGAATGCTTGAACAGATTCAAGGTGATGTGCTTTTAGAGAGGGTACAAACAGCAAAATTTATGCTTGATACTTTTTAATCACGCTGATTCATCTTCTTCAGATTTGTATGTGTTTATTCATCATGATAATGATGACAAATGAATTATTCAGTGTTTTAGTTTTCCATTTGAAATGTGTCAGTTGAGTATTCTGCCTTTCTTGTGAGAGCCTCCAGTAGAGAGAAAACAGCTAGAAAACACTGACAGTGAGAGTTTCAATCATCGCTTTGGAGTGGAGAATAATTGGAGCTTATTTTTTATTTGGATTTTCTCAACAAAGAAATAATCTTAAAGTTCAGCGTTAAATGGGGAAATTAACTGCATTAGGAGTTTTTGAATGTCCACAAGTCCACAAACTATAGGTGTTTCCCGCTACGATTTTGATATCGAATATTGATCTGATATCAGCAAAATTTGAATATCGGATTATATCAGCCGCCATCTAAAATATGTGGTACCAGCACTCCGATACAAGCAGTCCATTCCAGACTCCACTCTGGCACCTCTAACTAGCAGCACCCGGATCCTGGGTGTACCAAAGTACTAAGGAGTAGGAGTGATGTCAACCCTGTGGCAGTATTTTTTAATCAAAGTCCGAAAAGACGCTGCAGCTGAGTGCAAAACTTGTCATGCGAAAGTTTGTGCTAATATCAGATCAATATCGGTATCGGACAATACTGAAGGCTACAATATCGGTATCGTATAGGAGGTAAAAAAGTTGTTTCAGGACACCCCTACTAGTGAGACAGGAGATCTTTCTCTTGTTGAATCTGTGAAGCAAAACTAATGCGGGGTGTTTTATACATAATGTACAATAAAAGTTTTGTGGAGACTTGACTTGTATGAATGTAGCCATCTATATCAAACTAATGGTGTTCATAAAAAGGGAATGAAAAATGTCTGAGTATTCCAGAAGCACTAAAACCCTAATGTGTCTCTATCATTTTAGAGATCTTTCAATAACAAGACTTGGCATTTAAAACCAAGTTTTATGTCTGAATATCATATAAAATTTCCCTTGTAGACATTGTCAAACTGAAGTGTACTTTCCCTCAGTTATGAAATAAGATCTATTCAAACATTTTGACTTTTTTCCAGCTATGAAACTTTATAAAAACTTATTCACAACCTTTATAACCTTGGCAGTGCTCCTGCTCCTACACAAAGCCGCCTGATATTTGCTTCTATCTACTTCAAAGTGCTTTTTTTGACCTCAAAACTTCTTAGTTTTTAAGAAAAAATAAATAAAAAAAGAAAAGACCTTAAAGTTTCTGCGTGAGTCATACTTGGCGTCATTACATAAATCTCATAGCTGTGATCATCTCCATCACTCTCAAGTCGTTTTCTGGAGGCATTTGTTGATGCTGCTTTGATGAATGAGCCCCATTATGTGCTGAACATATATTCTGTTGCCAAGCACCAGGTTTGGCAGGCATGTCTCTGCTTTAAGACGTAGTTGGCGCTGATGCAGCGACATTGTTTGACCAAAATCCTGAAGATAGTTGAGACTCCGGGAGAGAAGTCCACAGCGGGAGGATATAAGGAAGCTGTGTCACCTTATGTGCCTGAGGAGGAGCTGCTAATATTCTGTAACCATCAGTCAGAGTATGTGAATATGCTGAAAGCTGGCGTGCAGAACCACATACTGCAAGAGCAAAAACTAGTAAGTTTGTGAATTCTCTGTACAACTTGTTTCTCCAGTCTATGTATGTCCATGCAATAGGGCTGGGCGATAAAATGATAAAAAATACGAAACATGGTCAGTATCCTTTTCATTTGTTGGCATTCGGCCATGTTTTGGTAGACTATCAAACAGCCAATGAAAAGAGGAGTTGCCTGGGTCCGCTTCGTGCTAAACCAATCATGTGCTGAATAAGAACCAAGTAGCAAACAACTGTGTAGTAGCAGGCTGCAGCTTCACCCAACCATAGAGTCCCAGAGTCTCCCCTGCTTGGTGGGTCTGCCTTAGTGCTGCTCTATTAAAGGTTCTGATGGATAACCCAGAACTTTTAAGAGAAAATACTTGAAGCTCAAACCATTTGTGACACAGGGTCAGGGTTGTATTCACCAGTCTTATTATCTAAAAGTTAACCCGTCTCTTAAGCTGTTAGGTCAAACTGCGAGAGAAGCCAGAAAGCTGTTTCCGTAGCGACCTTAGCATTTTTGTCTTTTTCACCAGTAGTTCAAGAGTCAGACTTGAATCAGATAAATCTCATGGTTCTTAAAATTGAATGCTTGAACAGATTCAAGGTGATGTGCTTTTAGAGAGGGAACAAACTGCAAAATTTATGTTTGATACTTTTTAATCACGCTGATTCATCTTCTTCAGATTTGAATGTGTTTATTCATAGAACTTTAACAAGTGAAGCCAAAAGAAAATGAGTGCTACCCCCGGCAGAAATGCAGATGAAGGCTCAACAGATGATGACAACTGCGACAACACTGGCATGAAAACGTCGGTGGTGTGGAGGTATTTAGTTTTTTTGAGGTTGGACATAAAGCCAAGTAATGTGCACTGTAAATTATGTCGAGCACATGTTCTCACAAAGTCGGGGAATACCTCAAGTCCCCTGAACGGAGCAAGGAGCCCATGGTGCCTGTGCTGCCGAAACAGCCGAGCATTCAATCAATCAATTAAATTTTATTTATATAGCGCCAATTCACAACAATCGTCATCCCAAGACGCTTTCCAAAGAAAAAGAGCAGGTCTAGACCACGCTCATTGTTTGATGAATTATCAAGACCCAACCTAAAATGGGATTTGGCCCATCTCATCTAACATGAGTAACAGTAGCAAGGAAAAACTTCCTTTGAACAGGCAGAAACCTCGAGCAGGACCAGACTCATGCCAGAGAGCCAATAGGCCGCTGCTGGGTTGGGGAGGAAAACAGAGAGAGAGGGAGAGAATGAGTAAGGGAGAGGAAGGGAGAGAGAGTAGAGAACAAGGGTGAGAAAGAGACACAGGGGCAGTAGCGACATTAAAACAACAGCAACAACAACTGCAGCCCATGTAATTCAGTCCGCTTTCTGTAGTGCAACGCCTTACGACAAAACGTCAAAGAAACACAAAGACCTCACAGATTCAGTAGCTTATTGTATTTCAAAAGACATGCTACCAGTAAGAAGCACTGATAAATATCATTTTTATATCATGATATATATCAATATCAACTGATATGAAAAAATATATATATCATGTTAAACTATTTCTCACATCGCCCAGCCCTACCATGCAGACACATTTCTGTTTATTTCTGTGCTTGTCCAGATCTCTCATGTCCAGATAGAGCTCCTGGCCTTCAGCGCACTGACTCCTACTTTACAGTCCGGTGATATTCACCCACACTCACAATAATGTCTTCAATCAGAGCCGTCTCACAGCTAGTTGAATACAGCTGTCTATAAAACAGTTGGACATCAAAATCTGCGCAAAGAGGACAGCCGGCTCATTCTCCGTCTCTGCTCTCCTCACCGATGACTGACAGGTTTTTAGGGATGGGAGCGGTCGAGTTCAGGAGGCTCTTAACTTGTAATCAGGTACTCTGAGCCCGCTGACTCCTCTGCATGTTTATCCTTTGACAAACTCGACATGATTGCAGATGTTGAATAATTCATGGGTGTCTAATGATGTGTCAATCACAGATGGTTTTGTGTTGTTTACTGGACACTATAAGTAGGTTTGTGTGTGTGTCCACCAAGCCATTGAAGATTGTTAGTGAGGACAGCCGTGATCTGAGATGTTTGGATAACAAGTTTGGAGGAAAGAGGTTCAAGTTCTCAGACTCTTTACTGGCAAGAGCTCCATTGTTCATTTGTTGTTTCGAGGTTCATTAACTTGCACATCAGGTGTTGAATAAGAATCCCTGCTCTGAACTACCACGCTGATATTCAGCTGTCTGTATCCTCCGGCATATTGTGCTGAATTTCTTTTCTTCCGTCTCTGTGAAGGTCCACACGCTCCTGTAGGGTGGTCAGCCTTGCTCTGATGAAATATCTTTATTCCTCTCCGAACAAAACTTGATTTCTGCTTTTTTCCATCAAGCAGTGATATACCGCCACAATAGGCCATTTCAAGAAATAGGGGGTTCAGTTTCATGCAGAAAGCCAAATGAAACGCCTCAAAGACCTTGCAGAGAGAATTGTTGTTCCTGCAGGGGAAGTTTCATCAACTCGACCATGACAAAGACACGGCAAAGATGGAGCTTTCAAAAAGGGATTTAACTTGCAAGTTAAACACAGTCGCTCTGCGTCACTTTCATGTAAAAATGAGATTGCAACTAATCCTTGAGGTTTGGAAAGAGGAAGTTTGTCTATTTGGCTGGCTGTCCCAGCTTGCATGCAATGCCATGTGGCTTCGGACCTTATCCTCAAAATACAGGTGCTGCGTAAACAGTGACACTACATGCTTAAAGTCCGTCCTCTCACTCAAATTAAAAGATGGAAGTCCTTCTTTGTTTGCCTCACTTTTTGAGACAGTAAGAGAAATAATCAGCAGGTATGATATGACAAAAAAAAGACGCCCAGCCTCAGGTTTTTGGGACCCAGCAGCGAAATATTCAAAGTAGGGAAGAAAAGCATGCCCAGAACCAAGGAAGTTTGGTAAATAGAGCCTTAGGAGTGTGTAGATGCACCAACCCTCAGGTGTACCTGTTGGCTTTGTACTATCAGTCACACTGGAACCAGTAAGCTCATGTGGAGACACCCCCAGTCCCTTCTCCAACCTCCCTCCAGCTCCCATCTCTGCAACAATAATGAGCTGTTGTGCAACTCCTCTGTGTTGTACGTCTGTGTGTGAGTGTGTAGCTGTGCTCAGGGTCAGGTAGAGCCTGGAGCTGCTCCCGGGATAAAAGGTTGGTAGTGGGGACAGGCCCTGCAGCATGACACTGTGGTCGTGTACAACAGGCTGCTGAAGCCCCCATGCAGAGCCGCTGCCCCCCCTGCTGAGCTGATCCCTGCTCTTCAGGATTAACCAACTTCACAGGGCTGCCCCCCCATTGTGCCGTCAAGGCACCATTAAAACCTCAAACCTGATCTCAGCATCTACCACCACCCTCCACTGTCCACCTATTTTTAGTTTCAGGACGAGAACAGCAAAGATGCCCGCCCACCTGTCTGCTTACAGGTGGTGTTAGTATGACTGCAAACACTGTCACCAATGTACACATTTCTGTCTCCTTCACTTTTAGGGCTCTATTTTCCTTCCTCGCCAGCGACATGGTGCAGGCGCGGCGTAAGTCAGGTCCGCCACGCCAACAAGGCGTGGGTTTTTAGACGGGTTTTAAAAATGGACAGTGAGGGAGCTTGTCTAATGTGGAGAGATAAATCATCAGCTCTGTCTCATTTGAGCCTTGGTAGACCTTGGTACCTGCAGGAGGAGCTGGTCAGCTGACCTGAGGCACTGGGCAGGAGCGTAGGGATGAAACAGCTCAGAGAGGTATGATGGGGTCAGACCATTTAAGGTTTTAAAAACAAATATAAGGAATCTTGAAATGAACTCTAGTGGAGAGAGGCCAGAATGGGAGTGGTGTGCTTCCGCTTTCCGGTTAAACGACGAGCAGCCGCATTCTGGACCAACTGGAGACATGCAAGGGAAGACTGACTGACTCCACAATAAAGTGCGTTACAGTAATCCATCAGAGACATAATGAAGGCATGGATTCCTGTCCCAAAGTGCTCTCGTGCAAGAAGTGGTTTCACCTTTGCCAGCTGCCTAAGGTGGAGAAACCTGGACTTAACAGCTGCGCTGATCTGTCGGTCAAGTTTAAAATTACTGTCCATCTTAAAACCCAGGTCGGACAATGTTGGCTTCATATACAATGCCAGGGGGATCACAAGAACCATTGGGACCAAACATCATCACTTTTTTAAAAAGTTAGAGCCATCGAGGCTTTAATTCCGTCAAGGCATGTTAGAAGTGGTTTCAGAGAAAAGGCATCTTTCTTTTTCGGTGGCACATATATTTGGCTGTCATCAGCATAACAATGAAAGGAGATACCGTGCTTTCTAAGAATGGAACCCAGAAGAAGTAGATATAGAGAGAACAGCACTTAACACTGTGCACTACTGAAAAGTTTCATTTGATTCTGTTTGAGTGAACAGAAAACAGAGTGACCTCAACAACTCACCTATCTCCTCTCTCCTCTCCTGCACCTTCCATCCTCCTCGTCTCCTCACAGCGCTGATCAGGTGGGCAGGAGTTGATGGGTGTATTTGGGGGCCTGCAAGGCAAAGACAGTGTCTCCTCTACATCATCTTCTAATGGGGCGCTGAGGACTCGGAGACATAGAGGAGGACTTTGTGTGGGGGTGTTTGCTTGACAGTTTCTGGAGAAATATTGGCGAGCAGCAGCAGCAGGTGTGCCCGAGGTTGGCACCGGTGAGAGGCTGCAGGTAATGAGCAGTATGAGCTGTATGTGCCTCTGCTTCATTGATTAATGATGGGCCGACACTTTTGGACAATTTCCAGCCTTTACCAACAGGCAGATAAATTTTTCATTTCTTTCTGTGCTTTTTTTTTTTCTACTTTACTTTTTTTCTCTCTCACCTTCCTTCTCTCTTTGTCAAAAACACAATAGAACAGGGATTATCCTTAGAAAGCACCGGCCGGGCAAACCATCAAAACGTCCAAATATCAACATTCAGGGATGGGATTGGCACTGAAGGTGGGAGATTTGTGTGCATTTAGTGAATTATAAATGATATACCTTGCTTACTGATGATCATATCTGAATACCAAAAGCATACTTGTCTCTGCCAGGATGTTCTACATATAGGAATGTTGAGGTTTCCCTGCATAAATAAATTTCATATAATTCCCAGACTTGCTAGCGGCATCGCCTGAAGGAGGGAAGTGTCCGTCTGCAGGTCCCAGCTGAATATTTTGTCAGAGCTAATTAGCAATTCTCACACGCTTATATGCTTATTTGGATTGTAATCATGGTATAAGTCACATTTGCATAACATTGGCATGTTAATATTATCATTTTGAGCCTGTTAGTGTTCTGTTATCCTGCTACAAGCGCTTTCATGGTTCAGCTACTAACATGGCTGCAGACTTAGAGGCGTGTTTCTTGCAGTAGTTTATGTTTAAGTGAAGTTTCTGGAAACGTAATCAGCCGTACCAGACAAAACTTTTCACTTTATTTACAAAGTATGCTGTGGAAATGTTTGCCGTTTTTAACACTTAGAACCCCGCTGGATCACCAGCAATCCCACGTGACAGCATTAATATTGTTTACAGTTTCTCAGGAACTATACTGTGTATCTCTATGGGATGAAAAGTGTTCAAAAGCTTACCCTTTTGGCGATCTATCGAGGGTTTCTAGGCATTTCTACACCTTCCACAAGGTTTACAATCCAGCCACAATGATAGGTGTTTGATCGGAGACATTTGATGGTAAATCCTCAGTGGTATACCAGTGATCGCTATCGCTATCTCTAAATGCTGCTAATGTCTTCCGGGTTTGACAAGCTGTTTTTGGTCTCATATTCTTCCTCTATTGTTCTCTTGACAATAGTAGTGTCCATTGAGAGGCAACCAAAGATCAACAAGAGACAAGAAAGTTCCCTGCTTGTCTGCAAAATAAGAAATACTAGTCCTTAATGCTTGGAAACAAGCAAAGAAGAGATTATGAGCAGTATGATGTGGCCCTCTGTCTCATCCAAAACAGGAACTTGTAAATCGCAAAAAGCTCCTGGAAGAATAAGTGTAAATATGTAAATAGTTTCTGTTGTGTGTTTGTTCCAATCCCAATATTTCTTCTCCTGATAGCCAAGACTTAAGAGAATGATGTGCAGGTGAGAAAAGGCTTGGTTACTGTAGATTTATGTGTTTTTTTGAGCAAAGTACTGTTGGTATCAATTTCCGTTTTTGTTTTTTGGTTGACTTTGATGGTTCTGAATCTACTGTTACATTAATTTTACATAATTTTTGCACCCATCAACTGACAGCTGAGGTTGTCCTGAAAAAAAAAGATGTGTATATATTTGCTGTGCTTGAAAGAATAGAGTTGACACAAAAAAATAATAAAAAAACAGAACAGGTGGACCAAAAAATTGCAAAATATAGCTTGGAGTTCTAAGGGTTAATTTTTGACTTAGTTGTAGCTACACTTTCTATTCCACGCCTCCTTCACTCTGCAGAGCTCCCCCTACATGTTAGCAATCATCACAGGAGCTTACTTTGGTAATGAAGTGATGCCTCAGTCTCGTATCTCTCCTCTTGTTATGAAGAGCACAGAGCGGTAAATGTTATATGACCTACACAACCAACAGCTCATGTCTCCTGTTCTGCGTGACTTTGTCATCCAATTAAATCTGAACCCATTTTCACACACTCATGCTCACTGAAGGGGACGTGCTTATTGTTATCACCGCTTCTTTAATTCTCTACCTGATAGTCTTTCAAGGAGCTTCTTTAAATTGATTTGATTATTATTCAGCGTACACAATCATGAACGTGTTCTCAGGGGAAGAAATGGACTTTTGAATTAGCTCGTTCACAGGGATTATGGGTAAATCTGTTGGTCTGTGAATGGGTTCCTCTCTGCCTCGTAAGGATTTTCCGAAGATGACTCAAAGTGGACCGGGATGTGTCCTTTTGTGTTGCCGTAGCCTGATGTTATTGTGTGCATTTTATTAGCACATATATCAAGCCTGGAAGGTCAATGATACATCAGCGTTAATGTGTGTCATTATTTTACTTTATTTTCAGGTTGAACCTGCATGAATGTTAGACAAAGACACAAATATTCACATTTCTGAGCAGCCCTTCCTCACCGTCAGCTAGGGCTGGGCGATAAATGGAAAATTTAACAATACAGAAATTTATGACAATAACCGACATCATTAGGCCCATGTCAGTGTCAAAAAAATAAATAAATAAAAGTTGGTTTTAGATGTGTGAAGTTAGGCTATGTTCTCATGTCCCTTTAAGACGCTGTCTTACGTCAGAGACATGACTCCACCCCATCCAGTCCATAAAAAAGAGGGAAAGACAGGTAAGGAGATGGAGGACGGTTCAAAAGTTGTAGCAGCTGGAGCGGTGGCTGAAGTAGACGAACTTCAGCCACCTTAATGTGGGAGGGGGTGAGCAGTCTGTGGAGTAGTTATCATCTATTTATCGTTATCAAGGTGAACTGCCCAATATATCGGGATATTGATTTGAGGCAGTGGTTCTCAAGTCCAGTCCTCGAGCCCCCCTCGTCCTGCATGTTTTGGATGTTTCCCTGCTCCATCACACCTGATTCAAATGATCAGCTCGTTATCAAGCCATTCTAGAGCTTGATAACGAGCTGATCATTTGAATCAGCTGGACTGGACTTGAGAACCACTGATTTGAGGCCATATCGCCCAGCCCGACCATCAGCCATCTTGTAGTAGCCTCAGACGAGAGTCACAGTCACATACAGCGCAAACCAGTTCAAGGAGCTGAGGTGAATACAAAAAAGCTCAAATTAGTCGTCACAGCTTTTTTCTCTCTCTGTACATTTCAATGAAGCTGTTGTTTGTTACATAGAGCAGAGAAAAGCTGCGATTCTGCCGGAACATTTGTCGACCTCTTTATAGCACATCAGTCATGCATTTAAATTGCAAATTGATTTCAATGTTCAGATCAATAAATGATCTCCAAACTTCTCTGTAATACTGCACAGTTCTCAACCTTCAGCATAACTTTTAAATGTTTTAATTGTGTATGTTTACACCTTAAAGACTTCAACAAAGCTTGCAGTTTAGAAAGATGTATGTCTTTTAACAACCTCAAAGCGCCCTTGTGTATTTCACTCGAATAAATATTAGAGGACTTCAGAGATGGCATGTGTTTGAATGTAGCTAAACACTGAAAATATTAAACTGTAAGTGACAAATTAGAAAATTTACTCATCTTTAAATGTAACCCCTTTAAAGCAGTCACTCTGGGTACAAACATGTTTATTTTTCTTTATTTTTCCAAAAATGTGTGACTGTGATTTTGCAGGTTTAGAGAGGTGTGTTTTTGTGAGTGTTTGTGCCCATCAGACAGCAGAGTGATAGTGGAGGTGTGGTACAAACCTCACAGTTTGTGTTATGTGCTCCGACACACAGATGGCAGCCGATACAGATAGACTCTCACTCCTCCTCCTCCTCTTTCTTGGATGTTCACTCTTCATTTACTCGATGAGCATTTAAATTAAATGAAAAAAACGTATTTTCATCACTCCCCTTCCCTTTCTAATAAATGGAAAAGCTTACTGACTTTGAGGTTAATAGAAAAAAAGGGAAACTCATTGTGAAGTACATCAAAAATTGCAATACATGAGATTGGCTTCATGTGAGTGAGACAGGGTATCGCAAGGATATTTGTTACCCAAGGACACGACAAGCTTCTCATCAGAAAGTATTGCATCAGTTTGTCTCTGCAGGTGAGAAAGAGAGAAAATGCTGTTTTTATCCTAAACCAACTTCAACATCCAGCGCACTCCCACTCAGGTCCTAAAGGTTATAGTGATGCGTGGAGCTGTGTGGTGTGGACTAAGTGTAGTTGCGAACTTGAATCGAAAGCCTACAGATTTTCTCACTGGGTTTTTTTCTTATATTTTCATCATCTTACACTATCAGTTGTTTGTCTTTTCTTGGAGATTCTGCAACTATATTTATTTAAGCAGCGTGTGCAGGTAGGGATTTCTTCCCCAACCTTCCAACCCAGAGACCGGAGACTCATCTGTTATAGTTTATCCCTTGTGTTTGTGTGTGATTGTGCGTGAAAGAGAGGAGTATAGAGAAAAGTATAGCTCATCATCATCATTCACACCCTCCTGCAGGTAAACATATTAGTGAAATGGCTGTGATGCCTCGGGCGCACTCCACATGATTAGATTGCTTTCAGAGGGAGAGGAACACAGACGGGACAGCGGGGGGGCTACTGTGGTGGCTACTGTCCAAATATGGCGGGTTTAGAGTCAGTGCTTATTTTATCGTCCATTTTAGTATAATTTACCAAACACCATTAAAATAATTTTCATACTGCACTGAGTTAAACTTAAATATCAGACTTCCTTCAGCAACCGATCAAGTTGCCTCCTGCTGGTCATGAGAGAAAAAGCAGGTTTGAGGTACATTTACTTATAAAACCACAGCTAATTTATGGGCTTCATAACAAAGAACATAGACAGTTTTAAATACACTGTTTTTAAATACACTGTCTTTTTGTCGAAATTTTTTTTTATTGAGTTTTCCTTAGACGTATTCCAACAGCGAATGTCAGCGCACAAAGGATTCACTTCAACACCTAGAAATAAAATTAATAATAATTAAACAAAATAAATAAATAATAAATAATAATAATAATAATAATAATAGTAATAGTAATAATAATAAATAAGATGAATAAATCTGTAAATAGCAAATTAAAAACAATTCCAAGATCACAAAGAATCATATTATACGAATACAACGCAAATAAAGTAAAATTAAATAAAATAAAATAACCATATAAAGGACATAGAGGAAAAAACTAAATAAAGTAAAACAAACAAAAAAAAGTTTAAAAAATGTTAAAAAGTAAAGAAATAGAGAGGGAAAACCAAATAAAGTAAAGTAAAACAAACAAAAAAAGTAAAAAAAAAAAATTAGATTCAAAATAATAAAATAGTTATAAATTATAGATAATTATAAATAATAATAAAAATTTTCAAAAAGAAGTGGGGGGGCAAAAGACAAATACAAACACACAGGAGGGGATGACAAAGACAGAAGGGGAAGGACTGGGACTGGGATGGGGGGGTCCAGTTGTGCATTCAACCCCTCGCCCTCAGCTAGGGCATAGCTATAGTGGTTCCACTGAAATCCTATCACCCCGACTGAAGCCCATCTAACTGCTTCACAGTTCATTCATTCATTAAAGCTATCCCACGTCCCATGAATACACTGTTGATGAGAATCACAGTGTTTGTTATTAGCTGGATGTACTTTTTTGTTTGCATAATGGAGACTGAGAAAGCAGGTGCGCTGAAATCACCTCCTGCCGTCACCGTAAACAAACATGGCAGGTGTGACTGTACATTTCTGCAGTCAGGCGTCACCTGTTTCTGTTTAACACCGTGGTTTATATACGAATTAGACATCCAGAGCAAAGACCAGACAAACCGTCGCTGGTTTTCTTTCACAACACACAATCACACTGCGTTGGTGGCTGTTACAGCTGGCAGATGTTGTGTTACAGCTTTTATTGTTCACATGTCAGCCCCAGTGCATTCTGGGAGCTTTGACTTATTTTTCTTTGTCTGGCTATGTATTTCGAGTTAATCTGAGAGTCTGGCCTCCTTCTTTCATTCACATCTATCCTCTTTCTCTTTCTCTCTCCCAGTATATATTAATGAAAACAATCTTCTGCTGTTACCCTGCGGCGTCATTTTTAAACGACTGCCGCTGTGTGATGAAACGAGTCCTGTCAGGAGCTGCAGACGATTACATGACTTCATGCGGTGATCAGTTTTGGTGCACGTTTATTTTTCAAAAGTAATCAGTGCAACATGGCATGTCGATGGATAAACTTAAACAATTGATGATTGTTGAGGCTTCAGAGGACAGAAAAGCAGAGATTTAATCTTTGTTTTTTTTTAGCATGAATACAGTGTTTTCTCTTTCTCTCTTTTCCATTTGGCTAGACAAATAGTCAAACCACAGTAGGGCTTGGCGATATGGCCTCAAATCAATATCACAGTATATTGAACAGTTCACCTCAATAATGATGAACGGACGATAACCACTCCACAAGCTGCTCCCTGCCTCCCACATTAACTTTTTCAACTTCAGCCACCTCTTCAGCCGCTCCAACTTCTGAACCGTCCTCCATCTCCTCACTAGTCTTTCCCTCTTTGTTACAGACTGGATGGGGTGGAGTCACATCTCTGACATAGGACAGCGTCTTAAAGAGACATGAGACCATAGCCTACCTACACACATCCAAAAACAACTTTTATTTATTTAAATTTTTACAGCAAATATATTGACATGGGCCAAATGACGTTAGTTATCGTCGTAAATTTCCGTATCTGTCAATTTTCAGTTTATCGCCCAGCCCTAGTCCACATCCACACAAGTTGCATCTCTATTTCAGGCCCTGATGAAGTTCAGTCAGAGTTTCCCACTAACTTTATTTACCTGCTGGTTAATTCTCTGCAGACAGCATACATTCTATATGTTTTATACAAAAACAAAGTTAGAGTGAGCGGTGAGAGTGAACCGAAAGAGTGCAGGTGCAGGCTGTGATATGAAAATAATGAGCTGCAACATGATGAAAAAGGTGATAACTTGATAACTTTCATCACTCCGAGCAGATTCAGGATTATGAATTCGAGTTCAGGCTAAAAAATTCACATCACAAATTCCAGCCAACTTCAAAAAACAAAACAGGCTGCTTGTTGTTGCTATCGTTTTAAATTATGAGCAGCTGTTTTCTGTCGTCATGTTGGTCTCAGTTGATCCTTTAATCAGCTTCACTCAGCAGTGTCTGATCCTTAAATCTATGAGCCTCCCTGATGTGGTCAAAGAGGTAATTACAGCTGTCAGAGACGGAAACACGCGTTAGTCCTTCTTTATCAGCACCTCAGCCCGATGCTAGTGTGTGTGTGTGTGTGTGTGTGTGTTTGTGTGTGTCTAAGCAGGGTTAATTGGCGCTCCTGAGTCTTAAGAGTTTGCCTGTTCTGTGTTACCCGTCTCTCTGACTGCCTGTCAATTTGAAACTGTCCCCTCAGCAGGTGGAGCCAGGAACATTATTATACCCCCAAAGGGAAAGTTCTCCAAAGACTTACCCACTTGCCTCCTTCTCCACTTAATCTAAAAATCATCCTTATAATGAAGAGGATGCAATCAGCACCTCGGGGTGTCATTCAAATTTAACATAAAGGAGTTGCTGCAGTAGAATGTCAGTGGACTCAAAAAGAAAATAAATGTAATTCAGTCAGGATCACTTTGTCAAAATTTCAGCTTTATTGTGCAAAGATAAATTTGGTGGCATAGTTCTGTTCCGGGTCCCTGTCCTTCCACGTGCTTGCATGGAAGCCAGAGGCAGGAAGGGCCCATCATCAAAAGGCGATAGCAGGAAGCGCATGTAAGGTTCTGTTCGGGGGCCCCCGTTCTCCACACAAGCATGCGTGAAGGACCAGCAGCAGGAAGGGCACCTTCCTGCCCTTCATGAGGCATAGTGAAAGCAGAAACAACAGGGGTAGAGCAGCGATGAACAGAACCCCAACAAGGACAGGAGCGCTTCCAGAGTAGTGGAGCAGTTTAGCCGGCACTGGGGTGGAGGTGGGTTGCTGGTTGCCTGTCGAAGCAGAGGAAGAGGCTGGGTTAGGGCAGTTTTTAAAAGGGCGCTCTAAAGGCATAGAGGAAATCAGCTGGGCCATCAGCTGGTTGAGGTGGCTAGCTTCCATTGGCTGCGGATCAGCACTTGACATTGTGACCTGCCAGAACTAACGCTATGCTTCATTTTTCATCTTTCATCTTGCATTTATTATTTTTGTCTTGCTGTCCTGGTGGGCGTTGGCTTCCACACAGATCCTGGATCTGTCTGCCAATACAGATACAGCACATACAAGCACAGCAAACACAAATGTAAAGTCCTGAATCGTACTGTATAAAATAAACAATATTTATGATGATGATTCAAGTACAGTCGACCCCTGACAACCAAAGATCCCATAAGCCAGAGTCTTGTTCTCATTGTGTCTGCCGTTGTCTCTTTCACTTTGTACTGGTTTGGGTCCGCTGAGTTTTCGGCCCCGGGTTGAAGTCTCAGCCAAAGACGGCTCAGTGAAAAAGGTCCAAAGCTCTGCGCTGACACAGAGCCCAACTCTAGAGACTAATGGATTGTAGCTCCGAACATATGTTGCTCTGTGTAATTGCTTTAATTGCTGTCATTGTACATAATGGTCGGTCTTTTTCCCCTTCTCTGGTGGTGAAGGCATCCTGCTAATTATATCAGCCCTGCAGCCAAAAACAGCATTTTACTGTGAATTTAGCACAGTGAGGACTTTGTAGTCAGTGTTTTTGTATATAACTGTTGTGCGCGTGGGTGTAAATGACTGACTGCAAAGTTTCCAAATAGTTTATTTAAAGTTTCATTAGTAAATTCTTCATAAGTCCTCCTGAGATTTGTGTTACAATCTAAGATTCCTAGTTACAATGAGTTGAAATTCAGTCCAAATATCCTTCTTTTTTTTCCCTTTTCCAGGTACGACACAATCACCAACCAGTGGGAGACGGTTTCTCCTCTTCCTAAGCCGGTCCATTCAGCAGCAGCGACAGTGTGCGGGGGGAAGATTTACGTTTTTGGCGGTGTGAACGAGGCCGGGCGCTCAGCAGGTGTCCTCCAGTCCTACATCCTTCAGAGCAACACCTGGAGCTTCATTGAATCACCTATGATTGGTAAGAAGAGATGGTTCTTGACTCTTCTTTTCCCATTTAAAGGAGATTTACTCATTGAATCGTCTGTGTTTCGATTGAATCAGGAGTTTTTTTAAACTCGGCAAAACCAAATTTGTTCCTCCAGGCACAGTAAAAGTCAACAGAAAGTGTAGTGTTCGACCTTATCTGCCCCTGTTGTTTTGCTTCATTTCAGCGTTCACCCGCTGACATGTTATTGGCCAAACTCTGAAGTTTCTTACCTCACAAACCTGCAGCCACATTCCAGTCTTAGCCACCGGGGACCCGTGAAGGGTGTAGCAACAGAAGAAACGCTTAAACCGAGCTGCCATAACTCCGAGGTAGCAGCAAAAACACACGCTGTACGACTCCGAACACTGACAGCTGTGTTCCCTGTGCGGAGATTACATCCACAGGCGTTTATTTTCACTCGAAAAAATGTCTCTGTTTTCTTTAAATACATTTTTTACATAATTAGAGATTCTGGACTAGATTCTCGCTCCATTTAACACGCTGGAACAGAGCTATCTGAAAAATGAGTTATCTCAAACTGTGGCATTTTGTTGCATCAGGCAACATTTAGAGCAAGAAACACAGGGTCAAAAAAAGTGTCTGAATTCAAAATGTTTCCTGACAAGAAGTTGATCTCATGTCATTAAAGCAGCAGCATGGAGGCACTTCCTTCAGCTCTGCAGCCCAGAAACTTCCTCTCTGTTATTAGAGGCTTTTCGGAGCAGGACTACTGTGAGCAAAATTATGATTATGTAACGTGTGTGTGAGTGTGTGTGCGGTGGAAGCTGAGTGGAATTAAAGAGCTGACAGAGCGGCTTGCAGGGGAGAAAGGAGAGAGAAGTCTGTTAAGGAAGCATGATGCACACAGCATCTCCTGACCTCATGTCAACTCTGTCTGACACACGTAAAAAATTACGTAATGAGGAAGTAGGTCACTCTTCGTGCGTGTCGGGATGGTGTTTTCGTCGGCGTTCAGGACAAACTTCCATCAGTCGGTATGTAAATGTGCTTCATCTGACAGCCAGCAGATAATGGACGGGTTTAGACGAGCTTCCCGTGAAACTGGGCCGACAATAATTTGAGCGAGCCAGTGGGGAAATGCTTCTGGATCAGCCCTCTGATTCCCTCCATCTCTCTCTCTTATCTTCTTCTAAATCTCTCTCTCCTTGGCTGGTCTCTCAGCTCCGTCTCATCCACTGACATACATACAGCTGTGTGTGTTTCCTCTGACTGTGACTGTGTGTGTGTGTGTGTGTGTGTGTGTGTGTGTGTGTGTGTGTGTGTGTGTGTGTGTGTGTGTGTGTGTGTGTGTGTGTGTGTGTGTGTTCCCTGTGCTTTGACAGTTTCCGGCTTGAAGTGAAAATGGGATTCACAAACACTTATCAGGACTGACTTACTGTTTCTTGCAGAGTGAAAAATATGACTTGTGCCATAATTTTTCGGGACATTCGAACTTTTTGAGCTGCGGGTGTATTACATGAAGTAGCTGCATTTACATGGGCAGAAATAATCAGAATACACGCCAGATCAGAATAAAAAAGCTTCATATAAACATGTCAATCAGAAGATTCTGATCCAATTCGGCTCAATCGGAAAGAAATTTGTATTCCAATCGTTATTCCGAAACGCATCCATGTAAACACTTATTCTGGTCGTGACTCTCTAACCTGACTCGATATTTACTATTTAGCCTTTGGTTTATTTATTGAGGTCAGTACAGGAGGTTTCATTATAAACACTCTGGCATAAAATACAATCGCAGGAGCCGTATCTGCTCCTCCAGTAACATAACAAGGCGTACATACAGTGTAATGATGTCATATCTGCACCCACAGCGCAACCTTTGACAAAACTGTAAAATAAGTAAGCAAGGGCGCCATCTAGTGACAACATTTAACAGGGGGAAAACTCCTGAATTGGATAGAGTGAGCCACTACCACGTTTGGTTTGTTGACAGCACAGGTGTGAATACAACTCTTTTTCTAAGGGTTGTTTTAGCGAAATCAGACAACTCTGCGCATGTCCAAATGCCTCTTATCTGAAAGAAACTTGGTGCATGTATTCCCACGTCATGATCGGATTATTTGACTTTGCGCCCAGATTTTCCAATCCACCAAATTTTAATCAGATCAAGAAATTTTGCACGTGTAAACATGGCGAGTGAGATTTCTGTGGTATTCGCCTCATGCTCTCTATCATACATCATCCTTTCTCTGCTGTTTTCATTATTTTTATTAGTGATGCTCTTCGTCTAAACAACAAAAAGGATGTTTTCTGCTGCATTGCTTACCTTTTAATCTCATCCCAACTGAGGACACCCAGCACTTCATCTTTCAGAGGAGATTGTCTTGTTTATGTTGATGCTGACTGCTCATTTCTGTCTGTATCAGATAGAGCGCTCTAATCTGGATCCATACAGTTTGCAGTGTTGGTGTTATCGAGTAGATGTGTAAACTAAAGAGTGTGTGTGTGTGTGCTGCTCTTGCAGGTTTCATAGAATCAGATATGTGTTGTGTTGATGCAGGAGTCAGATAGGAAAGGAAATGAGACAACAACACAGTATTTGTTTGGACAGCAGCAGGAGATTGTCTCATGGCTGTGTGTCATGACCACCTGTCCTTGGCCTCAGCCTGAGGGTCCCAGACTTGGTGACACAGCTGTTTTATCACAGTGAGAGTCTGTATCAGCATATCTGTTGCCCTGCAGGCACAGCTGAACCTTTATCACCAAAGCTGGGTTAAAACCTTGTTTCTTTCTTTCTTTTTTTTTTTCCTGATGTTTATTTGAGGACAAAGAGGCCAATTCAGATTGTTTTGGTCGAGTTTTTTAACCTCAATGCTGCAAATCCAGACAAAATCCTTTGTGAGGCTTCAGAAATAGCAAGGTTCTTCTCAGAATAAGATCATTTTCGCTGACAAACACCACTCTGACCTCTTTTCTGTATCTCAGATTTTATTCCTGCAGAAATAGTTTGTTTTGCCGTATTGAAGGCCAGGGGGACGATGAGAGCAAATGCAGCGCAGAGGAAAGATGTTGAACAATGACAGCAGCCCTTTTTGGGCTGGTTAAATGAGAACGGAGACAAACCTGCCCAGTTCTTCTTCAACACTCAAACCTGCAGCAGGTTCATGAAAGAGACAGAGAGACATGCAGGAACCAGCAGCGAGGGTTTCTGAGGGGAGAAAAGAGAAACAGGTTTTTTTCCTTTGAGAGTGTCCTGTTATTATTCTGCCTCAAGCACCGAGCAGAGAGGAAGGAGTGTTCTGTGTTTAAGAGAGCAACACAAAACATGCACAAATGCTTTCGCAGAAGTGGATACCCATGTGCCGTGAAAGAATGGCAACAGCATATCAATGAGATGAAGACGAGGGGAAGGAAAATAGGCGCCAGGCAGAGTATGAGAAGGACCAATCAGAGGGACTCGTTTCTCGAGGGTAAAAATTGAAGCCGAAGCCTGAGAGGCACGAACTGTTTTCAGATTGGATTTTAGTGGTGAGGGATTCCAATGTTGTAGAACGTTCTTTTTGGAAATCTTGGAAAGAAGCGGTGGACCACCTGTGTCAGCGAACAGATGAAAAGCAACATCCAATACCTGGGAGAGCACTATTAATGCTGGCAGGTTTTGGAGAAACATCTGCAGGCACCCAGACAGACAGTTTTTCAGTGAAGACCTTGTATAATACGGTGAGAAAAATACCAAAACGCATTTGTTTACATATTATCACAGCACGGCTAAGCAGCAGAGTCCAGGTGTTAAACAATCCTACCTGCAGTCCTGATGTGTCGCCTGTTACATTCATCTGGCACACCATAACAAAAAAATCACAATACAATAAAGTTTTACATATTTGATGTCAGTACAATCATGTTAGCATTCTTACTGTGAAAGCAAGAGCATACGAGGTTAGCAACTAAATTAGGAGATGCTCTTACTGCAGCCTCACAAATCTGCTAGCATCCCTGCTAATGCTGAGGAAAAGATGTAGGGCTGGGCGATAAATCGAAAATTTACCGATACCGAAATTTACAACAATAACCAACGTCATTTTGCCCATATCAGTATATGCAGTGTCGAAAAATAAATAAATGAAAGTTGGTTTTGGATGTGTGTACCCACTGAGCATTTTCTGGTCTAAAAGAGGTCTAATAGACGTCTAAATGTAGTCTAGACGACTGGTCTAAAACCAGACTACCAAATGTCTAAAAATGAAAGTTTTCAGACGTCTAAATTTAGACCCAGTTTAGACTAGCCAGCTAACAGAGATCTACCAGTATATTGCTCAACGGCTATCATAATTATTTTGGTTTAGCTTGCCTTTTTAAATAAATACTTATTGCACTTATCGTGCAACATCTAAATTCCAATTACAGATATTCAGAATCTAGACAGTTGAAATAAGGTCTAAAAAATAACTACATGTCTAAAAGCCGTCTATTGCTCAGTGGGTAGGTAGGCTATGGTCTCATGTCCCTTTAAGACGCTGTCCTACGTCAGAGACGTGACTCCACCCCATTCAGTCTGTAACAAAGAGGGAAAGACGGGTGAGGAGATGGAGGACGGTTCAAAAGTTGTAGCGACTGGAGCGGCAGTTGAAGTAGACAAAGTTAATGTGGAAGGGGCTGAACAGCTTGTGGAGTAGTTGTCATCCATTTATCGCTATCGAGGTAAAACTGCTCAATATATCTTGATATTGATTTGAGGCCATATCGCCCAGCCCTAACCAGATGTTTGTGAAACTCTACTGTGGCACGGCAGTAGAGTCGGTCGTCTCTCAGAGTTTTAATCCTAGCTTCTGCAGTCTCTCCTCAGCGTCCTTGAGGACGACACTAAACCAAGAGTTGCTCTGTTATGAAGTCACTTTTGCGCCCCCTGACAGCGATGTATGAGTACAGTGTGAATAGATGAGGAGATAGTTGAGGTATGAGGTAAGGAAGTGTCGTTATTAAAGTGATTCGAAGAGTTCACAGCCGTGTGAATATGAAGCCTTTTCATTTCTGTTTCCTCTCCCGGTTGTGTACATTTACATCCCGAGTCTGTAATTACAGTACATTAAAGATTGAAAGCATAACACAGAGCCGCTCATTCAGAGTCAGCAGCACCTCTCACCCACACAGGTTACCTGTTAATTAAACATGTCCAACTCCTCTTACTAGAAGGGGGTCCTACCTCATAAAATAAGCTTTTAGAGTATTTTACAGCCAGTATTGAGGCGTCAGACATAATTCCTCCTGTTACCCGCCTTCAATAAGGGGATATCTGTTCACTGTGGCAGCAAACACAGAGGGAGGCAGCTCATGGCTGAATGTCTGCATTATTCATGCTGCTTATGAATTGGCCAGCTACCGTCGGCTCTGGAGAAATTGCTCTGAGTTTGAAATCCACTTCCTCTTCTCACGCAGCAGGGCCGCTGCTCAGAAGCTTTTCATCGATCCCACAAACCAATGTTTCATCCCGTTTTCCATCATCTCTAATACTACAGTGGCGCTGCTTTAATGCCTCTGTTTCCCTGGTGGGCTATACGCAGTATCAGATTAAATTATACAGTATGCACTATCTCACATGTTCACTCATACATTTCTAATACATGCAGTGTTTCTTTTTTTAGGTATGTGTTTCATAAAGCGTAAGCCAGCAGGCATGAATTATTGGCTTTTATATTGCAGCCGAGAACAAACATTTTTTTTTTTTTTTTTTACACAGATCAGAATGCCAAAGTGATTTATGAACTCCGCATTTTTATTGGTCTGTAGTCATTCCCTTTTTCCTATTTTTGGCAAAGCAATCTTGAGAATATCCCACCTGCAAAGCGATAAGGACAATGCAGATGATGATCTTTGCAGGTAGCCTGGGGTATAAAAGGGGAAAATATGAAAATCAGGAAATAAACATAAACAGACTGATGCCATTACACTGAAGGAATGACATTTAAACATAACTATGTGCACTCTAACAACTCCACACCCTTTCTTCTTCTGTTTCTTCAGATAACAAATACGCCCCTGCAGTGAGTCTGAATGGTTTGATCTTCATCCTGGGAGGAGCCTACGCTAGAGCCACCACCATCTACGACCCGGACAAAGGCAACATCAAGGCTGGTCCCAACATGAACCACTCTCGCCAGTTCTGCAGGTATGAGAGCCTTAAACTCTGCATTACTTTGGATTAGAAGTACTAGATCCAAATTTATTACACCTGATTGGATAATGGCCGGAACATTTATTATTTAATATTGAAATATTGATTTTTTTCCCCACTGAAATATGAAATTTTTTATCATACTAAAATATGTCACTTTTATCACACTATACTATGATTTTTTTTATCATACTTTACTAAGACATTTTATTCAGACAATACTATGAACATTTTTATTCATAATAAAATTGAAAATTTCTAACATATTATACTATGACATTTTTATCATACTCTACTAAGACATTTTTTTAATACTAAAATATAATTTTTTTTATCATACTATACCATGCCTTATTTATCATAACATACTATGACAATTTTTTTCATACCAAAATATGACATTTTTAACATACTATACTAAGACTTTTTTCATATTAAAATATAAAAATTTTATCATACTTAAGTTTGGCATTTTATCTCACTAAACTATTACATTTTTTGTACTAAAATATGAAAAAAAAATTCACACTTAAATTTGAAATTTTTAACATATTTTACTTTGACATTTTTATCATACTTCACTTTGACTTATATTTTTTTTTACTAAAATAAAAAACTTTTATCATAGTTTTAATGTCCCATTGGCCTGTTTGAAGTGCTCTTTAATGCAGGCATATCAATTTTACTGCTTTTTGCTTTTTATAATTTGTAGACACACAGTTGCTGAAAAAAGGGATGACTGAATATTAACAGCAGTGGGATCACTTTCTGATATTCAGCATGAAGCACTGAGGTGTGCTGTTTGCTGAACCATGGCTGCGCTGATTTCCACGCATGGGACATTTTTAGGTTTATTTCTTGCAGGACCTGATTTAGACTGTTGCAGATCCATTTGGGGAGAACTTACAGAGAGAACATGCAACATAAATATGATGTGCAGCTGTTCTGCTACCTTTACAAATACAAAGCTACAGGCAAGGAGGGAAGTAAAGGCAGTACAGAATAACACTCAAAAAATCTCTTTCTTCAGTAGTCGAGCAGAGTCAACATGCGGGAGAGCTGATATTCTCCCCTCACTGCATCCAGCTCTCTGCAGGCCTGCACCTCTCCTCTGTTTGTCAGGAAGAGCAGCTCCAGGCTTTGCCCTGCTTGATCTCCATTTTACATCAGCTGTGCTTTCTCTCCGAGTAGATTTGGGTTTATGTAATAATCTTTTTCAGTCCAGCAGGGATGTGAATTTGTTCCAGGAAGACTGCATGTTGTTCACTCTGCGTGTGTGTGAGTGTGCGTTTGTGTGCACCTTATGTAAATGTGGATTGTTTAAACCCCAAAAGGAGAACAAAGCCCCAATCAGTTTACAGGCAAAGTTTTAATCCCCTCCTCATGCAAACCCCTGTTTCTGTTCCTCATATCAAATGAGAACATTTTACAGGTATTTGATTTCATCACCCAAAGATATTACAGGAATTTTGTTTGTATTTATATCCACACCCTCCTAAGACTATAATACGCATGTTAAGGAGTTTTTTTTTTTCTCTTGTCTGACTTCATCCTATTACAAATTACAATTAGAGCAACACTCATGTGAGTCACAGCTTTCTGATATCAAAGCCACATTCGATTTTACACTTTCATTCATGCACTTATCAGTCCATCACAGACGTGAGAGCATTAGATGTAGTGTTAATTCCCTCTTATTTACAATGCTACATTATTGTCATGATGCATGAGTATGCTCTGTGAGGAAAATCAAGGCCTAGTGCACTCAGATAAATATAAAAACACTCTGTCTTCTCTCGCAGCGCTGTGATCCTAGACGGGAAGATCTTCACCACTGGAGGCATCGTGAGCAGCGAGGGTCCCGCCCTCGGCAACATGGAGACCTTTGACCCTTGCGCAAACACATGGACGCTCCTGCAGAATCTTCCCTGTCCGCTCTTCAGACACGGCTGTGTGGTGATCAAGAAGTACATTCAGAGCGGATGAGGGAAGATCTTGGACCCTAAACAAACTGGGTTTGATGCCAAACACCTGCTGAGCTGTGATTGAAGGTCGGTGTGTGCCTCGGGCCGGGGTTGGTCAGTCTGTGACCTCTAGACGCCAGCTTCCATCCACCTATTTCCTGTCCCATCCTACAGAGAAGCCCTGTGCAGAATGTACTCATGTTGAACTACTCAGCCTTGTCAGGTTATGATGCCTAAACTCCAGTACTGTACATGTCATGGTGGTAGATCATCCTCCATCCAACAGGCACAGGGACCCTCTCAGTAAACCTCTTTTTTAAACAAAGTCATCATCATCATTTCTGTTTTGTTTTCTGTGAACACATCGCCCCTTATGTTTCTTTACTCTATTCAGGGTGAGATTGCAGTCTCTTTTGGAGAATTATGGTCAACAGGTGAAGCTTTCAGGGTCAAATCTCAGAGAGCAGGTAAAGCAAAATCAAGTGAAGTTAAAACTTAAAATGTTTCTCTCTCAATCACGAGTTTCTCCTCTTTTCGCTTTGTCAGGAAATCTGCAGTGAGTGAATTGATAAGATCATTTTAAAAACACCACATGTTACCCAGCTCCTGTAAACTTAATGACTTACTGGGCTGAAAAACAAGATTTGGTTCTGGTACGTTCATCACACTGGATATCTATCTTGTGTACACGCAGGTCCAGTATTTGATATTGGCAAAGTCACTTGTTGACATAGTAAGTCTATCTATCTAGTCGGGGTGTTCCAATACAACTTTATTACTTCAGATATGATATTGATATTGTAGCCTTCTGTATTGGCTGATACCGATATCGATCAGATATTGGCACAAACTTATTAGTACTAGTAACTTGTTGGTTGAATGGGCTCTGCTCGATAGAGGTGCGATAACAGAGTCTGGATTGGACTGCTTGATATCTGAGATTTTAGATATGGGCCGATATTATCCAATATTTGTTTATTTGCTAGTATCAGACCAATATCTGATATCAGTATTGGATCACACGCCCCCTCCGATAGAGCAAGAAGCCGGCCAATTTCAATTGGACCGGCACGATCAAAACCATATATTAGCAGGGCGAAGAGGGTCAGGCGTCGCAACTGCTAACCGGTCAGAGCAGAGCCGACTGTGAGCGAGGCTTTACCTTTCTCGGCATGTCTTCACCAGCTCAGTTTTCAATGCTAAAGATGCGTGGCTAACTTATGCTAAAATCTATTGACAGAGCCTACCTATTTCAACCAACAACGTTTAGTCATTAGCCAGTATCGGCACAAACTAACCCGAGTTAGACATCTCCCACTGTAGTAACCAAAGTAATTAACTGTTCAACAGAAACTCTGGTGTCTCAGCATCAGTTTTCAGTCCCAAATCCTCCTGCAGCTTTTTCCACCGGTCGTATGTTTCTCCAATGTAGACTCTCCGTTGGCTTCTGTATCGCTCATATTTCTTCCTTACTCCAGCCTTTTTGCAGCGGATAGACTGTAGACTGAATGTTTTTTTTCTTTTTGGTTCTTTTTGATCTTTATATTGCGTAGATCAGACCATAGGACCATATTGGCCTTATAAACAGTGTTATTAATAAGTACCAAGCTTCCAAATGGTGGACCATATCTTTAAATTGACTAATCCTGCAGATGTACAGCAGACGTCCATTCACATACATAGATTTAGAGGATGCACTTTTTATGTTCCAATTGCGCTACACCACAAGACAGGGACCAAGGTGCTTCCAGTCATGTTTTCTAAGGCCCCGGGGTTTTTATGAGATGCATGCAAGCGGCACCGGACCTAGTAAAGGCTTGTATATTGGTGACAGCGGCCTTTCAAGAACCCTCAGGGCATTTGCAGTAAAGGGGGATTCCTCATGGCCATGTAACTGTGGTTCGATGAAATCTGGGGAACCACCAGAGCGCTTCCTTACATCTCTCACAGTGACACACACTGTCATACATCTTCTCCAGGTCACATGTAGCTTGTTAAATACTCAACCTGCACATGCACGAGACAGGCAGCCAGTGTGAGGAGCTGCCACTGAGAGTCTTAAAGAATTCATAGAACCTGAGTTACGTTAATTGGTGTAACTCCAGGCTGATATAGATATCTAAAGAGAGAGTTTTTTTTTTCCTCCCTTTGCTGTCTGAGATAAAGACCACACTCTAGTGAGAGTAAGTGAATTCAATCGCCCTGGAAAAAAAAGCACAATACGCACCTGTGACTGTTATCATTCTGTGTTCATTCATGATTTCTGGATTTCATCAGTTTGCCCGAAACCCTCTTCGTGTTTTGTATAATGTTTCCATTTTAAACCAGAAAATGAGTGGGGTTTGTATTCTGTAAATAAAGGAAGGGAATATGTATATTTTAAAATCTGAAAGAAATTCAGTGTAAAATGTTTTTTTAAAACCTGAAGAATAATCTGTATAAATGTTTTTAGAAAAAACATGTTTTAACTGCAAATGGTTTGTCTGTAAATACAGTATGCACTCAAAAAGATAATTTATTAGCTGTTATTGAAACCCAATACAAATATCTGAACAATTACTGTTTCATTTCTTTATTGGTATGAGAAACCATGGCTACAGTGAAGATTTTTAATCACATCTGTCATCAACTAGATTTTCTGCACATGTGCGTGGACTACCAATGAATACATCCTTTAAGTCCCACTCTGGTGGTTTTTCTTTTTACTACTTAAAGTGTTTTCAGTGGTCTTTAAATTGTCACATTAGCTAGGTCATTTTTAAGGGCTTTTCTTCTGCAGAGCTCCAGTAGCTCATTAGCAATTCGCCCCTGAGTTGTGGGCAAAGACAGTGCTGCTCTGCACACTTCTCTTCATGTTAGCTTGTAGCCTAACATTGCTAGTGTAGTAGAAGAAACATGTAACACAGGAGCTATTCAGCTCTAGAACACTCATGTCTTTGAAGACGCGTTGAAAGTTAATACCATAATTAGCTTTCTAAAAGCATTGTTCGCGATTGTCCTCTCTATTTCTCTAGCCTGCATAGCGTGGCTCCGGGGGCGGAGCTTAGATTTGTGATGTAGGAAATCTCACTGTGTCTGGGCCTGCAAATGCAATTTCCTACTTATTTATCTCATGATATGCCCCGTAGCATTAGAAAAATGCCATATATACATGTAGACAACAAGAAAAACATGATTTTCATCGGAGTGGGTCTTTAAAAATCTTAGAAAAAGTACATTTTCACTGAGGTAATATTCAAAAATTAAGAAATATGCAGTGTGGATGACACACCTTTGTTAGATTAAGAGGATTCACCACATGAAGTTTACAGTTTGAACCTTTTATTCAAGTATATCACAGCAGTTTATTTGAGAAATACAGTAAATGTTTCATTTCAAATATAACTTACACTAAAGTAACAATTGTGAACAGGTGTGTTAAATACACAAACAAACAGACAAAGCTATGGAAAGTCGACTAAATAAAACTGTGAAAAAAGGGAAGAACAAAGAAATTCAGGATAGAACAAACCCTTTCCTTCTGCATACTGGACTAAGTCGTCTCAACTACCAGACAAAAATTGGTTGTTAGTCCAAACTGGCTACAATTTATAATAAGAAAGGAAGATCACAATGTATGACATTAAACTACCCATTTTATTTCCATAAGTGTTTTTTTTTTAATTCATAAAAAATAATTCTTTTGGCAGAAAGTGGAGACAAAGTGAAGAACATTTAAAAGAAAGTTAGCCTGGTCCTGTTTTATTTTTTTAGGGATAAACTTGACAGACTCTACGGTTTGTTTAATATCACATCCATCTTAATGTCAGTCTCTTCCAGTATGCCACAGTCTGTAACCACATGAACAAAGAAAAACATCCGAACAATGAAATAAATAGAAAAGTGGAAAGGGCATGTTGTTGCGTGTTGAACCTGAGAGACCTGTAAACCCTTTATTCCCCCGCACACGCCGAATAAACATGCTACACAAACGCTACGCAATTCAGCAAAACGGTTAAAACGGACGCATGAAGCTTCCCCATTTGTTTAATTTCAAACAACACAAAAAAAAAAGACAATTTATCGAACATTAGATGTAAAACATGAACAATAAATAAAGACAATCATGAGATGAAACTCTGCAAAATAAAAAAAATAAAAAAAGAAGAAAAAGGCGATGGATGTGAGGAGGCAGAGAAAGATCTAGAGAACGTCTAAGAAGGTGAAGATCGAAATATGAAGGAGGAGCGGGTCTAGAATTAGCTCCTCAGTGAGAGTAGAAATGAACCTGAAACTAAACCATAAAATATACAGTTTATGAATTTCTGCAATCATCATCTGGCTCAAATGCAAACATACATAACAATTGGAGAGATATAAACTACTCTTGGATTACTGCAGCAGCTGTGGTTGCACTGATCTGGTACCTTCGCTGGTACTGTCGATGTTGCAACAGTATTTCAGGGGAGGGAAAATACTGTTTTTGTACCCAGTAAACAGTTTCCGCATTAAAATAAATTAAGCTGAGGTAGCGTTGTTTTTTTTTCTCTCTGCAGTAGTCCAAGTGCTAACCTGTCATTGCCAGTTTGCATATGATCTTTGCTTTAGTCACCAAACATTTGAGAAAAAAAGGCAGAGGTGAGCTGGGGTCAGAGTTGCACCAAGAGGTTTGAGGATTGGACAAGATAACTGGGAGAGAAAGAGAGAGCCTTCTCCAGTCGAAACCTGCTCAAAAATACGGCAAAATGCCTTTAAACCTTATAAAGCTTCAGTAAATACTTTATTTACTGCACTCAGAGAACATACTGTGTTGGCCACACATGAGAATCCAGCTTCTCTAGTCTGCTGTGGAGAAGAATAAAGTGAAAGTAATCCACACTGTCGGTTCACACATCTGAAGGAGGAAATCAAAAAAATAAATCATGCTTTTCCTTTTTTTTTTTTTTTTTTCTTTACACCTTAGTGACGGGCACTGCCTAGAATGGCCTTGTTCATTATGGATTCACAATCCCATGCAAAAAAAAATAATAATCTCAACTTAAGCAAAGCGTTGTATAAAAAAAAGTAAAAAATAATTATCAAATGCACAACATAATACATACGTTTTCATGACCAAATAAGAGAAAACTTTTCAGAGTGGATACAGAACAGGCACCGTCATGTCAGCACCTTTTTGAGCGTGAGAGAACACTTGGCACCATGAATCATTCGACTCCTCGGTTATTTCATTTGTTGCATATGAACAACTGAAGAAAAAAAAATGTGTGTTTTTCGTAGACTGGCTGTCTGCTTAAGCTGACACTGACCTCCTCGTCAGTCTGTCTTTTACAGGGCATGAATACATTTAAATATCATTACAACATTACAAGTGCTTGAGACGCGTCTGACTGAAGCCAGAGAGGGTAAGTAGCGTGTAAAATTCCTTCTTATTCCTCAGATGTACAAAGATTTTGGCCAGAGTTAGAAATGTTTCACCAAGATATGTTTTTAAAGACCTACTGACATTAAAGATTCCTATTTTTTTGATGCACAGAGACTTCTGCGACCTCAGTGGTTGGGAGCCACCCCTAACTCGGCGCCTGATCATCGTCACAAAATTAGCTGAAAAAGTCCTGCTCCGCATTTTCAGAGTTTTCATAGATAGATTTTTGAAATAAGGCACACACTAGGCAGTGCAAACTCTGGACGCCGTCCAATTTGTCCTGCTTCCAGTTCCTCAGCCAGGGTGTACGGGGGGAAAAATATCAACTGGTAGCACAGCTTGACAGGGAGGGGGAGATATCCAGACTGAGAATGTAATGAGGAGAGGGAGGGGGATTCAGCTAACACAACTGTTAAAAACATGACAATCTGCTAAGACTCAACGCAAGAGGTGGTCTGTGTGGGGGTGACCTGCAGGTAGCATTAGCTCATCAAACACTGAGGGGGCTAACAGCCTTCATAAAAGAGGACTTAATGGGTTGTAGTCCTGCTGTGCTAACCTCAACCGGTTGTTGTAAAACTTTGTAAACTATTGTTCTGGGTGAGTATCCTTGACGCTGGCTCAGATATTGAATTAATCAGGTAGCTAAAATGGTAGACAAAATGAGCCGAATAATAGCGAGGTGACGACTCGCCTGCGATGAAGTATTTCCACTCGAGGGCAAGATGGGCTCAGCGATGTAGTTCAGTGATTCAGAACATTATCTGTCCTCATCTCCTGGCGGCACTCTGCATTAATTCTGCTGGTGAGGATCTGAGCGTGTGTGTGTGTGTGTGTGTTTGTAGTATTAAGTGTGTGTGTGTGTGAGCGAGGATATGATAGCGCCGCTCAAAAGGGAGCAGCAGTCATGTTGCAATATGACATCACCCAATCTGTTGGTTTTGCTAGTCATCCGAGTTAAGAAGAAATCCCAAGAGCAGCATGGATAAAAAGTTAAGATAGCACCCGAGTAGCACCAGGGTTGCCCGTCACTGTTGGTGTGTGTGTGCATGTGTGTGACTGACACACCTCTAGGAGTTTGGTTGTGTAGAATGGGTTCTGGATCTGGCCAGGTTCCTGAGACGATAGCACCATTAAATGTCTCTGTCCTCAACCTTGTCCTCGTTGTGTTCCCCCTCCCTGCAGAAGAAGGGCGGTGTGTCTGTGTGTCTTCGTGTGTCTTGGTGTGTTTGTGTTGTCGAGGGCTGGACGCAGAAGTTCCTTCACTTTCCTCCGCTCAGTTTGTGTCTTTGTGGTCCCAGGCTTTCAGGATGCACCTGATAAGTTTTCTCTCTGTCTCACAGGAATGTATCAAAATGCTGGATTTTCTCCTCCATCTCCTGCGGCGACAGACACACACAAACAAACACAGAGGAGGACACACACAGTTAGTCTCAAGCAACACCGCTAACTGGATTGTGTTTATAAAAGCATCTGTGCACTCCGGTTTTATATAACTTGTGAATTTCCCACAGCTAACAACAGTTTCACCGTGATAGATGATATAAGTGAAGCAAAGCTGTGCTGGAATGAGACGGGTGATTTTTCTCAGCGTGAAAACAGCAGAGTTTGACACTGACTGAATCTGAACAGAGCCGGAGGAGAAGAGACGGATTTTAGTCCGCTATAGACCATGATTAATGCATTGAAGATGTTACACTGTGTGTGTTCTCCCATCCGAAAAGCTGAGTCACTCAGACAGACGCTGAGATCTGATACCAACCTCAAACATCTGCAAGTTAAGTTATAAACGGACAACTTTACTGTAAAAATAAATTCACTTTCCTTCTTTGAGAAACTAAGCTCTCGCTCACTCTGAGACTTTTCCATCTCTGACTAACAAAACAAAAAGCAAAGTGAGACATATTACTGGGGGTGCGCAGATGGCCAAGTGGGTTAGCCCACCCCATGTATGGGGACCGCTGTCCCTGCAGCCGACCATGTGCTGCATGTCCTCCTCCCTCTCTCTCTCTCTATCTCCCCACATTTCACCCTGTACTATCCATTAAAATTTTTTTTTTTTAAAAAGGGAAAAATTGCCCAAAAAGTAAATAAAAATAAAATAAATTAAGACAAATTAACAGGTTTTTAAGTTAATTGAGTGCTCTTAAATTCTATCCCCATTGAGACAACCGTGAGTGTTGCAAAAATGACTTTAAATTCAAAATATGAAATCTAGAGTTCAAATTAGGGCAGGGCGATAAACCGAACATTTACCGATACTGAAATTTACAACAATAACCAACGTCATTTTGCCCATATCAGTGCATTCGGTGTCAAAAAAATAAAGAAATAAAACTTGTTTTTTTAAGATGTGTGTAGGTAGGCTATAGTCTAATATCCCTTTAATACGCTGTCCTACATCAGAGACATGACTCCACCCCATCCAGTCCATAACAAAGAGGGAAAGACAGGTGAGGAGATATGGGAAGTTAACGTGGGAGTGGGTGAGCAGCTTGTGGAGTAGTTATCATCCATTTATCGTTGTCGAGGTGAAATGCTCAATATATCATGATATTGATTTGAGGCAATATCGCCCAGCCCTATTCAAAATGATCTCAAGTTCTCGTCTACTTGCAGTACATGTCAAACTGGTACTACGATGAAATAAAGTGAACAAAGTTTCCACCTGTTCAACCTTTCCAAGCTTTTCACTCTACTTATAACGGGGTTCAAAAACCAGAGCGAGCATGCAAACTGAGTAAAAGTTGCTGATGTGGAAAATCCCCTGAAAGCTTCAGCTCATCAGGCACAGCCTGTGTTTAGACACATTGATGCTTTTAACACTTCTCTGTTTGCAGCGTCTCGCTCTACACCCACGCGCAAATAAACTCCTCATCACTTTGATGCTTCGCGCCTCTGATGTAAAGTCTATCAGCCTGAAGCCAGATCACCTTGTCATCCTTGAAATACAGGAGGCAATCCAAACAAGGTTTTTGCACCTACACCCTCTGTTACCCCAATCCATCCAAATAAAACCTAATGTTCAGCCTGGAGAGCTCTTTTTCCTTCCAGTCGGAGTAGAAAGTAGCGAGACGGTTTGATTTCTCAGAAGGAATATTCCCTCGATTGGTAAAACATGGCAGATTAATGAGTCTGTCCTCCCAAGTGGGGCATCAATAAGAGAACTACAAGAGTAATCCAGTATTATTTGTTTTATTCTATTTGAACTTAATCAACTCTAGAGCAACTCATTAGTGACAACGATGTTGTAATTTTATTTTTAGTGTATCCTTCTCTCATAGCGGGTCCTTCTATCTCAAATACTTTGTTTTTCTTTATCCCAAGGTTCAATTTTTCTGAACCTTTGGAAGAAAACTGGTTACTGGGAGCTGTTTTTGTTCTAATATTTTATCACCAGGTACAAAAATGAGTTAAAAAAACAACTTTACATGCTGTTTGTAAGTTTCTGAAGACAACACACTTGGGTTGTGCACTACAGAAGCTGCTGTATGGGGGAGATATGTCCATGTAAGAGCATATATTGGTACAAAGGGTCTTGATTGAAGGTCTAAATTCTCTTTGTTAAATATGCAGACACTCAGATTTTGATGACTATCCCTGTGTGTATCAGAAGAAGACAGAATCAGTGAACTTTAAGACCGTTAGATTCAGTGTTTTCCACTTCTTTAAAATCATGACAAAGCCAACTAAAGACCTGCAGGAGATTCTTCAGTGGCCAACACACAAACGAGCAGAGAAATAGACATCAGCTGACGTGGCCAGCAGCGTGTAAAGCCCTGGAAAAGTCGCAGCCCAGGTTAGAGGTCAAAGGCACCCACAGGAGCTGAAATTACAGTCTGAGACACAAAGGAAAGAAACTGAAGGTCTGGGGCAACAACAAGAGCGTTTTGTGGATGAGATCAAAGCTGGCATGTTGTGTACAAAGCACAGAGAGGGTCCCTCTGGCTTTAACTCGGAGCAAGGTGCAGTCCACTCCATCTGCTGAAAGGTCAGCTCTTCTGAGATAGAGATGAGGTGAGCCCAGAGGAGGTCCAGGCCAGTGAAGGAGATAAATGTATGGATGCACTCCATTTGACTCATCTTTGGAGCAAGTGAAAAACACGAGGAACAACAACGGAGTGCAACATCAAGGGTTTAAACCCTGCATCCATGTGTGCATTTCTGTGTTTCTGGTGTTTGGAGAGGAACGGGGAAGTTGACCTGCTGCGAAAGCATGATGTGCGCTGGGAAGGCAGGCAAACAAAACACGTGCCAACAAGCTGACATTTCAACACCAATTTGGGCTGGTAGGATAAAATGAACCCAGACACAAGCCCTCCCTTTCCTCACCATCCACCAGCCAGCCTGTCGAGAGGCGGCACCACCTGGCTGACTGTTTGCTCCCCCCTCTTTCTCTGCTGCCTCCTCTCTCTGACATCCTGACAGCTAGCTCTGGCTACCAGCATCAAGATGCTGCCAGTTCTGGCCAGCTGTCTGCACTGACATCTACAGCAGCAGCAGATGACCAGATGGGATTCTGGGAAAATATACTGGAGCTATTTTAGTGAGGAACATTTTGAAGAGATCTCGACAGTAAAAACACGAAAAAAATGACCTTCTGTGAAGGACTTTTTTGTTCACCTACACTCACGGAGGAAAGAAATAAAGATGCAAGTGTATAAGTGTACCTTTTGTTGTCTGAAGAGACTAAAACTGAAAGATCGTTAAAGCTCGGCATCTCTTATTCAAACTGTTAAACAATTAGTGCTACAGTGATGAATAACTTGTTTTTTGTTCTAATAAAGAATTTCAAAAGGCTAATCCGAAAGAGTCTCACCTCCAGTAGCTGGGTTTTGTCGTACTCTCTACGGTGCTGGTAGATACACTGACTGAGGAGAGAGAAAAGTCTCTCTAGCTGCTCCACGCTGTAGCCTTCACTCTTCTTCACCGCCATGTCCAGAAGAGCCTGAAGAACAGAACAAATACCAACCATATTACACATAAAAAAAAAACTGACAGGGCACACAGTATACATTTACATGTGTTTGGAGAAACTATAATGAGTCAGACAGTGTTGAATAAGTGCTCACACCGGCTAATAGGTAATGTTGGTTCATGGAGATGAAGTGTTTGGAGGTCAGCTGTGTTCGAAAGCAATTAATATCAGATTGACAGTTAATTAAGGCGAATCATAATAAGAAAGAGTTTACATTTCACTGCTACTTTAATTACAACACTCTGGACAGTCCCTTTAACTGACCTGTTCCCCACATTTAACCAAAGCAGAGTCTGTATGTGTGCGTCTATTCAAACAAAAGAGCTCATCAGAATTCAAGGACGGATGCAGCAAAGGCCCAATAATTAAAGTTACCATCACTGACACAAGACAAACATATAAATTAAATACCCTCAGTGTGTGGGATACAGTGACTGTTTGTTCCACACATAATCCAAGGCACTGCCAAGGTCAATCAGACGTGATGTTCGCCAAAGCCTCATCAGCGAACGGCTAAGAGGAAATGACAGTAAGCCAAAGTAGAATTACAGAGGCAGAGACGTTAGTTTTATAACAGTCTTTGCACTTTTATAGAATTTGATTTCTTCTTTAAGGAGAGAACAGTTTTCCTGATTAACACAAAGACAACACAATGCTCTCGTTGAGTACAAAGTGGCTTTTCTATGTGAAGTCGTTATAATCATCACAGTTTCCTTCTCAGCTTCTTTGAATGAAATATACAGTATAAGATTCTTTCTGTGCCGTTTCTCTGGGAGTTTACCGGTGTGAAAACAGCCATGAAAAGACATAAGAGAGAGCCATTACTAAGAGATGCCAATTTCCACAGCAGTAGTATAAAAGCTCTAATGAGCATCATTGTATAAAGGCTTTAATTGGCACCATTACAGCCCATCTTGTATATGTGTAATGATGCGAAGACTCCGTCGTGACCTTCTCTTCATCCAACGACTGCTGCATTTTGTTTTATTTCTCATTATGTTTTCCATCTCCGGCTTAAAGAGCAACCACATATATAGAAACAATTTCATCTTTATCTGTTTCAGTGTTTATAACTCTCTTTAAGTCTTCGCCACTTTGTCTTTTCCTTTTTGTTTTCTCTCGTCCTCTCACGGTGAGCCACTTGATTGCAGTGCTGTACTTCCCAGCTTCTGTCATTGTGATCGGGGAGCTCTGTGACACTGTGGGATGAATGGTGAGTGTGTCTAACACAGGGCTCAGTGATTGAACCGCACACAAAGGGGCAGTAATCCCACGTGTTAAAGACTGCTACTGACATGGACCATTTCACCTGAAACCCCTCTAAAACCCCCTGATCTCCCGTCTTCCTCTCCCCATCTTTACTCAGGTCGCTTTCTGCACTCACATCTCTATCTATTCCCGTAATTGTTAACACAGCAGATGGAGCTAGGGGGCCTGGGATGAATATGTCTACAAGGAACAAAGCAGAACGATGGTAGAAGAGATTTGCATCAAACTGATCTCCTCATAAAAAGAAGCGATTTACTAAAACATAATGTCTGAATAATTGAATTTCTGTTTACATCTGAATTTGTACAGAACTCTGACAGGCCAGCTGCACTTTTATTTTAGCTTACCTTACAAAAAACTGATGTGCCATTCAAGCAGTGTTGAGTGTACTTGATATTAGGGCTTGGACAATATGCTTTTCTCCCGATTTAATTCTTCTACGATTTTTTGGGATGCCGATTCGATTTAAATTGCGTTTCTACGATATTGTTGATTTTCTCGATTTTTAGTCTGCATTTTTAACACCAGTGAAACAGTTGAATGATTGTGATTGTCTACTGACTATTCCAGGAACCATATTTCCCCAAAAAATATATATAACATGTAAATCAGTTTTTAAGATTTATTCTTAAATTTGAAAAAGAAAAAAAAAATCGTTTTTTTTACAAAAAAAAAAATCGATTTAAAAATTGTAAAACAAAAAATCGCGAAACTTATGTGAATCGATTTTTTCTCCCACCCCTACCTGATATATTGGCAAAATATTAGTGATCTAATCCAGCAGCCTCACAGTATTAAAAAAAGTTTCTCTTATGTAATCACAAAGTTTTGTTAGTACTACACGCCTCAATGCAGTAATTCTAATGTTGTTGTGCTTTTAATTACTGTCATTTTAGATTAAAAGTCTATTATGAAAATACCTCTTGCAAGTCAAAGGTCTTTACATCATACATGGACACTGGAAGTACACATTAAGTAAAGGGTACTACTCTAAGATCGCTGAAAGACTGATATTTTCCTGATTCACCTCACCAGGTTTCTCTTGTCTTCAATACTGATGTTTGAATAACGAATGATTTTGATTCGTCTGTTTCCATGAAAACCATGACAGCCATCAGTGAGGACAGAGGGTGAATTTGACACAGGTGGATGGAGAGCTACTGAGGTAAGAAAATCAAGTTATGGTGGCACATAATGTGGCGCTCAGTCACACAGGTAATGCGACAGATAGTGTCATAAGGGTCAGGGACAATCATGACAAATCACATTAGCATGCTCCTGGCATATAAAATAAAACGGTCCCCCCTTCTGCTGTGCAGAGGTTCATCCATACTGAGGTTCCTGATTCCTCTTAAATATGAAAAGAGTCATTTTGGATACAACATAACATCTCTGGTATTTTCTATCTGATAGATTTGCATATTTATTTGCAATCCAGAGAAGGAAAACAGCTTCTCGTTCTGTGCTCTTTAGCAAAGGGTCTACACTGAACAGCAACATCATTATCATAACATACATTATTTATGTGCTTTGAGTATTTTTCTCTGATAACTGTGCGTTTTAAACCAAGATGTATTTAAATGATCTCTACTAAGGTTTTGAATACCAGATATTCCTAACTCTAAATGTCACCATATTTACTTGAATATTAATGTATCATTCTCATTATTATGAGCGTCACTGATAACTCATTATACCCCTGACTACCACAGGTTTGAGCCATGATAAAACAACTCATCTATTCAAAAGAAAATAAACAAGTTGTGAGAAAATATCTGGTTTGGTTACTAGGCTGCAGGAAAAGATGTTAATATTTTATGGATTTAAGACGGCGGAGATCCAAAAACGCTAGCTAATAATGCAGAATAAGAACCCTAAGCCTTTACACAAAGAAAACAAAACACATCTCCCGAACTACGAGAAAAATAACAAAAACAGAAAATGTCAAGTTCGGTCATGGTTGTTGGAGAGATTGGCCATCAATTAGCTGCTGTAAACAAAGACGGTTCATGTAATGTCCTTTATATAGATAGTGCAAACACTGTGGGAGTGTGTGTCGGAAAGGGAAGGGTGATATACAGAGAAACATGCTGACAAAGCAAAACCATTTCAGACTGTCTGAAAAAAAATATATACATAAATATACGCAGCCAGGGAAAACTGAACGTTCCCACCCAGTCGTATAAATCAACTCATTATATTCCTGTTATCCAAACACTGGAAGGATTCAAGTGATGAGGCTGGAGCAACATTAGTTAGCATTAGGGCCCAACTGATATGGACCGATACCATACTGTAGATATACTGTAGGCTACTGCTCTTCACGCCGACAGGAAAACCGACTGATCAACCCCCTGAGACTGAGTTTAGGGATCAGAAGAAAGGGGTTAGAGGGGATATTTTGTTAGGTTTGACTTGTTTAGATTTTCCTCAGCTTATTAGACATTTCTTCTCAACTGTATTAGTATATAAGTCGACTGAATTGATGTTGTTGCGTGTACATATTGTTTTGTGTAAAAATGTTTTAAAGGCCATTAAGATTTTACTGGTGAGGGAGGAGACTTGAGGGTAGAGAAGCCAGGTGAGATTGGGCAGTGAGTGTGTGAGAGGGGGGAGGGGCTCTTCTGCTGGCCTGCTGCTGCAATTAAGGGGGATCAGCTACACCTGAGGAGTGTGGCTGTCTACCAGGAGTATTTTGTTGCTGCATGTGGTTGAGACTCAGCGGGTTTTTGGTGTGTGAAGTGTCAGTAAAAAGCCAAAGCTCTGGAACCTGTTGCTCTTTATTCTGCCGTCCTGCTCTACATCCTTTCTGCCCTCACATCTAAAACCTTACAGTCGTATAACTTACCTTACCCCTAGTTGCGATGTTGAGGTCTAGTTAGTGTTGGACTATTTTGTGCCAAAGCGCTTACTGTGCAAATGCCTGTTTCGGGAAATTGAGAAAATTCCCAGAAATACCGGGGGTGTTTTGGCTTCAAATTCGTAAAATGACGGGAGGCGGAGCCACGTTGTCCACTCTATATACAGTCTATGGTCTGTATTTATTACCACTTAAAAAGTTGGACCGGTGCACCCCTAATATCTTGCAGCGTGAGCCACTTACAAGACTGCTTCTCATATGCAGATTCGGCTATTTAAGTGCAATTCAAGCACAAACGGCTGCACCATCAAAGGCATGAGTAAGATTAAATAGAAATAAGAGCAGCTCTTCGTACGCTATCTATTTTTACTGTCAATCAAACTCTAGTCCAGCACTGCTATTAAGCTGTTTACTTTTCAACTAACATATTCATGATGGCCACTTTGCCAGAGAGCCCCCCTGCTGATATTAGGAGTAAATTTGATGGAAGGTGGAAAAATTACACTAGACCATTTCCCCTGACAGGCTCCTCTGAAGCAGGAAATCCTGAAATACTGTAATAGTGAAGTATCAAGCCAGAGGACCTCATACTATGCCAGAAACTAGAAACACTCACTCCTTGTGGGCAGCTGCTGCCGAAAACAGCAGAGTAGGCGATAATCTGTGTGTTCTCTGTCAAATAGAGAGAAATTTTCCAGGCCAGATTTCATGTTTCTGTGGTCTTGTGTCTAAAATCGTCAGCATCACTTCTTCCAGTCCATCTGTTGACAAGTGTCTGATTACTGATGAAAGCAAACAGCTGACTATCAGAAACATTTTGGAGCAGAAAGACAAACACGCCTCGAAACCTATTTACTCATGCTGAGATTTTCATCCAGAAGGCATTGAGTAACATTTCATCCAAACTGGCAATAACATGATTTGATTTTGTTAAGCATATCAGAGTATAACTGACTGTACCATGGCTCAGGAATATAAAAGTGATACCATGTCTGTCCTACAGGCTGTGAGTGCTGAACTTGATACACTCTGATGGTGTTTCATTACAGACAGATTTAAAGTCTCCTTCTTCAAATTAAAAAGTTAGAAATTGTGAATCCTCTGCAATCAATGAATGCTTCTGATGGAGCAGTACACCACCCACTTCAGGCCAAAATACACATCAGACAGCCTGCCAGCCTCGGCCCTGTGAGCAAACACCGACTCTTCCTGCTTATTTAACATTGAATTTGTTCTGTCGGACAGGAATGAAAACAAAATCATTCACAGTGAACTTTTTTCACAATATGCTTCTTTGAGATATCCCTTCTCCACTCTCCAACAAATAAACCTCCACATTAGTTCTGTGTGCGGTTCTTCATCGGGGCAGCCGGCTGAGGCACTGAGATCAAGCCAACTAAAAAGCCTGTCAATCACTTTGAATGAGAGAGTCAAGTTCAGGAAGACAGAGCACATACCCTGCTGTCCTCATCACACTCAGGGGGACACGGGTAAAAGCCACCAGATAATAGCTTGGTAGCTGGATGTCACTTTGGAGCACAAAGGAAAGAAGTACACTCGTGTCAGAAGACACTTCTTTTACATCAATTACACCACAGGGCGCCCTACAGCCAAACACCCCCCACCTGATCAGTGAGAAGTGCTGTCAGGGGAACCCACTGAACCAAGGCTTCAATTTACACTCGGGGTATTAGCCGGGACCCCAGTGTGACTGTGCAAAGCACATTGGAGCTGCTCCACTTGCTCTTTTTTTTTGCTTTGACACATGCTGGTGGACGCAGTGACGTGAGGAGAAGCTCATGTTTGAGTCATAAACCGCAGAAACAACACCTGTTGATTGAGAGATGTGAACGTAGTCTGTTACTGTAATTGGGGCTCAAATGTACAGTTATAAAGTGAAGAGAGGAGAGACAATGTGACATGACTAAAGTGTGAATGGAAAAGGCAAAATAAGCCTGAGCAGTCAGAGTTATCCATGTGAGGAGGAGAGAGTGACAGCATCAGCTCACATGAAGCTTAAAGCTGGTTACCCATGGCTGAGTTTCCTCTTCCTCCATGCTGAAGCCACATTTCATGAAGATTTTCAATGTATGTGCCGACTTCTTAGGCCAAGTTTTAACAATAATAACTCATAAATTACCTCAGTATTAATTCCCCTTTTACAAGTTTGATGATATGGAAAGGATGAAGGACAAAGAGATGGAGAAGTTTGAGTCCTTCAGCTCACCAATGAAGGCAAACGCCCACAAAAATCTTAAGCGGAGGTGTTTCGCCAAATGCAGAGATGAGCGGCGTACAGAACATGTGTCGGTTCAAGCTGGCGAGAAGATGGAAGAACCAGTGGAGCTACGTCCTCTGGCTCTTTAAAGATAACGCAAACGGCAGTCAAACCGAGCAGGGCCAAGTTGAATGCCATGGTCGAGCCAATGAAAATGCGCTGAGTGATTCATCCCGCAGCCTTTGCATATAAATGTCTGCACATAAAGAGCAATTCGATCATCCAGAGAAGCAGAAGAGACCGCCATAGAAAGCTGAAATCAAGTACAGTAGGGGTGCTCCAAATACCAGCGGTCATTTTCCCTCTACTTCATCATCACAGTACCTTTTAAATTAACAATTCATAGTCAGTGAATTGCACAGCCAATGAAAATGGAATAAAATGATAACTGCATGCGTGGAATCAAGAAGGATTGTTGCTGGGCTTTCTGGAAAAATCTTACCGAAAGTCGCTGGTGGTCGACCACGACTGGAGGACGGGGAGGGACTGGCTGTGGCTGCTCCTCTGTCCTCTCAGCAGATCCCTTCAGCTGCTCTGACGGACTTCTGGTACGTTTCCTGGCTTTGAAAACCCCTAATGGACAGATTTTTGTTGAAGGAAGAGTTAACAATCGCGGCTGCAAAGACTTCACGCGATCGCAAACATCTGGATACGAACAGAGGAGCTTTATTAATAAATGTGTTTTTCTCATTAAACGAGAACCACATTAGCGTAATTCAAGAGCATATGGAGGACATCCACTCGAAGCTACGAGAGGCACAACATCTGGCCTCTTTCCTGTCCGTTCATATCGAGGTCCAAGAAAAACCCTTTGATGGAAACAAAAGGCTCAACTCATCAGCTTGAAAGCTTGAAAGTGAGGGTGGTGCAGCTGACTTTGTCTTCCGTTTGAGGAGCTACAGTTTGTGTCAGCATCCATCCTCTGACGACTCCTCCATACTGTAATAGCCTCATTACCTCAGCTTCCAAACGTTCTTGCTCATCTCTGTCCCAAACACTACAGAAGAGCATTTCAAGATCCGTATTGGAAGGTTGGCAGTGTCTACAATAGCTATATATATAATTACTAAAGTGGTTGAAACTCTCTGCTGTGCCAGGAGAGACATCTTTTGGAGTCTGAATAACTGATGTTGCATTATTCATGCACTGTATTCTGAAGGCTTAACAGAGCGTAAATCAGACGAGCCAGAAGATAATCAAACACTGATTTCTCATCTTAATTAGGAGGTGGGCGAAGCGCTGACTTGGATGTCTCAAACCGAGTGCACTTTGTTAACATGCTTAATTGCTTATCGGGGAAAGATCAAATAATCAGCGAGTAGAATGAGGAAACTTGAAGTGGAAGTGGGTGAAAACTCCCACCTGTGTCTTCTTACTCCCCTGAGATACACTCATCAACTACTGGGAAAACAGAAAAACTGGGAGTGAGGGATGTGTTAACCTTCTGATCTGAGACTCAAAGTGTGTTTTAGTCAGAGAAATTCACAGTAAACTGAGTAATCAAACCTGAGTCCAAAGATTCATACCTTCTTTATCTTGATCTTCCTCAGTGTTGTCTGTTACTGTCTCTCCATCCTGAGGAGGGTGCTCCTGAGTTTGTTTGCTCTCACTTGTGTCTTTGTGCTCTTCATGATCTGCATTATGAGAGCCCTCAGCCGTACTTTGAGGAGTCCTTTTCTCGGCATCGCTGCTCCTATCGAGGTTCTGGGAGTCCAGGCTGTCCATTGAATCGTTCCCATTCACACAATCCATATGCGATTCCAGGAGACCATCTGTATGCTGGGCCTCAGCATCTGAGGACTTGTTTGTTTCGATTGAAGGCTGGATGTCAGCCTGCTCGGCCTGAATATTCTCGTCTGCTTTGCACTGAGAAGCATCTCCTGGACTCTGCGGCTCAATGTGTTCCTCTTTTCCTTCGGACTCCAGCTCTTTGGCTGTGGGCTTCTCTTCCGTAGGTGCTGGCTCTTCTCTGGCGTCACTGGCATCTGAAGTCACAGTAACAGGAGGCTCATTGGAGCTCTCCTCCTCTGTGGAGGGGAGGTGGGGGTGATGACCGTTCGGCTCAGGACCCATTGTATCGCACGAGGAGTCCTCATCTTGCGTCAAACACGAGTCACTGGGTCCTGTGACTTCCACTTCTGGCTCAGGCTCCTCCTCCTCTTCCTCTTCTGTCCCTTTCTTGTAGCTCTTCTTCTTGCGGATGATGCCCCGCCCCCAAGATGGCCGGCGGCGAATCCTCCGCTTTAATGGAGCTGCGATGGAGAGAGGACAGAGAGATAGGGACACATTAAACATCAGTTCAAACAAGCACCAACAATCAACAACATATCAGGTGTGGATGGCTGGCTTGACTTTGCCAACAACAGGAACTCTTAGGGCTGGGCGATAAATCGAAAATTTACAGATACCGAAATTTACGACAATAACCAACATTATTTTGCTCATGTCAATATATTTGGTGTCAAATAAATCAATAACGGTGGTTTTGGATGTCCCTATAAGACGCTGTCCTACGTTGGAGACGTGACTCCACCCCAACCAGTCCATAACAAAGACGGAAAGACAGGTGAGGAGATGGAGGACTATTCAAAAGTTGTAGTGGCTGAAGTAAATGAAATTAATGTGGGAGTAAGCAGCTTGTGGAGTAGTTATCGTCCATTTATCGTAATCGAGGTGAACTGCTGAATATATTACGATATGGATTTGAGGTCATATCGCCCAGCCCTAGAACTCTGATAAAGATATTTTTTCCAGTTACTGACTCAGAACCTTGTTTTTGACACTTCTTATATTACGTAGTTTTGAAGGCAGAGGGATGACAAGAACTGCAAGAGAGAAGCAGATAAATTCAACAGCCAAGCTGCATCATAGATGTTTGACTCCGATGACAACAGATGGTGCAGCGAATTCTAAGGGGAAAGGAAAATGAGAGAGCAGTAAAAGTGTCACAGCGAGCAAGATTGCTAAATGCTGTGAAAATTCAAGGTTTTGCCTTCATTTAATGCCTTGCTCCAGTTAGATACTTAGACATAACTTTTCATAAAGAAAAGAGCAGAGGCAGAGAGACAGAGTGGAGAATAAAAAACAGAATAAAGCTCCCCTGAGATTTTAAACTTGACCATGAGTGGCATTACCATGACCTGAAAGTGAATTAAGGTCTTGGCTTCTCATTGCTAAATCATACGTGCTGAGTCACTTTTGACTATTTTTGAGGCTGCATAATTCAGAGCACTTCAGGATGAAACAGTTATCATTTTTCTTTAAAAAGGAAAAAAAAACTTTGAAAGGTCCTGCGTTAGCGCTTAAGGGTGGAGAGGGATATGAGATAGAGATATCAGATCACAATGGACTAATTAAAATCTATGACATCCTCTCCATTTTTATTCCATCAGGGGGTACTGGAACAATCTACTGTCAGAGTGAGATCAATAATACATGCAAGAGAACTCACTATACGCTGTGAGCAGAGCCTTCGCCTGAATCATACTGCAGAAAGACTCCACGGTACAAAACTTCATCTGAACCACAATCCTCCTCTATCTTCTGAATATTTTAAAACTCGGGCTCTGCAGCCACACATAAGATATGAATATGATCATTGTGCCTCCACTGGAGGGAGTGGAAAATAAATCCTTAAGTAAACTACTCGTTCACAACAGAGAGGGAGCAGGCAGCGAAAAGCAATTACACATGCTGAAATCCCATATCGCCGAGAGAAATGAGAAAATTTCCAGAGCAGGTAATGTTAATGGACTCAGGACTCTCTTTAGTTTTGGTGTCTTCTTAGTCACTAGGGTTTCATACCACACAACTAGGGGGCACAGAGCACACCTGGTGTTCTCTAGAATCAACTAGAAATTCTTAAATCAACAAATTAATGTGTATTTCACGTCAATGAATCCAACATAGTGTAAAAGTAGGGCTGGGCGATAAACCGAAAATTTACCAATACCGAAATTTACGACAATAAACGACATCATTTTGCCCATGTCAATATATATTCGGTGTCAAAAAATCCAATAAATAAAAGTTGGTTTTGGATGTGTGTATGTATGCTATGGTCTCATGTCCCTTTAAGACGCTGTCCGTAACAAAGAGGGAAAGACGGGTGAGGAGATGGAGGACTATTCAAAAGTTGGAGCGACTGGAGCGGCGGCTGAAGTAGACGAAGTTAATGTGGGAGGGCGTGAGCAGCTTGTGGAGTAGTTATCGTCCATTTATGGTTATCAAGGTGAACTGCTCAATATATCGTGATATTCATTTTAAGGCCATGTCGCCTATCCCTACATAACAGTCTAACATAGTTAAACTCTGGAATAGGTCACTCCTTCCTCCAATATTACAATGGAGGAATATTCTTTATTTTAAAAAAAGTTACAAACGTTTGAAAAACAAGTAGTAAAGGAGAGACAGCTCATCTGGATTTATGCAAAGATGTCACAAAAACTGAAGTGTTATAACAACAAATCACAGCACTGCAGGGAGTTATGTGCCCGAAATATCTAAGTCAGGACAATTAACAGCCTAGATTCCCCGTTAGTTGCCAAGCAACTGGTGCCAAATGTTTTCTTAATCCAAACTGAAAAGGCCAAGGGCATACTGTAAAAGATAAAATTCTTAATATGATTAAAAAATAATTATATTTTGAATGCAATGAAGATGTTGATTTACCAGTTAATGAGCTGTGTAATAACCAAAGAGGGTGCCATACTATGTACCCTCCGTACATTTTATATAAATCTTCCCCATTATACAATGCAACAGAAATTCAGCTATTAACATTTTTATTATATCCTTAAAATTAATATATCTTTGATTAAATTTCATGTTTCACTCAAAATATTACCTTAGAAAACTACACCAGTAATTCTCAATACATGTATCAGTGTTTTCAGGAACACCGGTCTGGCCAATCCAGCTGCCCGATCAATCTAAACTCACACAGACAGTCCTTTGGAACCAGGACGGATGCTGTCTTATTCAATAATCTACTTACTTCCCTGTTGTTGCATGTGAGACCTGTGCGTATGTGTGTGTTTTCATGGCGGTGAACCTTGTCCTTGCCTTGTAAGAATGGTTACCCTCTAAATCTCATTTTTAGGACACTGGGCTTACATTCAGCGAAACTCATGCTGGGAAACAAATTACAACGTTTTGGAACCAAGGACACGAGTGCAATAAAGAGTGAATAAATATGTGAATAAATATGAGTTTTGGTGCGGTCATATGTTTCATTTCCATCTGCTCATCTCGGTGGAAGCGGAGTCCAAATGATGGAAAATTTGGTTCAGTGACAGAATGTGAATGTAGATATCAGCGCAGAATTGTAGCAGATACAGATGCAGACTGCAAGAAGACCCTAACCGGAAAAATATTAGACTTTCAGATTTGACTGAGAAATAAATGAGGCATGAAACAGCGAGTGATTTGAGAAAAATCACAAGGATGAAATGTGATCATGGATAAAGTTGTTTGAAGGGCTGAACCAGAATAAAAGTATTTTACAAAGGTAAACTGAGGTGTTGTTTGGGCAAAGACCAAACTCATTAGGTCTCAAGTTGTCAAGATTTTAAAAGGTACAAACTTCAATAAATGAAAAAGTGTAAATACTGTAGAAGCTCTGATGTCAACCTAGTTGTACTCCTCTAGAAAAAAGAAAATGATTTTTATCATGAGATGTCCCCACTGAAAGCTAATCTGCTGTCCTCCAACCAATAAGTTTTATATATATATATAAATAAAAGATAGAGGTTACTGTATGAGTGCAGCTTCTTGCATGCAGAGCCGTGTCGTGCACGGTCACAAGCCAGCTCAGCTCTTTGTCACCCTTGTTCAGTGGAGTCGTCTGGAGTCGAGGCCTCAATCTTGTAACATTAATGGAGTATTGATCCACCTCGCCCTCATCACCTGCAACTCACGGTGAGGTGCTCGGAGTTTGGAGTTGTGTCACAAAACAAAACATTAAACAGTCTGGAGAGCTGGAATTTTTGTTCACACTGTTTGCATCCACGAGAAGGAGAAGTAACAGTGATGTATTTTTTATCAAGCTGAAATACTTGGAGAAGAAAAGCTGAGTTGTATTCTTTTTTTTATAAAAACCTTTTCATATAGATGTCCAGACTACCTTTAACTTTGCCAATGGTAAATAGACTGGTGCAGATATGACACTTGTCTGGTCTTGACGCCCACACGGCTTTTACCTATTCAAAGCACAATCATACACTTACAGTAGAGGATGCCATTGCAAAGACCATCACTATTAACTTATTTTATTTATTCACACTCACACACACACAAAAATCTGCGTGCGATTCAAGTCCCAAGGACTGTTCAGCATTGGATTGGAGAAACTGAAATCGATCCGCCAAAATGAGAGACAGCTGACATTTCGCATTATTGAGATAAGAAACAATAAAGGCTCATCATATGTGATAAGATAAGAAGATAAGAACTTTATTTATCCCAGAAGATAGGTTCAATGTGCTGCATTTCTTTAAAGTTGGCATGTTTTACTATGAAAAGGTCAAATAATTTCAAGACTCGTTAGTGAGAGCTCTTATAATTCTGCAAAAATAATTTATTCCCTAAAAGTATACTTACTCATCACTTCCCTTTCTGCCTTTTTTTACTTCAGAGTAATTTTGCAGATCTGTAATTAACTGACATCACATCTCAAGCTGCATTTCCTCTTCTGTAAATGTTGAAGAAATTTTAATGGCTTTTAGCTTAAACAAAATAAATCATTTACATTTTCTCTTTAGAAATATTTACTCTGAACACCCACCCTGGGACATTTAGGAAACTCAAGTGAAGAGAATAACGGTCTTTAAAATGAAAATTGCGTAAATCACTGTTGGTTATATTTAATGATTTCTTTACTCTAAGGAGGTAAGATTAAAAAAAAAAAAAACAAGTCTGTCTTCAATCAATTTCTAAACATTAATTCATACTGAAAGATAAAGCACAAGTGTTCTAAACTAGTATATAACAGGCAATAGGATACGCCGTGGGAAACACCAAGGGGCCAGAAAGGCTGTCATGGTTACACGGGGCCTTGGGGTCTGTGGGTCAGCCATCTGTCACACAATGTGACACTCCACACTGACACTTAATGAAATGTCCAGATCAATAAATGATCCCATCCTTGCCTCCAGAGCAGAAGGAAATCAGTCACGTTGACTGCTGTGCTGCTTCCTTCTGATTCCCTTCGAGCTCTTTGTCACCTTAAAACCTGCACAGCTACACCATCTTCTATAAACATGTTGGAAATAATTTAACCACTGTGTCTTTGTGCTAAGAGTGAAGCTACAGTCCACTGTAAGGTGGCTCTTTATCTCACAGCAAATATTCAGCATCTCCAAACAGGAAATCAGCCATGAGGTGCATGAATTGAAGGTTTAACTCATTCAGCACATGTATTTATTCCTGTCCCCTCTCCTCTCTGCTGCTCAGTAAATGGCCAGTGGGATGAAAATGCCTGTGGTGCCCTCCTCTTAGAAGACAGATATGCCCCAATGCATCAGCAGCTCCAAGTAATGTTGAGGATGTCAGTCAACGCTCACTTGTACATACAAAGCAGGTTATGAAAGCCTCCTGAGGGACAGGTCTGTTGCTCCCGGTCAAAACACGCATTCAGACAGGCTGTATGGCAGGAGCAATGAGGATCAGGGATGTGCGGCAGCTAGGTTGACTCATATGACTGATGTATGAGTTTTCACCCTGGTAAATGGAAAAGAGCTTCCTCTGCTGCGAGCTGCTGTTTCAATGAAACACCTTGAAATCCTGTTTTTTTCACAGTATTTAACTTTTAGACCTTGAGATGTGTCACAGAGAACAAGTTCTTTGCAAACTTCTTAAATCTTCTTTCAAATCGAAGAAAACATACAACCTAGATAGCTGTGGTAAAAGCCTTCAAAAAGTATATCAATAGGATCCCATTGTCTTCATTACTCCCTGATTAAATGTTACTGTTACATTTGCTCACACTTTACTGATCAGAGTAGTAGATGCAGAGAAGCCACTCTACTTTTTTCTCCAGACTCTCACCTTTGCAAATTTAAACAGATTTGTTACAAATTGGATTCCCTGTGGGTCTATTAAAGAATACGATCTGTCACACAGAGTTATTAAGATTTTACACAGGTAGTCTTCGCTCTATAGACCCGGTTTAAGATTTATAATTCCTTTTTTGTGAAGAAAAATATCTGTTCTTCTAAATCCTAAATTAGATGTTGGTTTGAATTGATTGTGGATCATGCGCTACCACTCCAACCCAGACAGTGTCTAGACTCAGAGTAATCCTAACTTAGATTTCCCTATATTGCAGTTGGTGGACTTTGAGGTGTTGGGGGGGTTGATATTGATCGTTCCCAGTCTCGAGGCAGTGGTCAGAACAGAGTCAAAAAGGCCCGTATTAACATTCAATCGCAGTGATGATGTTCCGGCTGAAATTTACACAACTGGTGCTTTCTATGCAGTCACTCCTACACCTGTTTTCACAACCTGAACAGGTTCTGCAATAAAAAGATTTTCCTAAAGTGGATTATGATTGAATGTAGCAATTTGGCATGATTACATTTAAAGAACCAAGGGTAAATTCTGAATAAGTCTTGCATAAAAGGACCAAGGATGGGATTTGCAATAGACAAAAAGCAGCAAAACATAAAGTGCACTGAACTCATTTAACATCTCAACTCTATATATGACTCACTTAGGGTGCCAATGATCAGATGCGAATACAAAAATTAGCCATGAACAATCCTCTCAAGAGAGAAACGATTTAATCAGGTAAATAAGCTTTACACACAGTCGTTAATGATCTGTGAGAGAGAAACATAGGATGGTGCCACATCAAAAACAAAAAAATAGAAATGCCAGGTATTTCAAATCCAGTGATCTAACTGATGTTATGTGCTGTGTATCAGTGAGTCACATGCAAGGATCGGAATAGTTTGGTAATAACTCTGAACCATTAACAGGTTTTAAGGAGGGACTGGAGAGTGGCTTGACTTTCATGAAATGCCATAATGGTTCGTTTCGAAAGGTCAGCAATGATTGGAGAAAAAAGCTTCCCATGTCTGGTCTCATTGTGGGGTTTTAGCAATTAGCCGTGATAAGTACCATGCTTCCTGTAATTCCATGTAATTAAAGACCTATTCCACTTACAGTCCTGTTTCATGGTAGCCTGATGTTACTTGTTAAATTAGACCATTTCTTTAAGAGTAGCAAGAGATGTGAGTATGCGTGGTTAACTTTGTGTTATGGATGGTTTATCTTCACTTGGGAATAATTAGATATTAGCATTAGATATTCTCCTGTTTTAGGTAGGGGTGTCCCAATACAACTTTTTTACCTCTGATACAATACCGATATTGTAGCCTTCAATATTGGCCGATACCGATATTGGCACAAACTTGTGCATGACAAATTTTGCATTCAGCTGCAATGTCTTTTTCGGACTTTAACAAAAAATACTGCCACAAGGCCGACATCACTCCTTCTCCTTGCTATTTTGTTAGTACCTTAGTACACACTGTTGTGATTTTGTGGGCTCTGCATGATGTATCTGGGTGTTGCTAAATAGAGGTGCCGGAGTGGAGTCTGGAATGGACTGCTTGTATCGGAGTGCTGATATCAGAGATTTTAGATGCAGGCCAATATAATCCAATATTCGCCATTTTTGCTGGTATCGGACCGATATCCGATATCAATATCATATGTTAGAATAAGTAGAATTTACCACCAAAATCAAAGGATCAAATACAAAACAGGAAGATTTCCTGAAAAATTTAAACAAAAAGAAAATGTAAAACACCCGTATATTTCCAGAAATTAAGTTTCACCACAAAACTTAACATCAGTTTTCCAGCTTGCTGTCATTCAGCAATCACAGAGGAAATATACAATAAACTATAGTTTTCTCCTTAACAGAAGAAAAATACAACTTTAAACTCTGTAGGGAGGTTTCACCGCCCTGCTTTGATGATTATGTATACTTAGCTCACACAGGGATAACCTTTACATAAGGATGTGCTGTGAGTAGAAAGACCCAGAGATGCAGAATGAAACTCCAGAGACACTAACACTGATGTCAGCTCATCTGCAGTCTGAAACAATAAATGGAAGCAAGAGGCATCATGGATGATTTTACATTCATTTCACGCTTGGTACTGCAATGATCCGAGAGGCATCTGTGCCAACAAAATGGCAGCTTAGGCAGTGCGCTCTACTACCTCAGTGCTTATTCGCTCTGGGCTTTTCATGCTTTGTAAGGAATGTATTAGTCAGCACCACCGAGTGTCAGAGTGCAACTCAAGATTGTTTTTGCCTGGTAGCAGAGAACTAGCAGGGGAGAATCAGTGTCCAGGTCTAATAATGAATAATATCATTTAACATTCTGTTCCAGGCAAGATGCTTTACTTTGTGCCTCGCTTTGTGTTGTGGGTACTGAATAATTCCATCCCTGAGGAAGCTGAAGAAATATTGCACGCTCAGAACAAGATGACATTTACCTCTGGAATTCAATTCCAACCAATATAAGACCAATATCAGAGACTGCACACTCTTCAGGGTTTTTAAAACAAAACTTAAATCAAGGCTCAAGGCACCCAATCACCAATTAAACTCTTGTATGCAACTGGCTCAAAGAGGATGTAATGTAATTTGAAGTACGTTATTTTATGTGAAGTTTATACTGTTTTTTTTTAGTTGTTTGTGTTGTATGTTTTCAGATATGACTTACCGTTACAGCTAACTTTGGTGTAGCAGTTGCGTCAAAAGAACTAAACTTTTATGAATCAATTTGCCAGCGAATTACTCAAGGACAGACCTTGTGCGCTTGCACCTTGTACATAAGAGTGTACACGACTTATTTCCCAAGTACGAGGAGAAGAATTGGATCTGGTTATACATGAAGTTAAAGTGCATGGGTACAACATTCAATACTTCATTCCTAAGATTGTTCAAAAACTAGATGAGATAGCAGAAAGCATGTCTTCATATGAAAATACTGCATCATCAACTTTCACCTTGGTTTTCGTTGGCTGTTACAGTTGCTCTTAGTTGGCGACTCTTAACAATCGTCCTAAATATACCTCATTTTAAGACCAAACCCGCAAAGCAGAATGTCTTTAACAGCGCTTTGTGTTTACACAAAGCCAAAAAGTCTCTCTCTATTAACCTGTTTCTGCCTGAATTGGGACAATAGCAGCATTGTGAGGCTGGGTGCCTGCGGCCCAATCTGTCCTGGGCAAACAACAGGCCTTCTTTTAGTAACCACTTCACCCTGAGGTAAGAGCAGCTCAAGTGTTTATTATGTCTTCAAATATCCCATCAAGGTCTTGTGATGGATTGACATTGACAATGGAAGGATAACAGTCTCCACTCTGATGGGAGAGGCAAGAAACAGCAGTGTCCCATCTATACGAGCGCAGCCTGGCAACTGTTGCCTTGGGCGTGCGATTAAGTCAACTGGAGGACACATTATGCAGCGTTTTTCTTTTCCCCCGCAAAAGAATTCAGCAGCTGAATTAGGGGCCATAAAAACAAAAACTTCTGAAAAGGTAGCACACCATTTCAAGCACCAAGAGAATAATCAGAAATCTATATCTAGTTTGGAAATTTTTGTCTGTCACTGGAAAAAGAAATCTGATTTACATGGCAGTCAGTTTTTCTCATAAGAGTAACTGGAGGGCATTAATTATGAATCAATGGAAGACACTTCACATGAACCAGATCCATGATGTGATGTCCTCTGTGTGAACCCTGAGCTGTGGCTCAGGTAATGGGCTTTGGGTGTTCTGCTGCTCCTTGGGGGGGAAGTGGCGAGATGTGGGAGGATTGAGGGAAGGGCTGTGAGAGAGTGACAGGAGAGGAACTGTGACGGCGTTACTCATGCAGACTAATGGAAAACGCATCCTTTATGCAGTTTCCTCTTGCATCAACAGCGGCGAGGTCTCACTTCTTCCACCCTCTGGCTGACCGTGAAGCTGCCCTGATCACCTTGATCTCAGCTTATAAACAGCCGCTGCTTTTCACACCTGGTCCAGAGACATACTTGGCTTTTAAAAAGCCATTTGCGCAACTGTGACCACAGTTCCAGTCATTGCATCCCGTCCCCCGCATCCACTCTTGGTTACATCTGAATGTCACAGGTATTTCTCAGCTCTGGGCAGAAAGAAGAAGAGTAGGATGGAAGAGCGAGAGGCGGAGGTGGCCCAGATAAAAAGCCCTATAAAATTGCAGATACCAAAACAGCTTCTGATAGGCTCCTCTCTGCAGGAAATAATCATCAAGGATAATTTTATACTTTATGTGTCCTGACCCTCACAGAAGCCAACTTCAAAACGACCTTGCTGCAGTGAGCACAGCTTAATGAACAGTTGATTTCTTCCCCATCAACACAGAAAGAAAATTGTCCTCTTCACCACCAGATATTCTACTTTTATGAGGTAGAGTCGTATCTGCAGACACGCCCGACTCGGCGATCAATTAGCCTAATAGCTGCCTTGCTGAGGTGCTCCAGGTGAAAACCGGCTGCCGATGTCACAAATTAATCACCTCAGTTCGGCTAATTAATTAAGTCTCTGGTGGAGTGTGATAACAACTCTCCCAAGAGCATCTAAATTGGTGATCCACATCTGTGACATTCAGTTTGGTAGATAACAAGTACTGCTGAAAGTGAAATATATGAGTCTCTGTGTGCTATCAGAAGAAGAGGTGTCACAATCATTTGCTCGTTTTTTCACTCAGACATTATTCTCCTTCAAAGTGAATCAGTATGTTATTATTGACATTTTGTTCACTTCGTGTACCTTTTCAGTGTTCATTAAGATGAGTTCATTATTAACAGCTGTGTGACAAAATGAGACAAAGGGAATGTCTATAAATATCGACAAATGTTTTATTATTTCCTAAAGATTTTTGTTGACAAAGTTCAAAGAAAGTTGAGAAATCCACTGAGCAATTAAAGCCGAAGTTAGTGACTGATATACTTTATTGGTTTGTTTTACAATATCACCACAGTTTGACAGGAATACAGGGTTCCTACTCAAATATGGAGAAGTATGGAAATAAATTTGATCAATTTCCAGGTCTTAAAAAGTATGAAAAATGAAAAATAAAGTATGGAAAAATATTTATGTTTACAGACTATATTCCCACAGTTCTAAAATACTGTTTTCTAAAACAGAAAAGTAGGTATTTCAAAAAAAAATTCCTAAAAATAAAAATATGGAAATTCCAACTGTGTAGGAACCCTGGGAATATGAGGTAAAATATTAGCTCCTAATTTATGTAACTGTTCACTAGCAGCTTATCAGGACAAGACAAAGTACAGTGAGCTTGAGACTTAAAGATTTCCTGGGTCTTACAGCATGGATGAAGTCCAAGACCCTAAACCCTCATGAGCAGAGAGAGTATCTCCCTGGTAGAAGAAATGGTTTACTCTCAAAGCAGAGATCTATAAAGGATGCTCTCATGAGGGACAAGCACCACCCAGTGTTGAAGTGATGAACTACGAATATCCAGAAGCCTGAATTCTGGCAGCATCAAAAACAACATCAATGATCAGGTTTTATAAAACAAAAGACGGATACAGAAGAGAAGTCGACTTATCAGAAGATAAAAGTATTTCAGTCAGAGGGTTTGTTGTTTCTAATGTAAAATACTCCACCATCATAATTTTGTACGTCTTCATCTTAATTTTGATATTATGACTTTTGCAGGCGTCCCCTTTCAGCTCATCACATCCTCTTTTTTTCACTGCGCTGGTGGAGGCTGGAGGGCATTTCAAAGATCTCGTGTTAAACCTGCTTACCCGTATTCGCTCGGGTAACAACCTCATTAGTCTGCCCCCCTGCCCATTCCCAGCCCCCTATTCACCCGCAGGCACCTGCCGTTTGCCAGAGGTGGGCATGTAATTGCTCTGTGGCGTGGTCGTGTTTCTAAGTGGTTTGGAGAGAGCAGCCTCGATAATGAGACCGCTCAGTGTGATGCTTCTCCGCTGCTGAGAAATGCATGTGTACGTGTGAGCCGGCAGCTGTCTGGCGCTATATACATCTTGGTACACTGTTGTGATACAACGCAGCTGCTTACTGCTGCGTCATAAACTAGACAAAGACACAGTCTGAATGTCTGGACTCCAACAGGAAGGTAAGTGTACTTGGAGAGACTTGCTTGAGGGGTTAAGGACATCGCTTCAAAAAAAGACTAAATAAGTGTGTATTTGTGATCACATGCAGCTGATCATGCATCTATTTACATGGTTAGTATTTCAGTGAAATATCATACAGTGGTTCTTGTAATTATTAACTTTATCATGAGTAGGGATGTGCCGATATACGATTAATTGCGATATGCAATATTAAACGGCCGCGATGATTAAATCACAGTGCTGTAATAATCGTTCCACAATTATAATTTGAAGATTAGTGGCAGCATCACTCAGCAGAGGCGAGTGAAGCCGAGTACTTACCAACCCAACCCGCTTGTAATCTTACCCACGGTGTCAAAGCCAAGGTGTCGATAGCAAAATGTACAAAAAAAACCCCACAAAAGTAGTCCCAAGTCCAAAACAAACTCTCGAATAAGTACATTAATGCCAGTCTAACAAAAACGGGAACATGAACAGAGAAAATAGAGAAATTTCACAACAAAATTTTACACCCACAATGCATTGCGGCCACCCAAAATGCTGTTAGAGTGTGTCCACTCTGTAAACTGGAAACAGTTTGAAGAAGAAAAAAAAGTTGACGCACACGTTCCAACTTCCAACCAACGTAACGATGAAGCCGGACCAAGAACAGTTGAAGACTGAGAATGACGAAACGCCTCGCCTGTATCCTCCTATTAAAAAGGTTTCGTCTGCAGTATGGACGTTTTACGGCTTCACAAAACAGAAGGAGCAGGTAAACCTGACACCAATCTGCAGGTTATGCCATAAGGAAGTTGCAGCGCCGTTGTCTAACATTTCTAACACCATCCAGCATCGTTCGCCCAAATCAAGTTAAAACAACATGACCGCAACAAGTTCGGTCTACTCTCCTGCTTATTATTGACAACGTTAGTGACGTTTCTGCTAACTTTAGCTCCAAAAAGCTAATGCTCCCAACATCGCGTTAGCTGCCTCTTGTTCATATTGTTTGTGCGTGTCATGCTGTGCACAGAGAAGTGATTTCGCAGTTTTTTTGCCTTTTTTAATAACGTTAAAAGCAATGCACTTATATCGAGATAATATCATAAATCATGATATTTTGGGCCACCAATATCCTGATATTAATTTTTTCATAACGGCACATGCCTAATCATGAGCAGTTTTTGTAATGATATGTCCGTCAACAGGTGGCATGGTGATACTGTATATTTCCTGCCCTTGCAAGAACTTAAACTCCAGTGATTTTCTTTGTCCAACACAATTGATCATAATTGTGTCAGCTGTTATATAAAGAGTGATTCAAAGATGTTAGAAATACTCACTGCTGTTGCACTGTTTTTCAGTGGCCTCGCCCTGAGTGCTGCTCTTGGCCGGCTCCTCTGCTGCAGAGTGATGCTTCCTGGTCACCACAGTTGGAGCTGCCGTCACCTGAGCTGGCTCCAGGAGGTCTGCAGTGACCACAAAGGATAAGTTATTAACATATACAATCCAGTGAGTAACTTCTGAAGCATACTACTGGCAGAATTGAGTGTTAGTGCTTATACAGCTAAAGGAGTTGGGAGTACTTTGACAAGCTAAAATGAAAATTCAGTCTGTCAGAGAAAGGTGACCAACTTGTGATATGTGAATTACAGCAGATTTAAGTACTTAAACTGCAACTACATCGCTTGCAAAAACTCAGAGCTTCACGCTGAGACCTCGAGTGTGACTGGAATCTAAAACAGAAGGGAAGCATAGAGGCATGCAAGCCCCTGAAAATGAGCTATTTCAACTCTTGCCAAAAACTTAAATATCACTTGATTTGAAAACTGATCACAGCTCTTTCATCTTGTCACAGGGGAGAAAATCCCCCGGATAATCTTTTGGTTTTAAACTCTGCTGTAATTAGACATCATGCTGCGCTGGTCTAATTGATAGCTTCATAGCAGGACCTTGACTGAAAGATGAATTATTTACACCACTGTATTCCTCCTCTTCGGTGGTTGACTTTTTCTCTCTCGCAACATTCATTTAGCATCCTGCCCTTTCAAACTGCTAAAATAGGAAATCAAAAGCAGCAGAATAACATCTGAAAAAACTGCTTCCTCTTTGATAAGTTTCCTGGTTGACATGGAAGAGTAAGACCTCTGTGGCTTTAGTTGTGAAGTCAATAATCCTGCAGGGGAAGTAGGGCTGTGCAAACTGGAGATAATTATTCAAAAGAGAAAAATTCATCTTCATGTGCAGGTCACTCATTAAAACTAAGAGCTTTAAAGTGTGTGTAAAACTTTACGTATGATTGTTACAGTGCAGAAGAAATAAAAAAGTAATAAGTGACATCAAGGGTGTAATATTCACGTTCATTTCGATTAACATTTCAGACATTTCTGCTCTTTTAAAGAACATATACACATGTCAGTCAGACTCAAATCATAGTGAGTCAATTTCTCAAAGTTGCAGGGTTCCTACACAGTTGGAATTTCCATACTTTCCATACCCTACTTTTTAGAATTTTTGGGAAATACCTACTTTTCTATTTTAGAATTCTATTTTTGATACCTTATTTTTCATTTCCCATATTTTCTAAGACCCCGAAATTGATCAAATGACTTCCATATAGGAACCCTGAAGTTGAACCTCAATAATGCATTGTGGGTCAATTTTCTACCCCATGAAAATACGTCAATCAGGCCCGAAAACGCTTAGGCATTCTGCTCATGCTCCACATTTTGCATGCTGGGCTTTAACCCAGGAGTTTAAAGGAAGGTGAGCATCTCACAAAGAAAAGAAGACGGGAAGTATTTGGCATGTGACAGTGACGTAATAGGTCAACCATGTGATGGTTCCATAATATTTTGCTGAAACAGGATGTATTGCCACCTACTGTAAAAGAGGCAGACATACTTTTGTCAATACATCAATTTGCAGCCTGTGTTTGTAAACTGGGACAAGGACAGAGTCTAAAGTTAAACTGTGATTTTTTTTAATTGCCGTATCAAGCTGAAGCTATCCTGAGCTAAATGTTTGCCCACTTGAATGAAATGCATTACTTCCTAATGGCTTAAGAGCATCATTTAAAAAAACGCTCTTCATGTGTTTTTCTATGTGCATGAAGCTCATTTAGATTTACACTGAATGCACCCGGCACTGCTCGGGGCTGTTTGGTGAGCGTACAGATGCAGACTGCCAGGCAGACAGCTAAGGCAGACGGTACTGTCTACAACACTGAACCCTCAGGCGTTGCTCCTGCTTGCGCCGTATACTCTACATTAAAGCCGCATCAAGTGGTGCCGGGTAATCATCCAAAAAGCTTTTTTTTTTTCCCACAAAAAAATAAGGTTCTACTTTTTTGAAATAATAAATCAAAAATTTTCTAAAACAAAACAGAGAAGCTATGAATTCTGGCTGGAACTATACAAGCAAGCTAAGCCTTATTTTCAGTTCAGCAGATTACCTCCAAAACATCTGTCTGTCTAGATTCAGTGCTATTTATCTACTTCAATAGAAACTATCATCCCTTAGCATAGAGGGAAGTGCATGTTCACCACATTACTGGGATTAATCAAGTTTATAATCTTGAAAAGTTGTCCCTCTATTGAAATCAAGATTTAGGGATGTTAAGTATTTAAAAATGCTCCATTACTCGCAAATAAGTGTAGATAAGGTAGTTCGATAAATGAGGTAAAATACTCTATATGCTCTGCTGAAGTGATGCACTTACCCCTCTTCTTGCGTGCCTCTTTGATTTCTTCACACATGCGATCGAACTCAGGATCCAGCTCAGAAGCAAATATAGCATGGGCTGTGTCCTTCAAACTGCATGCTCTGTGCCTGATCACCTTGTCTGTGAAAGAGGGAGACAGTAAAGTTAACCATCGATACTACAAAAGGCTTTTTATTTTCTGTGGAAACCCTGGGGTTCAATCAGTGTCTCTGTTGAATTATCTTAAATTCATGTTTTTGTTTATCAGTATCTTTAATCCTACTGTGATTCGGGCATGCTGCTTTTACAGTTTGATGTTCAAAGCATGTTTTCCACACTCTATCATGTACGTTAAACAAAGACAGGACAGCAAGCCCACCCCACTCCACTGCATGTGTGAGAAAAGGGATTGCAGCATTTTCTCACAGCCTGAACAAAAGGATAACGCTAGCTTTGGTGGGGAATTCAAGAGGGAAAAGTCAGACATGCATGTAAGTCTTAATACAGTCTTCACCCCTTCAAGAAAAGCTACACAGGTTCATGTGTGTAATCTCAGGTATGCTTATATGTAGACTTATTTTCTAATAAAGGTGCATTTTACGTATGACTTTTACGCCTCTATTGCCTTGGATGTTGCACAGCATCATTAAATCCTCCTTTTTCTGCCTGCTCCTGTATCCATGGACGGAAAATAACAACTGGGCAGAAGCAGGCTAGCCACAGTAAACAAGCAGGCTCTCATTACGGCAGGCAGAGGAAGAGCAGTTCAGGCAGAAGGTGGCAGAGGGGTCACAATCTGCCAGCTTCTTTTGTCTAATTGCGAGACGACCCGCTAACTGCAATGGAGGCAATTTGTGTGTATGTGTATGCTGCCAGCGTAAGTCTGAGTGCCTGTCAGAAGAAGGGGTGTCAAAGGCCAGCCGAGATGCCAAGAGCTCATCAGCCCTGAGGGGCCCTGCCTCAAGAACAGACAAGTACAAACTGACATACAGTTGTTTCTTACGCACTTCTTCATAGTCAAACGGTTGTTATCGCTATTTCCTTCCAGCAAAAGACATTTGTAACATTACACCTCATTGTTGTGCGCCGAGATATCAGCCTTCTTCACATAAAGCCATTATTTAGCAAGGTGAGGAGGTAAAAGACAAGGCAGCCGACGTAATTGCTCGTAAAGGTGCGATAAAGATATCATGAAGGGCAAGGAGAAATAGAGCACTGAGGGATAATGAGTTTTTTTCACAGCTGCTATAGAGCTCCCCCAGCAGTAGTACCGCGCAAGGTCTGGGCCGTATTCCCTGGGCCAAGCGCTGGGGAATCCAGCCAGAGGCTTCGTTAGTCTTCTTTATTAAACTGCCTAATTGCATTTTTCCCCCTTTAGTGTATCATTTGTACACCCACAAATGACCCGGACCTTCGCCAGCAAAGGCAGAGATATGATTTATTCATTTGGGCTGGTAGAAAATTGCTTCCTATTAGTGTGGGGCAGATATGTTCTTGTGCGGGAACAGGAAAATCTGAACGCACAAAGCAATGAATTGAAATGCAGAATGGTCTGGGAAATGCCTACTGTATGCTTTCAATTATCGTAATGGTATTGCCTCTTCCGACATAAAATACCCCTTTTTCTTCTGTGTGACGAGCTCTTTTTAATGTTTTCACACCTTTCCATATCATGCATTAGAAATTTATTCAAAATATTGACTGTAAATCTTCATTAAAGGGCCTGTCGCTCATCCCCCCCGAGGCAATTTATTTGTATGCACTTGTAAATAACGGGCATCTTTGTCTCGCTTGAGTTTACGCATGTCCTTGACTTTTCCTGCCCTCGTTATAGGGCATTTTTTTGCATATGTAAAAAGGTGCCAAGACACAAAGAAGGATGAGAGACGCATTGTTACAAACTGCGAGACAAGACACGATTAATTGTTCATGCAAATGCAGGACTTTTCTTAGCTAAGCTGCATACATTTTATTCTGTTAATGCTATTTTTCAGCGTGGGGGTTGCGTGCAATTTATTTCATTTGAATTCCCCAGTTGGGAAAACCACTTTGCAGTCCTATAAATTTACTGTCTGGAAGCCTCCCTGGTCATTATGTGTTAATTCTAACTCCTTTTTCACACACAGAGAGCCAAAAGCAACAAAACAACGACTGTAGAAACACATGGTCACACTTAGTCCTTCGATTATAAGTAATTGTGGTTTGTCTGAATGTCAAATCACTGCCTGGTAAAAGAAGTCTGAAAGTCGATTAATAGATCTTCATAATCAGTTTTAGGAAAATTTCAACAGTTTTCCTTCTCACCTCCAGGATCCTTGTCAGGGTTGTACTCTAAAGCATTACTGCAGATGAGGTCGATGTCCACCAGGAAGTCCTTTGCTGTCAGATACTTGTGGGTATCAATCTTGGTCATGACAGTCGACAGGTCCATGGGTTGCCGAATAACCTCCAGATAGTCTGACACCTGTCAGGCAAACACAGAGTTCATTTTTACAAAAAGCCCAAATCCAGCTTTGTCAAAGTGGGAGTAAGATGTCCGCTTTACCTCCTCAATGTCAACTGGTTTGCTGAAGATGTTGAAGCGTTTGTCAGTCGCCAGGCGCTTGGTCACGTCCCTGAGAAAGAGCCTGAGCTCACGTAGTGTATTCTCCTCCTGTTCAGCTAGGCGGCGCTGTTCCTCTGCTGACAGGACTCTGGGGCCTGGAGCTTCTGCCACTGGCAGTACCTCTCTGCACCTCTCTGTTAGGACACAACAAAGAAAAGTTTGAAACTAAATCTTAAGAGTACAATAACTTACTGGAAGTTTTAACAAAGCTCCCCGTCTATTGACAAGACTTCAAATCTTACAGCGGGAAGGAATCCAGAGACACAACAAACAATCTATGAGTTATCCCACGGCAACAAACCACAAAAGCCTTCGGGCAAAATCACTTCAGACAACAAGAACAAAACAAAAACAGCAAGAGCAATGGTTGGAGTGGGACAACAAAACAAGCTCTTCTCTGACCCGTAACAGTTTTTCTGCACATCATAGTACACAGACCTAGAAAAACGGTCTCTGGAAAAAACACGTCTAAGTGTTTTACAGCTGAGTATAATCAAAACACATGGGAAAAGTAACACCAATAAAAGAGTGATGAAGAAAGGCGAACAGATATCCACTCCTCCTCTCCCTAGGCATCAGTCCTTGCCTTAGGCATCTGCCGACATTGTTAGGAAGAATTGAACGCACCCCAGGTTGCTTGGCAATCCAAACCCTGATTCTAATAATGGCTAATAGCTATCAGGCCCTCTCATTGCAATTCCTCTCCCTGTTTTTCAGCGGGTCTCTCAGCTGGAAGCCGAGCTGCTGTCTTACGCAGGCAGGGACCCCTGAAGAGAACCAGGCGAGTAAAGCGGGAGGACCCCTGCCTTGCATCAATGAGGAAGCTGCATATGAACACTGTGCAACATTTCCATTTAAAAGCTTGGACGGACAGCTCCCTCATATTGAGCTGGAACAGAGGGGGAGCGCTAAAGCGGAGGGCAATGAAAGTTGAAGGGTGGGTGAGGGTTTGATCAAGAGGTGAGGGGGTCTGAATTTGATATCTTAAAGAAAAAAAATAGAGAAAACAGAGGTGTTAAGAAAAACGCAGGATTCAGCTGAAACAATAACGCTGCCTAACATTTAAAATCAGCATCTTCAAAATTTATCTCAAATGCACAAATGTAAAATACACAAAAACATCTGCTTATCTGCCTTTCACTGGATGTACTAAAAAGGTCTACAAGATACGGATGAAAACGGTCCTGGAAGTGACAAAGCAAAGGTGGTCAACACTGCCCTCTAGGTGACTGCAAAAACTAATCGGGGGGCTGTCTCATTCTGAATGCCACAGTGAGGACAGAAGTTACCTGTATTCCTGAGGCGAGGGGGACCCCTGGCCGCTTGGACCAGGAGCAGATCAGAGAAAAAGTTCCTCCTGTCCTCTTCTCCTGGAGGGCACAGTGTCACTACTTCCCCGTAGCTTCTCTGGAACATACTTCTCACCTGCGTCAGAAAGAACCAGAGGATGGTGGTTAAAAATCAGCTTGTATATTATTAAAACCTGGATTTGATTGAAAATATTGCATGACCTCTCCCTTTGACAACGGTGTAAACATTTAGGACCCAAAGACATCAGTCTCTGGGGTGTTTCTGGGGTGTATGACAGAAATTCAGCTGTTCAAAAGTTTGGGATCGCCTTTGTTGTCACTTGTGTTATAATGCACCAAATGTGCTTCGTAGGTAATAAGTAGGGAGAGCTTTAGCACCTAGACTCTTCCATTAGAGAGCAATGCTGTAGTTAGGCTTTCTCTTAGTGTATTAGGCAAGGTATTCTCTGGTTGACATTATGTGTTGCTCCAAAATCTCTGTGTGTGTAGTTCAGCATTGATGGTGCCTTTCTTGATGCATAAACTAACCATGCCACAGGTATTTTTGCACCCATACATCATCACTGAAAAGTCCATGATTGTTAAGTTTTGATTCGTCAGACCTGAGAGGAAGTCCTCCATGTTTTTAGATCATGTTTATGTGGGGTCTCATCTTTGCATGGTACATTTTTGACAAACTGTGTTCGTAGACAATGGTTTTGGATTTTTTTTTTTTTGAGTCAGTGCAGAGACTTCCACTGCAGAGACATGTCTGTTCTTAGGCCAAATCTTTCAAGCATCTCCACTGGAGCTACAGAGGGCTTTAAAGATCCCCTTTCCACAGTCGGAGCTCAAAGCCACTGCCAATGGGAATCCCTGTTGCTGACTAAGCTCTAACTTTTTGCTTTATATCTCCCTCTATCTGTCTTTCACATCGATCCACGTCCTTATCCCTGGTTTGTTTGTTCTCTCTTTTCTCCCAGCGCCTTCTGTTCGGTTCTTTCTTATCCCCTCTTTGTGTACTTTCCACTCTCTTCTCAGTGAAAGAGAAATACAAGGAAGGAAGGAGAAAAACAAGGAGGACATAAGGGGTTTCTGATACCCCCTTTGTGGTATGAAGCAGGTTATGGTTTTTGTTGGTACCAGCAGCTAAAGCTTGAGTGGTAGAAAAGTTGGAGAGGGTGTAAGAGAGCTCAAAGTACAAAGAAAATGTGTGGTGTCTGTCTGAGCAGAGCAAACAAAGAATGAAATCTGATACCGGTTTGCTGGTGTGATCGATACTCATCTGAGACTAAAGTGAGTTTGTTTGCTCCAAGTTTGTTTTGTGAAATCGCAAAAAGTTAGAGCAAACTTCAGAATTGACATGTCAGACTTCCTGACATACCCCAAAACTACTGTATATATCTGTCTGAGTTTTCAGAGATGAAATGCCTCCACTTTGGTATTACAGTGACAGAGTGGAAGATGGTAATAAGTCACAGTCTGAGAAAACAGCTCTTAATAAAATCCATGAAAAACATCTGTAGCTTGGACATCTTTCTAAGTAAATATCCTTTATGCTTCAAGAATTTGAAACAGATCACAAGGGGGGCTGTAAAGATTCTTCAACACGTTTATAACACAAAAATGACATCTGGGTAACAATGTATGAACTCAAGTCCAGATGGTACCAGCAGAGGCTGAGATGAGAAGTTCAAACTAACAGGGTCTGCACGAGCATTCACCAAAACTAGAACAAGTGCGCTGTGCTCTCTGTTACACCTTCAATACTGGTCCATATTTCTTCACAAAAACCCAATTACATATTTGATAAATATGCTTAATATAGATGACTGTGAGTGACCAAAACGTTAACAACCGTATAGTTGTTGTTTGACGCAACATTGCAGGTAGGGGTGTCCTGATACAACTTTTTTTACTTTCGAAATAATACCGATATTGTAGCCTTCAGGATCGGCTGATACCAATCAAATATTGGCACAAACTTGTGCATGACAAGTTTTGCACTCAGCTGCAACGTCTTTTTCGGACTTTAACGAAAAATACTGCCACACAGCCGACATCACTGTTACCCCTTGCTACTTTGTTAGTACTTTAGTACACACTGCTGTGATTACGTGGGCTCTGGATCCGGGCGCTGCTGGCTAGAAGTGCCGGATTGGAGTCTGTAATGGACTGCTTGTATCGGAGTGCTGGCATCAGACATTTTAGATGCAGGCCGATATAATCCGATATTTGCTTTTTGGCTGATATCGAACCGATACCCGATATCAATATCATATCGGGACTAGAGCATGACATGGGAGCGGATTTTCACTCCTGTCCTGTCCTGCTCCCAGAGAAAAAAATCCCGTCCTGTCCCAATCCTGGACTGGAGTAAAAAAATTAATCCTGTCCTGTCCCACTCCCGTAGAATGACTCCCACTCCCATCCCGCTTCCACTCAAAATTACTCCCACTCCTGTCCCGCTCCCGTTTGAATAAAACCAAACATGTTGAAAAAACGTTGCATTTATTTTAGGTAAAAGTGCAGTGCTTTTCACTTCCGGTGGTGACAGGGAGTCAAACCACTGTTGTAGTTCTGTTGTGTTGCTAGCGCGGTCAAGAGTGTTGGCTCTCACTGAGAGATGACTACAAAAATGGAAGCATCTGTTACACGGCTGAAAATTATCATTCATTAATGTTGTTCCCGCTCCCGTTGCTTTTTTTCCCGTCCCCTCCCGATCACGGGATTAATTAAAAAATGACTCTCATCCCGTGGGATTCCCGCGGGAATCACGTGACCCACGGGAATTCCCGAAAAATGTCCTCCTCTAATCAGAACAGCCCTAATTGCAGGATCACATCACCAAAACCAAAATATTCAAGCTTCAATAATCTAACTTATGTTGTTACACATCTTTAGAAATGCTTCGACACCCACGTGTTGGACAGTTAAACTTATGGGACACTATCAGTCCCAAACTTCATTTCATTCACCACTGCTGTTACATGTCCCAGCAAGTTCTTTATGAACCCCTGCAAGAATGAATTCAATCTGAGCAGAGCGAACGGCTGTTAAGGGAGCGAGAGGCTGTGTAGTTGGACCCCAGCCTGCAGTGTCAGTTTTTGGCTGGGGAGGGATGCTGCCTGTTCCCTGTTGGGGTTTGGAGCTGAGACAGCAGCTGTCACTGTGTTCTCCGTGCCAGAGAGAGGAGCAACACTTTCAGAGACCGCCAAATCACTTAAAGCGCTATAGACTGCAGCATGGCCATGCCTAAAAATTAAAACCTAAACTCCTCGAGGCTTACTGGGGGAAGCTACTGGGCCTCCTTTGAGACAAGTAATGGGCAATGTTGCTTGGAAAAAGAAAAAAAACAATTCAAGCAAGTGGGGCCAATTATAAAACAAGACCAAACAGTTTTAAAGAATAAACAGCATGGGCAAAATTCAACTTATTCAGCGAATACAGCTCTTTCAGGACAACCTAAGGCGCTGATTCAGTCGGGGCAACTCCCCAATGTGAGGGATCATTCTCTTAAACCCATAAACAAAGACACAGATTCACCAAAGACTGGCACAGTTGGGAATATGTGTTAATTATAATTCAAGCAGTGAGAATGTCAACTCTAAAAGTACTCATTAAATATTGCAGCAACTAGTCAGTTGTTTATCACAGGACTTGGACTAATCCTAATCTCTTTGTCAGCTGCTAATAACAGACATTGCAAGTAAGAGGGGGAAAACAAAACCACATTGTAACCTACAGGCTTAATGAAAATTAACTTAAAAAAGTCGAAAAATTTAACTCTTGTGAAAAAGTTCAGGAAAAGAGCTGATTAACAAGTGTAATGATGCAACCCAACTGCAAAATAGCTGTGCTACACACTCGAATGTGGAACGGCACACAAAAAAAAGCCTGCATAGCCTGAGGACAGTCTTGATACTCTCATGCTGACTTCATGTCAAATTAAGCAAACCATTAGTCCCATCAGGTGTGTCCCAATTTCCAGGTTTTATTACTTTTCCTTCCATGACCGAAAGAAATTTTAATTTGACCAAATAAGAGGTGGTTTCCCAATCCTACATGGTCAGTAACCCAACATGTAATGAAGAGAAATCTCCCTTTTTAAAGCTCATTGGTCACGATTACTTCCATTTTCATAATTAAACCCGTAACATAGCGTGTACATTAACAATCGCAGAGGAGTTAAGTGAATTTAGAGCCTGGAGGCAAAGGAAGAATGGTGCAAAAACAAACAAAAGACAGACGGGGAAAAGAACCGGCTTTGAAAACAAGGTGGTAAATAAACCCAAATAGCTCAACGGGTGTAACAGCACAAGTGTTTTGGCCTTAATGAGTCCACTACAGGGAGAGGATCATCCCAAGAGTCCTGACTTCCCTGGAGCAAAGCCAGAGTTGAGGATCGGCCAAAACAGCAGCCACAGACACACACACAGAAAAAAGCTGCACTGTCTGCTGCAGGGGAATATTGATATTGTGTGCATCCTAGGGAGAAGCCACGGGGCTGCCATCTCCTGGACCTAATTAAAGCCCTTCTGTTGCCTGACTTAAGAGGTACGACCTCCTTATTTTTCTCTACTTCTTTTTTTTCCCCTTCCAATTTTCTCAGTTTCACTTTTTAAAAAAAAACCTCTCTTCGTGCCTAACCCGCAGCGGGTGGTCTGCCTCTGCAACGGCTCTCAGAAAAAGGGAATACGAGTGAAAAGAAGGATGAAGGAGCGGGGCGAGAGATGCCTCGGAAGAAAAAGGTGGTTAGTGAGATAAATGACAAGAAAGGGTAGATGGAACCAAAGCAGATAAAAACTCAGTGGGAGCTGGTGACTTTCGCCCGCGACACCCTGCATGTGGCTGCACTCGCTTCCTAAGTACGGCGGATAGAGAGAAAGAAAGAAATAAACCCTCTGGATCACGCTTTGAAGCATGAATACCAAAAAGACGAAAAGGTTAACACTCTTGTTTCTCATATAACGGAACACATAGCAATAGGTATTCACAGAAGAACTTGGGGCAGGCCTCAAGCTAAACCTAAAAAGTAAAAATCAGGTGTGTACGCTGTATTCTTACCTCGTCTGACAGCTGTGAGTAGTGAGATTCAGCTGTGGCGAGAATAAGGACAGGGCTAAAGGAGGGCACATCCTGCAGCAAGGTGAGAAAGGTGCTCTTCACAGTGTCGCTCACTGTCTCCCACCACTCTGAGACGTGTGGCATAAACACCACGCTGGGCATGCTGCGGCGAGCCTCGCGGAAAACCTGCAGCGACATAAACAGGCTAAAGTCGATCACCAGCGAAACTGACGAGGTCTTGACGGTGACTATTAGCTGCACGTGTTACCTGAGCACAGGACTCCTCTGGCGTCTTAACACTGACGGAGTAAAGAGTGGGCAAATCCAGGCGGTGCACTGGCAGCTTGTCCAGGTGGTGTAGCAAGGCAGGGGCCAAATGGGAGCTCTGTCCTGAGCCCGGGGCCCCAGCCAGCAGCAGACGAGGCCGGTATGCTGTGGGCTGTTGGAGGGCACAGCTAAAGACAGAAAGAATGATGTTATTATTATTATTTTGTGTAGTACTGAATTATTGTGGTCTTGCTGTACGGAGTAGGGGTATCAGCTCTATGTATTATGGGCCTGATCTCGCTGATCTTGGAAGGATTAAGCTTGATCTGGGGTTTCTTTTATTGGTACGCAAACCACACATTGCACTTTGTTACCTCCGCCAAGGAGGTTATGTTTTCAGTAGTGTTGGTTTGTTTGTCTGTTAGCAACTTTACAGAGAAAGTAACAGACGGATTGACCTGAAATTTTCACCAGAGGTGCGTCTCAGGCCGAGGAGGATCCCATTAAATTTTGGTTCTGGATACTGTGATCCAGAACACACAAAAAAAGGGTGTCGTTGAAATTTTCAATGCTGAAAGATAACCAATTGGCGGCACAGTGGTATGGAGAGGTGGTACAGTGGTGTAGTGGTTAGCACTGTCGCCTCACAACCAGAAGGTCCTGGGTTCAAATCCCTGGTTAGGGCATTTCTTGGTCCTGGGTTCGAATCCCGGTTAGGGCATTTCTTGTTTAGGAACATTATGAACAATGAAGATACCAGTTTAAACACAAATAAATGTTAATAAAAGACATGTAGCAGTAAAAGTTTTGGTGTGAATCTCAATATAAGGGGGGACATGAGCTGCTTGGCGGAGGTCTGCGCTCTCCAAGTGCTTTTCTAGTTTCTACAAATGCTTTTTTACCTTCTAAATCATCTCTAATGCTTTTTTGCCTCCTGAATTGTTTTTTATGTAAATGTTTTTTCTTTTATGATGTGTAGAAGTGTTTAAAAAGCCTGTGCCCGCTGCAACCCGATTTGCCCATTTTGGGACATAACGAAGTTTAAGTAAAGTGAAGTGAAGTGAAATGAAGTGAAGTTCACCATGAACATAACCCATTTGAATACCTTACCAGAAGTTATACGGGCACAAACTATTGTTTCCCTTTTGATACTTAGTACTAAAACTCTATTTTTTACAGCCAACAGAGGTTAGCCTTCAAATTAAGAGCAATTAGACAGCAAAGAAAAAAAAACAAACACTTGGAAACAGAGGAAAAGCAACGGGTTCAAGTTTCATCATAGGAGATAAGCAAATTGATCAAACAGCAGAAGCTTGTTTCAGTAATGTCTGTGTTCAAACCCCTTCAGAATTCTGCAAGGTTCCACTGAGGTCCTCTTAAGATTTAATGTTTAGGCAGATTAATCCCAGCTTTGAAAGCACTCTGATAAAACCAGAGCAGACAGGCATTAAGGTCTGATGAAGTTTACTGGCCACACAATACAGTTCTCAATTTCTCTTGCACAGAAGGGTCTTTCTCTCCTACTCCAGACACTCTAATAAAGCAGTATATGGTCTCTGCCTTTCAAGCATATTGAATTAGACTGACAGCTAGGAGCACGATAACTCTTCAATACTCTTATGATTAAATTCTTTTCCGTCCCTTTAGAAAGAAATCGTAATTCAAATTTCAGAGCTTTCTCGTTGCCATCTACTCTTGTTTCCTTGTCCTCCTTTGACACATCACTTGTACTGCCTGTTCCACCCCGTAAAGCCACGTATTCATGCACTTTCCTCTTATAATAAAGTCTGGCTTCTTGGCAACTTTTACAGAAAATAAAGTGCAACTTAATTGAGATCAATATTCTATTAAAAAATAGCTTAGACTACACTTGGGAAAACTGGAAACTTTCTCCGAACAAAAAGTCGCAACTTATTTAGCCAAATAATGATTTTCTCAAACTTTAACACCAGCACAATCTTTAAAAATGCAATTATATACCAGCAGTAAGTTCTGTGCAGGTTAGTGATGCCTTTAGAACAACCCTGCCTGGACTCCATTGACCTTACGCGCGTATAAAAACAGTCTTACATAACTGTAACAACCTTTAACAAGTTTTTTCCTCATTAGTTTTGGCTCTCATAGAAGTTTAATGTTCCTAATCACTGCAGTTTTATCGCCCAACGTTTGCTATTAAAAAAACTTTTATACACTCACGAAGAGAAATGGAGAAAAGGTCTGTGGACTGCAGAGGGGAATAGCGGACTCTTTGGGGATGCAGTAGGCTGGACTTCATAGATGGAAGATGAGCCTTCCTCATTGTCATCGTCGCTGTAGAAGTCCTCTTCAAGCAGTTGATTGTCACCGCCTAGAATAGAGAGAAACGCTTAATATGGCGCTTGATGAGTAGCAACCAAATGGTCCTGGAGTTACTGAGAATCATGGTGTCAAATTCACTTAAAAGTTTGTTTCTCCAAAGTTTAAATCTCAAACCTCAGACATTTTTTTAGTAATTTCACACAAAAGCATAAATAAAAAGGAGACTTTCCTTATTAGGGGAGATGTAATAGGCATTCAAAGTGATACATCAACCTTGGAACTTATGTTTGTGCTGGGTTTAAAAAAAAAAGCACAATTCTTGAAAGCAATTTCCCACCGGTCAGGTGCTGCATTGTAGCTAATCTGCTGTAACTCTCATTTGTTGACTGCCATGAGAGTTGGGTTATTGAAGCGCCGGCAGGGTGATTTGTTAGCCAATCTTTGTGCTATCACCTCTGCTTTCTACAGGGGAGTCGGGGTTACCTAATAGTATTTTCAGTGTTTGGTGGTACAAAGAACTTTGATAATAAAATTGGGGACGAGAATCAAACACGACAAAAGAGCAACAGGGGAGGCACACTAACAATCAAGATAGAGGACAAGAGAAAATCAACAATTTACAAAGAGAGGGAAAAGCTGCAGTTGGGAAATAAATGAGGCAGCCGATGCCATCGTCCTCGAATCTTACCATGTGTGTTGTCCCTGTCAGCACACTGAGCATGGGGGAAGACTCGGAGCAGAGCTTTCAGCACCAAGGAGAAAGAGCTGGCCAAAAGGGGCCGAAGGGCAGGGGATAGGGCTCGGCCCGATGGAGCCAGGGCCCTTTGGGAGGCTGGGACAATCGTCCTCATTGCCTTGCTGAAGTCGCCAGGCCCCAGGACGATGGAGGTGATATCCAGCTTCAGTTTGACACTGCTGCCGTAGATCTGGGGGTAGCGGCGGCGCAACGCCACCAAGGCTGCCTCTGTGCAAAGTGCTTTGATGTCAGCACCACAGTAGCCTGGGAAGAGGCGACAAATAAAAAACCCATATATCATCTGTTTGCTATTTGAAATAATCTTAGAAAAAGCAAAGAGAAAGCTAAAAAATTCATTAAAAGGACCTTTTCTTAAAACATAGTCATTATGTGGTAAATATCTACAATAAATGGCAAACATTTACACAGCAAAGATGTCAAATCAGAAAGTATTCAGTGTGAAGTCGGGTTAATGCATTCTTTTCTCACTCGTTTGTTATTGTCAATTACCTTCATAAATGATTAGAGCTAAAAATGAAGTAAAGGAAGCTGTTTTATACACTGTAACTCCTCTTACCGACACATTTTTCTGCTAGTTCTTCCACAAATGGCTCAGCCAACTTGGGAATCCAGTCCCGTGTGTGAATCTCCAGGATGTGCTTTCTGGCCTGAATAGAGATTTGGGATGTTCAATGAGAAAGAGACACGGAGAAAAAAAACAGAATATAGAGTCAAAAGAGAGCACAAGTCCTGCGTGGGCTGTTAAGGGGTTAAGCAGGTTAAACTGCCTTAGTGACAGTTGGTTCCAGCAAATAATGAAAAGGGTTACCTTCTCATCAGACGGGATACAAAAAAAGGATTATAATGATATAAAAAAATCACACTGTAAATAATATATCAACTTGTATAAATCATCTTTATAGCGAAAGAAAGCTCAAAATGAAATCGACTGCAAGTGTGAACTGGTTCTGAGGTGTTTGCTAAAACGGAGATTTGTTGCATCGACTCCCAGGGATTCTGCTCCGTTGAGCAGACATTAAGAACAAAGTGCTTTCTGTTATGACTCAAGAGCAACAGGTTACATCATCTTTCATCACCATTTCCTTTCTGTTCCTCTGACACAAGTGAGTCGAACTTCATTTAAGGTTCCTAGCGAGGGTGATGCCAGGGGGGAAGCTTAACTTGGATGTGATGTTATTTGCAGAAAAGAACTGTTTTCAGTCCGACTGAAGCTCAACAGTAGTGAACTGGGCTCAGCTGGCAAAGGCCTGCGGATTAGACTTTAATTACCTGTGATCTTCCTGTGTGGACAAACTACACATTGCAACCCATTAGACAGGATAAACTGGGAGATAAGTCACATACAGTTGCCTGATGATCAGGAACACTGGCGCTTATAAAACTCGAAATATCAGTTTGGGCGTTCATGAGAAGTAGAAAATCTCCTGGAACAGGCCTTAAATGTCCTAATTTTCCAGAAATCTCATAAGCATCTGCTTCACTCCTCACATGACGGGTAAAAGCATCCAACAGTCAGGAAAAGAAAAAGTTGATTGGGCTTTCTAGCTCGACGGCTGCATGAACTAATTCCTTGGCTGAGCTCTTATGAGTAAAACACAAAATTACCGCTGGATTGAATCGTGTCTCCAGCTGGGTGTGCACGTGGGGTACAGCCGTGCATGTACTGACATTGCTTATTACACTGAACACTGCACTATTGCACAGTTGGCCAGGAGACAAATTGTTCTGTTTGCATCAGACTCTTGGATTAAATGTATGCGACTGTAAAGATGTCCGTGGAAGCTGAGGCCATTATTCTGAGGCAATGTTCTCTTACAGACAGAGAAAGAACATTTATCTGAATGTGCATTATGCAAGCCGGATTGTTATAAGGGCTTTTCAGAAAGAAAATAGAGAGAGTAAGGGTTGAAGTCTGGATTTGAAAGATGTCTCAATGTAAGAACATGGACAAGGGAATGGTGATTTGAGAGATAAATGGGGTGAAGAAGACTGGCTGAACAACTGAGCTCCTAAATTTACTTTATTGTTATGCCATTTTTATTTGTTTTTAGCTTCTTCATGTTAACAATATTTTTGCGTCTCACCTTCTTGTCGGGCAGGTTAAACAGAAACTCCCGGTCGAACCGTCCGGGCCTCCTGAGTGCCGGGTCAATAGAGTCAAGTCTGTTTGTAGCACCAATGACCACTATCTCCCCGCGACTGTCCAAGCCGTCCATCAACGCCAGCAGAGTGGACACAATAGAACTGAAGGGAGAGAGGGTGATTTAATATGCGTTATTCAGTATGCAGCTGTAACTTATCTTCCAAACGCGGTTCAATTTCGAAACTAACCGTCCTCTATTCGAGACAATTTTATGAGAAATAAATCAGATATGAATTTACAAACACGGCGGCAGAAAGGTAATGCATCAATGAAAATAACACAAAGATATACTCAAATATTCAGACTCCAAAAATAAACTAGACCTCATTTCTGCAAATACTACTCAGACCTTTTCTTATGCTTGATGAATGACATGGTGTGGTACAAAGATAAGATTGTTCTGTTATTCTGTTAACTAAGGCTCCGAGCAAGTATTTACCCAGCATGGCAGAGAGAGCGGAACACAAAGCATAAACACATATTTCAAATCAACTTTGGTCTACAACTGTAATCTAACATTTCACAGTTACAAAAGATTCCATTATCTCGATGGCAGCCGTTCGCACCAGGATCAAGTGCCTGCTGTGTTTGCATAATAGGATATTTCCTCACCTTCGGGTCATGTTGAAATGGTCTAAATAAGAAATGTGATTGTTAGCATTTCCAGTCCCTAAAGCTATGGCTGCTCGATGACTATTAAACAAAGTAGCATGAAGTGTAACCAATGTGAAGCATCTACAGCAATCTAACAAAATAACTTCTGACAGGGTTGTTTTTGAAAATTCACATACGTGTGCCGAGGGCGTATTTCTGTATTTCTTAGTTATTATTCACTTCAATCATGGGATCTGTTGCATGTCTGTTTGCAAGGTTTCTACCTCTGTATCAAAAGAAGGGGTTCAGGTAGCTTTCCCCCCCTAGCAGAATTGAGGATTCAGTGGTCTCTGTAAACATTACGTTGTTAGCCCCACTAAATGTTCTTTATTTATACAGCCCTTTACAACAACCCTTTCAGTGAACCAAAGTGCTTTACAATACATAGTAAATAAAAACGAATAAATAAAAACAATAAAAATAATAAAAGCAATATAAAAAAAGAATAAGGTACAATGCAATAAAATAACATGTCACTACGCTACTGGGAATTAAAAGCCAGCATAAATAAATACGTTTTCTATCGAGATTTGAAAAGGCCCAGGTCAGGAATAAGGTCGTGTTCACACGTAAAGGTCCATTTCCTGATTCGAATCCAAGGCAAGATGATACATTTGTTTTGATTGTTTAACTGGTCCGGTTTGCGTTCACAAAGGACAATCGCTCCAGAAAACGGAACCTGAAATCACGTGACTGCGAATATCATTCGGTTATTGGTCATTAGTTTATGCGGGAATACAAACCGTGCTCTGCTGTCTTCGCCTTTCATGGAGCATCATAGGCTGATTTTGCTTTTGCTACTCATCTGGAGCGCGTACCAAAAGACGCTAGTCGATCGCGCATATAAACGGCTTGTTAGCCAGCGAGCGCGAGACGGCGACAGGCATTAATGAGAGCCTTCCACGATGCGTTTTCTCTCTGGTGTCAATCTGGACAAGTGAGGTAAGCGGACAACATTTATTTCACAACCACCATTACAAATAGTCTAGATATGTGTGGTGCATGTCCTGTGATTGGTGTGGATGACGTTCACACCAGAAATGAACCGCTCCAGAGTTCACTTGATAGCGGTCCGAGACCACCTCTTCAGGCGGACCAGAGTTCGTTTATTTGGTCCGCTCCAGAGTTCGATGTCAACGAACCGCACCAAGGGGGTAAACGCTCCAGGGTTCGGTTCAACCGGACTAAACCAGGGTGGTGTAAACGTGCCCTAAGTCTCATTCTCTTATTCCACAGCCTGGGACCAGCAACTGAAAAGGCTCGTGTGCACATAAGTTGCTCAAAACTGTTCATGGTGGGTCATTCTATAGAAAGCAGTACAGCCTAGAAATTAACATTTAGTGCTTCTGTGACATGGAGGGTTAAAACCACATTCACCTTACCTGTGTATCTGATCTTGCCTGCTGGAACGAACTGGAGCCAAACCATCGATCTCATCAAAGAAAATTATAGATGGCCTCATCAGGTAAGCCTGAGCCAAAGCAAACAAGACCAAAACCAGAACATTACACTAAAATCAAAAAGAAAAACATTACCCCAAAAACAATGATCACCATCTAATAATATAAAGTGACAACAAAGCCCTGCTAGAGAATGGCACTCCTCTGTTAGCATTATAAGGTCATATCAGGTCAGGCAACTTATCCAGGCTAAAGAGGATGTCACTTTAAAGTTGTTAAGAGCTGCTTCTGTGTCTAACCTGGTCAAACAGCAGGCGTAGCTGGCGTTCTGATTCACCGACCCACTTGCTGAGGCAGTCGGCTCCTTTCCTCATGAAGAAAGACACCTTCCTGTCTCCGTGGCTACACTCATTAGCAAGCGCCCGAGCAACCAGAGTCTTTCCTGTCCCTGGAGGGCCGTAGAATAAACACCCCCTAATAAAAAAGGAGACAAGATGGTGCCATGTTTATCTGACAATAGTAGCGTAAAGACAGCAGAGAATACAAAAAACACTCAGAACCAGATCAGTCCTCTTTTCTGAAATCAGCAGCAAAATATTGGCTTTTCTCACCTGGGGGGCTGAATCTTAAACTTCTCAAAGATCTCAGGGTAAAGCAGTGGAAACACAACCATCTCCTTGAGTGACTGAATGTGATCACTGAGGCCACCAACACTGTCAAATTTCACCTGTGAGGAAAAAACACATTTTCACAGCTGAAAAGAGGAGTCTTTTTTTAACAGCTGCAAGAAAGCAAGTTTATCCGTCACAACAAAACTACCTGCTCAGTTTTACTAAAATATAAAATCCAAGAACTATTCCATTGTCAGATGTTTTACTCACTGAGGTGTCAAGGTTCATGGGGTCCACATCAGCCAGACTGGTACCTACTTTCACCCGATCACGCAGCACACCAGTGGCCAGGTCTTCTGCTGTCAAATTCATTGGCAAACACCTGCAAAATGACAGACTGGCATTAGTAAAGACATCCATATGCATATTCGGAACACACAGTGACACAAAAAGCTGGCGCGACAGTCAATGCTCCAGCTCTGTACTGATGTTGATGGTTGTAGACATTGGAGAGAATTGGAAGATTTTTAATCAAAAGCTAAGTATAACAGAGGGGGATTAAAGGTAGACGAAAGATTGAAGACAGATAGATCGCAGGAGTTGTCACCTGTTTCTGGCTCGGGTCATGCTCTTGCTTTTTCTCCGCTCAAACCGCTCCTCATCAGAAGACGAGGTGGTGTCACTGCTGTGAATGGCATGTTTCTTCACTCTAGAGGAGCGTGATTATCGAGATAAAGTTAAAAGACCATTTAAGTCAAATAATGTAATCAGCAGAGACTGATAAAAGGGCTCAAAGCTCTGTGTTTATCAGCCACTGAAGCAACATGTTTCGCATTGAATTTGAGGGTCATTTTTCCACAAACTGCTACTGACCTTATATGGCTTCTTCTTGCTGGGGATCTATGGGTGTCAAACAGTGAGGGGTTGCTCTGTTTTCTGTTCACAGGCTCTAAGATAGGAAATACAGGCAAATTGTTTTCACATACAGAGCCTCCGAATTAGTTTCCACACAGATGAGGACAAAGCTACCACAAATTACAAATGTGGTTCTAACTCAAGAACTAGAAATACCACAATTTACCAATAGGTGGCGCTTCATATCTCTGCACTGTTTTTCTCTGCCTCAAGTTGTATGGCCTGTCATTTTCCTCTCCCGCCTCTTCCGCTTCATCTCCTTCATCGTCTTCATCGTCGTCCTCTGCTTCTTCCTCCTCCTCCTCCCCATGAGAATCTAAAAAGTCACAGGTGGTGTTTTCAATCTACAGATGGCAGTGCAACCAAACCTTTAAAATGATCGACTTAAAACACGCCCACTTGTTTGGTATAAATGTTATGATTTGGACACTTCAGATAAGTGGTTCATTAAGTTTTTATGAGTACTGATTTGTTACAAGAGCGTCGGTACAAAACTTACCTTCCGTACCCTCCTCTTCGTCCTCCTCCTGCTCGGTTTTACTCATGGCTTTATGGTGTGCAGGCATGCTGAAAGTACTCCTACGCATTGATTTCCTACGCTTCACCCGAGAATACATGTCCATGTTTTCCTGTAAAGGCAGGGCTTTTATTCTTTCTCCAGTATACATATCAAAATAATCAGGAGTTACTTATTTAGATATTGGGTTGTGACTCACATGGGGGGGAGGCCACACTTACCTCCTCTGTGTCTCCCGTCCACATGCGGAGTCGCTCCACCTCACGGTTTTGCCTGATGCTGCTGATGTTGTCCATCTCCTGAAGGACAGCCTCAGCAGTGCTGTGAACACACATAGTTTGTATTAGAGGTATATGAACAACATCTACAAGCCCGGTATTTAGAATGCGACTTTTCTTTTGTTGCTTCTTAATTTGGTGAAAGAATTACTGCTGTGATGCACTGCTGGCTCACAGGACTAAAAGCTCTAACTTCACTGCTGCTTTACTTACAATTTGAGAGGACAGGGGATAAAACTTTTGCTCCAGATCGCATTTCTCATAGTATTCTAAGATATAAATGGTCAATCCATGTGTAGCAAGCTAAAGAAACTATACTCCTACATTTAATTTCTTCTTGCAGATTATGTAATCACACATTAAACATTTATTCAGAAAGGTTTCAATAGTGTGATGGTTGGCTACCTGTTGACCAGCTGGTCAAACAGCAGGCTCTGATTGAGGTGCTCAAATTGGCTCTTCTTCACCCTGCAGCTCCTCTTCAGCTCCACATGGCCGTTCATGTGGGAGTGATCTCCCCCTCCGGTCTGATTCATATGAGCTGCAACATCAACAAATACTTGGTTAACCCTTTATCGTATGGCACGTGAAAGCATATGGTTAGGCCTGTCGCGATAATCAATAAATCGCCTTATCGCTCGATAAATAAAAACGAGGTCGGTCATTTTGCCAGCCTCGATAATTGACGTGCGTTTGTTTTCCTCCTCTCTCGCTACCAAACACGCTGGATGAGAGAAGAGGTCTCACTCTGCGCATTTTTCTCGGCACCTGGGGGCGTTGGCTCTATAGCGGAATGAACGGAGTTAGTGAACCCTCCTGTCAGTCATTCAGTGTCTTTGTCACGAAGGGGCTGGCGCGCACAGGCACACAGACTCAAGCTGCATCCGAATTGCCAAGTAGTAGTCGAAGTAGTAGTCGAAGTCGTATCTAGCATGTCCGAATTGGCCACCGGAGCGAGTAGCATGCTACTTCAGATACTACTTCAGATACTAGACACGCCCACATTGTAGGTTGGTCTCGGTGCATCCTACGGGCATGCTACTGACCCAAAATGCACCACGGGCTTCTTCTTCGTCCTCTTAAAAGTTGTAGAAGCGCATGTGATGCTAGCGCCACCAGCTGCTCTGCCTATTTAAATGTGTCGCGAACGCCGGCTGGCCACAACAGCGTGCACCATGTCGCGGGACCGCAGCAGTACAGATGTAAGTTTCATGTAACTTCACACACTGTCCTAAAAAATGTGCGGTTGTATCTCTTTGTCATGTCATGGTGTCATATTTGCCCAAGTAATCATTTTATGAGCAAATATGTGGCGACATCATGGAGGTAAAGCTCACTTATTCCATCATTAAACTGCACAGCTGCAGTACTACAGCCAGGCCCGCAGATGAGGGGCTTCAGTTACCTCTGTCTGCGCGGGCGCAGTACCTACTCTCTGCCTGCGGGGGTCGTCTTTCCCCACCGCTCGTCTAGTGTGTCCGAATTGGGCCAACGTGTTTAGTATGTAGGAGTAGGATCTAGCAGTAGCACGTAGCAGTAGCATGTAGTATCCGAGCGGGCAGTTCGGACGCAGCAACAGACTTTTGGATACAGTGCTGCAAGTGAGCGTCGTGAGTGAAAAGCAAGCTAACAGAATGAACACGACAGCTTTGGTGTCTAAACCGAACGCAACAGCCCAAGTGTGGGAATATTTCGGCTTTAAACTCGTTTTGTTTTCGTCAACCACAAAACTCGTGTGTGTGTGTGTGCGCGCGCGTGCGTGTCTGTGTGTTGGAGGAGCACAGCAGGATGATGAGAGCTGTCAGAGCGGACTGAAGCTGCTCCTATATGTTTAGCATTTAACTGACTGAGTTTTGCAACTCTGTTCGTCATTTTCGTCTCGTCCCATCAACGTAAATGCACTTTCGTCTCGTCACATTTTAGTCATCTCCGACTTATGTTTAGCTCGTCAACGTTACGTCTTCGTCGTGGGAGAAAAGGGAAATATTTTAGTCAACGAAAACAACCAGTGTTGTTCTCGTGTGGAAATTAAAGTTAATCACTTTTGACATGGTGTACTCGCATTATTATGCCATATAATATCATTATCTATAATTTAAAAAACGGTGTCAATAATATCGTTTATCGGCGATAATTTGTAGCACAATTATCGTCCAGCAAAATTTGTTATCGTGACAGGCCTACATATGGTTTTTTTTTTTAGATAAAGACAAAGTTAAAAAGAAGACAAATCATTACCGTGCCCATTTTGCATGATGCGAGAGGACAACCTGGGAACAAAGAAACAAACTCAAAATGTGTTTTGACAAAAAACAAACAAAACTAAGTTAGACTACTCATTTTAGAGCTTCTTTCTTACTGTCTGAATAGAATACAATATGAGGATACTACCGTTTGACTTTACAGGATATTGTAATACAGACTTGGAGAAAACTTTATATATCTGTCAAATACAATAAATTTATAAACTGCTTTCACCTGGTGCGGTAGGTGGGGATGCCCCAGCTGACTCTCTGGCCCTTAGTCTGAGGGGATGGGGAGGTATCACTGGAGCTGGGCTCTGAGGCGGTCTGCCGGCGTGTCCGCTTGGAAGGGGGAGCCAACCGCGGACTGCTGGGACTACTCACATCACTACTGTGCTCCTTCTGCTCAACAACAACAACAACAACAAAAAAAAAAAACATTATAGCGATTTCAGGAAGGAAAATGTGAAGAATTATCAAATCAGAACAAGTAAGAACCGTAAGTTTTTTCATGACAAAATCACCTTGGCCTGTCAATCATTGTGCAAAGCCAGGTTATTAAGCAAATGTCACAAAAGACCACACTGTCCAAGAGCAAAATCTAATCCACGACAAAATTAAACACATCAAGGACACAAGACAGCTGAGTCCCACAGGGTAGGACCAGAATAGGTTGTTGTGAGGAGACGAGATACCTTGTGCCCAACTTCTCAATGTTTTTCTGAATCACCAACCAGACATATGCCCTTGATGCTCACGCCCTTCACAGCTTCAGTTCCCTGCTGATATGAGTGTATCTCCCTGTTGTCATAGGCAACTGTCTGCAATGCCTGCAGAGGGGTTTGTCTGACTTACTAGACAGATAGCTTGATGCAGACAGACTGAAAAAGTGCAAGATGTACTGACAAGCAGGTAAATGCAGCATTGTAGCCTGACGAGTGCAGCTCATTTTCCAAACTCTGACGCCTCATTATTGTGTGTTTTTTATGGAAACTTTTTGACATCAAGTTTCTAATCACAGCTTACAGGGAAAAAATAACCAAGAGCTTAGTGTACACGCACAATTAGAAATCCAAATCTGATTTACTGGCCAGGTATTTGGAAACAGGCGAGGAATATAAATCCGCTTTTTGACATTACTCTCGATGCACAGAGGAACAAAGTCTTCATCAGATCAGACATAAGTAGCACAAATGCTTATACATTGAAACAATTGTGAAAACTTTCAAATCTTCATATTCAGAAAAGAACAAAGGTGTAATGAGGAAACTGAGAGTGGAAAGGTGCAGTTCAGGTTGATGATTAACAGGACGTAGATGGTTGTAGTATTTACGATATGTACAGAGGGTTGGCCTTCAATGCTGAGATAAACTACACATAAAAGGAGGGTAAGTTTAAACACTGATAAAAGATAATAAATGGCATATTCCACATAAAAACTGTGGATTTTTTATACTTAATATATATATATATATACAAAGCTGATTTGGTTGTTATACATAAAATATTCTCAATACTCTGACTGAGTCCGGAGTTTATCAGAGTGATAGCTTGAGCAAAGAAACTGTTGCTGTGCTTGAGTGACTTTGTGTACACTTCTCTGTAAAGCCCACCTGAGGGCAGACGTTAGAGCAGTTTGTGTCCAGGATGTGTGAGGTCTACAGTGACACTATCCGTCTGTAAATCATAATGTAATTGCCAGGAATTATACTGTCAAAGGGTAAGGTTTGTGACTCTTAGGAATTTTTCATAAGTGATAGCAATGTAGTATATCATCAGATCTTCCATATCATTTCCACATGAAATATATTCACAATTTGACTGTCAAGTCAGCAGGATAATCTTAGGATTTTATTTTGCGAGAAATCAATACTCAAGCATGTAGAAGCAAAGCAAAGACTGCTTTGTCCAGAGGGCGTCAAAACTGACACAAACCGAAAGCTCCTTACAGACATAAATTCACTTCGCACAATCATGCTGTTGCTTTCACAAGAACAACTACTTTGGTAAAATGTGCTTTTATCCTATATTGGGGTGAATATCTTTCTGTTTCTGTTCAAGTGTAAAATGAGACTTTTCTCTGCTCATTGGTCCTGAATCACTCCTGGATCCTAACCCAGGGTTTCAACAAGTCAAATTCAAGATCAAGTACAAAGGACATGAAGGGAAATCGGATCATTTTAAACTTCAAATCAATCTTTATTTGTACCCGCTGAGCCTTAGACATCTTTTAGAAATCTTGTCTTAGTTTAGACAGAAATTCTCCTGTCTATAATTCTATATTTTAGCCTGAATCTAGACAATAGAATTTAATCCATTATTATTAAATATTAAATAAAAAACAACTGTAAGGTGTATAAATGATGGCAAAATGATCATTGATCATGTACAGTGTAGTTCAGTCTATTAGACGGATAAAAAACTTTCATTTTTAGACCAGAGGTAGACTGAGTTTAGCCCAGACGCCTGAGGACCATTTGACGTTTAATAAATGTCTTTTAGACTGAAAAACACTCAGGGGGTAAATAACATCGATACATTTTTAAGACCTTTCAAATTTGTATTTAAGACATTTTAAGAGATTTTAAGGCCTTAAATTTAAATTCTTGGGTTTCAGACGTTTTAAGAGTTTTTTTTTCTCAGTACTTTCAGCACATTTCAAGTACTTTTTAATTTCACTTGTTGCGCTAACAGACTAATAGTTTTACTTCTACTTGAGTAAAATGTCACTTAAGTTAAACACGAAATTTATGTGGATGCCTCTTTAATGGGTACCAACGCAAATAAGACCATCACAATCAATGCTGACAATATCTACATGGCGGGTTTCAATGCCAAAAATAGCTCCAAGAGATAGGTGTCAGACCAATGAACAGCCTTTTCAGCAACAAATATTCACTGTGCGTGACACATTTGATAAGAGATCGACAGATTCATTGGTTAGGCCTAATAATCAGGCCATTAAACGGCATTTGAAATAGTCAGCACTAGCTTATTCCCGCAGTCACAAGGCTGATTAAAAAAATAAATATATGCTGACACTGCAGGCAGCTTAGTCAGGGTGGCTGCTGTTGAGCAATGTTAACATCCTACAAATGATAACGCCCTTTCCCCGCCCTAAATTACAGTATTCTATTATTATGTGTACAGTAACACAGTTCAACGTTGCTGCTGAAATGCTCAGAAACCATTTTCTTTGTATCTATTTTACTTACTGATTTATTACCTCTAAATCATGACACTGGCTAAGATATCCATGTGTATTAAATTGTAATGTGCATGGAATAGTAGGTGTAATACTGTTGAATGTTATTGGATGCAAATTAGGGAACAAAAACTACTAATTGTGACATTAAAAAATTTATTATATTGCCATTAAATTATCAGTATCTACCATTGGAAATACAATATAGGTCTACATTACAGTTATTGTCAGAAATATCTACCTTGATATTGACAGTTCAAGACGAGTAAAGTGATAAAAGGTACATCTTAGCCTACAGGGGGTGCAAATATCAACACAAACCAAAAGTTCTGACTCAAAGCAGCCTTAAGTAGAGTATTTTGGTTTTTCTTTCCAACCTGCACTATCTTGAGAGCCCGTTTAGAAGAAAGAATGCGCGAATAACTACATATAAATCATGTCATCGGTGAAATATAGTGTTGGTCTATGTCAAACACTACAACAACCGTGAATAGTGAGGAAACACAAAACCCCTTGCCTTGCATAATCTCAATGTTTACATTTTGAGACAAAGGCTGTCAGACTGCCTGTGGGTCAGTCGATCAAGGCATGAAAACACAGCTTGAGGTTTGAGGCACATTTCGAAATAAACGAAAATTAAAGGGTTTATGGTTTATTATCGCGTTTAACGCAGTTGTTGTGTAAACAGGCTGTCCGGGGGTCTTAGGCCAGTTACAGCAGAAAGTTCACCAAGTTCAGACTTGCTAAATACGGGACCTCAGCCAGCCAACTGTTTTGAACCCGGGACTCCCTTCCCCCCACTGTCAGCTAGCTGTCGGGCTAGCTCTAACCTACAAAAGCTAGCCTATCTAGATCTTTCTCCATTTAAATGTAAGGAAACAATAACGCTGTTACATCCAGGGCGGTGACATGGAGCAGCGCTGTTAGCAGCATGTCAAACTCCCACCTGTCTTCAATCTGGAGGCAAGTTTGCTGAGACAATGGTGAAACAAGTCACCCGGGTGAAATTGCCAAACACAAAGGGAACTCAACTTGGAGCTAGCCAGGAGCTAACATCACTAGCCTGTAAATTGACAGCTGAACAATGCGTCCAACGCGAACGACACGCGTGCGAATCGCGGCAGTCGGGTCTTTAGATGTGTACCTACATGACTGAGCGGGTGTCAGGTTTATTACTGCTCGTACTTTGTTGTGAATAAAACATTATGTTGGGCACCATTGAGGCCACTGCTACAGCTACCTAGCCAACTAGCAGAGCAAGCTAGCTCGCCGGCAAAGAAAGGAAACCGGCTTACATGTTCGTCGGAGTTGCGCTCGTTTCTCGACGAAGACCGAGTCCGAGAGGAGATAAAGGGACCGTTCCCCTGCCGTGAGCTTTTCCTTGTATTCACCATGGTTGTGTCTTGTGTCTGCCCTCACTGAATCTCCCTAACCGGCTCCAAACACTGGCTCAGTGAGCGCAGCATCGAGGCGCCATTTCTCTCTCTCTCTCTCTCCCTCTCTCTCTCTCACCCTCTCTCTCTCTCTTTCTCCCTCTCCCTCTCTCTCTGGGTCTGTTTGGCAGGTGCATTAATTTCTGCTGACTAGACAACTAGCACCCACTAACTAGTTGTCTTTTTATTAAATCAGTGTTATATACAAATCTAAAACAGACCAAAAGAATCACTCGAACAAATTTGGGTTTTGTTGCTGTGGGTTTTTATAACGTGGAATTTACTGAGGGGATATTGGCATTTAACTCTGGGGATATACAATCCCACAGAGTCACTCAACTAAGTAGTGCTGCAGCACAATAAGTCCCGAAAGCAATATTATAGGGGTTAAGTGAGGAAAAGTCGTATTTATAGACCTGAGTACACAGTGTACTCTTTTGAGGACTACAATGTTCCAGTGTTCTTTTTTTTCTTTTTTCATTTCTTTTTTTCTAAGAAGGGGAAAGCAATGAAGTGAAATACAAGAAGACAATGTTTTCCCATATGTTGCAATGTGATATCCAAATTACTCATTAAAGAGTAAGTTTATTCTCCTTTTCTTAAAAAGATATAATTCTTAAAAAGTAGAATGAGGATATTTAAAACCACAGACCAAAAACCAGTGATCCACCACCTGCAAACTTCATCCAAAACAAAAACTTTTTCTTGTCTTTGAGTAGTTTTAACATTTTACTCTTACAAAAAAACATAACATGAAAGCTCAGAAAAAGAACAGAGACTTATTTCTGTTTCTTAAAGTCAGTCTTTATTTATATAGCACTTTTCATACATAACATATAGCACAAAGTGCACCCAAGATTAAAAGAATACCCAAATCAACCGCAGCCCAACCCTTCATTCCCACCACACGATCTAAATTCAACAGAAACATGTATTAAAATGCATAAACTTAAAAAGGGCTTGATTTCGTGGAAACAAGAATGTGCGCACTGAGAAAACATTATTTTAAAACTCATGATAAGGAAACACTTGAGGTTTATGTTAAAATCTAAAAACAAAGAATGAAATGTAAGAAATAATAAATAAAACGAAATGAAAACAACAGTAAAAGATACTAACATAAGAGCACCAAAATAGCTCACCAAAAGATGATCCTGTCATTAAAACCAGAATAGATAAAGGCTAAAACACTTAAACAGAGTTAATGATTTAAAATTTAGTTTTCAGTTTGCTTTTAAAATCTTGTGCAAAAACCTCTTTTTAAAAAGAAATGTAAAAGCTTTAATTACTTTGCCAGTACTTGCCAGTAAGTTATACAAGACAGAAATATACAAACTCCTTTTAGCAGAGTTTCAAGCTTGCTTATGACTTATTTTACAGAATTATCCAGTGTGCATTTAAAGATCTCCCCAAGTGTTGTATTTTGAATTTGTGGAAAATCTATTAATGTATAAAAATGTGCAAATATTTAAATAAAGGAACATGATAAAATAACATAGTTCACCAGTATATAAAATAAGTTTTACCTTTTTATTGTCCAAGTTACTGGAAAAAATTATAAATATTCTCAGTTTTATTTTACAGAATTATTGTTTTATCCAGTATGCATTTAAAGATCTACCAAGTGTTGTATTTTGAATAAGTGGAAAATCTGTCAATGTATAAAAATGTGCAAATATTTAAATATAGAAACATGATAAAATAAGATATTTAACCACAGTATAAAACAACTTTTCCCCTTTTATTGTCAAAGTTACTGAAAAAAATAATAAATATTCTCAGCTTTCTTTTACAACTTCATAAAACCGTTCTATGTTGCCCTCTGTAGATTTTTTACATTTTTACACACCTGTTATATCTTTATATGTTAAACACAATGATATATTATATCCAAAAAGACTTGATGAATGTTTCAGTTAATCTATTATTATGAAATGAAATGTCTTAAACCTCCATACAAGTTTCTTGGAAAGTACAAATTGACAAATGAAATTTGAGCTTAGCTAAAAACTACTTTACAGAGCCCCTATGGGATCCTTTTACCCAAGTCTGGGGAAACACTGCTGGGACCAAAACCTGTGTGGATGCATGATTGTTGCCTATGCTATTTTTGGCTTGACTTAAGATACAACTGTGCCAACCATCTGTTTCATGTTTTAGGCTCAAGCTCAGGTTTTTCTGCACAAAAAGCAGCAACAGTCATAATTATAGCAACCCTATACTAGGGATATATCTGAGTATAGAAAGCAGGCATTAAATCATCAGCCATTTGTCACTTTGCACATGCAAATTGTTAATTTCAGTCTCAAAAATGTTGGATTCTCACGTCAAGTCTGTCGAGTTTTATTTATACACATAATTTTATACCCAACAAAATGCTTCACAATTACAACACATACAAGTACCAATAAAAAAAAACACACACATTTATGATTCACGAAACATACATACATATTCCAAGTATACGCATACAGTTGTTAAAACGTACATCACACAACACATACATTACAGTGGACTTGTTTATTTGATGATGCATGGATTAAAGAATTGTCTAATACTCTTTCCTCAGTTTAGATGAGATACATAGATACTACTAACAATAATAATAATAGTAACTTTATTTTTATAGCACTTTTAAAAACAGAAGTTTACAAAGTGCTTTGACAAACAGTCGTAAAGCACAGAACATCAGCACACGGGAATAAAAGCAAATAAAAAACACAAGCTCAGTTAAAACAAGGCCTCTGAATTGAAAGCCAATTTCATTTGTCATAAAGAAACCCACACAATACAAGAACCCTACAACATAAAATGAGACCATGAGAACCAAAATGAAAACATAACATAGGTAGTGAAAAAATGTAATAAAAAAAGGGGAGTAGAAAGCAGGAAACAGGATTGTAAATATAAAAAAAGATTATATTAATAATGATAATAAAATCAAAATAAAATAATAATGATGGTAATGAAATTGATCAAATGGAATAATAATAACATTAATAATAACAATTATTATTATAACTATTATTATTGTTATAAATTTCATTATTGTTGTTTTTGTTGTTATTATTATTATTATTAATACTATTATTATTGTTATTATTATTTTTGATGTTGTTTTTTATTGCTGTTGTTGTTATTGTTATTATTATTGTTGTTAAAATAATAATAATAATAATAATAATAATAATAATAATAATAATAATAACAATAATTATTATTATTTTTTGTATTATTATTATTATTATTATTATTGTTATGTTGTTGTTGTTGTTGTTGTTGTTGTTACTATGATAGATAGATAGATAGATAGATAGATAGATAGATAGATAGATAGATAGATAGATAGATAGATAGATAGATAGATGTTATTCATTGTACGCAATATGTGTTTTTTCATGTCAATCATTACTGTAGTATTTTTATAATTATCTTTTACTACGACTTGGCTCTGCTGAGTTCAGCAATTCACAGTTTTTCGACAACAGTCTTGCGTTTACGGCAGCCTCCTTCTGCGTCACAGATATTGCTCAGCAGAAGAGACGCTACACCAAAACTTGTGGCTGCAGATGTGTAGCCTGGGATTATCCGACCAAACACGGACTGGTAAATCAGTATTTGACCTTAACCTTAATACGAGCATGTCCGAGTGCATCTGATGAGCGTTTGTGTGTTTATAATCCATGTTTATGTCATACACGGGGGGTCTGTCGTTGACTCTGTAAGCGTCCATGCTTTTCTGACGCCCACTTACATAATTCACGATAAGGCTGTGGGCTGTGTGGATGTTTATCGATAAGGTCAAACCGTTTGATAAGCATGTTTTGATCAATTCTGGGTCGTTTTATCAGCGCAACCCAAAAACTTACGGTATAAACGTGAACACTTCGACACATTTACAGTATTCTGGTGCTGTTAATGGTTCATAAAAATACAAAATGTAAAAACAACAAAATATGATTAGACCTGTCGTGATATTTTCCCTGTCCACTTGCTTGTGATGCTCTCAGATGGAAAACACAACCCGTCATGAAAGAGTTTGACACTGTGGGCGTTGAGAAAGATGAAAACTGGTGAGTTTGAACAGATTGAATTCAAAAAATGCATTATAGTGTTTATAAGGGTCCCTTTTCACTGAACTACATAACAGCAACACAATTTAACCAAGATTTTGCATATTGTTAAGAAAGCATGAAGATTTGGAGAGCAGTTTGATTATATACAGTGGATATAAAAAGTCTGCACACCCAGGTTCAAATGCCGGGTTTTCGTGATGTAAGAAAATTAAATCAAGATAAATATTTTCACAACGTTTTCCACCTTTTAATGTGACCTATAACCTGTACAATGCAATTGAAAAACAAACTGAAACCTGCAAAGGGAAAAATATAAAATAAAAAACCAAAAACAACCTGGTTGCATAAATAAGCACACCCTTAAACTAATACTTTGTTGCAGCACCTTTGGCTTTTATTCCAGCACTCAGTCTTTTTGGGTAGGAGTCTATCAGCGTGGCACATCTTGATGTGGCAATATTTGCCCACATTTCTTTGCAAAACCGCTCTAAATCTGACAGATTGCGAAGGCATCTCCTATGCACAGCCCTCTTCAGATCACCCCACAAATGTTTGATGGGATTCAGGTCTGGACTCTGGCTGGGCCATTCCAAAGTCTCAATCTTATTCCGGTGAAGCCATTCTTTTGTTGATTTAGTTGTGTGTTTTGGGTCATTGTCGCGCTGAAAGATGAAGTTCCTCTTCATCTTCAGTTTTCTAGCAGAAGGCCAAAGGTTTTGTGCCAACACTGACTGGTATTTGGAACTGTTCATAATTCCCTCCACTCTGACTAAGGCACCAGTTCCAGCTGAAGAAAAACAGCCCCAAAGCATGATGCTGCCACGACCATGCCTCACTGTAGGTATGGTGTTCTTTTGGTGATGAGCAGTGTTGATTTTGCACTAAATATACCTTTTGCAATTATGTTGAAAAGTTCAACTTTGGTTTCATCAGACCATAACACATTTTCCCACATGGCATCCATCTTGCCACCCTACCCCATAGCCCAGACATATGAAGACAGACAGGAGATTGTTGTCACATGTACTACACAGCCAGTACTTGCCACAAACTCCTGCAGCTCCTTCAGTGTTGCTGTCGACCTCTTGGTAACCTCCCTGACCAGTTTTCTTCTCATCTTATCATCGATTTCGGACGGATGTCCTGCTCTTGGTAATGTTACTGTTGTGCCATATTTTCTCCAATTGATGATGACGGTCTTTACTGTGTTCCATGGTATATTTAATTGCTTGAAAATCATTTTGTAAGATTCACCTGACTGATATCTTTGAATAATGAGATCCCTCTGATGCTTTGGAAGCGCTCTGGTGGGTACAAAAATATCAGGAAAAGCCTACTAGAACAGCAGAACTTTATTTGAGGGTTGATCAGACGCACTTTAATTGGTGGCTGACTCCAATTTAACTTGAGTTTGAATGTAATTGGTTAAATCTGAACGCAGCCACATCCCCAGTTATGAAAGGGTGTGCACACTTATGCAACCACATGATCTCAGTTGTTTATTTTTACTTCACCTCCATGAAAGATGTTGGTTTGTTTTTCAATTGTGTTGTACAGGTTATAGGTCACATTAAAGGTAGAAAAAAATGTAAATTTATCTCAATGTAACTTTTTTACATGACAAAAAGAGGTCATGTAAAGGTCAATATAGCATTGTTTCTGTGACTGCAAGCTAAATTCAACAAGATGAATGTTGACTAAATGACACTGTTGTCTCTTTAATATTGGTTTGCCAGTGAAGAAAATGAAGAGGAAGCACCAATGAGGCGTAGTTTCTCGGTAGAGGACCTCCTTGATGAGGTGGAGAAGATCTGTTACGATGCCTCAGGGACCTCAAAGGTCAGAAACAGAGTCAACCCTCTTTAAAGATACTCCTCTGTCAATGCTTTAATGGGAATATGTCATGTTTAAGACATATTAAATGTGACATGAGACACCTTTTAGTCTGACCTGTTTAATCATGATTGTCATTTACATTGTGTGGTTGACTAGAAGCATGAAAGTAATTGAATAAGTAAATGAAACACCCTCTCAAGATAAGGTTTTGATGTGATCTATCAAACATTTATATATGCTTTATAATACATGACACATGAAACATCTCTGTATCTGTGGCAGTGGGGTGGTCGTTTTGAGCAGACGCTTTAAAAATTCAGGTGACATTAAGTACATCAACTGACAGTTACACCGTTTATGTTTTAATATCTGTATGGATGCCAGAGCCACCTGGTGTATCAGTGATCATTGTTTGAAGAATAACATTTGCTGCTTTGATTGTAGGTGGAGATGGTAGTGAGGCTATGGAAGGATGGCTTCACTGTGAATGATGAGGAGTTTCGCAGCTACTCCATACCTGAGAATCAAGATTTCCTGGATGCTATCAAAAGGGGGTGAGTGACATTGCCACAAGGAGCAAGAATTATGTGTAATTAAAGGTAATCATATCCTCGGCTTGGTTAGGGTTGGTCATTTAAATCAGTTTCTTCAAAATTACTCCAACAAGTATAAACATTTCTGCTTTCTCTAACCTGAAACAACCTTATTTGATTCTCTTCCAATGTGTTACTATGAAAGATGGAAGAAAGGGTTGTTTGCAGACTGAGATATTGCATCACACATCCTCTAGGCAATCAAAACCAAATGACAAAGCAGTGGTATTATTATTACTTTCTTTTTTTTATTGTGGTTTAATAATTCACCACTGGATGTTTCTGTCGACTTGGGGTTGTGTTAGAAATGTGGTGTGTGTTCATTAAAGCACTATTACCTGTTTTTCTGAAGCTGATAAAAGAGTGTAATAAAAACTCTTTAATCATAGTTATATGATGTTATGAAATAGATGTGCACACAGTGTAGGTCTAATGAATGTTAGACTGTCACCAGTTAAGGTCTTAAGTTGTCTTTTTCCATCACTGAGTTGTCAATTTTTTGTGTTCACTGACCAATGCCATAAAAACACATGGTCAGTTTGCACAGGATTAAAAACATAGTCGTCCATCACAGTTATTAAAATTATCAGAGGTCCCCAGGTTACACTGATCCCATACAAGTAATGCTAAAAGCAAAGAAAAGTAGCAGCGTATGACATTTGAGCCGGCTCAGTTATTTGGTACTTATAAGAAGGAAGCAGATATTACCCCACAATTGTCAAAAATGAAATGTCAAATACTTTTAAAATACAAAAAGAAAGAGTACACCTGCCTCTACAGACTCTTGCATCAACTTCATCTTGGATATACTGCTTAATGCTCCGTGATTATTCATGAATCCTTTCAATTCAGTGCAGGTTTATACTAACTTGGTACCATTCAAATAAACTTCAGTGTATTATCGGTATGATACCAGAAAAAGTGAATTATCAGTATCAGAATAAATGAAAATTTTCAGATATGCACAGTGGATAATGTAATGCATTCAATATAGGTAAATAATTCAAGCTTATGCCCGCAATGAGCTCCAGTATTTTAGCTCTATGGATGAGTTTTGAAGTGTTGAAAACAGACAACAAAATATGTATTCACAGTGCTTGAAGCACAGCTGATGCAAGGAGGAGTAAAACAAAACTCCTCTAACACTACCAATTCATCTCAAGAGCTGTCATCCTGAACAACACTAAGAGTCTGAAAAGTGAGAATGAAAAAGCGTCAGTGGAAAACCTGTCAGCAGCCTCTACTTTAGACATTCAACAAAGCTTAGAAATGTAAAAGCAACCGCATTTTTGAATGACTGTTTGAGACGGAATACATTTTCTTTTTTCATTGTAGAATTCAATGTTTCTTGTCTGGTTTTATGACTGTTTCTGAAACAAATAGACTCTCGCACTAAGAATGACAAGTAAATTGTAGGACAGGAGAGACCAAGAGTCTTTTTCAAAATAGAAATATTGTGTATGCTGTGTCAGTGTAAGCTTCCTTGAGTTTGAAAATACTAGCATATTGGATAACAGCAAATCCAATATTGCGCACTGCTTTTAGTTTATTTTTTCCCTTTTATTTGAGACTAATACTGTTCAGTTAGATTTAAACTGAACCCTTGTCCTAAACCTGCTAGCCAAAACAGTCTGTGCTGAAATGTAGACCCTCCAGAAAAACGCAATTATGCGATCGCATGAATTCCCGCATAAATCACCAATCTGCTGCAGAAAAATGCTGGTCCCGCTTGATTTCACAATTTCTGCATTAAAATGAGAAAACTATAACCAAAATAGTTGTAAGTTGATAATGAATGAAACATAACCAGCACTTACTGTGATGTGTCTTGCATCTAGTATGCCTGTTTATATTCAAATTTCTCCTTTTCATTCAGTGGTAGCGTAGTAACAGGATGTGGGAGAAGAAGAATCTTTTTTCCCAGTTATTGCATTTTTCGCATATTTCGCATCTTTTTCGCATATTTCACAACTATTCGCATACTTTACAACTTTCCGCAATTTTCCCGCATAAAATGGCATAAAAACCCCGCATATTTAGACGCAGAATCAAGGATTTTTGCCCGCGTTTTTTTTCTGGAGGGTCTAGAAATGAGACCATTCTATGACATTTTCTCTGATTTCAGATATAAATATATTTACCCATAAAAGATTGGAAAAATTTCTGGATTAGGTTTTGGTGCTTAATGATTGGAGACAAATATGTGGAGAGAATTTTACTTCATGTCTTGGGTCTTTAAAAAAAACAATCAGTCCTGAGGCAAAATGAGCCATAAAGTAGTTAAGTTGTCTACCTACAGAACACATGCAGGTGACAAAAGATGGGTCAAACATAATGCTCTTAAGTGCTCATTTGTTATATTGATTGATTCGACTATAGACTCTGAGACTGATCTTTAACTGGTTCCAGGGAGCTCCCAGCTGAGTGGGAGAGCAGAGCAGAGGAAGAGGAGCTTGAAATCAGTGTGGAAGATCTGACCGAGGAGAACTATGTTCCCAAGAAAAAGGCCTTTCACCCCTTCAGCGGCCGAGGATACCGACTTGGCAGGCAAGAGACTATTACTATTATGACAACATCAAACTTAATCTTACAATTGCTAATAACCATTTGTATAAAGATATCACAAAAATACAAACAAATACTAGTTGAGTTTGCATTATTGTTGTCTGGAAGTGTGTTTTAAGTTCCATGGCATGCAATACTTCGCTACACCACTAGGTGTCCTTCTAAATCCAGTGTAAGAATATTTACAACCAAATCTGACCAAGAAGGCCGCCTGCCTGATGAGCTGGAACCTCAGCCTCTTCATAACATCACTTTATCAATCTGAAGTTCTCCAGAGTGTTAAACCTATTTCTGTTCTTTGAAAGGATTAAACGAGAAAAATACACATTGCATGTGCCCGCTTGGTGTTAATCTTATTTATTCCTGTCCATTCCCAGCGTCGCACCCAGAGTTGTGGCCAGGTCACCATCTGTGCACGAGGATGGAGAATCTCCTCCTATTCCCATGGTAACACTAGACCACGCCCTTCCCGTTACCTCCCTGCAGATTTGGTTGGCCGACGGCAGGAGACTGGTGCAGAGGTTTAACCTATCCCATCGGTGTGTATCCAAGTGTAAAGGGCCTAAACACAACCCTCCTCATCATTAAACGACACCTTAAGACAGAGTGACTCGTCTGTGTGAGAGAAATCTCGACACTTTCTATCCCCGCTGTGCCGCCTTTGAATCCCATAATCTCAAACATCGCAGCCCAGAAGTTGTTCAAGGGATGAGGAAAAAGATTTTTTTGTTTGTACTTGCTCTGAAGCCGGCGAAGGGAGTTTGTTTGAGGATTACGTAATGCTTTGTTCTAGTCTGCTGGAGTCTGAAGGCATGGTGCATGTTATATCCCCCCGCCACAGTGCATGGGGCTGCAGAAAACATAATCTGAGATGTAGCAATGGAGTGGATCTATAAAATCCCCAGAGAGGGATTGCGTAACTTGGATGCAGCATTTATATAACAGAGCTTGCAGAAAGGATAGAGAGGGCTGAACCCCTCTAACCTTCAGCTGGTGTGTGAGGAGCAGGGCAGCCATAGGATCACTTGTATGTGCTGGGTGCTGATTAATAATAGATTATGTTACTAGTATAGTGCTCCAGAGAGAAATCATGTGCCACAGGAGAGAGTGGAGTATTTGGATGGGCTGTGCTTCTGTGCCCACTGAAGAAAATCTACAATAATGCTTAATCTGCCTTTCTTTATTACAACTTTTTAATCCTCTGTCATGATTTTTTCTGTAACTCCGTGTTTAATTCTCCTCTCCAGGATCACCGACGTCCAAGATTTTGTCGCTCGCTGCCAGAGGAGCTGCCCACCTTTCGTACTGACGACATCGCTTCCCTCCCGCGAGCTCAACGACAAAGAATTAAGTCTTGAGGAGGCAGATTTGGCCAACGCCGTCATTGTCCAGAGACCTCTGAACACACAGGCTCCGTTTGGACACTCCTGACTAAAAAGGCCTCATTAGCTCACGCATCGCATCACTTCTACCCTGACTGTCCTGAGCGCAGTCGAAAGTTTGTTTTAAATTAACCATTTGTTTGTTTCTTCTGATTTTACAGATTTTATTTTCACTGGTACGTTCTTATCTCTCTGTGTGGGATTCTCTTAAGTCTGATGCCGCTAAAGGCGTCGTTGTCAGCACTTACCCTGTCTCCTTCTTTTAGAGAACAGGATTTACCTGCCAATACATCCCCTTAAAACCCCAAACCTGTCAAAGAAAACTATTTCTGTCACTCATGCAGATGGTAATATAAGTGTCGGTCTGTTATCTACCCCATGTAATTGTCCCCAAACACACACACCACCACCAGCACCACCACCCAACTCAGTATATAGTCTTCCTAAACAGCTATTTCCACTTTTCTGCACTATTTACAGTAATATATCAAGGGTTTGTATTAGTATGTTTACAAGTATTTAAGTGAAACCTCATTTTCTTTGCACATTTTTGTGATCAAAAAGAAAAAGAAAAAACACACTGCTGCTTTTTATTTAAGTTGACCTCAGCTGAAAAGGTCTACCCATTGTTGTTGCCTTTTCTTTTTGCAGATTCTGTATACATTCGCCTTAATTTAGAATGTATTGTTTCATTTGAATGCATTTGTTCGAGACATATCACGGATCGAAGAACAATTAAAACCCTCAAAGTCCTACATACAGTGATTATTTCTTCTTTGATGCACAACACAATCACAGGAAGTCCGTTCATCGAGCCGATGTGAGTAGTCACACTTTGAAGATTTAAATTTCTATCAGTATTTTTCAGGTGCGAAAGAAACCGAGACATATTTGATAATTAGGGAATCTACCGGCTTTTATTTCTGACGTCACGGTAGTTACATCTTGACAATAACCTGACGCTACCTTGTTTCACGTTCTAATCCCAAATCTATGCTGTCGCCGCAGATTTATTTGGGATTTAGATTAAGGAACTGGAGATACAAGAGATGTCAAAGACGTCAGAATTGGAGCAATGGGGCCTTTATAATGTCCCAGCTTAAGGGTTAGGTAAAGTTGAATCCTTGCTGTCTTTTTTTTCTTCACGAATGAGACATCAGGGGGATTCTCGGGATATGCAAGGACACGCATGCTTTTACACGAGCGTGTGTTTGCTTCTCCATCTCCAAGCTTTCTGCCAAGCCTCAAAAAGAAGGCGAACGCCATTATACATCTTCAATATTTAAAGCAGCGGGAGAGAAGGCAGAGCAGAACAGGAGCGGGGATGTGTTTTCTCAGGGCTGAGGAAGAGGAGATGACAGCCTCAGGGCGGTCAAGGTCAGGGGAAGAAACTCTGCAGCCCCAAATCTCTTGAATACAAAGAATTACCTTTCTGAGAGGCCATGCTGCATTTTAAAGGACTTTTACATGTTGATGCAGCTGTATACATCAGTTGGTTAGCAGCCAGAGGGGTCTGGCTAAAGAGTGAAAGAGGGCACATTTCCTTTGTGCTACATATTTAATAAGGCTAAGCATGCAGGGAATTACTTTCCCTTTAACTCCCACATTTCCTCTCAGAATGACCCTTTTACTCACTCAGCAGCCAACCTTTCATTTTGCACATTCCTCTTCACGCTTTATCGGAAACATACCCATTCTAATGCAGGTCGTATGCTTGACCTTGCAACAGTGGTGCCTTTTTTTTCATTGTCAATAATGTGGTTTTGGATGAGGGGTTTGCATGCTTAGAATTTATGGAGAGGTCTGGGTTCATCGGCCGTAGTCTCTCCACGACATGTTTGCTGTCATGCTCTGAGGACAGGCTTACTGTGGAGCGTAAACATCTTCCACTGAGAGATGAAAGGATTTAGAGGAGGAAAACACAAGACACTCAGTATATCAAAGTTAGAGGCGCAGTGGAATTCATTCCCAAACAGGGCGTAAAAGTGGAAAAGCTTTCTGCTCAAATTTTAGATGAAAAAGTAGAGCTTAATGGTATTTATGTTACTTATCCTCTTTGTCCCGGTTGGGGCATAAGGCTGAACCCTGTCTCGTGCTTTGGCCTGTGCTTCGTCCCAGGAAAGACCCATCTCCTTCAGCTCCATCATCACCGTCCTTCGCCAGGTGTTCTTTGGCCTGCCTCTCTTTCTTTTCCCAATTGGGGTCCATCTCAGGGCAACTTTAGGTACCCTCAGCACATGTCCGAGCCATCTTAACCTGCGTCTCTTTATCTCAAGGGACACATGCAAGCTGCTTGTCTTTTAGTAGAGCTCTTCATTTGAGATCCTGTTTGGCCAAAAGATGTTACAGATTCTCCGTAAGACGTCAACCTTTCTCATATCCTGGTTTGTTACCCTCCAGCACTCAGAGCCATACAGCAGGACAGCCTTAACATTGCTGTTGTAGATCCTGATCTTGGTTTTGAGGCTATATTATTTGGACTTCCAGATGTTGCAAAGTTGGCTGAAAGCACCTCTTGCTTTATTGAGACGCGCCTTGATGTCTTTTTGCGTCCCACTTTCACTACCTATAAGGCTTCCAAGGTATGTGAAGTCCTCCACACATTCCAACGCCTCTTCATTGATGGTGATTGGAGGTGTCGTTGGGGTGTTGATGCATATTTATGTTAATTCTATAATAAATGGACCCGCCTTTGCTAACATTGTCTAATTTTAAGTGGTTATGAATGCATAACTGGCCACTTAAATACACTTGAAGTTAACATTTAAATCAAAAACTGCATAATGTTTTGACTGAATTACATTTTAAAAGCAGCTATTAATGCATCTGGTCACAAAAGACAGTAAATATTGAAAATTGATCTACATGTATGTCTAAAATATTAGATTTTAGGAGCTTGATTCAGACACTGGGTAGCTTTCCATCATAAGTAGGAATACTTCTCAAGGTCTTATAGCCTACTCTAAACAGAGGCATTCAATCTCCTATAGAAGAGAATTATTGACCAGAGGATTATAAAATTCAATTAGATGGTTGTTTGTTCAAGGTGAAACAGCTGCAAACAGGAGTACACAGAGATGATCATACATGCCTGAACCATGATTTTTTTTTTTGTCAGTTGTATCCAGTTCCAGGAGTGTGAAAAGGAGCAAATAAGGGAAATCTAAGTCCATGTTTGACCTTGGCTTTCTTCTTTCTCTCATTTGTTGTAAAAAAAAGTTAAAGGTGTAAAAATCTCCCTATCCAAGTTCACTGATTTCATTCTGATGCTGCTATCTTGGATCATTTTAAATGCCCGCCTTGGATATTTCAAGCTTTAAAAGATACTTCTAGTTGTGGCATGGGAAATGTTGGGTGTGGTGTTTGGAGCTAAACCAGTTCATGGGGCTTAAAGTCTAGATTAATGGGTCTCCAAATGTAATCTCTGAATCCCTCGACTTTATGTGGATGACCAGTTTACTGTAGTATCCCTCTAAATTGGCTCACTGTAGACACACCTTGAGCAGGATTGTAAAATAGATTTTTAAGGCTTTTTCAAAGGTACACTTGAGTGATCGAGTAGGGTAGTGATGACAAAGATCGTGACAATGACTTGTATGATGATGTGGTTAATGGTGATGAAAGTGATGTAGTCTGGGAAATATGTTATTAAATTCTTGAGGTCTTACTTGGGGAATTCTTTTGTCACTCATACACACCTTTCTGGCTTTCTGATGAGGAGCACGGGTAATTCAGCATGACTGAAATGACACCAAACCGCATTTTGTACATACCTCTTTTAACGCACCATTTCATAAGAAATGATTTGCACGGGTAATTCACAAAGCATGGATGATAAGAATAGATTTAGGGCCTACACCAACAGACTGATTGTTGAAAGGCCACTTCTGCAAACACACACACCATTCTTTCTTACACGGTGGCCGAGAACTGCCACTGCTGCTAATAAAAAAAATTTTTTAAAAAGAATGCAAAAAACAAAGGAGGCCAAAACAGAAGTTACCGATGCAAAAAAAAAAGAAACTGAAGCCCGCTGCAAATAAAAAAGAAACGGTGCAGATTAAAAAAAACAAAAAAAAAAAAACACAATGGAAGTTAATGATGCAAAAAAAAGTGGCGATGCAAAAAAAAAAAAGTTACTTGCTACAAAAACAAAAAAGCCACAACGGGAGTGAGCAGCCGGGGACCAACGATGATGATGCACCAGTGTTTTACGATCAGAAGACGACAGCGAGAAGATGAGCAAAGAATGAGTGTAAAGGTAATTTGTTTCTTTCTCCTACATCAGTTACTTCCATTGTAGTGTCTTTTTTTGCATTCTTTTTTATTAGCAGCTGTGGCATTCTTTTTTTTTTTTGCATCACCAGTTTTTTTGCATCATTAACTTCCATTGTGTTTTTTCTTTCTTTTTTTTTTTTTTACTACCTGTACCGTTTCTTTTTTTTTATTTGCAGCTGACATCGGTTTCTTTTTTTTCCTCCTTTTTTTTACATCAGTAATTTCCATTGTGGTTTCTTTTTTTGTGCATTCTTTTTATTTGCAGCAGTGGCGTTCTTTTTTTTTTTTTTTTTTTGCATCACCAGTTTCTTTGCATCATGAACTTCCATTGTGGTTTTTTTTTTACTATCTGCACCTTTTCTTTTTTATTTGCAGCTGACTTCTGTTTCTTTTTTTTTTCTTTTTTTTTTTTACATCAGTAACTTCCATTGTGGTTTCTTTTTTTTTTGCATTCTTTTATATTTGGCAGCGGAATTCTTTTTTTTTTTTTTTTTTTTTTGCATTCTTTTTTTATTTGCAGCAATGGCGGTTCTCTTCCACCGTAATTTTCATTAAAATAGCGCATTGCTGGCGTCAAATCACCCCCTTCTATAATCTCCTCACAGATGCACAACCTAGATTGACCGACACGCACTTTGTGTTCTCGTGCATGCTTGAGCGTGTGTGTGTGTGTGTGTGTGTGTGTGTGTGTGTGTGTGTGTGTGTGTGTGTGTGTGTGTGTGTGTGTGTGTGTGTCATACACCGTCCCGGCCGCTGCAAGGCGCAGCTCCGTCACTGCAGACTCAAAACAAGCCGAGAGTGGAGACAGGCAGACCATCTCCATCCTCCGCAGTCTCCTTCTCATCCTGCCCGGCAGACTGACTGTCGGATCACCGCACTGAGCGAAAACTTACTTCTGACAGCACTCGCTGCTTCTTCAGCTTTTTTGAGGTAAGATGAAATTTTGTGTTTTCTGCATTTTCGAATAAGGGTGAAGATTCCCATCAGGTGTGCAGAGTGGTTGATTATGGATGCACTTACTGGAACATCAACATGAGAAGAAACAGCACACTCCTGCATGGGACATCGACATATTTTGCACGCTTGTTTGCTATTTCTTGCTATAGTCAGCTTTGCAAAATCAGCAAATAAAGCCAACTTTAATTTAAATAAATCCTTCTTTTAGTAAGCAACATAATTCAGATTCATTAATAGTGTGTTTGTGTTTGTTTTTGTGTGCATCTTATTTCTGCATCTGTATTCATCTCTACTGTTTTGCATTGTCCCATATATGTGTGTTGTTGTGCATGCATTCAAAGTCTTTGTGTGTGCATATAGCCCTCATGTATGCTTGGTCTTGCATTCTTGTGCTTGTGTATACCAATATATGAATGTGAGCATGTTTGTGTGTGTTCAGCCTATACATGTATGTTCTATGCCTGTCTGACTTTGCCCTTCCCTTCCTGGCCTCATTCCAGAGCACAGCCCAGCATGTGAATGGCGGCAGAAAGCGGCAGAGTTGTTACAGAGGAGCAGGAGGAGCTCCCTGCCTCTGGAGCTGTCACTCACGTGCACCACGCACACGCACACACCCGGAGTCAGAGCCACAGCCAGTTTCACCCTCTGACACACACAACCGCCCAGTGGCAGGCTCCTCGCACTCTGGCACACACGAGGAGTCACAGTCACACTCACTTCAACGCTCCCTCGCACACACAGGCTCAGAGGTACAGCTGCCGGCTCACACACAGCCTCTCAGCCATGACCAGGGGAGAAAAGGGAGCGCAGGGATCTGCAGGGAAGCTCACCAAACCCACTGAGCCACTCTTCCCCAAAACCCCACAGCAGGTAAGATCACCTGTTTTTTACTGGAGTTACTAAGATGCCATCAGATGTAGCAGCATCCTTTCTTCAAATCTGCGGACTTGTGTTGTTCCCAGGCACCAAATCTGAATGAAAGCCTTAATCTCATGGAGTGTATTCGCAGCTCAGTTTGGCAGAGAGTGACTCCAGATGATTGGATGGAGATGAGAGAAAGATGGAAAGTGTGATCTCTTTAGTGGCTTATCTGTTTCTGATTAATCAGCTACATTGTTTTCCCGTGAACCGTAATCCCCCCTCACTGTAGATTCAGTTAGTGGAAGTTGATTGTTTTCATCTGTGAAGGGTTGATGGGATGATCTGCTGGATGATTGCTTGCTTTTGTCTGCTGACAGCGATATCAGTGGACTTTGGTGATGGAGACTGTTGTTATCACATATAAGAGGAAGAGAGACTACTGTTGGCTTTCCTGTCGTTTTTATTCTATCTACACAATTTACGTTTGTGATTGTCAGTTTGAGTGATAGACAGTGATAGGTGTGTGAAGTAAGACCAACCTTTTGTATTTATATTTGTATAACAATGCAAGTGTGAGAAGCGAAATCAGAGTGAGTGAAAACAGAGAGCCAAGCCTTGACTCGGTATTTTGCCTCTGAAATACAGAAACTATTTCAGGTATTTTTAACATGCAATCATAACGTAATACTTTCATAGTTAGTCACTCAATTTCTGTTCAGCTCAGAGTTCCCAATAAACAGTATTACATCATTAGATCGAACCAGTTCTGCAACTGTCTCGTCCCAGCCAAACCTCTGTCTGATATGTGGTTGTTTTATTTGACTACTTGCGTACTTAGGCCACTCATATCCTCGTGAACTCTCTGTAGAAATCATGTCATATAGAAGGCATTTGGTCGCACCTGATTTAAGAATTCAGAGGCAAAATATTCACAGTTGATATTAGAGATTTAGCAGGAATAACAAAGATTGTCGTATGTGTTGCTTTTGCACCTATTGTTAATATTCATATCTGTTAAAATAACACTATGGAGGCTGCTTTCTTAAAAACAAACAACAAATAAAGGGTTCACAACAAAACACATTTTAATCATCCTAGTGGCGATTTGTGGTTACTACTAGGGCTGGGCGATATGGGAAAAAGTTTATCACAATATATTTTTTTCATATCAGTCAATATAGATTTATATCACAATATAAAAAAATGAAATTTAACAGTACTTATTGGCAGCATGTCTTTTGCAGTACAATAAGCTACAGCATCTGTGAGGTCTTTGTGTCTCTTAGACATTTTGTCGTGAGACGTTGCGCCAGAGAAAGTGGAGTGGTTTTATTTCTCACCAACAGTGCCATCGGCTCCACCTAAAGTTTAAGTGCTATGGTTGCGTGTAGCTGCAGCCTGCTACTACGCCGTTGTTTGCCACTTGGTTCTCATTCAGCACATGATTGGTTCAGCGCAAAGCAGACCCAGAGCAACTCCCCTTTTCATTGGCTATTCGTATAGTCTACCAAAACATGTCAAAATGTCAACTATTGAAAAGGATATTGACCATGTTTTATATTGATATTGAGCCCTGGTTACTACTTTTTAAAGCAAAGCTCCTGTAGATTTGCTTCAGCCAGTGTTGGGAGCTTTGTACAAAGAAAGAATCAGTTTGAGGATCAATCTGCACAATGAAACATGGAACATATGAGAATTTATTCTTAAGTAATGCCAAACATATACTTAGAGAGATGTTAAAAACTTAAGTCAAAATGATAAATCCTTCACAAATCATCCAGGACGTTGCATTCTGATTTTTTAGGATAAGCTAGAAGAAAAAAACGGTATCTGCCAATCGATATATGGCCTAACCTAAATGGGTGTTTAAAGTAGATGTTTAGGGTTTCTGGATCCACAGTCCACAAACAGCAAATTCCATAAATAACGAGCTTCATCAGTCCGACCACAAACATGCATTCTTCAGAGAAACATCATTTTTACTAAGTGGCTTCATAGGTGTCCAGTTCGCACAACAGTAAACTGTAGATTTTGGATCGATTCCCCTCGGGTTGATCCTGTGTCAGTGGGCTACAGCTCACGTTTTCATGGCTCACCGCCATCACTGACATAATCAGCTTGCCCTTTTTATACTCATAGTCCATAATCTGAATTGAGGGAGCAAAGCCGCTGTTGTCAAACTGCTGTGACCAGAGTCGCAGATTTAACAGGGCTACCAAGAATTGTCAGAAAATCCTTCACAGAATGAAAATCTCAACTGCTTTATGGATCCATTTTGCCAGCTTAACTTGTAGCATGCAAACATTCAGTTTGTGCATTTTCGCTCTGCATGGAGAATACAGCTTAGCGGGCTCTAGAGGAAGTTTGTTTCGCTTGTTTATTTGCAGTTGAATTATCCTCAATCCTAATTCAAACTGGTCGCGGTGCAGTTCAGTGCGTTTTAAAATCCTCCCCGTAACAGTTAAGGATACATTAACTTTGGAGATTAGTCTTATCTGTCCTTGTCTCCCGCTTGTTGACGGTCTAAACTTCGCAGATGCTCCCTTTACTCTCACTGTTTCTGTATGTATGTTTGCGCGTCGAGTTGCGTGGTGTTGTTTGTGCAATCCAGAAAACTGTTGAAGGGATATCCTGTTTATCCTCTTTGATGATAAGAACTCGCTAATGAAAGATGAAGAGTTCGGAGGAGAAATAAGAGTGAAAAAGAGAGGAAGGAGCGCCGGGAGTTCAGAGTATTTTTGCACATCATCAGTTAAGCAGCATTCTCCAGACACCAAAGACTTTAATTTTTTCTCTCCAATTAGGCGTAATTGCAGTGAGAGTGGAAGAAGAGAGAGTTTTGAAGTCGGTACCCGCCGAGCAGCCTTTACTTACCTCTGACCCGCTTGTCTTGGAATTGAATAATTACACACCTCCCTCCTGGTAATTGTCGTTCTCGAACCCCCTCCATCTTTTGAAGGGGGGCAGAAAAAAGAAATTCAGAGGAAGAGAAAACGTGAGCAGGATAATAACAGTGTATCGGTCGCGGCTGTGGTTACTTTGGTGATTTCCTTCTTTCATGAAGCTCTGACGGGAGCAGCTGTGGGCCAAAGCCCGGGCCGCTGGATTTGGATTGACACTGATTTGTGTGTGTGTGTGTGTGTGTGTGTTTGTGTGTGTCTGACACCAAAGGTTATTCAGCAGGGAGGAACAGGCAAAGTTGGATATGGATGTGTGCACAGCCTCTGAGGAGACAGTCGTAAATATCGGGCTCCCTAGACTGTGGCGTCTCGTTTTATTCATGTGTGAAGATGAAAGCTCTCCTTCTTTTGCTGCAACACACTTGTACGCAAACACACACACTTCCACGGTCACATGCCTGATGGTTTAAGCAAAGCATAAGTGAGGGGGAAACGGTGCGGCGGATGACTCGGTGGGTTTCTCAGGCTCCTCTGTGTGCCTGAGTGTCTGCGCACATAGACCACAATGCAAACAGCCGATAGGGGGTCTGCTTCTGATCCTCTAGTCTGCACACACTCCCACACACATGCACATAATTTATACATAATTTATCTCTCTTATCTGCTGGAGTAACCTGTCATTTAGGGATACAAAGATACAGCGAGGTCGATGACCTTAAATAGCAGCTGGGAGACAATTTGTGTTAAATTCAGGAGCAGATGGATGTATTACAAATCCTCATACATCAGAGTGAGCAGTGCGACGTAACAGCAGTGAAGCAACTAATTAAATTTGAACTTTTAATCCCGCTGAATTGTTGTAACATGGGGGGAAATGTTATTTTAGGAGCACCTGGAATCAAATGTGTAAGGTTTCAGTCTAACAGTGACTACAGGGTACACTATTTGTGACTCATAAGCCTGTTCTCATGGCCTAGTTTATCTTACAGCGACACACCTTGTTTTTGTTGGTGTGTCTGGAAGGCTGTATAAAGTTAAGGTGGGAATATCTGAGTTGAGATGCACCAAAAAAGGGACCTGAGAAATGAGAAAGGGGAAATGAGAAACAAAAGGGGGAAAGAAAGTACGTTTTATTGCTTAGATTTGAGTTCAAATAACATTTAAGGTCATCGAGTCTGTTGCGCAACATCATTTTGATATTGTTGTATAACAGTAACAAGAAATGTTTAAAGCGAGACTGAATCGTGCTTACGGTTGAAAAATGACACTTCCTTTATCAGGTCTTTTTATTTGCTGTTTCAGGAATAAGTCTGATTGAAGTGTAAGCAATACATGCATCAACTATCATCTTTAACACCACAACTATCTATTTTTACTTTACATTTTCACATTTTGCATGTATAAACTTTTTCCCAAGTTCATATATCAGTCGCATCATTGTTAGTCCAAACTTTCGCACTGATCAGCTTGAAAGTGTGCGTCTAATTTCTTTATCAGAATACTTGCCGAAAAGTTAATTTGTTCATTAGCTTTCTGACCTGTAAGGGCACTCTTTTCTTATTAAGTTTTCTCTGCTTTCTCGCCCTCTGTTCTCGCAGACTGAATTGGGACAGAAGTTGTCATTATGCAGTAAGGTGTGTTTCGCCATCGGTGGCGCACCTAAAGAGGTGGCAGCCAGCGCCACCGCCTTCTTCCTGCAAATCTACCTGCTTGATATCGCTCAGGTAAGCAAAGTGTGTTTGAGGACAAAGACAATGTGGAGGATGCTTCTTTTTTTAACACCTGCACATGTTATTAACTCCAGTCTGTCCCTGTTTTACTCCACAGATCAACGCCTTCCAGGCCTCCATGGTGCTTTTCATTGGTAAAGCCTGGGGAGCGGTAACAGACCCCGTTGTTGGATTCTTCATTACAAAGAGCAGATGGACCAAGATAGGCCGACTCATGCCCTGGTGAGCTCACTACGAAGGAAAATCAACTCTCCCTTACACAAACCTCTATTTTAGTATTTGAGTTTTTTTAACTCTTTATCCTAGGGCTGGGCGATGAACCGAAAATTTACCGATACCGAAATTTACGACAATAACCGACCTCATTTTGCCCATATCGGTATATTTGGTGTCAAATAAGTAGATAAATAAAAGTTGGGTTTGGATGTGTGTAGGTAGGCTATGATCTCATGTCCCTCCAAATGTTGTCCGTCTTAGAGGGTCGGAGACGTGACTCCATCCCATCCAGTCCGTAACAAAGCTGGAAAGACAGGTGAGGAGATGGAGGACGGTTCAAATGTTGTAGCAGCTGGAGTAGACGAAGTCAGTGTGGGAGGGGGTGAGCAGCTTGTGGAGTAGTTATCGTCCATTTATCGTTATTCAAAAGAACTATTCAACATATCTTTATATTGATTTAAAGCCATATCGCCCAGCCCTACTTTATTACCCAATTTCTAGTTTTTTACTGTTTTTCTATTTCAAAAGTTGTAAAACATCCATTCATGCAGAAATATTACAACAGATACTAAGACAAAATCTTTAAAAGGGCTGATGTTACATGTTGTGATTCAAGCTGTCTAGTCAAATTTGCTCACAAAATGGTAAATCCAGGAAAAGATCATACATTATAATCAGAGTGTTGGATTTAATATTCACACGTTTAGTTATATAAAGTGGATTAAATGGCATACATGAAGTACATTCACCTAATCTTAAATTGGATGAAACAGAAAGTTGTCTCCTTTCCTTAGCTAGCACATGAAACAGTGTTGCTGTTGACAAGGTTGTGTCGAGGACAGTAATTTGTCGACAGATTATGAAACTTGTTTTGCTTTGCTCCCACTCTCAGATATAATTACAACAGCTACATGATGCTAATGTTTATGCAAAAAAAACGAAACAAAAACAAGCTGTGTGCTCCAGTTTTGGATGGTTTTGAAATTATTCTCAGACCTGCTCCTCTCACCTGAGGATTGGGCTGAATAAATATCTTTTTTTCACTGTTCCCGACGCTCCCTTTGATGAGCTTTTTCATGCTGCTTTATTCAAGGGTGTAGGCTGTTTGTTGCCTTTTGGAGTCAGACAACAATAGGCAAGAAATCTTATTGGTATTCTTCATAAACCATCTGCCACTGTGCTGCTTGGTGGCATTTTATCACAATTAGTGTGACACCTCATTGGGAACCATCCAGTTTTACTCCACTTTGCATGCAAGGTTTACTTTGAAGCGCTCTGATTGTGGATTATGTAACGTTTTCACCACCTTTTCCACATATGCCGTCTATCAAAGATGAATTCAGAGGCGCCTCTGCTTGTGAGTTTCGTATAAGTTTCTTTGAACACCCCTGCTAGCGTGACAGTTACTGTAATTACACATCCAGTATATAATGTGTAGATTACAAACAGGCTGACACTGCTGAAAGGAGACCGAGTCCTCTGTGGCCAGCTGCTCACTAGCAGATAGATGCTGATGGCTGTTAAATCAGCTTTAATTACATATGGGACTCTGTAGGTGTGTGTGTGTTCCCTCTTGCGAGATTAATTTGTGTGGTATATGTTGGTATTTTAAACGTGCTTTCATGAGTATTTGCTCTGAGGTCTCACGACACTCCCTTCGGTTTCACCCCGTCTGGAAAGTCCCCTCCGCCATCATCTAGCAGGAAGTGTGTTTCCTCCTCTGGGTGTCACATCCAGACATGAAGTGATTTATATCTCTGCTCAGACATCTTTAGGATGGGGTAGTTTGTCTCAAAATGCTCCTGTGGGTGCTGCTGAGTTTATTATTACAAGGACAAACCCAGAAGTTTTTTCTTGTGGAATATCAGAGGTGGGGGCTTGACGACTCGACTTGAGACTCGACTTGGACTTGAGTCCCGTTTTTGACTTGCTTGGTGAAATCAAGAAATGACTTGGACTTGCTTGGGACTTGATTGCTAACACCGTGTTGCTAAGTCTGCTTATTTCCCGCAAAAAAAAAAAATTTGGCTTGTTTCTGGAGGTCTGTTTCCTTATTTCTCTCAAGAAACTTGGCAACACTGTCTCAAACTCTAGCCTCCCTCATAACGACAACACCGGGAGGACTGAACATAAATCGCTCGCTAGTATTGCCCGCCTGTTTCCACGTGTTGGCTTGTGTCTCTCTTTTGTTTTGTTTTTAAACAGTGAATTAGAGTATCAGTTTAATGTTTAATTGTATTTGAGTCTTCCTTATTTTTGTGCACATTGCCTAAGTTTCCAATTGTTGAAGTTTATCTGATTATTTTTTGTATGACATGTAAAATAGTTTGGTTAAAGCCGCACTATGTAACTTAACACAAACAAGAACCCTTGTTTAATAATAAATGCAAATAGTGAAAAATGCTCATGATTTATGTAAATCTTGACATATAACAAATGGTTTATGGCTTTGATATGACTTGTTTTGGACTTGAAAGGAACGGTAAGGACTTGGACTTGACTTGAGGCTTGTCTGTGTTGACTTGGACTTGCCTCGGACTTGAGAGCAAAGACTTGAAACTCGACTTGGACTTGCAACATAAGGACTTTCCCCCACCTCTGCGGAATATCAATCGATAACTCTGGAGTAAAAGATAAAAGCAACTCTGGCCCAAAGTATGGAAGAGGGAGAGACAAACAAACATGACAAAAATTACAACAGATAATAGGCATGATGACAGCCTGAGTAAATCAGTGGATTACGAAGTATTGTTTTGCCTAAGTACCAAAGTAAAAGTGCTTCACCTCTGGGGCTGATATTTCAGTGTTATGTAAAAAACTGTACCCTTTAATATACTTAGTTCCTTTCTTCTCCGAATTAACAAGCACTACAGAGACTCTCACCCACCTCACCTCCTCTAAATCCTCTCCGTTCCACTGCACATCCTCTAATTAACATGCTGAACAAGTCAGACAGAGGAAAAAAATGTACAGACAGCCCTCCTATCAACCTGCTCTTGCTTAATTAAGACTGTGCAAACCATCCGGACAGGTATGAATATGCATTCATGCACGCCCTGATGTGTGAGAAAATATGCCGGTGTCATTTTTTGCCTTTGTGTGTCCTCTCTCTCTAAACACACTGTCATCTTGCAGGAACATTCTAACTGTCCCATTCACCGAACCCTGCAGCCTTTTCAATCGCTCCCATGACCAAGCGGTCAATACTGCAGCACCAGCGTTGTCAGGCGCCTTTTGTTTAAGCAAACAATCAGGAGGAGAGTGAGGTGGGCGGGTTGGACGATGCTAGAAATCACCATTCAAGGCCTCCTCTCTCTACCTCTTTCTCCCACTTTCTCTGTTTTGCAATTCCTAGCGTTGCACAGGTCAGAGGTCAGAGCCTGTGCAGGTTTTGTCACAGTCAACAAAAACCCATTGGGGTCTTTTTCTACCTGTAGATGTGCTGGTTTAACAGCTGCTCCAGCCTCTGGAAAAACTCAGTTTTAACTTTCAAGCAAAAGAAGTCGAGGGTGGATGAGTTAGTGTTGTTTTGCAGACAAATCATAGAGTTGATGGTCCGTAACCCGCCCTTTTCTGCCTCATTTTTAAACATGCAGCTGTTGGTTTTAACCATAATGACACATGTCCGTTGTTTACTTATGAATTTTACATGACCCACATACTGTATCACTCCAAGTTCTGAGAAAAACACAACACAGCAGAATTGCTGCCTGCTGCGTTTGCTGGAGTGTGTACTGCACAGGCATGTATCTGTGTGTGTCTGTGTGTGCGTAGATCTCTAAATGCTATGTGCAATATTGTGGTATTTCCCTGTTTGCCCGTCCCTCCCAGGACAGATTCCTATCATACTTACGGCAACATAATCATTTAGCAGTCAGCTTAGCCTTAGCTGTAATTTGTCAGAAATACGACCAGATTTTAACACTGAACTGCTATGAAAAAAATTACATAACACCACCTCCGTCATCCCCCAGCTTAAAAACGATGACGGTGGTTGATGAGCGTTTGCTTACGTTACCACCACCGCTACTAAAAATGAATTGTATGTGACGCAAACAGGGTAGTGACTGTCATTTTCTGATTTTCTTTATGAAACTTTATTTGCACTTTCATTTAACACTTTAAATGTCTTTGTTCTTAAGGATGGTGGGATGCACTCCGTTCCTGGTGGTTTCCTACTTCTACCTCTGGTTTGTTCCTCCGTTCATCAGCGGGAGATTCATCTGGTACCTAGGCTTCTACTGCCTCTACCAAACCCTCATTACCGTGAGTATGCATGCTCTCTCTTAGCGTTGCATTTTGATGTTGAAGAAACCTGAAATGTCTACCTCTGAAACTTTGCAAGATCTCACATGCAGCACAGAAGAATTGTCAAGTAGCAAAAGAGGAGTATAAGTTAATGAGGGTTTACATAATATGCGTATAAAATGCAGCAAATATTGCAGAAAACACAGTGCAGGTGATGAAAGCCATGTCGTGCCAGACTCTGACAGCTCCTGCAAGGATTTGTTCTTTGATTCATGAGCAGATTAGAGCCCAGAGCTCTCAGACACCTCACCTCAAAGGAGAAGTGTAGTTGTATTTGGGTTGCCTATTGTTATTATAGTTCAGACCATTCATCTCTCATGCTCTCTGTCCTGCTTTGCTCTGGGGTAACCCGTTTTACATGTGCCGCAGAGCTCGCAGACCGCTGCGGCCACACTGCGGCCCGCTGTAATGGCATGTCATTCTAACTACTTGATAAGTATATGGTCAGTCCTGCCAGGAACCCTCTTGCTTGGTAAATGCTGGTTACCACTTTTAGCCTCCCCTTCATTGTCTGTGGATGTGTGTTTGTGTGAAGTTCGCTGAAAGAGGCCAGCTGTTATCATTCAGTGGGTCACAGGCTGTAAACAGAGGCTAGGACGTAGTATATATAATCTGTTTATGCAATCAACTAATAATGGGTTTGCGTCCAGTTTATCAGTTCTCACATCCATCTGCAGCGGAGAGTCGAGCAGGTTGATTCCTATAAATGTTTGCATCCAGTAAAGGCCCCATAAATGACATACTGTATAGAACCAGAGGCTGCAAAAAAAGTCCTTTCACGTCCGTGTTTATTTTCGTCGCGGCTTTGCATGCTTGTTTGGCCGCAGTGCTGACTGAGCCCTTGTGTAAATTACAAAGTGAAGCAGGACTAGGTTTTCTCCGACTATTCTCTGAGAGAGGTGGTGAGGAAGAAGAAAACAGAGAGCTGAGGTTGGCCGACATGGAAACTGCAGAGATTGCTTTTGATAAATATACACAGCGGGTGTTTTTTTTTGATCGCACACGAGCACGTAGATAAAAGACATCTAAAGATATCTAGGGTGTTCCCGTTTAATTCTGAGTGAAATGTTTCATAGAATATAGACTTTACAAGGGTTATAGCCACGCTAGCAACTCTTAAAGCCAAAGTACAACCCTTAAAGAGCTGCCAGCATGGTCAAAAATATTGTACAGGCCAATATTTTGATGGCAATGCAAAAGAGCTGACATTAAACCAGTAAAATATTTCAGAAGTTAGACTGTCATGATATGTTCTGTTGATTTAGTTTTTCCCTAGTTTTGTTATTTGAGTGTATTTTCTGTTCTGTTTCTGTAGTCCAGTCTTGTGCGTTTTCAGTTCTTGTTTGACCCCGTTTCCCTCCTGTCCTCTGTGTTTTACTCTTTAGATCAGTTTTTAGTGTTTATTTTTTGTTTTATTTTGTAGTAGTTGATTCCTTGTGTTTCTAGTCTGGTTTTACTTCCTTAGTTTTCCCTCCCTCGTTAATCACTAACGAGTTTCATCTGAGTCTCGTTAGCCTCACCTGTTGCTCGTTTCCCAGTGTGTATATAGTCTCTGTCTTCCCCTCTGTCTTTGTTGGTTCATTGTATTTATGTCGATGCGTATGCTTGTATTCCCTGTTGCTCCGTGTGATTTTTGCCTTTTGGATTTTTCTCTTTCTCAATTAACCCTGCACGTCATAACATTAGGCATCTTAGTTTACATGTAAGCATGCTGACATGAAACAAGGCACAGAAAAGAGGACACAATGGCAAGACACCAAATTAGTTTGTCCAACAGACAGGGTTTCTTAAAGCTCAGGCAAAGGCAGTCAGATCAGGCAGAGGTATCCAAAAACGGAGGCAAAAGGCAAGGTAATACACAGGGAATCAATAACTATGAATAATGCTGGAACAAGACTATGAAGTGCAATGAGACAATGAGACACACAGGGTAAAATACAAGAGGTAATGAGGGTGATGGGAAACAGGTGGACAAGGCAGCAGGTGTGACAAGACAGGGGCAGGACAGACCAGACAGGAACAAATCTAAGGCTGTGTCCGAAATGGATCCCTAACCCCTATATAAGCAACTATATGGGGGTTAGCGCCATTTTGAGGGGTGTCAGAAACCTGAGTGATCAATTCCAAAGCCCCATATAGGCGACTCAAAATTATCCATAGAGCGTTACAAAATGTAGTGACCATCCAGTGGTCACTCACCGGTGGTGGGCATCCTGTCATGCATTGCGTCTTGCCATGTAGTGTCGAAACCTTCGGTGATTAAGCTCACTACATAGTCAGCTATATAGTATATCCCTGACCCCTGACCCCCATATGGGGATTGAGTGATTCATTTCGCACACAGCCTATAAGACAGGAACAAGGGTATCAACAAAATTTAACAGGAGGGATATGACATGAAACATGAATGTGCAAAAACAAAAGAAACGTTACCCTCTTAGTGCCTGAAACCACAAATTATGGCCAGAAAATTCAAAACTTTTTGGAGCTGAAATGTTTATTTCACTTACTACTGAAAACCAAAAAAATTAAAATGTCCTTAAAATTTAACAAATATATTTATCTTGTTTGATACATTAGATGTTTTTGGAAACTGATAAACCAAAAGAGGACATTTTTATCATTTAACAAACTGTATTCCAGTGTTTTTTTTAGTTATTTGTTGATCATATTGATTTGATAGAAGTATCATAAAAGTATGTATCAAATATGATACAAAAGGCATTAAAGGGTTAACCAATAAACAGACATGACACATGCTGACATTTGCTCAAATAGCTAGAGCTAATAGCTGTGTTGTTTTTACAGTTTTTCAGAGTTAGACTAATTCAGATATCAAATTTAGACTGGGTACTTGCACAGGATGAAACTGAAAAGACTGGTGTTTCTTACAGTTTGCAATAACAAAGAAAGCCTTTCTCTCCTGCTAGCTTATGGTGGTGAATTAAGTAAGAAAAACGTCAGCTCTAATAGACGTATTTTGTTTCTTTATTCAAGGATACTGTAGAAACAAGAAGTTGCAAATTGGTTGACACTTTAGACGAGTACACTTGCTCTATGAATGTGCCCAAATGTGCTCAAATATGAAGCAATTATTCAAAAAAGTATTAAAAGTTTATTCATTTTCTACCAAAAGATGATCCTGAATGGGATGATCAAATTCATAAGGGTGAATAGTCATAATAATAATAATGGATCCAGTAATGGCTCTCCAAAATTCTGTGACAATCCCATCTGGGGTTTCTAAGCTGTCCGGGTCTGCTGCTGGCAGAGCTGAGAATAAAGGAGGAAGTTAAGCTCAAAAATCCTTTCCCACTTCAGGGCTTTTAAGACGTGTGCCACTTCTGTGACTGTCACTGTGCCATCTTTCATTTCGAGAAAGAGTCAATGCCGTAATTGTGTCTTTTTTTTTCCTCTGCTGCAGTGCTTCCACGTGCCTTATTCTGCTCTCACCATGTTCCTGAGCACAGACCAGAAGGAGAGAGATTCAGCCACCGCCTATCGTAAGATGATTTAATATGCAAAAAAAGAATGTATTCATGCCTCTAACACTGAATTAATCTGAGCCTTTTCACCTTTTTTTTGCAGCAGTTCAGACAGAAAATATGTGAAACTGCTTTGAAGCACTTGCACTGATAGCTGAATCTTTGCTTGCTTGATGCTAGGAATGACAATGGAGGTGCTGGGAACTCTCGTGGGTGCTGCCATCCAGGGACAGATCGTGGCCAGCGCTCACACTCTGAAGCACTGCCCGACCCACAACATGTCCGCTGGTTACCTTGGCAACAGCAGCGGGGCAGAGATCGTCAAGAGCCTGGTGCGCTCCCAGGACTACCTGTCACACTCGGTAAGTGTCACCGTGCCAGGCCAAGAGCCCAGGTGTGCTCAAAGTAGGCCGGGGAAAAGCGAGTTTTGAAAATAACTCGGGCTGTCAGCGGCGTTCTCACTTAAATGGAAGCCACAGTGTGTGCTTAAGGTGGTTGACCTTTGCTAAATATCCGAGAAAAGCAGCTCCGGATGAAAAGGTGGATTGTTTAAAAATAGGTCCATATTTGAGAGCCGTCTACACTCCCGACACCCAAAATGGCTTTATGTTTTTTAACCCGTGTAACCCATGGGATTGAAAAGAGATGCCACTGTTTGATATCTGAACTCCACATCCTGAACCAGCTCCTCTCTCGTGACCACAAAGGGGGTTCCTCCCTTACATCAGTCTCCAAACTGTGGGGCCCCCACAGTCAGGGGTCCCTAGTCTGTAAGTCATTAGGGTTACATTTTTATTTTTTTTTTATAAGGCATTTAAACCCACCCAAGACTAACTGTAGTTTGGCTAGAAATGAAGTGAAAGGGAAATCAAGGCGCGTTCATATCAACATTTCAGTTTGCAGAGCTGTGAATAACCTCGACAGCTACTGCTAATCCATCATGGAACTTTCTGTGAAGATGAAACAAGCCAAAGTCCAAACTGTCCCACGTTGGATTTTGGTTTCCACCGCAACTATATGCGCCTCAAATGCGTCTTTTCCAGTGGATTTTTGGTGAACCATATCGGGGCATCCCACTCACCACCCTAAAACCCTCTGCAGCCACCCACCAAATTCCTCAGTGGTCGATGGCGAGGGTGGCACACCGTCTGCGCAAACAGGTCTACCCTCGGAAATAGGGAGTGTTTGATGTGCGTAAATAATAATAGACTGCCGGGCAGAGCCGCATGGAAAAATCACAAACAAACAGAGGTTGTTTAAGCCAGAGCAGTTCCTGTTGGGGTGAGGACATTAAACAGTTTAAGCTGTATTTTGGGACACAGATTGACTTTGAGGTTTCTTCCTGTTTATGCTTGTATTTGTCCAGTGAAATGTGCATGACCGGGTCTGTGGTTGAAACTGATGTGGAAAAACAACACAGAAAGTCGCAGCCAATAAATCATGGTCTGGAATCAGCAGGATTCGATGCGCACAGGATGAGCAAACGCAGGCACATCCTCAGACGATTTGTTTCCACAGTGGTCATATAGCATGTACAAATGAGGAACTTAAATATTTTAGGCGTTCGCGAAGATTATGAATTAAAGATTAAAGAACGGCTCAGAATAGACCAGATTGTGCCAGCGGTATAAGAAGACAGAGATGGATTGACGCAGGCGGCGTGTTTGTTCTTTCTCTCTGCAGAAGGAAGTCTACATGATTGCTGCTGGTGTTATAGGGGGAGTGTTTCTCGTCTGCACTGTGGTGATGTTCCTGGGAGTCAAAGAAAGAGATGGTGAGACATTTACATACAGTTTCATTCTTGCCGTCTGACATTGAAACGAGCTGAAATCTGAATTATTACTCTTTTAATTTCATGCTTAAAAACAAAACGTACAAATCAAAGAATATCACTCAGCATTCAAACAGTTGTATAATATCCCTGTGGTCCCATGAAACCATCTATAACAAAATATTCATGTCGATTTTGACAACTCTTTCATCAAAATCTATCTCTAATCTGCATATCAAAGTACGCTTTAAATGGTTAAAAACTAAAACACAGGGTTTAGCTTCTCTGGTTTAATAATTTGTTGTATCTTTTGCTTTTCCAAACAGATTGTAAATTAAAGATCTTTTTGCTTGGGGACTTATTGCTGGAGAACTAGACACACACTTCCCCCGCCCCCAATTCTAAGTATTTACATGTAAATTATTCACATAGATCACTTTTAGGATAGGCGGAAGTTGCAGCTTTAATGAACATTGCGCCACTTTGGGAACACATTTTCGGTTGGAGCTGCGATGATCAGAACAAATTAGCAGCCTCGGGGCATCACATTAAGCTAATGGCGCATGCTAAAAAACTGCACTGTCTGCAGTAGTTTGGTGAATGGAGACCTTTTGTAGCATGTTATCAAGTAGGTTAGCACAGGAAACACAATACTACCATAGGAGTCTTCAGGGTTTCAAGTTACAAAGTGATAATAACATTGTCCTGAGTTAAGTCCGAGGTATTTCCCATGACATTTTTCATTGACATCTGCAGCCCAGCTCTATCTTCAGGCAGCATCCACTGCAATGCAGGGGCAATTCCAGGATTCCCAGAGAGCAAATCCATCTCCTTTTCCCCTCCTGCATGTTATTTGATATGCTGCAGATTCATATATTTAATCTACATTTAACTATTTCAGATCCGTACGCCCCGAGGACAGAGAAGCAGATCCCTTTTTATCAGGGCTTCATCTTGGTGATGAGACACGGCCCTTACCTCACCCTGACCGCCGCATTCCTCTTCATCACGGTCGCCATTCAGGTAAATGTAGATTTATTTACGAAGCACTTCTCCTCCATGACACTCGGTGTTACAGTAAATGGAGCCCGGATCCTGTCGATGATGGCAGCTCAGATTGATGATTTAATCAATGCAGAAGAGCACTTACTGAACGCTTATGGTTTAAAGCATGTTTAGGGTCTCGGAGCTCCTGAGATCACTGTCAGCACAGTACACTCCTGTTGTTTTGGGACATGGTTCTACTTTTGACAACTCAAGTTAAGGTTTTTCGAATGATTTCAAGCATCCCCAACTTTTTTAAGAGTCTATTTCTGTGTGAGGAGGTGTCAGTTGGCGTCTGCGTGAACGCATAGAGGGAATAAATCACAGCCAAATGCCGTCAGCAGCTTCTCCAAGTCACTTCATTTGGCACTCAGCGCGGCGAGCAGAGTGCCGAGCGACGTGCTGAGTAGACAAGACGAGGCAGACTCTCTGAATGTTTGATCTCTTGATTTCTGCAGTTGGTCCAGAGCAACTTTGTCCTCTTCTGCACTTACGCTGCTGACCTGAGGGATCACTTCCAGAATATTGTGCTGACCATCCTGGTGAGAACAGCTTTTATTACTGATGCAAAGATTAAAAAAATATAGCTGTCAGTAAGATACTTGATACGTTATTATTTCTATGACTCTGATGGAGACATTTTTTTGTATTTCTATTCTACTGTGCTGCACATTTAGCAAAAAACTTGGTTAAGACGCTCATATGAAACAAAACTTCACACGACTTGAAACCTTTTTTATGCATATGAGTCATACGTTTTCTGTTTGCCCATGTGTACTCAGGTATCTGCAGTCATAAGCATCCCGTTATGGCAATGGTTTCTGCAGAGGTTTGGGAAAAAGACGGCAGCGTTTTGCGGCATCACAGTGAGTGTTCTGATTTTATTTTGGCTTTTAATGCCGGGGCCGCTACACTTTGATGTTGTGCCATCTTGTGGTCAAAATCAGAATAGTCTCATGTTCATTTAGATCTCTGAAACACAGACTCTTTGTGACTCTCTCCCTCTCTTTAGTGGATCATGCCCTTCACCATGATGCTGGTCTTCATCCCCAATGTTGTGGTGGCCTATGTTGTGGCTGTCTCCTCTGGTCTCAGCGTCGCAGCCTCCCTCCTGCTACCATGGTGAGACCTCAGTACACAAGTTTATTCTTGACTCGAGAAATAAACAAATTTTGCAAGAGCAGTTTCAGATTGAACTGAAAAAAATAGACATTTCTTGGTGTATTTCAGTTTTGCGTCTGTTGTGTTTTTACACTCTACTGATTCTAGATATGATAGATCACTCATTTTTGTATTCTAGGTTTATCCACTATATTTATTCCGTCTGATTCAACTCATATTTGGACTCAAAACACCACAAAATTGTCCAAATATTGAGCTCCGGCCACTTCCTGGCCTTAAAATTGGAAACATCTATTATGAGAAACACACGAATAAAGAGACTCTTCTTCTTCTGTGGTGCTCCCATTTCCTCCAGGAGTTAAAAACAGGTAGCTAAGGTAGAATTGGGACTCTGTGCTGCAAATTTGAGAGTCTGAGAGTCTGTCCCTGTCAACCCTGTTTGGTACTGTCCAGAGATTTCTCTTTGCAACTACCGAGTCTATTTTCAGACAAGCCCCCTCCAATTGGAATATTAAATCATACCCTTAAAATATTGAAATGCTCTGAGCTTCTGATCTTGTTTATTCAGTTGCAGTCCTGTTATCTGTCTGAGCCGCGCTGTTCACGTTACTCCGCTTTGCTTTTAATGCAAAGTGTCATTAGTGAAACCACAATAGTGCACCAGTATACTGTTAGTGGGAACATGGTTCCTAGAAGACCTGGTCCATTAACTTCAGGTCATGTCACGGTCATATTAGTGATGGTATATCCATGAATGAGAGGTGGCATCTACTATAAATCTTCTCCACCATCACAGGAGGGGGGAGCAGTCTTTCTTTAACTAGTTGTTTCCATGGCCGTCGTCTCCTTTCCCCTCCCTCGAACCCTAAATTACAGGGGCCTCCCACGGGGCATGTTTATTTTGGAAGGGGACGATTGTTTATCCTGTCTGTGGGCCGAGGTCTGCGGTGCCACCCAGCGCTCATCATCCAATCGTGTTATTAGCTCCGTGATTTCAACCCACTATTTATCAGAGCACTATAAGTAGACCTCACATCGTCATCTTGAACGGTTGTATAAGATGATTAAAGTCAGAGCGTGAGGGAGGTCTTACAAACATCAGCTTAAAGTTTGATCGAGTCTTTGTGTGACGATGAGTATTAAGACAAAGGCAATATGCCTCCCTGCAAATCCTGCAGAAACACAGCATCAACATTTTCTGTGCTCACTTCTGCATTTGTGTGTGTGTGTGTGTTTGTGTGCATTTCAGGTCCATGCTGCCAGATGTGGTGGATGACTTCAGACTGGCCAACCCTTACTCCAAGGGTCATGAAGCCATCTTCTACGCCTTCTACGTGTTTTTCACCAAGTTCGCTTCTGGCATCTCTCTGGGAGTGTCCACGCTCTGCCTGGAGTAAGTCTGCAGTAAAAATATTTACACGGCAGCCACTGTGCGCTGATTTCTCAAACTACTTAGACAGGTTATTCATTCAAGAAAACCTGCAGAGACAATTTATGAATCAAACAAGGAATGAACACAAACGTTGAGCTAAACAGAATAATCGCTTCTGTGAAATTCTTATGAATCACGATCATCAGTCTGTCTAAATAGGAGCTGTGTTTTTGTGGTTTGTTTAGATTCGCAGGGTACGACACCGGCGCCTGCAAGCAGCCCGCTCCTGTAGTGTACACCTTGAAGCTGCTGATCGGCGCCGCCCCTGTGGCCTTCATTGTCACGGGGTTAATGATCCTGCTGCTCTATCCCATCAGCGAAGACGTGCGGCTCAGGAACAAAGTCTGCCTGGATGAGCTTAGGTATGCGGGGAATCATGAAAGAACATCAGATTAAAACGTTAGCTGTTCACTCTTTAAAAAGAGTCTTACTCAGACGGTCAACATAGTCATAGATCCTGATGATTGAGCATTTGACACGTAAAACTTTCTTAAAAAAGAGCCTGCAGTTTATATTTTGTGTTTGCAGAGAGAGGGGACATACTGTGGGTGATGATAAATAAGCAATATAAGTGAGCTACACTCCAGGAATAATGTACATATATGCTCCACGTGGGTATAAAGCAATCACAAAACATTAGCAAGAAATGAAAGATGAACTTGCTCTTCAGGTTTATCAAATCACTACTTTTTCACCTGCTGATCTTCGCCATGAGACGGCGCTCACTTGATGAAGTAGTAGCTTTTATGGAGTCCCTGTGCTCAATCGTGGGTTCCTCAGGATCTCTGCTGCAGACGTTTTGCTCACCTCTGTCCTCCATCTTTCTGCGTCTCCCTCTCTAAACCTAACGCAGTCTCAGCAGATGACTGTCTAACATGAGTCTGGTTCTGCTCAAGGTTTCTGCCTCCATTGTTACTTGCTAAATGCTGCGAAGTGCTGCACTCATGAGGTTGAAGATGGGATCAGATTGGGTCTGATCTTACAGGATGGGGTTCATTTTTAAATCGGGTCTAGACAAGCCTTTTTTTTTTGCTACCACAATGCTATAAAAGTGAATTAACTATTTTGAGGAGTTTTGAAATTAGCCACATAAGTGAAAGAAGAAACTTTCATTAGTGCATCACAAGTTGAGATTGATCTAAAGAAGTTTTGACTGGTATTGACTTGATTTCCTGACTTAACTTTTGTCAATGTAACCTGTTATTTCTTCTTATCCCCCTCCTCAGGAAACAGAGCATCAGCTCCAGAACAATGGAGGATTTGAGTAACGTGTGACCTGGATCTTGACTGGAGTGAACTCACAAAAGCCACGTGTTCCAGCGACACAGCTGGAAAGATGTTCATTAGTGTATATTACACTGATAAATAGTTAAATTGTTTTAATGTAAACATTTTTGTTTCATTTTCACATGTACTGTACAGTCATCTTGGACATATAAATATATATAATAAGATTACCTAATTTATATAAATGAATGTATACCATTATTTGCTGTGTTTGGCTCTACAACACTGTTATTTATTGATGATATAGTGATTACTGAAGGCTGATGGTATGAAATAAATGTTGTAGAGATTGGTTGACAGACCGAAAAAACGTGTTGTGTTTTTTTTTTTACCTTAATAAATAAGTAACACACAATGAGATGCACTTTAATTATGCAAATTTAATGTTCAAAAAGGCTACTATGAGATGTTCTGATCACAAAAAAACGTGTACCTTTTGTGTCTTCAGTGAAGCTCTGAACAACACTGTATGGCAATGAGTGTTGCTCCCTCTAGTGGCCAGTTGCAATAATTAAATCTCTATTCCTGTAGATGAAAAAGTGCCTTAAATGTGTTTTCAACAGCGTTAGGTTTGCTTACATTTCCCCAACATTCAGACTGAAAGTGCTCTTTGAGAAATTTTATGGGTATTACTTAACTTCATACACGTCCACTCATTACACTCTTCACACCATCCAAAACATTCACATCGTCTGTCATTGTCCCGGGACATGGCACTATAATAGATCAGGATCGGACTGCAAGGACTTAACGAAGAAGTGGACCTCTTTCTATTAAACTTTCATTACAAAATAGCATGTAAACAGTACATCTAAATGAGAAGCCCTTTTGAAATCCCTGCTGTTCATTACAAAAATAAACCCATTCATCTGCCGATTCAGACAAACACACTAAAAGAAACACAGATACTCCTGTATGAGTCCATTAAACGAAGCACTACGTGGAGGCCTCCACAGACGTGTTGGGTGCGGGACTGGGTGGGCAGGAACTCTCCGGACTTCGTATGTTGGTTTTCCTCTTCCCGTTCCGCACTGTGAGTTCCTCTTTGGGTTTGAACGTCAGAGGCACAAATCCGTCCGCATCTGCCACCAGTACAATCCACAGAGGACCTAGAAAATGATATTTGTATGTTTTTATTTTATATTTTATTCTCCAACGTCACCTGGTGTTTGCTTCTGTGTGTCACTATAGGACGGATGGTCTATGCTAAAGCAACAAAGCGCTGTGCAGTCAATAGGAGTAAGCTGCTTTTGTTTAAAGCCCTGTAATCTAATCTAGGCTTTTAATCGTGTCTAATTTTAGTTACGCATGTGAGCAGAGGAAACGTGATGTCTTGTCAGAGATTGTTCAGCAAAATATGAGGCTCTTGGTAAAGAGTAAACTAACTCTGTAAGAGAGTTAAACTTGGACAACCTAAAGCTCTGAATGACTTTCAGACATCCTTCTCAGAGTTTCTCGCAAGTTCGCTGAAGATAATTCCAGGAGACGACTGTTCAACTGTAAGAGGCCTAAGCTGAGTTTCCTGAAAGTGTTTTTGATTTGTTAACTCAAGCATGCCCCGGTTAATCTGACAGTTGATGCGACACAGAAGGGTTAACAGAAGCTTAGGTAATGCTTCGTAGTAGAGACAAACCATTAACAAAGGTTTTAAAGCGCTTGTGACGTCAAAGATGAGGAGAAGAGAAGTTCTTGTAAAAGTTAAAAAGACCTACCATGCATCATCTCTACTATCGTCAGGTTGAAGAGCTCTTGCAGGGCGCGCAGACACAGCTTCCCATCACACAGCAGCACTGGTCTCCGCTCATCGATAAACACATTTTCTGATAACTGCTTCTGCATTTGCAACAAGACAAAAAAGCCAACAGGGTAAATCTGCAGCAGATTTAGTTTTACAGCAATTTCATGCATTTCTTTTTAAATGTTTTTCTCATGAACACAGAGAAGAATGAGTCAAACTGTACCTGACATGTCACGTTGACATATGGAGTTTCAGAGGTACTAGGGTAGACGCTCAGGGCCTTCTTCCCGTTCTGTGTGTAATCCCTAATGTCTGTCAGGCACTGCTGTACGTCTGCAAAGCGATTAAAAAGCCTCTCCATGTTGAGGACGAGCTGCTCCAGACGCTGGTCTCTAGGTGGGCCCGGTGTCTTTTCCGGCATGGGTAAGGTTGCCTCACAGTGAAACTTCTCCGGTGGTTCTGGGCGAGGCGATCCGGCCCGGCTGGAATCCCTGCTGGCCTGGCCTGCGAGCGCCAAAGTGCTCATGCGGTTGACGTGGTCCATGTCAAAGTTCTCGACCGTGACGGAGGAGGCGCTGGACGCGGCTCTGTCTGTCGCTCGGTCAGAGAAGTCCACAGAGCTGTTGACAGGGCTGGGCTCACCGCTTCTCACCTCCTCCACCAGCCTGCGCCTGTTTGCTGGCGAACGAACGACTCCCCCTCCAGGTAGCACCAAATCCTTTATCCCTGTTCGCTCCCTGTCAGCCTTTGTCAGGTTCTCTGAGTACCTTCTAATCCTTGGACTGAAATTAGTAGGAGACTCACAATTGTGAGGAGAGGGAGATGTTGGCGTGGGAGTCTCTCCATCATTCATCAACTCCTTGGCTAGGAGATGGAGAATGTATTTATCCGTGGTGGAGGAGGGTAGAAAAGCAGGGTCGTTGCACTTCTGCCTGCCCACCATCAACAGCAGTGTCTTATCATTGAGGAAGCAGACCCCTTTGGGCCTCTCGTTGGCCTGAAGCGAGATCTGCTGAATGTTTGGCATGGTGGAGGCTGTGATGCAGTACACAAGCACCATGTTGCACGTGTTAGAGGCCACCGCAACCGTAGAGCCACGTGGGTTAAAAGCAACGATGTCTGGAACCAAAATCCCAGGGATACTGACTTTGCGAGTGGTGGTGACTTTACGCTCGTATGTGACCAGGGTGAGGTGCGAGGAGTCCTGGCCTGAACCTGTGACGGTGTCTCTGCGACGTAGGTGAATGAGAGGGCTGGGGTCAGAGCGGCGGTGCCTCGCCAAGAGGTGGGTGAGATCCAGGGGGCCTGAGTTTGGTATAAAGGACCTTTCAGATTCAGAGGCCCTTCTTCTTGAGTAAAAGACGTTGTCGTCCTCTGACGTGGCAATTTGTACGCCGTGGGAATCAGTCTCTGAGGGCATGTCGAAAGCAATGCCCGCATTTAACCCGCAGAGTTTATCCAGAGGCAGCTCTGTCGCCACAGCAACCTGAGCTTCCCCTGTGGCCTCGATGGCACAAATGTAGCCTCCAACATCAAATATGGGGCAGAAGGAGCAGGCCACCAGACTCTTCTGGATGTCATTCCAGATGTATGAGTGGAGAGCACTGCCTATAGCCACCACCAGACGTGTACCATCCTTAGTCCAGCAAGCACAGTGGATCAGCCCGCTACCTTTGATGTCTGCTTTGGTCCTCCTGTTGTCCACCCGCACAGAAAACAGCACAGAGGTGTCCTTCTTGGTCAGCACGGCCAGGATGTCCAGTTTGGGATGCCAAACGCAGCCTTGAGAGAGCAAAGGGAAAGGCTCGCTCATCTCGCAGGTCTGCGTGCACAGCAGCTTGTTCTGCTCCAGGGCACTGAGCTGCAGCTGCCACACCGTAACATGCTTCTTGTGCTGAACAGCCAGCAATGCAGGAGAGTCCGGGCAGCAGAGTGGGCCCCAGAAGAGCCCAAAGACATGCTCAAACTGCCCGATAACATTAGTGTCCCCAAACTTGACCTCCCCGTTCTGGAAGTAGAGAGATGTGAGGCAGACCTGCTTGCCGTCCGTCCACGCTATCCCGTGCACAGGGTGGATGGCTTGGTGCAGAGTGTTGAGACCTGTCCTGAGCAGCTTTGCTTTACCAAGATCCATCCCGGCTGGCAGGTATAAAAACGTTTGTTAAATGAGAAAAAAATAAGAAGACTTAGATGGCATACATTTGCAAGGAGACCTGCTACCAATCTGAAAGGGTCCTGCACAGGAGAAACCAGTGCTACCCATGCAGATTAAGTATAGCAAAACCCTCTGCCACGTCTTCTTCCAAGTACATGCTTTAATCCCCTCTGCATGAGCTCAGGCAGTTGTGACGAACACTTATAGCTCCTTACACCCGAATGACCTTAACCACACACAGGTCCTGTGAGGCATTGAGGGCATTATGTGCAGGAGAGTAGGAGCGTCTCCACACTAACTGCATTAACTCTTTAAGATCTGTTTAGGTTGCCATGATAATTTGGGGCCAATTAGGTCACGACCTCACTAAAAAAGATTTTGTTCCTTGTTGTATGTGACATGCAATTCACCAGTATGTCATGTTTCTTGTTAGTATAATCATAAATATGGTTTTGTGGTGCTTTGACAATAATATACTTAAAAACTTCCACAGTGTTGGTAATAAATTATTTCATTTTAGTGATGAATAGATTAAAAAAAAATTGTAAAAAGTTACAGCAATGTACAATAACACTGGTAACAGACAGTTTTGGCAAATTAATGCAGTGGTGCACATTGAGTTGAATAGGCAGCAACATATATGAGATAAGAGGGGATTAGATTACATAAAATAATCTGTTTTAATTTATGTAGTGAGATTAAAATAAAAATATATACTCACTCTAATCCGACTCTAAATGTAACATCGTGTAAACTCATGCAGTTTATTTATCGGTGTTATGAATGAAAATGTGACCTTGTTAGCTGATGACCAACAGCCAAATCCGTTTGTGGTTGACATGAAATTATACATTTTAAAAATTTAACAAGAATACAAAGATATGCTAAAAACGCTTCACTAAAACGCTTTTGTAGCATAACATGTATTAAAAATATATATTATTACAGTATTGCACTATCTACAGAGTGCAAAATACTTCGAAAAGTACTCAATACTTTCACTACTTCAATTCTACTTACATAAAACGCAATTTCAGTACAATTTTGTGCTCCATTTACACTTTCTGAACAAGTGTTGTTACTACGACAATCAGTTAACGTCATGTTTCAGGAAACCGTGTGATATCTCCTGGTTTGTATTTAGCTAGCAAGCTTAAAAAACGCCTGCAAACCCATAAAGATAATGATTAATGGTTTACACGTACCTTATTAAAACACCGGCATCATGTGCATCTTCTGTGTGAAACTGTTAAGGGCTAACTCCCATCCAAAAAACGCACGCCGTACAACTTCAATGTTCATTTTTGTACGAACCGGAAACATAACAGTGCCTCTCGGTGCATTATGGGACATGAAGTTCAAGAATCAATCTTTACTTTTTCACATTTCGCCCACTCGAGGGCGTTGTGCGTTACTGTCAGACACTGTTTTACTATAACATAGTAAGTAAAAAAAAAACAATCTTTAAATTTGTGCACGCAATGTAGGAAAAGAGAAATAACGTTGTTACAGAATAACGGTTAAATGTTAAACCTTGCCCAGCCGTCGTGAAATGTAGTTTTAAGTCTTGTCTGAAGACGACGCTCGTGCTGTAGTTGAAGATCTCGACGCCGTCTCGCTACAAAACAGAAAATATCTTTGCTGCCTCACGGTTGGTTGGCTGTAGCTGCGGGTCAGTGGTGGTCTGTGAATGCATGGTGTCTTCTGATACAGCCCGACTTGTAGCCACTAGACGGGCGACACTGGCTGTCAAATCGGCTTCATAGGCTGCATGTTTTGAGCTAACATTGGAAGAAGCACAACCATGGGCGTGGAGGTCCAGACAATATCTCCCGGTGATGGTGAGTTGATTTAACCGCCTTTGTGTGCTTTGACGTGGGGTTGGCTGTCCTGGGGCTCGATGGTCTCCCGGAATGTCGTTCAAAATTTGGTTAATATTAACGTAATTCACGTCAAATAACAATTTCAGCAATGCAGAAGGCTTATTAATGTACTCATTAGTCAAACAGTACTCTAAATTAGTATTCGGGTCTCAAGAGGGAGTTTGGGGAGCTTGCATGTTTACTGTGGATCTTTCCAGAAGCCCTCACTTGTATTGTCTATGAATTAAGAATTTACGCACTGGCTACTATGCATGGAGAGCCTTTAATCTCTTTGTCTGGTGTACTGATAATGTAATTAACCCAGAGGCACCAGATAGCCCCTCACCCTGGATACAGATGCCCCACGGCTGAAGTTTCAGCATAAGGATAGGACTGAGGGCGCATTTCCACCGAAAAGACTGGGAACTTTTAGATCCAGAAACTTCTCTTTCAGGAACTTACTGAAGCTCTCTGTTGTCTGACTTTCTACTAGAGCCTAAAGTCCTTTGAAAATAATACAAATGATAAAAGACAGAGCACTTGTGTTGGACAGTTATTCTGTAAATTAAGTACCATTGAGTGTAACATCTTGCTAGAGGAAATAGTTTGGTCTCGTTGGCACCTATTTTCTGCTTTCTCTGCCTAGATGGTGTTCATGTGTAAATAAAGCACCTGCTTTTAAAGTAACCAGATTGTTTCTCCCTCCTGTTACAACACCTAAAAAGTGACCTCTGATATGTGAAAATGCACATATAACAAAGGTACTTAATTTTACTGATCAGAAGGGTTTGGTTCCCCTTGTCCCTCCTATGTGTTGCACTCATAAGGACTAGTTTTTTGTGTACATTAGATCATCTTCACCCTGCCCCTAAAAGTTCCTGAACCTTTGGAAATGAGTCCTCTCTGGTCAGCTACCTCAGAACTACATTTAGACCCAGGTTCCTCAAAAGGTTCCTATAGTTCCTGGGGAAAGTTCTTGTTGTTGAAAAGCAAACAGACACATATTTCACCCTGCTGTTTTTGGAAGCATAGGGGAGATTACACTCCTGCCAGGAACACCTCTCCAGACTAAACCCAGTAATCCACTGGATTAGCCTGATAGCTTGTGAGGCGTCCAAACACACAATAACAATTGTTCTCTCTTTCTCTTTCACAGGAAGAACATTTCCAAAGAAGGGCCAGACATGTGTTGTTCATTACATAGGTAACCGGCTCTTTCTTTACATAAACCAGACGTCTTTCCTGTCTCCTTGTCGAGAGAGGAAATTTGTCCCTATATGAGTGTTGTTGTTTTTCTCTGTCTTGACAATATCTGGTGCACAGCAGGGCTCGGTTCACAGCCGAGCTCTCACAGAATGCACATGCAGCCAGACATGTATGCACCTGTGTGTCACTAATGGTTTCAGAGTCAAGGGTGGGTGCTGCAACCTCACCCAGAAAACACGATATTGCTTTTGCAAAGTCGAAATCTGGTCTCAGTGCTTCTGTAGAGGCACACACTCGTGCTTTCTCCTTCCTGTTTGTCTCTTGTCAGATTGCCCAGTTTTGATGCGGGGCAGAAAGGCGCTGGGATATTTGGGGAATAAATTTGGGTTATTTGCTGCCCCCGGGGTTGGCAGTCCAGACATCTAGGTCAGACAGAAAGTAAACAAAGCCTAGTTCGCATGTCATCTGACTGTCTGAGTATTACCGTGTTATTACACGGCTATAAAAGTTATTGCACGCTCAGCTGCAAACAGGTTTGTCTGGAGGCTGTGGGTATTATTGTTTTGCTCATGTTTAGAAATCTGCAGTCATCAGTCCTGACATTTATTTGATGGCTTGATTAACAACCCTTTGAGTTCAGTTTGACATGTCTTGTTTGGTTTTGTGTGAGGATTGACTCTAAATCAAAGAAAAAAAAAGAGTGCTCAAATTTTTCGGACTGGAAAAATTCTGCAGATTTCCTCCCTGGAGTCCGATCTCTGCAGAGGTCTGCGACGGTAGTAATGAATTATGCTATATTTGGAAGTGATTCATCTCAGCATGTGAGGCTGCTCTATTAAGATACAGAACATCCCGGTCTGGGACAGTCTTGCAGAGGGAGGGTGTGTGCAGTCTCTTCCCTTTTGTCTGGTGGCTCTGTTTCCCTTCACTCACTATCATTTGGTTGGATATTTTTTTGCATCTAGGTAATTGATATCAAAAATCGTCTATATGCTGGAGCCTGTTAACACTCATGTTGGCCAGGCTGGGTATTTTTTTAAACACCAGGGACAATCTCCGTCTCGTGTTCTCATTGTCTGAATCCGCCTGTGTCATCCCCTTCTTTTGGCTTTTCCTTTCTGACTCACAGGATTTACCATTAAGCTTCTGGTATTTTGGCAGCGGCGGCACGCAAAATGCAGAGTTAAGCCAAAGCAAGGACCCACGTGCCGGCGGAGCACAAAAAAGAGCTAAAAATATGTTATTGTGTCAGCGGGGGGGAAATACGTACACGGAGAAAAGAATGACTAAGAGTGAAAGGGGAGAGCCGTGAACAAAGAGACAAAAGGGTCTTAAACTGGAGGATTAATAAGAAAGAGTGATGTTTTCTTCAGAAGGAGAGCATGTCTGTAATCAAGTTACAAGTTTTCTCTCAATTTGGGTTCAAAACAAACAGTTTTTTAAAGCTCCAGTAGGAAATTTTGTGTTTCTGTTGACTTTGGCGCCCCTCCTGGATAAAGTGATATCTTTGCTGATCTTCTCTTGTACACATATAAGTTTTTTCCTGTCAGTCTCAGCTGCATTTGATCATCACACAGTGGCATTTGTTGCATGTGAACGTGTTGAACGGTGAACTGAGCCGCTCGTGAAGGCGAAAGGTGAGCGAAGTTCACTCTGGAGTCACTTTCTGGAAGGATCCCAGACGTTCCAAGAATGACCGAGCAGTACGTGTTATGGCAGCCGAAGCTGGATGTTGTGCAAAGTCTATAAAGTTAGTTTATTGCGACAAACAGAGGAGCTGAACCTCTGTAGGTTCTTCCACATTAGTCGCCAATATTGTTAGTATTATCTATAGTATGTGGAGATGAATTTTCTGCACTGGTGTTAGCTTTCCAGATAGCAGAGCAAAGATAAACAGAGAGGACACAGTCAGAGTGATTCCCCCAATCCATTATGGGATTTGAAACGTCTCCGTTTTCAGCGTTTAACATCACAGAGGTGCGGTTCTCACACTCCCTCTCCTTCACACACTCTCACTGCTGTGCCGTTTTGATCCTCACTTTCTCCTGCGGGATTTTAAATATGCAGACACACACACATGCCGCAGAGCACACAGACAGTTATGTGCATGACCCCCCTCTGACTGTGGCGAGAGCTGCAGCTGCCCAAATTAGCAAGAGTGCCCGTCGCTCATTGTGAGGCAGGTAAGGGCTGTGGCTGTGCAATAATTATCTCCCTCTGTTTTCATTCCAAGCTTAAAGGGATATTCTGATGTAAATTATGTTAGGGTCAAACATGCCGTAAAACCAAGTTAGTCACCCCGTCGAGAGATGAATCTTGCCGACCGTTTGCTTCTCTAGTTATACCAACTTTAGTAACGACCGCAGATAGCAATACAGAGAGCCATGCGCTCAACCAAAACGCCACTCTATAGCCACAAATAATGATCAGAACAGCACCTAACTTCATCAACAGTACATATAGGGTCCCAGCCATAGTACTAGCCGCCAAACATCTTTTAGCTTTGCCTGATTTCTTTCACAAAGAGACTAAACACAACTCACCCACTCTCTTCCAGCAGCCGCTTGTTTGTACGGAGAACTCAGATAAGCCAAAACTGACTGCAGCGGAGTTTCACAGCTCAAGGAAGAACATTTATGATCATTTCTTCGTGGAAATGCAATCAGATTGAGACGCTAAGGCAGAAGAACTACCACTGCCACAGCACTAGCCGCCAAACATCTTTTTACCCACCAAACATCGGACGTCGAAGAGACGTGCAGATCAAGTCAGTATTGGGTCGGTCCGTCAAAGACCACATCTAGACATCAGTGCGACGTGCAAAATAGGTTAGAAATTTCAATGTCCAAATTGGACCTTTTTTAGACGTCACGGATCAAAGATTTAGACGTCATTATTGGACCTCTTTTAGACGTTGAAATGACGCCCACATTTGTACCTCATCGTCGAAAAAAATCGTTACAGCAATCGTTACAATCGGGACACAGCTCTAAGAAGAACATTTATGATCATTACTCTATCTATCATCGTCGCCCTGCTGCAGTCGTGATGGACTCGCCCGGAGGTCTCCGTACAAACAAGCGGCTGCTGGAAGAGAGACGGTGAATTGTGTTTAGTCTCTTCGTTAAAGATATCAGGCAAAGCTAAAAGATGTTTGGTGGCTAGTACTATGGCTGGGACTCTATATGTACTGTTGATGAAGTTAGGTGCTGTTCTGAGCATTATTTGTGGCTATAGAGTGGCGTTTTGATTGAGCATGTGGCTCTCTGTATTGCTATCGTGCGGTCGTTACTAAAGTTGGTAAAACTAGAGAAGCAAGCGGTCGGCAACAATCATCTCTGGACGGGGGTGTCTAACTTGGTGTCATGGTGTGTTTGACCCTAACTTAATTTACGTCAGAATATCCCTTTAAGTTTGTGTCAGATCGATCAGCAGCCAAACCCACTTATACCTCTTTACAGCCAGGTCAGTACGAGGGCTAAATGCTTGTGTAAGGGACTGGAGGCAGAGTTATGGTTGAGGTAGAAAAGACAGTGAGTTAGAAGAGCTTTATGCACATTTCCAGCCATGAGACACAACCAAACTATAGATTATATTAACGGTACGATCAGATCTATAGATAAGTTACAAATCTTAAAGAGATTAACTTTATTAATTGATCATGTGCTGTGAGATAGTGTGTCGAGCCAACTGCACCAAAGGAGAGATGGCGCTTAATTATTTACCAGAGTTTCCAGACATGTAGGGCCATAAAGCTGTCTGGACACTTGTTGGTGTTTTCCCAACGCTTTTGTTGTACCATATGAAATCCTGTTGGTGATATGGAGTTGTTGTCATAATCTATAAAGCTAAAACGAGCAGAACAAAGTCCTCACACTAATTCAGTGTGGTGTAAATTCATCCAGACTTCATTTTTGACCGTTATCCTTCCTGTCGCGCCAGTACGAGCGTTACCTTTTTACCCTTTTCCTCCCATTCTTTGGTCGTCAAGTGTTTCCCTTACACTTCGCAGCTTGGCAGCGCTCGGGTCCAGCTGTTTTCTCCTCAGAAAACCTTAACTTTTCTGTGGTATCATGAGAACAGCAGGCGCGGTGGATATGATGTCATGCCTAAATGCGGACGTCATTCCTTACCATGTTTGAGCTCCACGCTCGACTGCGAAACGTGCTGAAGAAGAGGAGGTCGAGTGACCCTCCCTGTGTGTGTGACACAGAAATAGAGACTGCAACATGGGTTTGTGTGTCAGGAGATACTGAACTCATGTTGCAGGGAAGGGAGTGTTGTGATTGAATGCCGTGGGAAGCGTTCAGTCTTGACACTTTGGAGGTAAACACTAAAAGAAAAGCAGATATCTATGAGGTTTTTTTTTTGGTCAGAATCTGCAGGTAATTTACATTTTTAGTTCATGTCTTCGAAATACGATGAAAAAGGCGATTTTGGGAGAAACAAACCACTCAAGCAAACTTTTCAATCAGCCCACTTCACAAATAATTCAGAATTGACTCTTTATTTCTCAAAATGCAGCAGCAGCAGCGAGGATCATTTTCAGACCTGTGCTGCAGCAACAAACCAAACCTATCTATCGCACGTACCACCACTTCATCTCGCTCTGCATATAAATGAAGCGCGAAGGAGATTTAATTCTTTCCATTGAGACAAACGTGCTCACAGCTGTGAAATGCTGCAACACGCATAAGTCTGTTGCGGACAGATAGCATTACACGCATCTCGTTTCATCCACACTTACTTGGGCAGAGGAAGGGGGTTGTTGTGCTGGCAGGCGTCCTAGACGGGGCTGAGACAGGATACAGTAAACGGAGTAAAAATAACCCCACCCCAGTGCGCAGCGGCTCTCTGCAGATTCAGCCACACAGCTCCTCTGAGTGGAAGCCTCTCATGGGGAGAAAGTGTGGGAGCTGGACTCAGGAAGTGACTGGGGCCCTGCTTTATTTTTGCAGGGACCCCACCCATGCTTAGCTGTGCAGAGTGATAACAGACCCCTTGATAGCACTGGTGAAGTAGTAGTAGTAGTAGTAGGTGATAGAGTTATAGTGTACATTTCACGAGGTTGATTTTTCACTGTGTTGTATCTTTGTGAGATGTCGTAATCGAGATCTTGTTTCAGAACAATGCAGCTTCATATTTTTGCCCACAGGAAGAGCGAGCAGGTGGTGTTTTCACCTTTGTGTTTTGTCCTCTCATACTAGTTTTTACAGTCCTTGTTGTTATGGCTGTTAACCCCTCTTCAGACTCAGTTACCCCCCTCCCTCAGATACCACTGGAGTTGTTCGCTGCTTCTTTTAGTGTAACACAGAGGAGCGTTTACAAATAGAGTGTTAAATTATCAGGTGTTAATACCTCCTTTTACGTCAGCAGACTCTAAACAGAGACCCCGTCCAACCAGTGTGACCCACTAGTGTTACGCCCAGGACACGATCCCTTCGTTGGCTTCCCACCTTTGAACTCTGCCAATCAGTGTTTCCCAGCAGGTTGCAGCCGCCGCCGCTGCCAGAAACCCAACCTGCTTCATATGCAGCTAATGCAAGAAGGTAACCGCTCCGGCGCTCCTGCAGCAGGTGGTGTAAGTCTCGGTGAATGCACTTGATGACTCTGGGGTCGGGTCGAGCCAAGCCTGCTGATATCTGGGCTGCTTTGATTCTTGGAAATGATGAACCTACTAAGTTTAGGGGGGTTGTAAGGGGAGAAGCAATACAGTACCAGCATCCACCCATGTGACCAGATGAGCCGTCAGTAAAGTTGACTTTAAATGCCAACACTTGTTCAATTAGGACAGAGAAAGATAAACCGAAGGAGAGTGTGAGTGCGGGCGGATGCTGTCACATTTACAGCAATTTACACTTAATGCTGCTTCCACCTCCTGTAAGACTTTACCTCGATTTTGAGAGCAGCAGATGCAGCTATAAAAGTAAACTGAATTAAATCAAGCAGTTTCTTAATGTTGATATCAAAAAGTATGACCAAGAGCTTTAAAAAACTCTTAAAATATGATACTCTTTCTGATATAAGTGAATTACTGTTAAAGCAGTGTAAACACCCTTTACTGCTTTGTCGACTTCAGTAGACTTAAAGGGGTATTCTGAGGTAAAATAAATTTAAATGAGCCACAAATAATGCTCAGAACAGCACCTAACTTCATCAACAGTACATATAGGGTCCTAGCCATAGTACTAGCCACAAACATCTTTTTACCTTTGCCTAATTTCTGTAGCAAAGAGACTAAACACAACTCACCTACTCTCTTCCAGCAGCCGCTTGTTTGTACAGATACCTCGGGCCAATCCATTACGGACTGCTGCGGGGTGACGCAGCTCAAGGAAGAACATTTATGATTATTTCTTTATCATTTCCTTGAAGTAATAATCATCACATTAATCATTTTGCACTGCAGACATGATAGTTCTTCTGCCTTAGCATCTCAGTCTGATTGCATTTCCATGAAGAAATGATCATAAATGTTCTTCCTTGAGCTGCGTCACCCCGCTTTAGTCCGTAATGGACTGGCCTGAGGTCTCGCTACAAACAAGCGGCTGCTGGAAGAGAGTAGGTGAGTTGTGTTTAATATCTTTGCTAAAGAAATTAGGCAAAGCTAAAAAAGATGTTTGGCTGCTAGTGCTATGGCTGGGACCCTATATGTACTGTTGATGAAGTTAGGTGCTGTTCTTAGCATTAATTGTGGCTATAGAGTAGCGTTTTGGTTGAGGTTTGTTTATGGCCCCCCAGACTGCTGTGTATTGCTATCGTGCGGTCGTTACTAAAGTTGGTATAAGTAGAGAAGCAAGCGGTCAGCAAAATTCATCTCTCGAGGAGGTGTCTAACTCTGTGTTACGGTGTGTTTGACCCTAACTTAATTTTACATCGGAATATCCCTTCAACCACAATCGTGGATTAGTCTGCAAATTTGACAGTCGTCCCCAAGACATTTATCTACACCCTCAACAAGGAGGCTAAGACGCAGCAGGTTAGATAAGGTTGTATTTTTGTATATAACTGGAGGGTTGATTGTTGAAGTGTGAAGTGTTTAAGGAAAAGGTGCACATGCAACAGGGATGACTGCAGCCTTGAGAGGATTGTCTAGAAAAGTCGATTTGTGAACTTGGCAGGGCTTCAGTAGTAGTAGTGGTGGTGTCAGGCTGGTGTCAGTGCATCAAGAGCCATTACTTTACCTGTCACATGCAGAGACAATGTCCTAGGCTCAGGTCAAACTGTAACTTTTTATATTGAAAAAGCGAGTGTTATTCATAGTGCTCCAAAAGTGAAGCCTGTGTCTGACTCCTGCAGTGGTGCGAAAAAAGGCCCCAATGTTCTCATCATGCCTCAACGCTCGGTCAGCGCCCTGGAGGAGCTCAGTCCTGCACCGCTCCGCCTTTGTTACCCACTTCTCCCTGTGGTCTAGATGCAGGCAAGCAATGGCCTAGTTAACTTCAAAAATAATCCACTGAACCAGGCCAACACTTCCCGGTTCACATTCCCTTTGTTCATTTGGGTAATTGAAACAGGCCCAGAGAAGCTGATAAGAAAGCCTCTAAGAGAAAAGTTCCTGAGACTGGAGCCAGCTTGGCTTTTTTCCCTTTAATCATAAAATGCCTCATGTTGGGATTTTAGCCACAGAGGAAAGGGTGTGCATTGATCTGGTATCACATGATAAACGGGCATAAAGAGTTCAGGAGAGCTTTACAGCCATGTGAGTGAACACTTCAGATGTGTGAAATTGTAGTTTTACTTGAAAACTTTCTGTTTCTTTGTCAGGTATGCTGCAGAACGGGAAGAAGTTTGACTCCTCTAGAGACAGGAACAAGCCCTTTAAGTTCAAGATCGGCAAAGCAGAGGTCATTAAGGGCTGGGATGAAGGAGTAGCACAGGTAGGTTTGTTGCAAAAAAGTCCCTTTTTTTTGTACTGCACTGTTAAAAAAACAATGACAATCTATTCACAAGCGTTTGTATTCTTAGTTGGGTGAACATGAAAATTAAAATAGCTATAATACATGTCAGACCAACAATGTGCGCCTCAATAAAGACCAAATATGTAATCCTAAATTAGCAGAATTTGCAATTTGTTTGCACAACAAAGTCGGAAAAATTCCCATAATGCAGTTCAGATATTGACCCATGAGGTCTGCCGAAGAAGACCTACGAGGTTTACCACGTTCCATCGCAAGGGCAAGTTCTCCCTCATTGTGTGTCACGGCCAGAGGGAGAAGAGGACTTTTTCAAGTGGACCAGCTTCAGTCCAAGTTGTTTAAGTATTTTATGTGAAAATAAACATGTCTGAACTGTATTAAGTGTATTAACTAATAAAGAATGTGGTGTTTACTTAAGTCAATTGGCTACTTTTTCAGTTTAGCTAGCAATGCTTGTCTATCTACATTGCTTGTCTGCTGTAAAATTATCTTTTTGTTCCCTCACGATGTGTTTCTTAGCCGCGTGTTTAATCGAACATGTAACTGAGCAGGCAATTTTATCTCTGGGGCGCATTCATGATGCACGCCGCCTCCACGCTCACTCGCTGCGGAGAAAGCCGTTAACTTTAGCTATTAGCAAGCGGCTGCTAGCCGATGGCTAGCGCTGCTAAATGCTTATATTGGCAAAATGAAGAAAAAATAGTTGTGACAAATAAAAAATAATTGAGCAAATAAAAGTGTTTATATTGGCAAAACGAAAAATAAATAGTAGCGACCATTCACAGAACAGCGTAAAGGTAATTGATACAACGATGAAATGTCACTTAAGAAAAAATCTAAAAAATCTTTCTGCAAAAGGTTGCCTTCAAATTTTATATTTTTTTCACAGTATGCTTGTTTTAAAGTCCAGAACTGTAACCTTTAACCCTGTGATTGTTTTTGCTTTAAGATGAGCCTGGGCCAGAGGGCAAAAATCACCTGCACACCAGACCTGGCTTATGGAACAACAGGCCACCCCGGAGTCATCCCTCCGAACGCTACACTCGTATTCGACGTGGAGCTGCTCAAGCTGGAGTGACGCCCCGGGTTAAGTAGAAAGGTTACGGCTTAATGACGCTGCGTTCACCACAACCTGTTTCAACTGGGAGACCATACTCGATTACCGCCTCCCGGCATCCACCTGTTCTTCTTCATTGATTTATACAGTCATCTTCTTCAGTTCAGTATTCAAACGTGCATAATGCTGCTTTGATGCCATCTTGTCAAAAGAAATACTGAAAAAAAAATTGCTGTTGTTAGTTGAAGATGCTTTTATGTCGGATTTTGTTTAAAAGTTGTAAATTTTGTTGAACCATAAGGAAATCAGGCCGTATGTTTCATTGCATCCAAAACTGCCTTACAGCTCCTACAACAGAGGATCGGTTCATATGTTGAAAAATCATAACTTCTGCTCTGCATCTTAACTGGGCATTATAAATATATATATTTACCACTGTCTGCATTGCCACTTTGATAAAGGTTTGTCCTGCTGAATGCTCTGAATGATGTTGCTACGTTTAGTATATTTTATATCCCTCATAAACATTGACTGCAAGTGTATCCTATCCAGTCTAACCCAATCCAATACTGTACAGAACTATACAAGAGCCATTGCTACCACAACAGTTTATCGACCAACTCTTGAATAAAAATGGCATGTACTGTGTTAAGAGACCTGTGTCCTGTGTGTGATGTGAGAGGGAGTGGCTATAGATGATAGGGAAAAGATACAGAAGCTGAGGTGTCTGACGGCACACTTACAATAAGTCTGTAGAAGAAACATTGTCTCCAAGTGGTGAATTTTATATTACAGTTTTTGTGAATCGCTAACAAGTGCTTACCCAGACGCTTTTTCTAAACTCTTAACACATACATACACATTTTGTTGAATATATACGAACTCTTCATTTTAAAATAGACCACATCTTTTAAACACATCTTAAATTTACCAATACACTGGAAATCTGACTCAAAATGAAATTATTCTTTCAAAAATACACTTGTTTTCACTTTACAAGGTACATGCAGTCAATCAAAGTTTCAAAATACTGGCTATTGCTGACATTACAAAAACTACATAGACTTTTATGTTTCAGTTTTATAGGAATTTTCATGCAAAACTCGCAATCCACCGCTTTTACACTAAATTTTTAGGTTGGGAACTGTACGTCCACATGTTATGTTCACATTCAAAAGCATTTTAATAAATAAATAGAACAGATATATCATATATATAAATATATCTATATTTATCATATCAAATAAATATGATTGAACAGAAAAAGTTTTACAGTATTGCTTACAGTTAAAAAACAAAACAGTAAAAAGCCCAGAAAAAAATAAAATGAAATAAAATAAGGGGGACTACTGTAACCCCTGCCAGACTGGAATCAGCTGTAGTTGGCCCAATTTACCCAACATAAATCTGCTGTGTGTCAATTATTCAATTGTTTGTTTATTATCAGCAGAGATACCCTCCCGAGACCCAGTAGTTTACTTTTGTGCACATTGAGTTTTTGCTTGTATCTCTCACACAATACATGCCACTCTGTTAAGTCCTGACGTGAAATGTGTGAATGATTTGACTGATGCAAGTCAGAAATATTCTTGAATATATTTCTTTGTTTATTTTTTAATTTATCTAGAGGTTATGAGCAACAAGCTTGGTTTGTATTTTTCACTAATACAATGAATTGCTTAGCGAAAAAAAGAAAGAAACTGGAAAAAAACAATATTATCTCAATTAAACGGAGAAATACTGAGCGTATTGTAAAACCATGAGGCAAATTGATGACTTAACCGAGCTCTGCCACTTTTAACCATCTTAGATCTTTCAATTACTTCCGCAGTCAAAGGCCAGAGTTCGTCCCTCAATTCTATCATCTGATTGGCTGAACGCTCAGGAACTGAAACGCGATTGGCCAGGGGAGCTCACGCCTTTTGTCCATCTGACAGAACAAAAACAGACGACAAGGTCAGGAAATTATCTAATAAATGTTTCTCTGTGCAGCTTTTAAACACATATGTGAGTCTAAAGCGTGGCTTACACTCGTATAAATTGATTTAACTGCTTTAGTGAATGCGTGTGGCTTAAGAAAGCTCTGTTATGTGATATTAGATGATGTGCTCTGTTGTCGCTGCTGCTAACTTAACGCTGCGTATAACACACGTTTTCATGTTTACTTTGTTTATAAGTCTTTGATAAGACTTGAGCGTAGTCACAGCATGGCTTTAACGTTTACACGTTAACTCCATTCGGTCCACATTGGTGCTAAAGTTGTATATGTCCACGTTATTGTACCGGTATGAATATTACAGACGTGTAGGGGAGAGTGGGGTAAGTTGAGCCACCCCTTGTTGCTTTGAAATAGTAAAAGAAATTGATCATGTGACCAAATATTTAGGAGATGGGCATCAATTCATGGAGTCTGTGAGGGTTAGAGGCACATGGGTGAAGGGGTTAGACATTTATTTCCAAAAAAAAAAAAACATTTTTCACTCATGAAAGTGAATTTAGTCTGTCATAAGTTTGACTAGAGTTGTGTTCAGACCAAAAAAGATCATTTTAAATTTGTTTTATACTAGGGCCCGACCGATTTATCGGCGAGCCGATAAAATCGGCCACTTTTGAGCTAATCGGTAATTGGCCAAAATTCGCTGTTTGTCGCCGATATTTTCAGAAATAAAATGCGGAGAATATGATTCGGTATAAGTCAACAAGTTTCACTTCAACCCACTTCATGATGTTATCTTGAAGACTTAAAAACAGGCAACTGGACTGTGTAGAGTTAAGAAGACGTTTCGCCTCTTATCCAAGAAGCTTCTTCAGTTCTAAAAGTGCTAGTGTCAGGAGCAGATATTTATCTTACTGGAGAAGGGGGACAGTTAACGACTGGGAGGAGTTGAAAAGAATGGGTCGTAGAAACCCATCTCTCGGTGTGTCCCCCCCAAGTCGTTATCCTGAAAGGGTCGTTAGCGACTCCTATCATGTGGCCACATGACTCATGCCACCTGAGTCATGTGGTTCCAGGTGTGAATGTTTGTGGAGCTTTCTCCACAAACCCCCGATGATGTTCCCCGCTGTGCTGGTCTCAGTCATGCAGAGTTACCGGTGAAACACCATGTAATGTGCAAGCTAAAGTTAGAATTAGCCATCTGCTCTTAGCCTTGCTACATTGTTAGCTGTGCCAGTAATGGCAGAATAAACAACAGTACACATTATGTGATCGAGCTAATTCTCTTTCTGAGGCAGCTGCATGTCTCCAGATGAGACTGGACCGGAAATGAGTAACGAGAGTTGGCCAAGGGGTAGTTGAAAACGCTTTTCTGGTCCGCGCTTGATCAGTCGGTCTTCCTGTCGGTGTGAAGAGCAGTAGCTGCAGTATATCTACAGTATATAATACACTGTAGATATCTACAGTATACATCTTTTTTTTAGAACTTCATAAAAAAATCGGCCGATTAATCGGTAATTGGACCCCCCCCCCCAATAATCGGTATCGGCATCGGCCCCAAAAAATCCATATTGGTGGGCCCTATTTTATACATCAATTGTGGTATCTATGAGCTACAACATGAGGTCAAAAACCGAGCATAAAAGTCCACTGTTTTAGCTTAGAGGACTAATAAAGTCATAAGAGTGGTTAAAAATTAGTGTTATTAAGGGAGAGAGAAGGTGAGGGAGGGCTGGGGTGGAGTGTGTGGGATACAGCTCAACTTACCCCATACACGGGATAAGTTGACCATAGGAGACCACTTTTTTTTGGCATGCTATATTATCAAGACAGTTCTGTTTACACTCATTCTGTTGGTTTGCAGGGATGCACAATATCTTGAAATATATGCAGATACACTAGTTAGAGACAAAACTATGATTGCCTTGATGTCGTGATCCGAAATATGAAAAATGGCTCATCTTACCCCACTCTCCCCTATGTTTAAGTGTATCAGGTTGCTAATATAATCCCACATCTTGGTTTAAAGTAATTTTTGACGTATTGTTTTTGTCTCTAAGACTTCTAAAGTGTCAGATTCAGTAAGTATATGGATGCATGTCCCCTCTGGGCTTCCATAGTTTTTATGTTCATCTTCTCCCTCAGGTGATTCATGACTGTCTAGCTGAGCCAACACGGTAAGCATGCTGACTGCACAGAGGGCATGTGCAGCGATGGCTGCCCGGCACCTGCTTAGAGCCTCTGCCTCCTCAGCACACACACACCGCTCCCTGATCCACACCTCCATACCCACCCAGGACCAGGCTGAGCTGCATCCTGAGTGGGCCAATCTGGCTAAGAAGCAGCTGAAGGGGAAAAACCCGGAGGATCTAATCTGGCGCACACCTGAGGGAATCAACATCAAGCCTGTGTACACTAAAGCAGACTCAGAGGGCAGATCAGATGAGCTGCCAGGAGTGTTTCCTTACACTAGAGGGCCCTATCCCACCATGTACACCTTCAGACCCTGGACTATCAGGCAGTACGCTGGCTTCAGTACTGTGGAGGAGAGCAACAAGTTCTACAAAGATAACATTAAAGGTATGGGTTATGCTTTTTTATGCAGTGACAAACTTCAAAGTGTAAAAGATGGGGGAGTCAATCAGATTTCAAGGGGGCAGTGCGACCTTTGCCAGTCTTTGCACATGCCCCTGTCCAAGGAAGAGTTAAACTGACATGGAGTGTCCTATAGATGAGTTTGTGACCATCTCTTCTTAGGAGAAAATTAACAAATGTACAAAAGGTGATTTGTTTGTTGTTGCTACATTTGATGATGTCCTTGTTGCCTACAACATGGACATCATAAAACGGGGTCATAATACTCCAGTATTGTATATTGCAGTGGTTCTCAGCTGGTCTTACCCTGGGACCCACATTTTCCAGAATTCAAACCAAGCAAATTTATTTTTTATGAAAAAAAAACCTTTAAAGACTCAAACCTTTAACACAAATACACACATTTTATGAGTAAAGTGCATTTCAGAGCACATGAACTGAGGACAACTACTAAATTTGCATGTAGAGAAAATATCAAATTGAACAAAATGAGCTATTTTTCAAAATAAAAGATGTGTAAAACATCAGATGCGCATTACATATTTACTTTATTGACCAGCTGTTTGCGACCCATCCAAAATATGCCTGTGGCCCACTTTTGGGTTGGGATCCACGAGTTGAGAACCACTGGTATATTGTATTTCGTGTTTTTCTCTGGCCTGGTCGTGTATGTGGCTGCTCGGGTAGCCAATTGGGGGCTCGCTCTCGTAGTACTTTTTTGTGTCTGTCATGGTATTTCTGTTATTTTCCAAACCAAAACTTGTCAGGTGTGCCAAGGACCACACACATCTTAATCTGAGTGGTACATTTTTTACCATCAGGGATGCAGACGAACTCAAGGCAAACTCTAAAATGTCAGAGTTATTAATAAAGGAGTCATCGAGTTAAGGTTTGTGATGGTAGCAGAAAGACTAATGCGATCATGGAGAACATGAGGTTTCAGTTAATTTGGTTGAATGTTTGGCCTTTGAAATATCTAATATCATGAAAAAAATATCATTATGCTCATTAAACCATAGCATACAGCCACTATAAGAAGATTTAGGTCATTTCATTCACAGAAGTAGCCTAATTACTTGTGTAATCATTCTCAATTGGTTGAATTGATGATCATGCATGAGTCACCGGACACAGCTGCGTGACTCTTTTCAATGTACAAGGCCTTTCCCGCTCATTAAGTGGTTGATAATGTTAGGGTTTTGTCACTAAGGCCACACCGCCAATTGGCATAAATTTAAAGCCTCTAGAAATAGTCTTGAAGCACATGTTGCTCTTGGAAGAAGGAGCTGACAATCGAGCAGCAGGTTCAAATAAGGCCCTTTTTTTGATGCCGGCTGTAGTTACCATGGCGTAGCCAAGGGTTTGAGTTGCAATCCAAGCACTGTGACGGGTATAGTAATGTGCCAGATTGCATCCAGAGGCTAATTTCAATCTGTAGTCCCTGGCAGGTTAATGGTAGACACAAATGTACATCAAGTATGAAATTAATGTCAGTGCCCTCAAGTTCTTTCAGAGTAAGCCATGAAAAGCAATGTATTATAAATGCGACAGTAATAGATAAGACAAATTGCTTTAGTATGTTATAATACTATATTATTATTTTAATTATATAAATCTGAATAAATCCTCAGGGAATTGCTCTAAGTGGCTCCTGGAGTCTTATTATATTGGAAAGCTATTAACAAAACTGCTGTTGTGTCGTAATTTCATGTTTCATGCGTGCAGAACTTGTGCATGAATTTTCGTCTTTAATGGCGGTCACCACGACTCGAAGGGGACAGATTTGATATTTAAATATTTTGTTATGTTACCATTTCGACGCAGCACATCTTGAAAAGCTGATGCTTCAAAACGACGTCAGAGGACTTGACTTGTGTACCTCCAGCCCTTCATCAGACTCTCATTCATCCTCCTCCGCTTTTTCATTTCAGCTGGACAGCAGGGTCTCTCGGTGGCCTTCGACCTCCCGACCCATCGCGGCTATGACTCAGATAATCCCAGAGTCCATGGAGATGTGGGCATGGCTGGAGTTGCCATAGACACAGTTGAAGACATGAAGATGCTCTTTGACGGGATCCCGCTGGAGAAGATGTCTGTTTCTATGACGATGAATGGAGCCGTAATCCCCGTGTTAGCCATGTTTATCGTGACAGGAGAGGAGCAGGGTGTCTCCAAAGCTAAACTCACCGGCACAATTCAGAATGATATACTGAAGGAGTTTATGGTTCGCAACACCTATATTTTCCCGCCGGAACCTTCCATGCACGCCATCGCAGACATCTTCGCTTATACCTCCAAGGTGTGTGAAACTTTTATGGTACTATCTTTGTCAAATTACTCGTCGGAGTTAGACTTTCATGTTATAACTCTCATTTTTTTCCAGAACATGCCCAAGTTTAACTCCATATCCATCAGTGGCTACCATCTCCAAGAAGCTGGAGCCGACGCCATCCTGGAGGTAGCCTACACCATCGCTAACGGCCTGGAATACTGCCGCACGGGCCTGAAAGCAGGCTTAACCATCGATGAGTTCGCCCCAAGGTAGGGATGCTTAGTTTGTCTCAAGCAAACATGTTCCTTTCCTGATGAGGTGATTTTTTTAAAGCTCGTATAAGGAGTTTTTTTTTAAACATTTGTGAAAAATACTATATAACTATTTTTTTTAGTGACTTACAAAAGCAAACAAGGTGCTGATTGATTGGTTGATTGAAGTTTATTTTGAACATATAAAAAAGAAATAACAATAAAAAAGTAAAGAATACAACAACAAATGACAAAAAGTTATTCGAGTTCAAAAAGAAGAATTCAAGACTTATCTAGTCCCATCCCTTATCTACACTAATGGTTTAAATATATATCATAAATATCGTTATATAATAATTTTAATCATCATAGTAATAATAGCAATTAAAAAATAAATAAATAAAATCACCACAGTGAAAATAACAAACAACAACAACAACAAAACAATGATGATAATGATGATAATAAGGTAACCAGGGACAAGATTGAAAACTTGTTTCTTGTCGTTGTCGATCCATGAAACTGGCACAAGGTAAAAGATGTCAGCGAAGTACCTGAAGAAACAGTTTTGTTCTTACAATTTCCATTTTTTTAAAAACAATTTCTGAAGCTTAAATCATTTTATTTCTATCCTGATTTGGGAGATTTTTAACTCATTGCTAATGTTCATGTCCGGGATTGAAGGATTTCAGTAAATACGGGAGAGTTTTCAGGCCCGGGTTAAAAAGAAAAATGAGAGGAAGGAGATTTTTTTCTATTATTTTTGCACCTTGAGTCAAAATGCCATTAATACAGAAACAGAAAACTCAATTTTGATCATTGCTGACTAACATTTATAGGGATACATAACATAGGGATAAGATGGGAAAGAGATAGATGAAGTTCACATAAAACTGTCTGAAAACAAGACTTTATAAAGTTAGCGCAAAGTTTTGAGCCAATTGATAAACATATATAAGTTTGTAATATGTCACACACTGAAGTGACATTTAAAGTCATAGTCAATAATAATAATGTAACAGAGAAACATAATGTTACAAATACATAGTTGTTGGAAATGATCACAGATGGATTACACAGTTCATGTTCACTCCTCTCTCTGCTGATGTGATTAACTGCATGCACTTACTATTAATATACAGAAGAGGGTGCTGTTCTATCTCAGCCAACTCATAAATATGTTAGATTTTGGTTTGAAGCCAAAAAAAAGAGACTTAATAAAAGCAGTTTTTTTATTTATGTATGATCAGTATGTATATCTCAGTATATCAGGGGTGTTGGACATGAGAAAGATTTGCCGCCTTATAAGAAAATAAAAAATTAATGAATAACTTAAACATTTGCACTTTTGAGCTTATGATTAAAAACACATGAAATCATGAATAAAACATGCAAATGACATGTTTGTATTCATGTAAGCCAAAGCTTTTCGTGTAAACAGTGAACCTCTCAACCTGCTGAGAGGCTGTCACTGATCTCCACCCACACACACTTCACCGTTTTAATTAAGAACATGAATTCACCCGTTTGTTAGGCAATTGACTCAGAATCCATGTCCTTCCTAGATCCAGGTTTTCACAAACAGAACCTTTAAAATGTGTCCACGGGGGAGCTGTTAAGGTCCACAAACAGAAGAGTTAGACAACCTGTGGCTGAGCTCGGCCGTACGTGTGTCTGCAGATCTTTTTCTTTAGTCCTTTGTATCAGGACCAGGAACTTTTCAGAGGTGTGTATCTAACCCTAGTGAGAGGCTTTGCGTTGAGACTAAGAAGCTCTTTCAATTCATGACAAGCGTGTCTCAGTGGGGGGACTTTCTGCTTTGAACGACAACAAACAAAACCTCTCACAGCGAGCCGAAACGTCTAATACGAGATGTTATCTTCTACACTGGAGGAGCAGATGGGACTTACAAACTGGATCCTTCACTGCTGGAAGGAGGATTTCTGCGGTGACAATCTCCGGTTTCACTTGGGGGTCTGAACTTGTAAAGAAACAGATTTTCTTGTTTCTTGGGGGAAGTGAAATGGCACAGATCAGGCAGATGCTCATCAGAAATGGAGGTTCCTCAAGCTGTTGTGCTTTAATTAGTGATCAGCCAGTCATCTCAAATATATCTTATTCTTTTATCCAACATACATTACATACATTAGGGCCAATTTTAGCCCATTTGAGACTTATCGGGAATAAACTCGCCAGTTTCGCCGATATTTTCAGAAATAAAAGGCGGAGAATAAGATTTGGTTTCACTTCAAAAATATTCCGCCATTTGAAAAGTTCCCCGACTTATCCTGTAGATGGCGCAGCGACCTCATGACAATCTTCATCCACTAACTACCTCACAGCACAGCAGAGTGACGGATCTGAAGCAGGCAGCTCAGGGACGCACAGAGGAGAGTGGTCCACCTCAACGGTAAATAAACTAGTTTGTGAAGTAGACAATAAGTCAATAAGTTTTAGTTCAACCCACTTCACGATGTTCCCTGCTGTGCTGGTCCCGGTCGCGCTGAGTTAATGGTGAAGCACCATGTAATATGCAAGCTAAAGTTAGAGTTAGCCATGCTACACTGATAGCCGTGCCAGTAACGGTAAAATAAACAACAGTACACATTACGTGATCGAGCTACTTCTCTTACTGAGGCAGCTGCGTGACTCCAGATGAGACCAGACTGAAAATGTGGAACTTCAGTTAAGACGCGGAGGTACTGATCGGCGGCGGCAAAAAAAAAACGCTTTTCTGGCCTGAGTTTGATCAGGCGGTCTTCCTGTCGGCGTGAAGAGCAGTAGCCTACAGTATATCTACAGTATACAATATGTATATATTTTTTATAACTTCATAAAAAAATTCAAAAATCTGCCGATTAATCGGAAATCAGATTTTTTCCCCGCCTAATAATCAGTATTGGCATCGGCCCCGAAAAATCCATATTGGTCAGGCCCTAACATACATGTGCCACATAATGTTTTTTCCTGGAACTTGTGGATTTGACTCTAGACATTTATGTAAAGGCTGTTAGAAGAGATCATTGTAAAGATCCTAAAGGAAAACAGATGTGTGTTACGTGTGTGTAATTGTCCAATTATATAAATCTCTTCTTTGTGATGGTTCTGTAGAGTTATCATCTGCAGACAATAGTTATTTTCACAGATTACACATTAACGTCATCTTTCTTTCCTCTCTCTTCCATTCGTATTCCCTCACATTATCTTTCGATTTCCAGCTCCCCGTAAGACCTTTGACGTTTTTTCTAACGTCACTGTCTTTCAAGACCTTAGATAATAGCAGAGTAGCATTTGCATTCAATCTCAAGAGCAGCGTGAGGACCCAGTGTGGCCTGACCCTTTGGCACATAATTACATCAAAATCGGCCCCAGCAGACGGCTGCTCTCAATCAATACAGAAATTTCACTCAATTGAGTGAAAAAGGAGTGTTTTGCACCACAAACTATCATCTCGCTACAGCTTCTTCCTTGATTCTCCCTCGACCCCTGGGCCACAGGGGAAGGTGGGACTTGATTGTGTTGTGACTCCTTTGATTTCCTTTCTCTTTTTAATCCCATGGTGCCATGCTGTAAGCGTGCTGCTCTAACCTGTGCGTATGGCAGCGGGAAGAGTTTGTATCATTTCTTACAAAGACAGTCGTTTTTTGTTCCGTTTAGTCTGCTCTCTTTGCAGACTCTGATTCATACGTGTTGATAGATTAATCAGCTGGTTGTCATCATCCCATGAATGCGAAACAGTGTTTTTGATAAGATTGCTCTCATTACTTTCAAAGGAGTTGTGTTTTTCAGCTTTTTGTGGTACTGGGGTTGTATCGCAGTAAAGGAAACTGCCATCCTGTGATGTGAAAGGTTTCTCCACAGACCTCCACTGAGAGGACCCGAGGAGGCGTTTTTTCCTCAAGCGCTCCAGTTTGTTTGAAGTGGTCATCCCATTTTGTATTTTCTGAACACTTACTTACACAAAAAATTCATATTAACATTATATACATAAAATAAAGCCTCAAGAAATATAACACGAGACAAAAAATACTTACTTCCCAGTCTAATCGCTTTTAATTTGAAAGACTTTGAATCAACTTTAGATGTAAAAAAGGAAAGTGTACTCTGGTGTATTTGCTTTTATTTTGATAGGGTTCAAAACAACTTCCGGTCCTCACAGTGGAGGTCTGCTACGAAAGGCCCTGAGAGTGGGGGTCTGAGCCAGACTGTCTTGGCCTGTCTGTGCCTAAATGTGTTTGATACGACAGCTATTATTATTATTATTATTTTTGCTGAGAGACGAGTTTCTGGCCTCGTCTAGACCACAAGTCCAGTGTTAGCCATTTTGTGTTGTTTTTTTTTTTGGAAAGTTTCGTCTTTTTTACATCTTTTCTTTGGCTGCATTAGCCTGGGGTACAAACGCTGGAGCATGCACAGAAAGCCTAGGCCAGTTTCAGCTCGATTGAACCCCAAACACTACCGAAAAAAATAGATCTCCAACTCAATCCGATTTTGAGAAGTTTGATGCAGCTGGTTGCTTAAAAATGAAGTCAACACATTAAAAGGGTCTGTGAGCATTTGTACAAATGTTTGACAACAAAGCGTTAACTACTAACCTCAGAATAATAACAGATAAATGATATAACCTACAACAGATTATATCCAGAAGGTCATTTATTTAATATTTAAACTGATTTACATAGACTGTAGTGTCAAGCAGAGCACAACTCGCAATACGAATACAAGCTCGAAATTTTCTATGTATTTTTTATAATATTAGACTGAATTTTTTTTCGACTTTGGCAATTTTTCGATTGAATAATTGAAGCTTCATTAATCCTCAGGTGAAAAAAAGTTGGTAATATTGTAAGAAAACAGAAAACACAGAATCTGGGGAACATTAAGATGGATTTTCAGACCTCTGTAAAACGTTTATGTCTTCATACATTTGTAGGAGTGAACTAAGCCAGATAACACGAGTGGTTTATACGGACTTGTTGTTACGTGACATGATTTACGTTAGCGTGGTCTGCTGTTGAATGTAAACTGTGCAGAATGTATAGTTTAAATGCAGTCCACGTGGATTTAAAGAGGTGGAAATGGCAGAAAGGTTTCTGCTCTCTATCAATTATTTATCCAGGTTCACCATCCTCTTCATGTATGTCAGGCTGTCAGGTCATGGTTCACGTTTTCAGTCACAGCTGATTCTGTCTCTCTGTTTTGACATTTCTGCTCGTGTTTTTTTCAGGTTGTCGTTCTTCTGGGGCATCGGGATGAATTTCTACATGGAGATTGCTAAATTGAGAGCAGCTAGGAGATTGTGGGCGACGCTCATTAAAGAAAACTTCCAACCCAAGAACGCCAAGTCTCTCCTCCTCCGCACTCACTGCCAGACCTCGGGCTGGTCTCTCACCGAACAGGTCAGGAGGAGGTGTGGTTCAGGAGTCTTTTGTATGTGAGGTGATAAAGCTGTACTTTGAGAGGTATTAATATCCAGTGTGGGGGTGGATTTGTAACGATGTGGAGAAGTTGAGTTATGAAATTGTAAGAGAAAAACACAGAGAACTTTCTGAAAAAATGAAGACAGCCTTTATTGTATGATTATTTATATGATTATTTTACTGTGAAACGTTAAATAAAAGGTGTTTTTAGTATTTAAAGGTGTCTGAGGAATTAAATTTAGACTATAACTTTAAATTTTCCCCTTTGAACCCTTTTTTCAGGATCCCTACAACAACGTGATCCGTACTGTGATCGAAGCCATGGCGGCCGTGTTCGGGGGCACGCAGTCACTCCACACCAACTCCTTCGACGAAGCGCTCGGTTTGCCCACTGTGAAGAGCGCTCGCATCGCCAGGAACACCCAGATCATCGTCCAGGAAGAGTCAGGCATCCCCAAAGTGGCTGATCCCTGGGGGGGCTCGCACATGATGGAGTCGCTCACTGATGACGTTTACAACACAGCTTTGAAGGTATAATGTAGGCGAAGGTTTTCATTTATTAAATCCTGTTTCCTTCCAGTGTTTTATAACCGGCGTTTTCTTTATGTAGTTTATTAAAGATATCGAGGAGATGGGAGGCATGGCTCGAGCCGTGGCAGAGGGAATACCAAAACTACGAATCGAGGAGTGTGCTGCTCGTCGACAGGCCCGCATCGATTCAGGTACTTTGGCCCTAGAGCCTCCTTAGCCATCTTTATCCAATCCAATCCAAGTTTATTTATAAAGCACATTTAAAAACAACAAAACGCTGACCAAAGTGCTGTACAGTAAAAATAAAAAAAAAACAATAAAAACAGACAATGAACACAAACAATAAAACAAAAACACGGGACCAAATCAAAGGGATAAAAATTAAGTTATGGGGTGACGCAGCTCAAGGAAGAACATTTACAATCAAAACTTTATCATTTCCTTGCAGTAATAATCATCATATTTATCATTTTTGCACTACAGACGCGGTAGTTCCTCTGCCTAAGCGTCTCAATCTGATTGCATTTCCATGAAGAAATTATCATAATTGTTCTTCCTTGGGCTGCGAAACTCCGCTGCAGTCAGTATTGGCTTGTCTGAGGTCTCTGTACAAACAAGCGGCCGCTGGAAGAGAGTGGGTGAGTTGTGTTTAGTCTCTTTGCCAAAGAAATCAGGCAAAGCTTTAAAGATGTTTGGTGGCTAGTGCTGTGGCTGGGACCCTTTATGTACTGTTGATGACGTTAGGTGCTGTTCTGAGCATTATTTGTAGCTATAAAGTGGCGTTTTGGTTGAGGTTTGTGTATGGCTTCTCAGACCGCTCTGTATTGCTATCGTGTGGTTGTTACTAAAGTTGGTATAACTAGAGAAGCAAGCGGTCGGCAACATTCATCTCTCGACAGGGTGTCTAACTCAGTGCTACAGTGTGTTTGACCCTAAATTAATTTTACCTCGGAATATCCCTTTAAAAAAGGGGGGACATGAAGCGTTCAATGAAAACATGATTAAAAGGCTAAGTTCTCAACAGTCAAAAGCCAAGGAGTTAAAGTGCGCATCTTATCTATTTTCGATAAGATATTCCTTTATTAGTCCCACAGAGGGAAATTCCAAATTATTCCGATTCCAATTATCCTGAATCCTCAAACCTTTCGAGGAAAAAGCTTTCATTTTGTTCTTCCAGGAATGGAGGACTTGGGTGCACAACTCTGTTGCGTTTGAATGGAGATAGCAACAGTGATGGGTGCTTCACATAAACGCTTATTCATCAGTGTATGAATGTGGTGTAAATGGGTGTGTGTGACATGTAATTTAAAAGCACTTTGCGCTGCTGTAGGACTCTCGAAACACGGTCTGAACCATTATTGACTGCTTTATCCACTTTTGTCATGGGCAGTACCTCTAAAATAAGGCTCTTCGATTCAGAGAGCGTTAGGTCACTTTTTGCTGTTGGTAGAGCCTCCTTTGAGGACACAAACAACTACTGGATGTTCAGAAAATGTCAGCCAAGCCTAATATGTAAAAAAAAAGATTTTCAATCTCAGTGAGACGTTCTTGTAGAATAAATAAATATACTCTACGGGAGTGTGGATTTCACTAGATCAACAGAAGGTGTTATTAATTTCTCGAAAAATCATCGTACAGACAAAGAGATTTATTGAAATACGTCCAAGAGAACAGGTGGGAGATTTTAGCAGCTTGTTAACATCTTAATGATCACTCCTAAGTTTGATGAGAGAAAAAAATAGATGTTAAGTGGGATGCTGGCATGCTGACGCAGACCGAAAGGATGGATTTGCTTTCGCATGTTGTTGCATTCATTATTTCTGGTGCTGTCATAGTATCCACGAGCTGGATTATAACAGAGATGAAGCTTGTATTCATTTTCATGTCTGGATGCTGAAAAGTTGTTGTAAATTATGCAAAAATGACATGAAGTTAAAAGGTTCATATTGAGAGAGTATATTAAAACATTTGTTGCGCATTTTTTTGAGGTTTTTGTTTTATTTTTGCACTAGCAAGATAATCTTTGCCTACTGAAGATCTCTCTTTAAGCTGTGCCATGTGAAGGGACAATATAGAGATGTTGGAAATCGTCTCGATGCAGCTGAGTTTATCATGAGGAGTATTTTTCTCCATGGGCGATTTAAGATTTTGTAGATTTCAGAGCACGCCTGCTTCTGATCCTGACTGAGATCAGCCCAGGCCGGAGATAATCTTATTGACCAGATTAGCAAAAAGAAAATGATCTACAAAGCTGGCCGGGGGGATCAGAGCAATCTGTTGTTTTCATGCAAAAAAAAAAACCAGACTTCTCGTTTTTGTCTTTGCTGGCAAGAATAACCAACAATGGTCTTTTAAGGAGGTCTTAGTGGGAAGTGACAAGGATGTGTCATCTACATAATGACCTCTGGGAGAGTCGGTCAGTGAAATGGGTCAGAATATGTGTTGTAGCAGACGTTTGTTATGACACTGGTTATGCATTCATGTGATATAACTGTGTCAGTAATACAGTCGTAAATATTCAAAAGCCTCACTGAGCACGTTTTTTTTTTTGAACTGCGGAGCTAAAAACTACAGCTGTAAAAAAAAAAAATCAGTCTTATTGTTATCAGGTTTTTATCATTTAATACGAAAAGCTGCAAAAAGCCATCATAAGTAAAGAAAAATCTTGCGGTTCTTCCATGTGTTTTATCCATTTGATGGAGGCTGAAGTATAATCCCTTTTCTTTTGAACCATTTTGATGCAGCCAGGTGACTCTTTGATAAACTATCAGCCATCTTTAGATTATCTGAAGCTATTTAGTGATTAAAAAAATCCTTTTCGATTTATGTTGGGTTCAGGAGGGACATTTAGTTCTTACATCACGAAAACCCGGCAGTTGAACAGGGGTGTGTAAACTTTTTATATCCACTGTGTGTTCTGTTGTGTTTTCTGTGTGAAAACAGATATCCTGAAATGACGATGCAGACAATAACACCTACTTTCTCGTTGGTTCTTATAGTCACTATTGAAGATGGAACAATTCACTGAAATTGTTAACAAAAGCCGATAACAAAATTAGTTGCAGATGGGTTCAACTTCTATTCATGCTGTGTGAAGATATTGTCCTTGTTTCCCAGAGCTGAGCCATTTTACATCCTTATTGACCAAACAGTGATTGCTAACAGCTAACAACAGCTAAACAAACACAGCAGCATGGCTTTGGCTGCTGTAACACCATTATGTCCTCAAAAAATGGACTGCCTGTTAGATTTTTTTAAGTGGACCTTGCTTGTCATGGGAGTGTGTTTGTAAAACACAAGCGTAGTGATGTTTAATTTAAAGCTGCTGTAAGGAACTTTTGTTTAGTGTTGATTTTGGCGCCCCCAGTGGACAAAGTGACACCTCTTATGTCATTTAAAATGAGTGTTTTCAGACAAAATCCTCACCTTGTTGTCCTCTGATAGTAAAACGTATCACCCACTGTGAGTATTTGCCGAGGAAATCAGCCAACTACCAACCACCTGGTCCGACTCCTTCCTCCTCACAGCAAATTTACAAAAGAGTAATTATCAGTCTTCTTGTCGATGGTCTCGTTTGCTGCTGAAGATCAAAAGCCCCTCACAAGAAAAACCTTTACCCTGGCACTCTTCACATCTCCTCTCCTTCTCATCCCTTTTCTTCTTCCTCCTCCCCCATCACATGACAGTGGAGTGAATGCTAACCATGTTGCTATAGTAACCATGCCACACACTTAAACAAAACAGTCCACTCCTCATTGATTCTACTGGTGTTAAAAGCTAAAACATAATTAGGCTCGGACTGGAGTTTTTGACATCACGTTTTGAGTTTAGAATAGCGATGTGAAATTTAAACGTCGATATCCATACAAAGCGGGAAGTGTTTGTGCATTTTGTCACTGTAATAGCCAAGTAATCGCTTCGATAATTACACCCTGTCAAAATAGTTGTCAGCTGCAGCTCTAGTCAGGCCCTTCCTCTAGTCGATCGACCGCCTGACGCTGATATTTACAGCGAGCTTCTCAGCTAGAAATCGGCGTTTTCTCTTTTTCTTCACGGTTATAGTTGTCGCATTTTCTTCAACTGAGCAACAGCTGCTCCAACTCAAATGTCGGAGCAGCTTACTCCAGATCAGGAGGGTGTCAGGAAGCTGAATTGACTCTCCTTTCTGTCTCCTTTGGAAATTAATTTCCTCCACATCTCATAATGCACAGAGTTACTGCAGTGGAGCAGAGTAAAACCTGTGCAGCTTTACTCTAATCCTCCCGATGCTTGCTCTCATTAATATTCATTCGTTCACCATGGTAGCACATGTTTGCCCACGACCTTTGTTTCTGGAATTAAGATTAACCATGTTGGGCTCTTAAATAGATTTAGTTTTCCTGCACCTGGGTCATAATGTGAGGGTGTATGTACGAACCTAGGAGAATATAAAAACAGAGCTTATATCTATGAAGAGTTTAACACAGAGGGGAGTTTATTCTATTTAATTGTGTAAAAGGTGTTTTTAATAGATGTAGGTAAGAAGTTGACCAGATAAAGGAGAAAAGAAGGTAAGCAGAGATAAGGTCAGGGATGTGAAATCCATGTTTTTTAATGAGTTGCTGTTTTTGTTCTTATCTGATCTGAACAGGCTTATGGTCAGCTTTAGTTCTACCCGGGATATCACAGTATTTATTACTTTCTCTGCTTTCTTGCACTTCATAATAATTGTTCAGATCTCAGCTGGGTGGATCCTGTAATCTCCTGGAGTCTGTTTTCTTTCAAGATACTTGATGGGGTTTTGTGTTGCGCCTCCAAACCCCTCCCTGAGCATGTTCTTCTTTATCACCCAGGATCTGCTCCTTGAATACTATCACTCAAACAGGCTGTTTGAGCACGGAGGTGCTGATGCATGCTTTTATTTCTAGTCGTTTAGATTACTGTAATGCCCTGCTCTCTGGTCTTCCCAAAAAGACCACCCACATGTTACAACTGCTACAAAATTCTGCAGCACGTGTGCTGACGAGGACCAGAGGGCGGGAGCACATTACACCGGTTTTAAAATCCCTGCACTGGCTCCCCGTGTGTTTCAGGATCGATTTCAAGGTTCTTTTAGTAGTTTTTAAGTGTCTTAATGGTCTTGGCCCATCTTATTTATCTGAACTGCTTTTATCTTATCAACCCTCGCGTACCCTGAGGTCCTCTGGCGGCGGCCTTTTAGTTGTTCCTCATACAAAAACCAAAACTCACGGAGAGGCTGCCTTCAGCCATTATGGCCCAAAGTTATGGAACAGCCTGCCAGAGAACATCAGGACCGCAGAGACTGTTGATGTTTTTAAAAGGAGGCTCAAGACCCACCTTTTTAGTTTGGCTTTTAGCTGATTTAACTGTTTTAGTTTATTTTATCCTTTACTTTTATCACATTTTTATGTCACTTAGATATTCTAACATTATTCTAATTTGGTTTTAGTTTATTTTATCCTTTACTTTTATCACATTTTTACGTCATTTAGATATTTTAATATTATTTTAATTCCTTCTATGCCCTAGTCTTTTTAGCTCCAGAGTTTCCTCGTGGGGGCCCTCCACACTGGGAGGTATGTCTGGTCCGCCCCCGGGGGGCACGGTCCTTGGGATCGTCCAGGCCCAGACGGTTAGGGGGCTCTGCACTATGTGCAGGGTGCACCCGGGCTGTCTGGGTCGGGGGGTCTCGGGGGCGGTGCTCCCTGTGGGGGTGGGCTGTGGCTCCTCTCGGTGTGGACGGCTCCCATAGGTGGTCTTTCCTTACCAGAATCATCAGTGCCTTGCCATGTTTTTACTGACAGTTACTGTGTGGGTGTGTGGATACGTGTGTGCGTGTATGTGTGTGTGGGGTGGGCTGCTGTGCATGCCTGTATATGCTGCTGTGGGTGGGAAGGGACGGGTTTTATGCCTATTTAAGTGCCCTATATTTACTGTTGTTTGTTTTGTTTTTTCTTTTTTTTAACGTTGTTTGTTTTTACCTCTTTGTAAAGCACTTTGTGTTGCAGCTTAAAAGCATGAAAGGTGCTATATAAATAAAGTTTGATTGATTGATTGATTGATTCACTTTGGTGCCTCTGGATGATTGCTTTCTGCGTTCCTGCCGAGATATCCACCTCTGTGTTGTGCTTCCTTGTTGCAGATAGAGTGTACATGTTTTTCTCTTTTTTTTAGGGTCAGAGGTCATCGTTGGAGTAAACAAGTACCGTCTGGAAAAGGAGGAGACGGTGGAGGTTTTGGCCATTGATAACACCATCGTACGTGAGAAACAGATTGATAAACTGAAAAAGGTGAGTTTGGCTTTGAGAATTGACTTTGGTCGCTTTCACACCAGAGCTGTTTGGTCCACTTTAAACGGACCAGAGATAGTCCGTTTCCTTTGGGCAGGTGTAAAAGCTCATCCGAACTCTGGTGCGGACCAAACAAGCGAACTCTGGTCAGCCTGAAAACGTGGGTCTCGGTTCGCTTGCAAGTGAACCCTGTTCGTATGCAGGGTGAAAGCTCACCGGACCAAACACAGGACCAAATGTGCGTAATGACGCTATACCTAGTGTATACCTAGTGCATCTTAGGTAGAGGAAGCACGGCATACCTTGTTGCTATGGCGACAAGTGACCGCTGACATTAGCAGTTGCTAGCTAGCTTAGCTCAGTTGTCAGAACAACAATAACCCATAGATTCACAATTTGGCATATTTAAACAAAATCAAATCACAACTACCAACAGTCACAGTCCTTAAACTCTGAGCTCATATGTTGTCACATGTTAGATCGTCAAAGTTAGAAAAATAACAGGATCAATCCCTGACGAGCTACGATAGCATTATAGGAACAGTTGCGTTCAATAACAATGTAGCATTCCATGAAATAATGTGACGAAGCACGATACAAGACGGCTAGTCCACCCCTGTTTGTAATCCGTGAGGTTACATACCCCTCCTACTTTGTCCAATCGACGAGCGCCCCTTTTAACCACGTGATGCTGCTCGGAAAGTTCGGTGCGCTTTAGAAATCACAGTGTGAAAGCAGAACCGAAACAAGTGATAAATGCAACAATGTTGTGACTTTCAGCTCCACAGTCGAACCAAGTCCGCTTGGTCAGGTGTGAAAGCGACCTTAGTTGTCCATGGTTTGTAAAAGATAACACTTGAGTTTTTCCACCTCTATCTTCCCACTTGAAGGCACTTTAAACATTTACATGGATTGTGTGCTGGATTATTAACGCAACCAAAACATATCGAACATTAAGGCCATTTAGTGTAGTCATAGTGTGCAAAAATCTCAAGATGTATGCTAGTTTATTATCAAATTTGAAATAATATGTAAGAGGGTTATCACAACAAAACAGTCTTTTTAGTATTTTTGCACATATGCTTGGGTGTTAGCCCATCGCAGACCAGTTTTATGTGTGAAAACATGCAGTCTGACGGACCCTTTAAAAACCGGCTCTCTGCTGCTTCATGGGTCGTCTCATATTGAACCATTTTTACAGCTCAAACCAATTAAGCCAGAGCATGAAACCCTGCTTCTCACGTAATTTTTCAACTATTTCATGGCCCCACTTGCTGACTCCCAGCTTTCTATAATATAGCTGGAAGTGAATCTAGTTTATTAAAAACCAATTTAGTCATAAAAACGACAGGAGGCCTGGATTTGCTAAAGAGTGTGGCTGCCTTTGATTCACGAGTTGTTACCATGGTTACTTTTAAACCTAGTTAGAGATGCAGTTATGAATAGTTTCACTCTCGTTCTTGTGTGATCACTTTTGGGTTCATAAAATGAGAAAACAAAAAGAAAGAGATGGACTTTATCTTTTCCTTTTTAGTTTCCTTTTTGCTGAAATGAAAAAACAAAAGGCTACAAACAACAAATATATCCATAAAGAGGACTTAGTGGTATAAAACAATATGATTCAGTCACCTTCTGGTGGTTTCCAAATAGCTGTTAAAAGGGATTTATCCACAGAACTGGTTTGGCCATGAAGGCACATCACACATGCTCACCTATCTAACATCCTGAATGTAAACTGACAGGAGCAGCTACCTGTACCTGTGGTCAGCTGCAGGTTCTGTTCGAAGGTCAGACATCTTTGAAATGTCATCACTCTCTGAGATTAGCTGTCAGAGCAGTTTGAGGAAGAAAGAATAAAAAAACACAACAAAGCTCGGTTCTGGGGGTGCATGTTTGAAGGTTGTAGAACTCAATTGACAAGCTGTCACCATGCCTGTCACATGGAGGAGAACCAAAGAAGATGAGAAGATATTGCTTAGAATAAAAATCTGTGCGCTGAAAATTCAATAACTTTCCATTCCCACTTAAAATAGATTTTTTTTTTCTAGTGATTTGTGCATTTGATGGCAGTTTTGAACTTCTTCTCTGGTAACTGCATATCGCAGCAGCAACTTTAAAGCTGTTGAACTTTCACTTGCTTGTTTACTCAAATATTGAACCCTTTACCTCATCAAACAATGGTTTTCATACTCCAATAATCACTTTATTTATGAATTAATTAATTTAGTTACCATTAAAGTGGCAAGACTTTGAAAAAAATGTTTTTCACTCATGTCATCGTTGACTAAAAATGGCGTTTTTTTGTCAATAGGACCTTAAAAAAAGGGGCATAACTCGTGTGAGTTTAGGACTATGACATAAAGGGTTGCAGAGTCAGCATTTCCTATTATTTGATTAGAGAATGAGCTTGTTGAAATCCACGTTTATTCTGTTTTACACAGTGTTATAGGTACCTGAATGGGCAGTGCAGTCAGTATTGATTTTTTTCCAACGCTGAACCTTTCCACAAACAAACCTTGACATCTCAACTATGCGCCGTAATAATGCAGGAGGAGACGTCAGCTAAGGTCTCAAAGACTTACTGCTCGGGGCAAATGAGGGGATGGGATTTGTGAAGTTTGACGGAAATGAGTCATAGCAGCATAGGCCATTATCGTGCAGGTTGACGTCTTTCAGCTCTTAAATTCAAGGTTTTTCTCAATATGTTCCTATCATTAATATTCATGATGGGATTTTTCTCTTATTAGGTCTTACTCAGAATATAATTATTGCATTGTGACCTTTAAACCTAATAGGAATAATCAGAATCCACAGAGAAATTCCTATTATGGCAGCACAATATGAAATAAATTTGTATAACTTGAATTAATGATGGCTTCATTCTAGTCAGGGGTGTCAGCTCCAGGTTGTCTCACTGCAGAGCTCATTAGCACATTCAAAGGAACAGATGTATCATTGTTGTCGTCAGTGACAGGAGCACTTGTGTGCTTTTTCCTGCTCTGACAGGTCAAAAACGTGTTTCCTACTAAATGACAGTATCACTACGGCTGTTGAGATTCTATCTTTCGGATTTTTTACCGTTTACCATTTACTTTTAATTTGTTTTAGAAGGATAGAAGTGGAGGGAAATGTACATGAGATAGATTTCTAGGCAGGCTCAAAAGAGAGGTGGATCACTAACTTAAAACCATGCGCAGTGTTATAGCGTGTATTACTTAACGTGCACTACAAAGACTCAGGAGCAGTGCCATATAAAAGGGGGGGGGGGGGGGAGCTTGGATATGCAAAGTGGGTTGAAAATAAAAGGTTTGCTCAGTGCAAATAAAAATAAATAATAAAATAAAATTTAAAAAATAAAATAAAAAAATAAATAAAACAAGTGAGACGAAGAGGGTTCATAGGAGAAATGCCCAAAGCAAAATTAGTTTGTCGAAATCCCCTCCCCCTGATATTATTACAAATACCTCAGGATGTATCCTAGCAACAGCATCATGAAGAACATCACACGGAACTTCAGCTGTTGCCTTGACAGGGCTGTATAAAAAATATAGTTGTGAAATTACTGAACTCCTTTGTAACATAATATGGCCAAAGGGTAACTGCCAACAGTTCAACATCTAGACAGCTCAACTTCTCCTTGACTGTTGCGTGTGAAGAGCCGCACCATCTCTGATCAACAAAGACGGTAAAGGAGATGTCAGACAAAGCGGTAAAACGTATTTCCAGTTGAAGGCCAAAACAAGAATAAAGAAGAACTTTTCATCTTTTTTTCTTTTGCTCTCTTTCTTCCTCTCGTTCATCATGTATGTATGTATGAAGTGGAGCGTATAGCCTGATCAGGTTGGCTTTCCTAATGATGGAATATGCGACCTCTACCCCTATATCACACTTACCTGCTTCCCACACATCATCTGTGTTGTTTTGTTGGCTTTCAATCCCAGAACTGTTTGATACAGCCTCAGTTTGACCGTTTCCTTCTCTACATAACTAGCTGTTATATTATTAACAGCATACTCCATCATGATTATGAACACCAGTATAATAAGATTGCCACTTATCACCAGAAATAACCAGAAACAAAGCTTCTACTAACGTTGCATAAAGGCCAAGAGATGTCACATTAGAAGATAACCATCAAATGTACATAAAGCGTGAAACTCCTGACATATGTGGTTTTGTAGGTAAGGGCGAGTCGTGATGCAGAGGCAGCGCAGAAGTGCCTGGCAGCCATCGAGGAGTGTTCCCGGACCAGAGAGGGCAACCTTTTAGCTCTGGCTGTGGAGGCAGCCCGGGCCAGGTGAAAACTAAAACCTCGAAAGCTGAGAGAAGATGTTTTCTTGAGCCTCAAAGAGAAGAAGATAGATGTGGTTTGCTTTTCCTCCCAGGTGTTCTGTCGGTGAAATCACCGATGCCATGAAGAAAGTGTTTGGTGAACACAAAGCCAGCACCAGGATGGTCAGTGGGGCTTATCGCAGCGAGTTTGGGGAGCAGGACGAGATCACTTTGGCCCACAACAGGTAGAGCATAAACCTAGAAGAAGGAGCATCTTAATTTAGCTCTTTTTCACAGATTGTTTAAGTGACATAAAGATTTCCTCACTGTTATTTTTCCAACTAAAGAGTGACAGATTTTAAGAGCCATGAGGGCAGGAACCCCCGTCTGCTGGTGGCAAAGATGGGACAAGACGGTCATGACAGGGGAGCCAAAGTTATCGCCACGGGGTTCGCTGACCTGGGCTTCGATGTGGATATCGGACCACTGTTTCAGGTCTGTGTTTTAGAGTAGAGAAGGAGCACAATGTCAGAAGAGTTATTGTACTGAGGCAAGTGTGTATTGAATTATTGAATGTCCTCAAGGCCTAAGGAAAAACAGCGAGACATTTTGATCATTTTCTGAAGAAACAACTTCTTTTGCATGTTTTTGAATCCTATTTCTCCCACCTCATTAGCTTTTTTGTTCTTGTTTCTCTGTGTTGGTCTCCCCCTGCATAAACAGACTCCACTCGAGGTTGCCCAGCAGGCGGTCGATGCGGATGTCCACTGCGTTGGGGTCAGCACACTTGCTGCGGGGCACAAGACCCTGGTCCCAGAGCTCATCAAAGAGCTACGGAAACTCAACCGGCCAGACATCCTGGTGATCTGTGGAGGCGTCATCCCACCACAGGTGAGCTTCAAGACTCGAGGGTTACCTGCTCATACCTCAGAAATACCAAAGGATAGAATTTCTGGCCAGACAATTTATTTTGTATTTTTTGCACAAATATCAACCCTGAGTTTATTTGTGCTACTTTAAAACTGAAAGTCCTTGCCTGGCTGACTGCAGACTCTACGCAGTGCTACAGATTTCTCCCCCTTCTCCCTAAACTGCAGGAGCAGACAGAGCTCAGCATTTTTTTAATCTGCAATGACAAAGATACCGTTAAATCCAGGCTTAGTATTTCTAAGATCAATGATAGCAGCAGCTTCCCTGCAGGTGTGAGTTATTTTCTCTCACTTAGCGACGCACAAGAGGAAGGATTTAAGCTTCTCATGAGCGTCTCTAACAATGCTGCGCACCTCTCGCCGCACCTGAGTCTATGGCAGCGATACTTTTGTAGTTAGAAATCAAAGTAATAACAGCTCACATGCTACTGCGCTCCAGACCAAAGAGTGTGTGACTGAGGTTTACAGTCTGTTGTCCCATGCCTTGAGTTACTGTCCCAAGGGCCAGAGGATGATAAATAGCTGAGTGTTTGTTTTTCTATGGGTCTATAGTGACAGAAATAAACTCCCTCACAGCTCTATCAGACCGCTGGAGCCCACATGTTGCTTAACATGAGAAGAACGCGTACAAGTGCAGAAATTGTAATCCTGTTGTCATGTGGAGAGTTAAACAATCTCATGATAGGGATTTTTCTGCTCATTACACCGTTGGATTTTCTTGACAGCAATCCGGTTTCTCTTTTTTTTTAACCCCTCTCGTTCGTGTCTTCAAAACACTTCAACCCCGTCCTATAAGGAATCCCTCTACCTCAATCCGCGCCAGCTTCTGCATAATTAATAGAAAGATCACACAGGAACTGCACAAGTCTGTGTTTTATTGTAGTGGAAGCTGAATTTCTCATAATACCCTTCCATATTAACTGGGTCTCATTACTTTGTGCGTGCAGGATTATGAGTTCTTGTACCAGAGCGGTGTGTGCGCCATCTTTGGCCCGGGGACCAGGATCCCACAAGCTGCAGTGGAGGTTATTGACAATATCGAGAAGAGCCTGGAAAAAATCCGACAAGCCATGTAAAGATACCTGCTGTTTCTACCAAACCATGAGTGGGAGTTCACATCTCTGTTCGGAAAATGTTTGACATGGTTAAGGTTGTAAAAATTATTAAACGTTGTTCCCCCCTCTGTGAGAACTGAGCATGTACAGCAGTCGTTAAATTTCATTGTGTTCACACTACATACACAAAAAGCATCTTCACAGTTTGACATTTGCAGATTATTTTATTTATAATGTCACTAAATAAAGAGAAACCCCACCACTTTTCATTGATGATGCACTTACCAAGAGCTTATTGATTTATACTCAAGGGAGAGATGCAGATGCTGTGGGGTGTCAGAAATATTCTTTATATAGTTTTGGAATACCAGTGAGAACCTGTTCCTCGTTAGTGCAGTTAATTATAGTAGGATACATTATAAAAAAAAACATCTTGTGCGAAATAGCACAGCGTGATAACTCTGCTTGGAAGCTAACACATCAGAGTTGTTTGTGTGCAATTTCAATTATAGAGCAGGGTGTGAACAGCGACGATAATTCTGTGACTTAATTGCAGCTATTTTCATTAAAGCAAAATAACTCTTCGTGATGATTGATTCAGTAATCTCCAAAGTGGCCTTGTCTTGCTGTGAACTCTTCATCACGCTTCATTTACAGCACCAACAGTGATCAACGTACGTGAAATGGCACGAAATGATATTTTTGTACCTGTGAATCTCATCAGATTTATCTATGTCTGATTTAAATAAAAGTGCTTTGGAAATGTGGCAGGAGTCTGGAGGTGTCTTTTATTACTGTGAAATACGTCATTTCAACACACTCCAAAAATGCTTGTAAGCGTTGATATTTAATTGAGAAACTTAATATCTGAAACAGCGGCCGACTTTCGGTGGTCTTTTTCCTCAAATCTTCTCAATTAGATACAAGCTGTATGTCAAAATGCTGATAAAAATGTGACATACTCCATGTTATGTACAGTAACACAATACAGAAGTGGCCAAATAAGCTGCAGATTCACTTTTATTTGCTACATGCTACTTGCTGCAAGATATCTTCAAAAATCTAATATACACAGGCTTTTAAAAATGAAATATTTTGTTGATTTTATACAACTTTTTTAAGACATGTCATGAACCTACATAATCAAAAAAGCTCATCAGTTGTCAAATAAGCTGTAGGCTCTTTATAATTATTAGTATTTTGCCCTTTTTTAGATAATGTGTGTATTCATTTGGAAATCATGCACAGAAGATTCATGATTTTTGTATGAGGAAAGCTTGAATTGGTGTTATGTTGTCCCATTACACGCAAATGTGTTAACTTTTTAGGAGTTTCTAAACTTTAGATGAAGCAAAATGATGATTTTCACCTGTACTTTAACGTCTCAAACCTGTCCAGCTAGAAAAATTGAGAGGCTGATTCGTATTGATCTGTTTTGACATGTACTACATTCACTGGTGAGATGGTGGAGGAACATGTCCTATCAGCTGTGACCTCTGCACCCATTACTCTCTGTGGATGCTATGTGGATAATTACAGGTGGCAATCAAACACATTCAGGTGTGTTGTTCACATTCATGTCACATTCACTCCTCAGCTCTCTCAGCATGTTTGCTACACGTCATGTCATAATTAGAATCCTCAGTATTTCAGGATGTCGAGCTGAGGGTTTTTTTTTCTTTTCCACCATACTTGAAGGGTTGGTCACAGTTCCCACATATTTATGAATGGATTGCCATGCAAGTTTGTGGAACTATCAGTTTGTCAATGGGCTCAATGCACAGCTCCACTACCACCTGGACTTCCAGCAATTGATTAATCCAGGTGTGACTGATTACTGTGACTAATCAGAAACACCTGGATTAATCAGGTGTGCTAATTGTCTCCACCTGTGGACAATGTAGGCTGTGTCCAAAATGAATCACTCAATCCTTAACCTCTAACCCCCATATAGGATTTCACTATATAGCTGACTATGTAGTGAGCTCAATCACTGGAGGTTTCGGACAATACATGGCGCACAGTGTTGGGGGTAACGCGTTACAAAGTAACGGAATTACATAACGATATTACTTTTTTGGGGTAACGAAGTAAAGTAGGGCGTTAGATTAAAAATATCAGTAACTACACTACTTTACTAGACCAGAGGAACGCGATTCCCTGCGTTACCCAAGCTCTGCCAATGTGAATAGTTTTGATCCGTCAGCGGTGCCTGCATGCGGACGCGCTGCCTGCCTGTGTGTGTGACGCCAGAGCGTTGCCATAGTGATAGAGTTGCGTGGTGCGCGCCTGCGCGGGAAGAGGGAAAATGGAGACGGACACGGAGAGTGAGAGCGGCTTTGCTAATTGGCGAAACTGGCGGTATAGTCACTATTTTGAATTTGTTGCTCGTAAGGACAAAAATAAAAGAGTAAAATGCACCATATGTCCCGGCGACAGACAGCTTTCAACTTCTGCAAAGTCTATGAGCAACCTCGCCAAACATTTGACTAACGTTCATGCCAGTACAAAACTTGGGGCGAAAGAGCCTGCTCTCCGGCAAACCGAGGGAGTTGATCAGCAGCCGACCCCCCTAAACAAGCCAAGCTTTTCTCAACCATCGGAGCACAGAAGCAGGTAACACATCAAGAAATAACAAGACTGGCTGCAGGGTTCATCGTAGAAGAAATGCTTCCACTGTCCACAATAGAATCTCCCAGGTTTAGGAGGCACTGTTCTTTTGTATGGTGTTATATGTATGTATAATGTATTTTGTATACATTTATTCAATGAACACAAAGTTATGGCGCTATGAAGTTTGTGCATGTATCTGAACGGTAGATTAAAAAACAGGAAAATAAAGTAATAAGTAGTGAAGTTACTTTTCAAATGAAGTAATGAGTAATAAGTAACAAATTACTTTTTTGGAGTAACTTTGAAATTGCGGCTGTTGTTTTCACATCTCTTGAAATTTATTATGTTGTATAGATGTATTAGTTTTCCAGGATGTTCGTGGAATAAAATAATAATAATAATGATTATGATCATGATAATAATAACAACAAAATAATAAATAAATAAATAAAAATAATAATAATAAATAAATAATTGATAATTGATTCGACTTGCCTATATGAGGCATTGGAATTGATCACTCAGGTTTCGGTCACCCCTCAAAATGGTGCTAACCCCCATACAGTCGCCTGTATAGGGGTTAGGATCCATTTCGGACACAGCCGTAGTTTCTGCTTATCCTATCATCTACATACTACATCATCTACAGACGTCTTTCAACGGTTGAATGTATTATTAATTGCGAATATTTTATGTGGAAATTAGCTGATAACTGAAACGATATGTTTTCTGAAATGCTGATTTTATAACCCTATTTCACCTGGTTACAAACCAGATAAAATACTCACCCATGACATGGTAATACGAACATAAATCAATTCATTTGAATCTGCTTGTGCTTTACCGAAGTGATCATGCTGCAGCACACTCAGTTATGGAAATTTGAGTATGTTGTATGAATGTAAATGTACGCTGACATTGCTGGTGAGGTCAAACAATTGAATATCAATGCACTAACTGATTGGCACTGCCTGCCTTTGTGCTCTGATCTCTTACTGCATTGAAATTAACTCCAAGTATTCAGAGATGGATGACAGAAGTCAAGGATTTCCTTCATTTACCACAAAAAGGGGAATCCACTTCAATCCCACAGCTGCAGGCATGAATGTCTGGATCAAGCACAGGGACAACAAACATGTGCATGACTGGAATTGTGGATTTTTTCTTGAATTTGTGGCTGGTGATAACAGTGTGTATTTATTACATGTTTCTTTGTATTATTCAGACATTATTTATTCTCAAAAAATGACCAATCTATTGTGCACACAAATATTTCAGGGGTTCATAATGCTACATTCACAAATTGATGACACTTTTAGCAGTAATCACAATCTGCAGTTTAAAAAAAGTAAACAACACGTAACAGCCAAGGGCGAAACAATACCAGTCAAAGCTCAATGAACGTAGAAGATTGAAAAAGAGAGAGGCTGGTTTACAGGAAAACTTACAAAAGAAAAAACAAACAAACCCTGAGTAAAGCGGGACAATCACAGCGTTATTTTCATCAAGTGTGTGTAAAGGGAAATGAAGTCATCTTCATCTTCATGGTCCCATTTATTTTGTAGGGTTCTTGTATTGCCTGGGTTTCTTACGAAAAGTGAAACAGGCCTACAATTCAGAGGCCTGTTTTTAACTGAGCTTTTGTTTTTATGTGTTTTTATTTTCAATGTGCTGATGCTCTGTGCTTACAACTGTTGTCTAAGCACTTTGTAAACTTCTGTTTTTAAAGGTGCTATATAAATAAAATTATTATTATTATGATGTGCATAATTTATAATGACGCTTCACTTCTCCTGCTACCAAGACCTTACAGTGTCCGATAAAGAAGAGAGCTTTCGTTTCTTTTCATGACTAAAAATCTGAAGGAAGGCCGAAAACCACAATGACTTTTTACGTAATCAAACTATCAAAGCATGACAAAGCTGTGTCTTTGTGCCTGAGGACTGATTCACTTCATCAGCTGTTCCAAATCATGGCCTAATCCTGATTAGCAGAATAGAGGACGAACAGGACAGAGTAGTAGTGAGACTTTTGTGAACTTAACCTGCTGATTAACTCTGAGTGATAACACCTGAAAACTCCACAGCAGCAGAGTACGTGGACTTTGAGGTAAGATTGTTTTGTTGACAGCTGTTTCTGCCGTCTCAAAGGAAATGTCTTGTATATTTCGACTTGACTATACAGTTAACCTAACGAGTGAATACGCTTAATAATTTAGGATAGAGGCACGTTTTTTTTTTTCTTTGACAGAACTTCTCCCACCAAGTTACTACTCCCACTATCAGTTGCAGCCAGTTAGCTAGGAAATTAGGGATCGAAATCTGACGTGGGATAGTTGTTAAACTAGGGTGACCATATTCTGACGTCCTAAAAAGAGGACACGGCTACGCGGGGGCGGAGTCACAAAGTTGCACAAAGTTGATTTGAGAGTTTTTCGGGTCGGATCGTGTGTCTTTTATGCGCTTCTAACTCAGTAAGTCCGTGTGACACAAAATCGAAACTCTTGTACAAAACCGCGGACATTTGAAGGATTTTATAAACTTCCCCGGACAAAGCTGGACATGTCCGGGTAAAAGAGGACATATGGTCACCCTAGTTAAATGGCGAATTTCTCACCACAAACCCAGTTAAACCAGCTACAGTTTTTTTCTTTCGTAAACATCTTAGACTTATAAAAAACAAGCTTTGTAACTTTCTCGTCATTAAAACATTTAGGGCACACGGTAAACGGATGTGTTGCTCCTGATTTGAAGAAGTCGGCGATTCTTTTTTCTGTTCATAAAACACTGTTCGGTGTCACAAAAATAGCAAAAAGCATCAAACAAACAAATATACAATACAGACTGAACCATAAAATTTAAAGTAATCAACTCTTTTTCTGTGCACGAGTTTTTTTTTTTAAATTTTCTGCTGCAAAACCTTTGGTGAATGTGTCAAAATGGGTGATTTCAGTTCTGTGTGGCTGCCACCTGTAGCTTTCACTTTTTTCACATCTTTGCCTTTCTTCCTGAACAACAAGCATTCAGAGGATTTAGCCCTGTAGGAACAGAGTTGACTGTAATCTTGAGCTTCACTGGCTGAACTTTCACAGCATTTAACATTTTGTGCAAACACGCTGACTGATTTATAGTGCCGAGCACGAAGGTGGTTGTGATGTGATAAAAGCCCCATAATGTTAGTGAGAGAACACATTATGAAACCACTAAACAGCAAGAGTCTTTGTTGATGCGTGAAATGTTTACCCCCAAGGTTATCCCGAAGCAGTCTTTGGGGCAAGAGTCACTGGCTATGACTGCGATCTCTGCTGAGTCGACGTCACCTCTGTTTTGTACTTCATGTCCATGTTCACCATACTGATACCGTTGTCGTTGATGCTGTTGGACACACGACATGAGTTCGATCCCAAGCACCGCCAGCCCATCTGCTTCACCTCCTTTTTGAAGCTCTGGCTGAACAAGTAATAGATCAGAGGATTGTACACGGTGGAGCTCTTTGCAAACATACACGGCAGGAGAGAGACTTCAGGGGGGATAGTGTTGGTGTCACGGAAAATAGACCAGAGGCTTACGAGGCCATAGGGCGCCCAGCAGCCTATGAAGCCTATGCTGACCAGCACAGCGATCTGTGAAAGAAAAAGAAAAAAATACAGTGAGGAAAAATATCACACAAGATTTGAAGGCCATTTTCATGTCCTGAACTTCGCTCCAACCAAGCTATTTATATCGTCCTAATGGTGGTGTGCTGCCATAGATGGTTTTGTATGATGGAGCCTCGAGGCACATGTAAAGGAGAGCCTTTTAGCTGCAAAGGCACCAAAGAAAGACTTCAGTGAAGCTTGAGGAATTTCAAAGTAAGACTCTTGATTGCATTTCAACTCATGCAACATTTGGACAGTTTTGGCTAAAAGCACTGAATAAACAATGGGTTAATATATAAATATTAGGGCTCACTTTGGTCTTGAATTAATGTTTTTTTTTTAATGGCAAGCTATTCTTCTTCCCTTTTAAGCCATGATGAAAAATAATGAAACCACCAAACTCGTGAATATTACATTTCACTTCATGGAGTACTACTTCAGGGGCCTTCAAGTTACCTTTCAAAATAAAATGATATCTTCATTTTGATCAATTCTTTTCAATGTAGATAAAAAATAATATTTTTTTTTATTTAAACCCCAATAGATTATCATACATGTGATCTTTTTGCTTTTCTCTGGTGCCAATATAACAGAGTAGCAAAAGCATCAGCAGCAGCAGCAGGTTAATTCACAGTAACACAGGAAACACAGTGATGTGTGTTTTTCCAGGCACATTTTCTGATTATTAGCATGATTATCTTTTTCTTTAAACCAGTATGAAACTCACCAATGCACACAGACTCTACTTATTAATATAGTTTGCCTTTTTACCATAACAATCTACAATAATCTTATGTCTGTTTGGCTGTTGTTTTTTGTTGCTTTCTGTCAGGTTTTTCCAGTGTTTGTTTTTGGACATCTGCATGGCTATTAGCATCATATATTAATCATTTAAGATGAAATTTTGGCTCATCTTCAAGTGGGCATGTTCGTACCACTCAATAAGTCTGGTTGTGATTAGAACCCCATCCCATAGCAACGGTCTGTTCTTCATAGCAACAGTCTGCTCTAGTCATATAACAGACTGTTGGTATGAAATGGCGTAAGCTGATTGCCACTCAGAACTCAGTCATGTAATACATGTAAACTTACTGCTAAGAGCCTCCGATGGAGTTTGACGATATTTGGGATTCTTTTGCTGTTGTTTAGCGACTTTTTGTAGGTGAAAAAGAGGTTGAAGGCGATGCCGAAGTAGCAGAAGATGATGACGACAGAGGGAGTGACGAGGTTCAAAGAGAACATGGAAATGACGAAGGAGAAGCCCTCAGTTTTCATTTGTCCCCAGGCGAGAGAGCAGGACAGGCCAAAGGGCTCTGGGCCGTATCGTCCCCAGCCCAGGATGGGGAAAATGGCCCAGATCAGTGCATACAGCCAGATCCACATGCAAAGCATCTTCACTGTCTTCCAACTGATTTTCTCCCCTGCAGAAAAGAAAAGGGAGGCTAGTTATACTGAAGATAACAGATCCTGGCAATCCAAACTCAAATGTTGACAAAGAGTACTGTATTTTTCGCACTTTAAGGCGCACTTAAAATCCTTTTGGCTTGTCGGAGCACTGCAGCTACCGTAGCCTTGTGGAGTTATTGAATGAGTTAAATAAAGTTTGACTTATCTGACTGTTTTGTTTGGCTTAATGCCCTATATAATCCGGTGAAAAAAGACGCGAATAGACGCATTCATCGATGGTGCGCCTTATAATCAGGTGCACCTTATAGTGCGAAAAATACGGTATACCTTTTAGTCTTGATGCTGCAGGTTGCAAACTCATTTTGTGCCCTCACCAACCAGAAATTGCAATTTCCCAACAAAGACAAGAAGTAATTGACCAGGTTCTTGTATCTGGTTAGTTGTTACATCAAGTAGGCTGCATCACTATTTATCAATTAGGTCTTAGCATTATGTCTGCCTGCAGAGTGTAAATTATTCTACAGTTTTCATACAAAATAATGTCGATTGAAGGGTAATTTGGTTGTATCATTTATCTAGTGTTTACATAGAGCCAGGTTAGTAAATTTAAAACATTAGATTCATCCAAATTTATAATGAAATGCTGCATATGCAATATTTATGCAAATAGGCACAAACATAGCCAATACTTGTTTGCATAACCCTACTTACACATGCATGCAAATACTGGATGAGAAATAACATTGGAAGACTAACATGATTATTTCCTTTATATTTGACATGCAGTAAAATTGCTTCACATATGGGAAGCATGAGGAAACTCATAATGGTCTCAAAGACATAACACAGGATGCATAGGGGATAATTACTTCAAGTAATTTAAGAGACATTTATAAAGCAGTTCTTATTGGAAAACCTATATATCCAATGCATACAAATCCACCTGCTTTAAATATGATTTACCTGTAATCAAATGTGGTTTTTTTAATGGCACAGAAGGACGACATGACTATGTTTTGACACAGAAAACTGGACGTTTTAATGAGAGGATGTTGCTCAAGGAGGAGATACTGTCGCTGTTATGAGCCTCAGTCTTGTTGACTTTCCGTGCCCTTTATGTTCTCATTTCAGTTCTTGCATGAAGATCATACTTCCTTACAGGCTATTCGTTAAGTTTGTTTACATTATGTAAGCCCGCCGATTGTTCATTGTGTTGCTTTATGCAGATCTGAATAGATAAGGTAAGAAGTAAGCGTATACTTGCATTCTATATAATTATGTGAAGTGGAAGTATATGCTGTGTGGGGTTTTTATCTCATATGATGGGTCTTTGCTACACCTCATGCTGTGTAAAATCTCTGCATTTTCAAACCTATTTATCACCAAAGGAACAAAACTGAGGAGACCAGTTTACCAGTTTCTTGAGTTTTGACAGTGAATAGAAAAGATTTCAGCTGCTCAGTGGTTTCAGATCTCTTGTGTTATATTTTCTTTGTCTCATGATGCACCAAACGCTTTTAGTAGGTAACATGTTAGGACTGCAGGCAGGCCAGTTTAGCATCTGGAATCTTCTAATTTAGAGCCATGCTGCTGTAATATGAGCAGGATGTGGTTTGGCAATTTCTTACCAAAACACAAAGGGAATTGTTTGGATGGGATACATTGCGCTACCTGCCTATTTCTTTATTACAGATCATCATGAGCGAGGTGAAATACTTGATATATCATTTACTTCATTTCTAAAAGAGAAAGAAATGTCTGTAGCTCCTCTGAGTCCAAGAAATTCTTTCAGCTCGATTCTAAAATTTCCTTAAGTTGCTGTAACAACTCAAGCACAGCCAGTAAGTCAAATTGACACCAGGCAGCAGGCAGATAACAGCAGCCAGCTGTTACTTAAAGCAACCACCCTCCCAATTATGCATCTCTTAAAGTCTTCACATAAATTAAATAATCAGTAAAATTACCCGCAGACAAAAAAACAAGCTATTTTGTATCATGCTGCAGGGACATTTATATCTTATTTCAGAGCCAGCGTTAAGTGTCTTCTTGAGGTGCTCTAGTTTTTAATCACACCTGGATTTGCTTAATTTTTCTCTCCTGCTACTTCTCTTCAAAGTGTTTCTCAGAGGCAGATCAGTATGTTGCACACAGAGTCAAATTCTAACTTTTTCCTCTCTGAAGTGCAGCTCTGGAGTAACTTTGAGGGAGATTAATGAAAGAGAAAATCTCCTTATTTTACCATCGGGCATCAAGTTTGGTGAGGAAGAATTAAGGTTCAGCTCGTAAAGGTTTGATGATTTCTGCTGGGATCATCTCACCGCCACAGGGACAGCCAGCCCCTAATAATGATAGCACTTTTTGATGCATAGTAAATGTGAAAATGAGCTCTCATAGGCTTTGGAAGTTGTTGCATAACATTTTCACTTTGATTAAAGCAAGAGGAAAAATGTCAGGACAGATTTTCGACACACTGTAATACTCACTAGGAGACTGCAGATTGAGGGACACGATAAACCGAACGATGGCCAAGATAGTCAGGTTCATGATGCTGGCGACTCCAAAGAAGAACCCCGCCAGGCCGTAATATGTACAGGTAGCTTCTCCCCCGAGCCAGCGGTGGTTCCAGGCGGAGGCTACAGCCAGGGGGTACATGGAGACGGCTGCTCCCAAATCTGTTATAGCCAGATTTACACTCAGCAGCTCCGGCGGTTTCATTCTTGAGGATCTTTTGACTGCCATTGTGATGACCAGCAGATTTCCAACAATGGAGAGAACAGCTGGGGAGGAGAAAGAAGGAAATGTGTATTATATCATTATTTATGATGCCTTCCTTGTGTGTCGATAGTGTTTTGCTTTTCTGCATTAGTGCGACTCAAAAAGCCTTTTGTTCATGTTCGGGGAATTTTCCTGTGAGTACAAAAGTTCCTGTGTAGGAAGATTGATAAGAGACCTATTGTTCAGTTTACCAAGAGTTCACAAAAACAAATTAATTCACTTCATTAGGTGTATCTATACTGGCATAGGGTGCACCCACCCTTAACAATGACTCAGATATGGAATTAATTATATCTGCATGATGAGCATTCAAAGCAAGTGCGCACGTAATTAATACGATGCAAGTCGTTCAAAAGCAGCGGGGAAAACCTCATGAATCTCAAAATATTCCATCTCGAATTGTTTAAATTAACGTGCTGTTTAATTTTCAGGAACCGCACTGTCCTTGTTTCCTGTTTTTCCCACTGTGTACTCCAATATAATGCTCTCTCTCAAGGGAAAATGACCAAACAGCAAAAAAAACAAAACAGTGTTTTGTCAGTCTAAAAATGTCTGTTACAATATTACAGGCTTAAGTGGATGTAAAGAAGTTCCTGTTTTCCTCAGCGCTGTCTAAACATCATTATCTCTTTCTCATGGGACCGACTGCTGAGATTCCAGGAACAGGCCGAGCCGCTTTTTTAGTACGGGATAACAGGGGTGACCCCAGAGCAGCGTACAGTGTTTTATATGCTTAATATGCCAACTTAATACAACATCACGTGCTTCTTCCGAGCTGGCAGGCAGGATAAACACAAATATTACCATGAGGTGAAAGAGGGGACGGATCAGCACCTGAGTGTAATGAGTGTGAAAGTGGGTCAAAGTGTAAAACAAATACCCAATAGGGGTTTTCTAGAAGCTATGGAAGGGGACAGCTGCTCAGTAACTAAGTCATTTTACAAAGAAGAAGCCCTAGGACAGATTTTATAGGTCTAGCCAGTCGATGATGACTCCACTTAGTGACGTCTTAATCTCAAAGACTTATTTAATTGGGGTTACCATGTTCTGAATCCCCAAAGAGAGGACACTACAACACAGGGAGGAGTCGCAGAGTCGCGTGTGGTAAATTTTGAGGGTTTTTCAGGTTGGGTCTAGTATTTTTAACACGCTTCTGACTCAGTTACTCAACGCTACACAAACTCAAAACTTCCATAAAAAATCCTGGACATTTGAAGGATTTTATAAACTTTAGCCTCCAAAAAAAAAGGACATGTCCGTGTAAAAGAGGATGTATGGTCACCCTATATTTGAATACCTTGACGTAACGTCATCACCCTCACAGACTTTGTAAAGATGGATGTAGTCCTTATGACATAGCCTGTTGGCAGAGGCGCTGCTTTGCAAGGGATGCAACTACTTGGGGTCCCAGGCCTGTAGGAGGTCCCGGTACAGCTGACAAACTTTAAACCACAGTAGTACTCAGAAAAGTGCAGTTTCTAGCATTTCTGCATTAGCTTCCCACTGAGCATTTTTTGGTCTAAAAGAGGTCTAATAGACTTCTAAATGTAGCCTAGATGACTGGTCTAAAATCAGGCTACAACTGGTCTAAAAATAAAGGTTTTTTTAGACGTCTAAATTTAGACCAAGTTTAGACCAAGTCTAAATCTGGGCTATATCTATACTACACTGTATATTGCTCAATGGCTATCATAACTATTTTGGTTAAGCACTTGGAGATCAGTTGTGCAACTCACAGTTGCTTTTTGAAATAAATAGTTATCGCATCATGGGTTAAAATGCAATGTCTAAATTCTGTCTAAAAATATACAAAATCCAGACGGTTGAAATTTGGCTTAAAAAAAACAGAAGATTTCTAATAGCCCTCTATTGCTCAGTGGGTTTGTTTCACAACACCGGAGGTTTTCTGCTTGGTTTCCTTTAAAACAAGTGCGGCTTAGTTTAGGATCCAAGAGGGAACAGCCTGACTGGTTATATCAGGGGGTAAATTTACAATTACAAGGTCCTCAAGAAATCAAAAATAAAAGCTTTTTCAAATTAAAAATTTCTCAGATGTTTCATAGATGTAACAGCATTGGAAAAGACATGGACCCAAAGTAAGTAGAGTGAAGAAAAAACAAAAAACGATGAGATCTGACTCGAAAATAGAAAGTGAAGAAACATTTTCCTTAAAGTAAAAACGAAATCATATCACATATTGTCTAAAAACTATTACTTATATATGATCAATAATCACCTGTCACATCTCTCATCATCTTCACCTTCAAACCATGGCTCTCCAGTTGAACACCAGCAGGGACATAAGTGGGGTATGTGAGGAAAGGAAGCCAAGTGACAAGAAGTGAGAGCTGCTAGAAGATAATTAAAGCAATCTTCAGCCTCAGTCGTGATCCTTTCATGGAAACGACCCTGACACACTATCTCGTTGGCCGTCAACACAATTCTATATACTATTGTCAAATCAGACACTGGAAATGGCTGAGACTATTTCTATTGCTGCCTCTGCATCTAAGGCATCTGTCCATGTCAGTTAGCCTCACTCAGAGAGGGTGTACATTCGTAATGAAAGATGTCAGGGACAAAGGTATTCCCCTGGACATGTCATTTCAGATCTAAGATAAGTGCCAATTTATAAAGCAGCGAGGCAGAGAATAGCTAGTCCATTCTCAGGAGAAGGACTGTTCACGTCAAATGCACCTTGTGACCCCCTTTGATTTTTCGATAGGTATTTTCACGTCAAAGCCCACACAGTCATGCCTTGTCCATGGGGACTTGAAGGGAATTATGAAGACATGTCCATGTATATAAATGGTACACATGGCTAAAAAAAAAAAAAAAAACACTGAGCAATAGACGGCTATTGCACTTTATCCATTATTCGATATCTATTTATTTATTCAGTCGCATAACTGATCTCCAAGTACTTAACCAAAATAGTTATGATAGCTGTTGAGCAATATACAGTGTAATGTAGATATAGCCCGGATTTAGACTTAGTCTAAACTTGGTCTAAATTTAGACTAAGTCTAAAAAACTTTCATTTTTAGACCTGTTGTAACCTGATTTTAGACCAGTCGTCTAGGCTACATTAAGACATCTATTAGACTTCTTTTAGACCAAAAAATGCTCAGTGGGAAGGTTACATTAATTACAAGTGTCAACACGATCTGCAAGTGTGACCAAAGCTTTGGGTTTAATTAGTGACTGTCTGCTGAAGTCTATTTTTGTCACTTTCCTGGATGGTGCAGCAGTTCAGTCACAAAAATCTCCACAGTCAAATTAAATTTAAAAAGGCATGGTGGGAGCTAACATACTAACAAACCACATAATTCAACATAACAGCTTTCAGCCTTTGCCTGTTTAAATATCAAATCTAGTCTTGCTCTCCCCTCAGTTTATGACCTTTGGCTATCTGCCCTCCCCAAAACAACTGTAAGCTCTGCAGGAGCAGCAGTAGAACTACTTTAAGTGCAAATCCCAGTGACATAATCAATATCCCGAACACTGATAATTCCTTTGATGGAAGCGGAGTGCAGTCAAGTCAATTCCAATCACATATTGCACAAAACCAAGAAAAATCAATGCAGACACCTCAAGTGACCCCATCTGCCTCGGACTGCAAGGAAGGTGGTCTTGAACAACTACGTGGACATGTCAATACTGAGGCATAGGGATGCTATGTATAAACATCACTTTCTGTGACACATGCAAAAAGATTCATGACTTTGAAAGCTAAACCATTTCCTTTCTAATAAATTTGTAAAAACTGAAATAAAAACAAAAAAAATACAGCAGGACCCTTAACACTATTACAAACAAGCACTAAAACACAGTAGAGAGAGTTGACTTGAAAAGCAGCACGAGTCACGATGCATCGTGTTATGAGAACATCATTATGCACTCAGACATGAATATACAGGTACACAACAACTTTCAAGGATAGCCTTGAAGCAACAGCAAACTTTTATTTCTTATCTAACTCCTGTAAGGGATTTTTTTTATTGCTGGTGAAAGTACCTCTGACATCTCAAGTGATCATATGCTGTAAATGTATAGGTGATATTTTCTGTCAAGGATCTCAGCCTGCTGTGTCTCAACAATGGGCACCTTTACATGGACTTGAGTAAACATAGATGAATGTTACAGTATCCTAAAATACGGTACAAAAAAAACACAAAAACATGCTTAAAAACCCAACTGTACTGTGATATTTAACTGTGGACCAGTAATCAGACTGACAGTAAATGTTTAAGTGACATTATCTACATCAGCGCTCATGAAATACCTCCAGTCCAATCAATCAGGTGGTTCCGTAATATCCTGTTAGGCACCAACAAGGCTGGCTGACACCTTTCCAACAGTATAAAACATGTCAATGCAACATAAGCATGACCGGATACCTCTGAGTGTTTACTGAATTATCGCTTGATTTTCCACTTGTAGATCAATTTGAAATGGTAAAATGACAACAATTTGTTGGATTAGATTTGCTCTCAGTGGAACATTAAAGAAAATAGACTGTCAAGTGAAAACAGCTGTGAACACAGTATGTTGTATGTGGTATAGCAAGGTCCAAGAGAGGTTTAACAGCTATATGGAGGTCAGTTTTGATGGATGCTTAAGCAGACGGACAGGGAAGCTTTCCTTGTACTCATGTTCAAAGGGCATGTTCAAAGGGATAAGACATAAAGTGAGAGGGGTGAAGAGTAAAAAGTGTTGACATGTGGAGTTTAACATCGATTAAATTTCTGTTTTGTTCTTTTCTATCTGTATCTTTGAGATGGAGCCAGTCTAAACCACTCAGAGGAGCAGCAGTCTCACACGGTGAGGTTCTCTTTATTTCCTGAGCAGCTTAACAAAACAATTTGGTCCACATGATAGAGCTGTGTGCATCCATATGAAACACCTACATTGTTTTTTCAAGAGGCTCATGCATATTAATGCCATGTGCCAAAAAGACACGCTGCATATGAAGCCTTATAAGTCCTATTCAGGATTCTGCCTCAGCCAAGCCACAGGGGTCAAATTTACCTATGTATGTATTTATCAACTATTCATAGCTTTGTTGCAAGGTCTGCAGGAGCCAGCTGTGTTATAAGAGTGGAAGGATATTGATATTTTTTAGCCAAAGAATAGTCTCCTCTTTTTGAGCAGCAGGATAGGGCTTCTTTGTCACCTTGCCATTTGCACACTCATTATCCTTTTCAGGCAATCAAATGTGGCCTCTGGCAAAACCTTTGACCTTCTGGCTTGTGGCAATATGGCCAGGTGACATAGTACAATGTATCCCAGTTAAGTGGCAACTGAAGGCCATGGATAGATACTCAGATTTTGCCCATTTACTATTGGTCGCTTGGTCTGCACTACAGAGACAAGAATCTTAGCGAAAAGTGTTGTCTTGTTACTGGTAAATATGTCTTTACATTCGTCTGGCTGATCCAGAAAGACATCTTTGTCAAGATATTCTGCACTAAAGTAGAACAAGATTGCTTGAAATGAGTAAAATAAATCTGCCAATGGAAAAGGGGGAAAAAAATGTTTCACGAAACCCGGAAAGTTCATTTTTTACTCATTAAAACCAATTCAGTTCTTATTTTTGGCATGTAATGTGACCGGGAGATTGAACACCTGTTGATTTGTAAAGTTATTATGGATTTGTGTGACATCTTTTTGTATTACTGTTCACTTAAAATCTTTAGAAATTAAGATCACAAGCATGGCTGCTGTTGTGTCTGGGCTGTCCTCGATGTGTAGATGCAGAAGGAGGCTTCGTGACACTGGCTTGCTTGTATAAGAGGAGTTTATTATAAAGACAAAACCAGTATCAGAACAGCACTGCAGTTGCTGGGAGAGGACTGCCAATGATGTCCAGCTCTCCCAAACCAGAGTTTGTGACCCTGTTATATACGGTTAGGGATGTAACCCCTCCTACATTTCCTTCTTTGTCCCCAAAATATTTTCCCTTACCATCTGGTGTTTGGTAAACCTAGAGTGGTGTTTTATGACCTGTGAAGTGCCCATTCCAGGCTATCTCACCTCAGGTATCACTAACGATAAACAAATAAACACAAGCCCACAGTCCACAACCGGTTCGCAGGCTATTCCTGAGAAATACCTTAAGGCAATGCACAGTGATGTAGTACTCCAGATACCACACTGCGCTGACTCACAGGGTTGCGTGACGTTGTTGATAGCTTGCCTGGTTACATTTCAAGCCTTTTCATTAAGTAACGGCTGACGTCACTGAAGCTACGTTCATTTTTAAGACAGTCTATAGAGAGTAAGAGTATCATGCACAGATACCTGACCTATTTCTTGTGTTATTATGGTTTCAAAGATGACGTTTAATTGAGACACATCTTAATATGAAAGTGTTTTGACTGCTTGTTCTGCAGGTCTACGCTTTTATACAATGTGAAAAAATGGGGATCATCCTCTTCACCCACTCCAACAACAACTGGATAGAGATATTTTATATGCCTCCAGTGGAGAAGTTGCATCAGTCTGATCTGACTGACAGTGGTCATACATTTGATGTCCTGTGCTTTTTCAGACGCTACAGAGGAAACAAGAAATGTGATGAGTCCTGCACCCCCTCCTCTTTTTCCACTCTCTTGGTTTCCCCCTAGAGAGGTGCTAGAACTGACTGGGAACACACTGATATGACAAGATTTGCAACAACAATATCATCACTGGCATATGGATGCTTCTCCATAACATCCTGGTATGTTCACGGTTAATGCTATCATTATGGATTGTCCACCTGTCTGACACCGAGAATGGAAAGTTAATTGCTTTGAATAAAATGGAAAAACTCAATTTTCAATCACAGCAACTTTACGGTGAAGAAGTAATACATACAGAGCCAACCATGTATGTGAGGAAAAGGATAATGACATGTATGCTTCAGAAATCCAGAATGTATATAATGTAAATAAATCTAATTATCTGTGTTACATTTTAAAGCCCCCTATGAAGAGTTTTTGATTGGTTACAGTAGACTGGCCTTCATATGACCTGCAAAAGCAAATGAGACAATCAGTAATGAGATTGTACTTTTCGAATTATAATTGCTAACGCCTGAAAACATGTGAGTGTCAGAAATGACAGGTTACATCGTGCTGTTGGAGCTTTTTTTCACAGACAATTTTCATGGAGAGCGAATTGTTTTGACGGTTACAAGTTCCTCACAGGAGTTAAAATGAGATAAGGAACTTTTTTTTAAAAGTTATCCTTGCTAAATCCCTATATTCATGCATACCAACATGTGCAGAGTCTCACGTTGTTACTCTTTGCTTTACTAGTTATTCATAGCACAACAAATAATTATTACCTCCGCCAAGAAGGTTTTGTTTTCGGTAGCGTTGGTTTGTTTGTTTGTTGGTTGGTTTGTTTGTTTGTTTGTTTGTCTGTGACCAACTTTACGGAGAAAGTTACAGCCGGATTGACCTGAAATTTTCACCAGAGGTGCGTCTCAGCCCCAGGACGATCCCATAACATTTTGGTGGTGATCCGGATCGCCTTCTGGATCCAGGAATTTTTTGAAGGATTCTTTATCATTGTGAGATAGGGCAAATTTGGGAATTTTTGCATTTAACTCTTTCAAAATGGCCAGAGTCTCAATGAGTTTTATGAGGTGTCAAAGGTTGATCCTGATCCAGACAAAATTCCGGATACTGTGATCCAGAACACACAAAAATAAGGGTGTCGTTGGAATTTTCAATGCTGAAAGATAACCAATGGGCGGCACAGTGGTGTAGATGGGCGGCACAGTGGTGTAGTGGTTAGCACTGTCGCCTCACAGCAAGACAGTCCTGGGTTTGATTCCGGGTCAGGGCATTTCTTGTTTTAGGAACATTATGAACAGTGAACATACCAGTTTAAACACAAATAAAAGTTAATAAAAGACACGTAACAGTAAAAGTTTTTGTGTGAATCATAATATAAGGGGGAACATGAGCTGCTTGGTGGAGGTCTGCGCTCTCCGAGTGCTTTTCTAGTTGGTCATGTAACACACCTGTCTTGTTTTTGTTTGTCTGCACACTCCTTCCTCCTGTGGTTGAATTTGGACGTTTTGTCATGTTGCCAAAAGAATAGGCAGATTTGAGAGAGTGCCAAACTGTTTTAATTGATATTTGTGCAGAGTGGAGTTTGATTTGTTGAATTAGCCTCACACTCCTGGGGGGATAACAGAGAACTAAGCAGCAACCAGCTGTGGATGGGGGAATAATGTAAACACCCAAACCGGATGTTTATCAGGAGGAATAAATCAATATCATGCGGTTAAGCCAACTTCAATCACGTGATGGATTTTTACACCAGCTGTCAGTTCACTTGTTGGCTAAACCGGGCCAAAAGCCACGCACATCATCCTCCTTTCATTACACTTTGTAAATCTGCTTTTGATTGCTCAGTAGATTCGCAGCCTTATGACGAAATTTCAGGCTAATCTTGTGTGCGAAATGGCAGCAGGATGGCAATAGTGTGTGCCGTCTTGTTGCCAAACACAATTATGACCGCTTCCTATTGGCTGTGTGAGATGAGAGCAGCACCTCAGAGGAGAGGATGTGATCAGTTCATGAGCTGCTGGTGGTGTTACAAATAATTAAGGGAGACTTTATTGCCTGATATTAAATCAATAAATGTAAGATACAGCATAAATACAGCATTACTGTTTCAATATCTCAAAGCCTGGGATATACTTCTGTAATAACAGCCTTACATGAGGTTTCTTCACTTATTACTTCGATTTGTCACCAAATAACAGTTTATTTGAGTTCAGAGCGGCTGTATGAGGGAGAAAAGCTAGGGGGATTCTAAAGGACTGTGACTGACAGGAGCCCGAAATTATTTTTGAACATTTGAGGTGGTGATATAGTGAGTCCCAATGAGATATTATTAAGGGGCAAAAGAAAAAATCTGGTGGATACGATAAGTTACAATGGTCATTTAATTTTCTCCTTTTGGATGATTTGTGTTTAACTTTCCCTCTGTAAATCAAGCCAAAATCTCATCCAAACTCGAAATTATGTCATTAAATTTCAAATATGGCATGATGAGTACCCAATACTGTGAGCTCCTTGTGTGCACCCCATTAGTTTGCATCTTCTGAGTCTCAGTGTGGAATCTAAAACTACATGATAAGAGAGAAAAATACAAGAAAACTGGAGATTTCTAGAAAAGTTAAACATATCAATGAGTCAAACTCTAAACCCAATCTGCAGTGAAATGATGTGCGTAAAATGGAGTACGCGAGAAGTAATGTTTAGTTTCCATTATCACGTCCTATGGTTTTTCAGTGAAACGATGTTCACACTAAGATTTAGTTGAGTCAAGCTCTTAAAAAAAACTTTAAACGCTTAAATAGTGAGCTGAATTATGGATTGATGTTTACGCGCGTTTGGAAACTCACCTATAACCAGCAGATAACATCCTGCACCGATATCCAGCGCTGGGGATAAAGTAGAGGTGTAGATATCCATGTGGCACTGCGCTCAGAGGCGAAAAGAAGGATAGGAGGGAAACAGAGAGGTGATCCCTTTGCATGAGACAGAGAGATGTCAAAATGTTCCGCGGCTGATGCACTTTGGTGTCAGATTCATCTGTCCTTAAGTAGGGAAAAATAAGCGTAAGAGGTCCTCAAGGCGCATCACAGCGCGCCGCTGTTCTCTGCTGATTCTGGAGTCCGGAGCTCGAGTCGCCAGGGAGATGGAGGCAGGGGCGTCTCCAATGTTGCCGTGTGAGTGTATATAAGAGCCACCAGAGCATGCATAAGAGTTTGAGCAGGATATCATCTTGAACTGAGGACATCCTGCTGTCTGAATCATCAGCAAGCTTGTGATAATTTCATATCTGTTAATGAGAAAAGACAACACAATTATGGATTCGTGATAAGCATTAGAGGAGTCTTTTGTTCATCTCTCTTTAAATTAATGTTGCTGCAACCGTGTAGCTTGTGGGAATCATGCAATGATATTTATGCATGCAATGAACTTAGGATGACCAGAGGGCAGGTCTTTAATGTTTACATCCCATGGCTGAGTCAAGGGAGTGTAACCAGCAATGCCGCAGGCAGCTTTTGTGGGTATGTGTAGTAAGAATGCTTAATTTACACTCAGATTTAAGTTCTGTACTTAAAGCTCATGTGAAGAGTTTTAGCCAGTTATGAAACAGACTGGACTTAGTGGGCCCACTAATGCCTCTTTCATGATCCCCAGCTGGCTGATTTTCTTGCAGTAAGCAGGTAGGAGAGGTCCTTACACACTGGGACCGTTTTTTTTGTGCGATTATTTCAGACAGCAATATTTTTTTTCGAACCCCTATCCTGTCAACACAAGCGTTCACATTAGCGACATTTTCCCGTCCTGCGATATTGCAGCATTTATATTTTTGGAACATGGTCGATTTTTTAAAGTTTTGCATACTGTGTGTCCACTTCTGACCAATCAGATTGCATGTTGTTGTGACATCTGATTCACCGGTATATCCAACATGGCCGACCGGCTAATTGTTTACGTGTCGGAGAACAGAGTGGTTTTTGATTAAAGACACAAACATTACAAAGATAACGACCTGAAGGACAACTTGTGGAGAGTCATAGCGTCGGATTTTTCATATGATGATAGTTTGTGTGTTTTAACAGTTTGTTAAACGTCTTTGTTTTAACTTTCATCTGTGCTAAGTTACTTTAGCTCGTAAGCTAACCTGTTCAGATACAACATACCATATGTATTTTCACTGTCTCAAACTCAATCGTGTTGCTGTCACAGCACCATTAGGTCTCGGTTGTTACCTTACGTTTATGGATTATAGTTCAATGTGCTTATCTGGTACTGGCCCCGACTCAGTACATGCTCTTTATAGCCCAGCAGAATAGTATGCAGTCAGCCATCTAAACACTAGTGTCTAATCAGAACTAAAACTAAAAACATTCAGTCTGGTGTTGTGTCAGTCTTCTCGCTTCCACCCAGGGCGCATGTTTTCCCCCCCGGAAAGCCGCATAATCGCATCGGGCTTGATGTGTATAGTCAGGCGCGTCAAAATTCTCCTACGAAAATTTCATAATTTCGTGTCTATATTCATGTCGGCCACAGTGTGTAAGGAGATGAATTGACCAATTAATCAAATTTCACTCTTTTCTCAACACGAGCTTCAGGCTTTTTGTCCAAAGCTGAATGATTACTTTCTTCCTGACTCTTAATTTTTGAGCTTTTTGAAAATAGTGACTTCAATTTTGGGCAGCACAGTGGTGTAGTGGTTGGCGCTGTCGCCTCACAGCAACAAGGTTCTGGGCTCTGCATAGGTGGGGTTAGGTTGATTGGCCACTTTCAATTTGCCCGTAGGTGTGAATGTGAGCATGGATGGTTGTTCGTCTCTATATGTCAGCCCTGTGATGAACGGGCGACTTGTCGAGGGTGTCCCCTGCCTTTGCCCGCAGATGCTGGGATAGACTCCATATTTCAACCTTCTTCTTGAGGTAAACAATGAAAAAAAACCTCTTTTCTCCTCACCCCTGACTCTAGAACTCCTGATCTGCATTTCTGAAAAAAAGTCCAGCAAATTTATGGGCAACACAAACCTTAAAATTTTTGTTGTTTCAGTCTGACTGTTTTTAAATCTTAAAAGTCATTTCAAATGTTCTCTCGGGGAGGTTAGTTATGGAATGAACAGATTTGACTTTGTTACTGTGATGCCAATAAAAAATCCACCACATCACAAGGGAATAACCGAATTAATCTAATAAAAATACAAGAGGAGTACTCAGAGGAATTACATGGGTTAGGTTAGGAGGATTTGTTATGGAAGTCTTAAAACCACAGTCTTTTTTAGGAACTCTGGTTCCCGCCCTGGTCATTACCTCATTTTACATTTTCTGTGAAAAGATGTTTTGTTTTTCTGACTCTAAAAAACACGTCATCAGGTAATCACATGCATCTGTGATGCCGCAGGGTCGAAGCAGAGGCTCTGGTTTTGTTGGGGAAAGTGCTTTTTTATTTATTCTGGTTTTATCTAAGTAAGACCACGGCTGTCATTGCATGCTGATACATTGGTCACATTTTATGGGGCCTCAATAAACTTTGCACTAATATTTGTAGCAGCTATTTGTATTCAAAGATTGTCTTAGATATAAAAAGTTATAGCTAACTATATTAAATCAAAGAATTAAAGTTTCTGTCAAACAAAAACCAAAAGCTTTTATTTTTTCTTGTTATTAGGTTGGTATTTTCTTAGGGTGACCTATTGTCCTTTGAGTCTCTGCATCCCCACCAACAATAGAAAATCCTTTTAGAGAACCCAGTGACCTGCAGTGTACAGTGAACCAGTAGAAATGACATATGTATTTAACAGCAAGGTGCAGAAAACAACACAGATGCGATATTTTACCGCTGCGCAGAAGAGGTTGATTGTGGAAATATAACAACAGGACACAAGGTTGTTATACTTTAAGAGCTTCTCCTGTGGTGATGGTGAGTGGTTCTTTTCGTGGCAAGTTTTCAGAGCTGACAGGTGTTAATTTGAGTGTTGTATAAAGTGGGCAAAGAGAAGCAGATACAGCTAAGAGGCAGCTATCAACATGACCTTATGAAATAAGAAGAAATCTGACATTTCAGCCTCAACGTCATCTAAAAAATAAAAGCTTCAGCTTGGAAATAACGTTTCATTCACTGATATTGAATCCCCACTTACCCTGATGAGATTTAAAGTATCGATGAAGATGACTGCTCTGTGCTGAATTTACAACCTCTTAGAATGTACTCATTGATTTTGCTGTAGTGGGATCATTGCAAGTATCTAATAACTATAAAATAATTGCAATGTACAAGTATTGATCAGAATTAACCAACATTATAGAGCACGTTTGGTCCATACCTAGGGCTGGGCGATATGGGAAAAGGTTTATCACAATATATTTTTTTCGTATCAGTCAATATCGATTTATATCACATATAAAAAACCATATTTAACAGTACTTACTGGTAGCATGTCTTTTGCAATATAATAAGCTACTGCATCTGTGAGGTCTTTGTGTCTCTTTGATGTTTTGTCGTAAAGCGATGCACTAGAGAAAGCGGAATGGTCAGCTGTTTCGCCATGGGCTCCTTGCTCCGCCCAGGGTTTGTAACCTTTCGATTACGTGTGCTCTGCTGTGTGGCACTGCTTCAGGTGGTGAAAAAGATTTGAGGTATTCCCCGACTTTTCGAGAACATGTACTCGACATAATTTGCGGTGCGCTTTACTCTACTTCATGCCCGACCACAAAAAAACAAAATATCTCCACACCACCAACGTTTTCGTGCCAGTGTTGTTGACGATGTCATCATCTGTTGAGCCTATACTGAGAAAGTAACTGTTTCGTGACTGTAAAACGTTCTTCCAGTGCTCCCAATACATAAAGATGGATTGACTAAGTTCCCCTCTGGCCATCATTTCAGCTCTGTACTGATGCTGAATAAAACAAACTGTTGATTTAAACAACCATTTAAATACATTTGCATCCACATCACTGAATGTAATCATCCAAGAAATATGATCCGTTGTGCACCAACACAAACCTTGACAATAACGCCAACATTTTAAACGGCGTTACTAATAACGCGTTACTACCCAACACTGGTTGCGTGTAGCTGCGGCCTGCTACAATGCAGTTGTTTGCAACTTGGTTTTAATTCAGCACGATTGGTTCAGCGCGAAGCAGACCCCTTTATCAATAGCTATTCGTATAGTCTACCAAAACATGGCAGAAAGCCAACTATTGAAAAGGATATTGACCATGTTTTATGTTGATATTGAGGGAAATTAATTTTTGATACATATCGTTATCGTTTTATTGCCCAGCCCTACCTCTACCTATTGCTTCCTATTGCATCTATCATGATTATTCTTATCATGTTTCTAGGTAATCAAAGCTTCTATATTTTAAACTTACAAAACAGATATACAGCATATTGTCGATAAATGTAGGGTGAACAAACAGCTTGGTTTTGTAATCATTGAACATCTTCTGTATCAACGAATTCACCATGTTGTTGCTCAGCAGCTTTTCTTCCTCCATACGCTCATCACAAAGACGGCTCACAACAAAATCTGGAATGTCTTTTGCTCTTTTGTCATGGTACCCAGCACACTCTCAAGCTCAAGAGTCCTTTCCTTCATTAATACCCCAGCTATGTGCTGTTGCTTACCGTGAAAGAAGCCCCTCAGAGCAGAAACTATTCTCGATAATGACAACCCCTATGTTGTTCTGAAAATGGAAAAAATCTGCGGGACACAGGGAATGTTTGTCCTTTGACATTTCAAAAATTTTGAGTGGGAAATTCTGGCAAAGGATTTCTCCAATAATTTCATCTCCAGATCTTCTCTGATGGTAATTAACCTCCCCAGACCCCTGCTCCTCTCTTTGTTGTGCACACAGTGAAGAAGAGGGGGGAGTTACGTCAGAGATATTGGGACAGACAAAGAAACCAGGCAGGTAACTGACTCATCCACCTAAAGCAGAGATTTTCTGGCTTTGTATGTTTCCTCTGTGGGCTTTGAGCTCAATGTCTTGTTGTATAAGTCCTGTTTGTTTCCCTCACTGCAAACAGTAATATCTTCTCCATACAATACCTGGGAGGTTTTTATAACCAGTATAGTTGTATCACCGGCCTTGGTTGGCCTTTGGGACCTAACAAGTATTTGTAATTACTCAAAGGTGTTGACAACCTGTACATGGCG